TTATTATTATTAATAATTATAATACTTTAAAAGTAAAAATAATTATAAGAACTATAAAAATATTTTATAAATTTAAAGTATATAAGAATATAAAATATACTTTAAAATTATTAAAAGGATTAAATATTTAAAATATATTTTAATTTTACTTTAAAATAATATTTTATATAAAAAAGAAATATAATTAGATAAAACTTTTAAAATATTATTAATTAATAGTTATAATATAATTATTAAAATAAAAATAACTTTTAAAATATTTAAATTAATATATATTAAACTATACTATTAAATAATAAGTAAAATAGAAAATATATAAAATTAAAAATTTAAAATAAAGTAAATAATATTTTAAATTTAATAAATTAAGATTAAAATAATATACTTCTAATTATATAAAAAAATAAGTTTTAAGCTTAAAAATAAACTAAACTAATATATTATAAAAAGAAATTAATAATTATAAACTTATTTTAAAATTATAATATAAAAATATTATTATAATATTAAATATTTTATTTAAAGTATTTATAATAATAAAACTATAAGGATTAATTAATAAAAGTAATTATTTTTAAATAATATAATAAAACTTATTATTATAATATATAAATTCTTAAGATATAACTTATATATAAAATAAAAGCCTATTTATAAATTTATTTAAAAAATTAAAATAATTATTTAAAAATATAATAATAAAAATAAAATATTAATTCTAATTTAATTTCTAATAATATAATATATAAATATAAAACTAATTTTAATTTTAATATTAAAAGATATTCTATTAGAAAAGTTATTTTTAATTATAAAAATATTTTATAAATATATATATAATTAAAAATTTAATTTTAAAAAATATTATTATTTAATTACTTATAAAATTAATAAATAAATATTTATAAACAACTATTATTTAAATTATTAAGTTATTTTATAGAATTACTAAATTAAATATATATTAATTTATAATTTATTAGTTTTACTTATATAAAAGTTATATATAATAATATTTTATATAACCCTTACTTATTTATTATAAAAGTAATATAATTAATTTTAATATTATTAAAATATAAATAAATAATACTTTAATATTATATAATTTAATATTTTAAAAAAGAAAATACTTAATTATATATTATAAAATTAAAATTAAAAACTTATATTTCTTATTTATAAAAATAAAATTAAATTTTAATAAATATAAAATTATTTAATTTAATAATATTATTAATTTTATTTAAAAATAAAGTATATTATTTAAGATTATATATTATAAAAATTTAAATTAAAAATAAATATAAATTATAAAAGCTTAAAAGTATAAATTATAATAATATTTTAATTAAAAGCCTTTTTAATTATTTATAATAATATAATTTTAATAAAACTTTATAAAAACTAATTATAAATTACTTAATATATATTTATAATAATAAATAAATAATATTAAATAAAAATTAAAATATATCCTACTTAAAATAAATATATTAAAACTATATATTTTATAAATAAGTTACTTATAAATATTATAAATTTAAATTTATAAATTAAATTTATTATTATACTTAAAAATAAAAATTATATAATAATAACTTTATATTATATACTAACTTAATCTATTAAAACTTTATAAAATATAAAAGATTACTTATAATATTCTTACTTTAAAAATATATAAAATAATTATTAATTTTAATATTAATATTACTTTAAAAGTTACTTTTAATTTTATTATTTTAAAACTTTTACTACCCTTAATTCTTTTATTATTTATATAAACTCTTTATTATTCTATAAATATTTAATTAAACTTAAAATAATAATAAAAAGTACTTAATAATTAATATTATAATATTATAATAGTTTTATAAATAATAAAAATAAGTAAAATAAAATAAATTTATAATAAAAATAATCTAATTAATATAATAATAAAAATAAAATTAAATAATATTTTAATAAAATTTATAAATAAAAATAAGCTTTTAATTTAAATTAAAAGGTTACTTAATTAAAGTTAATATAAAAGAGTCTAACTTTATTTTATAAACTTTAATACTTAATTTTAAAAGTAAAGTATATTATATTTATTATATTTTTAATATAAAAATATAAATAATTATAATTACTCTTTAAAAAATATTTTTAAAAATAACTTTTATTATTACTTTTAAATTATTAAAAATATTATTTAATTTTATTAGAAAATATTTAAAATAAAATTCTTTATAAATTAATAATTAAAAACTTAAAACTTAAGTTTTAATTAAATAAACTTTTAAAACTTTTTAAAACCTATTTTTAAAATTAGTTATTAGAAGACTTCTTCTTAAAACTATTATTTTAAATATCTAACTTCTTAATAATCTTTTAAAATTAATCTCCTAACTACTCTTATTATTATTACTTTTATAAAATTATTATCCTAATTATTATACTTAAAAGTATTATTTTTAGTAAGTATTTTAAAAGTAATAAAAATACTAATATATTTAAAAATAAGCTTTATAATAAAAATAAAATAATTATAAACTTAAAATTATTATTTTAATAAATATAAATAAATATATAATTATATATTTTATTAATATAAAGCTTATAATAAATCTTTTAAATATAAATAATATAATTTATAATATAAATATTAAAAGTTTTACTTAAAAGACTTTTAAAAGTATGAAAATAATATATAATTAAAATTAAAATATTAAAAATTTTAATATAAATATTTCCACCTAATTATAATAAGTATAATAATTACTTTTATTTATACTACTATTAAAGTACTCTTTAAAAGACTTATTAATAATAATACTATTTATATAACTTATATAAAAGTATTATACTTAATAATTATATTATAAACTTTATTTTTTTAATAATATACTTTATTTTAATATTTTTAACTTAAAACTTTTAAATTATACTTTTATCTTTATAATTTAATAAATATAAGTAGTAATAAAATCCTTTAAAAGTAATATTAAAATAATAAATATTAAATAATAAATATTAAACTAAAAGTTTAAAACTTACTCTTTTAATAACCTTACTAAATTTATAAAAATTCTTCTTTTAAATATAATTATAATTTAAATTAATATTTTAAGATAAATTAAAAAAGGTATATAATTTAAATTAAAATTTTAAAAAAATACCCTTTAAATATATTATAAAATAGAATTTTAAAAAAAATAGAAATAAAAAGTTTTTTTTTTAATTTTACTTACTAGAGAGTAACTAAATATAGAGAGCTTAGAAATAAATAGTATAAAGTAAGAGAAGTATAATCTTTTTATATTAGTAGGGGGTAATAGCTATATTCTCTAGAACTAGATTTTAAAGAGTAACACTATTTTTTAAATTACTCACTTAACTAAGTAATTAGAAAGTAATAAGTTTTTCTCTATAAATTACTCACTCCCCTTAAAAAATAAAAAGTAATAATATTAATATATAACCTTATTTAATACCTATTTCTATAAGTACCTAATAGAACTTATATATTAAAGTACTTCCTTCTAGGGTACTCTTCTTTTAATCCTAACAATAATCACCACTACAAACCACCCACTCTAAACTTCACATAAAATAAAGTCCTTCTAATAATAATTAACTTTAAAAGATTTTAAAATAAAAAGAAATTTATAATATATATAGTTTTATTTTTATTCTATATATATTTAAGAATATATATAACGTTTTTATATAATAATAAGCATTTAAAACCTAGTATTTAAAAAGAATATAATATTAATAATAGTAGTTATAATATAATATTATAATATATTACTCTTAAAACTTTTATAATAAAATATTAAAACTTTTAAAATAATTTTAAAATAATTTATAAAAAAAAAAATAAACTTATTCTCCTTTAAGTTTATATTTTATTATTAATAAATATTATTATTTTAATAATATAAAAATATAATAAATATAAAAAAGAATTTAAAGTTCTTTTATAAAAATTATAAAAATATATATAAAAGTATTAAAGACTTTATATATAAGTTTTAAGTTAGGAAAGAAATAAGTAATTATATAATATAAAGAAAAATATAATATAGTTAAAGCCTTTCCTATTAATATATAGTTTCACTTCTATTTTATATATATTTAAAGATATATATAATACCTTTATATAATAATAAATATTTAAAATTTAATATTTAAAAGAATATAATATTAATAATAATAATTATAATATAATAAATATTTATAATCTTAACTTTATAATATAATAATAAAATTAAAAGGTATTATTTTAATAATAATATTAATTATAAATAAAAGTAATTTATAAGTTAATTATTATAAAGGAATTATATAATAAAATTAAGTTTTAAAAATAATAATTATATAAATAAATTATATTAAAAGAATTCTAATTAAAATTATTCTTTAAATATATATATATATATATATATATATATATATAATATAACTTTTATTAAATAAATTTATAATATTTAATATTATAATCTTTATTTAAATATATAATTAACTTTAAAAAATTAAAATAAAAATAATTTATAATATATTATTTTAAGATTTTTATAATAAAATATTAAAACTCTTAAAGAGAGTTTTAAAAGTAATTTATAAAAATAAAGAAAAATATAATAAGTTTATTTTTCTTTAAGTTTATATTTTTATTATTAATAATTTTTTTTAATAATATAAAAAAGTATAATAAATATAGAAAAAGAGAATTTAAAGTTTCTCTATAAAAAATTATAAGGATAAATATAAAACTATTAAAAACTTTATATATAAGCTCTAAACTATTAAGGAAGAAACAGGTAGCTAAATGAAAAGATAGTTATATAGTATAAAGGAAAAATATAGTATAGCCAAAGCCCTTTTCTACTAATATATACTATTTCCCGGTCTAACCAGCTTTCAAAGCCATTATACACCATCACATAGACACCACCAGCGGTAACCTAAAAACCCTAATCCGCAACAAACTCGCCTCCATACTAAACTCAAAATTGCTCAAAGCTGGGGTCATTCAGACCATTATATCCGTTGTGAGTCATAACGACTTGCAGGAAAGCCTCTAGGTCATTCAGATCGTTCTGATAAGCGAGGAATGTTCCTTGAGGAGTTGTGGTTGTGGTGAAACAATCCAGTGTTTTCGCCAAATTTGTGTGGATAACGCCGTTCGCGCCGATGTGTCCTGTAGGGAAGTTTGGCGTGGGCCGAATCCTAGGGTCCACGGGAAAGTCCTGATGCCCAGCGGAGGCTTTGATTGTTAAAGCATTGCCTGGATTGATTGGATCCCAGTAGAACGGCAGCCATTCCAGACCGACATTCAGGATGATGTACAGTCTGCGGGTATTGTGTGCGACGTGGAGGCGGGCCACGGCCTCTCTCATGACAACATTCCACTCGCCGGGCTTATCTTTGCTTGGCGCCTTACATTCCACCCATAGAACATCTCGCTTGAACTCATCATACCCGCCTAGAGCGCCTGCCTGCACAACGTGGTCGACTTGCACAGTGACAGCATCAGGCTTCTTTAGGTGGTTCTCATCCGCTGGCAGGCCTCGATATGCCTGTACTAGAACGTGGTACATTGTGGCCCGCCCTGTTGCCAACTGATTGGGGTTGTATTCTAGATTAAATAACCCAGTTAGCAAATCAGATATCAAAACAAAAGCTTCTAGTGTGGGAATATGCGACGGCAAGCCTGAGGTACCACAACATCCATTTCTGAATAAGTACTTACCGGCGGGGAAGTATACTCTCAAGATATCTTGCCATGCATGGTTGCAGATATCTTCCTTGGTATAATTAGGCCCCTTTCTCCATAACGCCTTCAACAAGGAGTACGAGCTCTTGTGGGACAAGTAGAAATGACTGCAGGAGAGTCTCCATTAGCATACCGTCGGATTCAACATGTCGATGGCATTTTTATACACATACTTGCCAGGTGGTACTTGAGCCATGACGGATAAATATAGTGCTTGGATAATGAGGTGTTCGAAAGTAATTGTGCTTAAAAGATGTAAACTGTGAGTACGATGTGCCATGACAGCAGAGATGACAGCAGATGTCTCTTGTATTTATGCGCGCCGGCGTCCATCGCTTGGTTTCTGTTCAACGTGATCCCCATCTGTATTCTCGATCCTTCAGGCGGACCACGGTGAGGCTCACGGCCCATGAGGCTGGAGCAGATAAAAATAAACACCATCTCTTCCGGCCACATGTCCTTCTCAGCGGAGAGGTGTCATGATGTTGGTTAAGGTCATGGTTTAGGTGTCGACCTCTTGTGTGGAGCCTAGACGGATGGATTTGGTAACGAAATGCTCCATGATGCTATTTAAGGATTCGCTTCTGGGTCAAAGTAAGTGCATATGGTCGTCGTACTGGTCCCGGCTGAAATTAATGGCCACGATGTTGGTTTGCTCCATAATTTCGATAGGGTCAAACTGCCCTATACTGACATCCTTCGGCCTGCGGCTTCTGGACCCGGTCCCAGCATCCCAAAATATCAAAGTGGGCGCTCCCATCGAAGTCTCTGGACAGGCGTGGCTGGGACCTGTGCCGCAATGCATGGGTGATAGCGACCACCAACAACAACATTTGGACCTAAATTTAGATTAGGAAGAACCACAGTCAGTGGGCCCTCTGTCCATCTCTACAAACTTATCACCTTTTTACACATGTTCTAAACAGAGCGAATTCTACGCAGTGCACTCAGACAGGTCGCGGAATCTGTATAAAGATCAGGCAAAAGTCCACAACTCTCATCTCATACCATGGTAAAATCATCATTTCCTAAGAAGTCCATATCTTTGTCACCAGCCTTTGCAGCATTCAATCACCGATACGAAACTCCAATTCGTCGATTATATCATTACCATGTCAGCCGTCAAGAAAAACCCCAAGGAGCAGCCTCCGACTGCGCAACGTAAGTTGGGAAACCCGATTGCTGACATGATTAAATTAAGAGCGCAGACATGCGCAGTGATGATACTGATTGGTCTGTTATAGTCATAAGCTCGATGGAACGCATGAAACTCGACTCAGGAAGCGGTGGGGGAAAGGCGCCTCAGCTGGCGAAGCCTGCTCCCAAGCTGGATCCGAAAGAGGTGGAGGACCGCAAGAAGCACAATGACATTATCAAAAAGAGTTCGGCTATGAAGCGGATAGGGCCGGGGGTGTCTCTGGCGTTCCCGAGGATCAAATCTCGAGATGGCAAGAAGGAACTCGTCTACGACCCGAAGACCAAGCGCAGCGTCATGAAGGTTGTTGTGAAAACAGCTGAGGCCACGAAGCCACAGCCCACAAGCGGCTTGCCAGTCAAGGGCGTTGCTTCGGGCTATGCTTGTACCAAAAGTACCCAGAAGTTTGCAAAGGCATCGGAGCTGGAAACTCACAAGAAGACTCATAAGTAGACATCTCATTGGAGGGCGCGGTAGGAAACACATAGACTTCAGGAGGCGCTGCATTGGCAACCTTGGAAGGACGCAAGGACTGAGCAGATTAATGTGCTCAATCAATACAATGCAAGCGAAGCATTGCGCACTAAGTTATCCATAGGCATTAATTTAGAGGTGAAATGTTTCGGCCGGAAACTCGTAATATTGCAGCTGTAATAATTTGCTTAAAAATGACACTGTTGTGGCGTACGACGAGCTAAGTGCTTCAATAGAACAATTCAATGCTGACCTCAGCATGAGCCTGGCCTCCAGGGCCTTGATCCTGTAATTGCACATTGGAGCTTGATAAACACTGCATCGCTTAGACCATAAATTGAGTGTACAGCCTTTCGATGTGGATAGCCCTCTAAATATAGCGAGGTGCATTTCTCGGAGGTGTTGAGAGCAGGTCCGGAAAATGGCGTCCTTCACCGCTCCACTCTGTTGGTTTGGTGCATCAGGCGTAGGATGAGTCCTATTTTAAGTTGCTGCACCGTTGTTTGATCCGTTGGTCCTGCTGCACCGCATGCGACGATTTACTTGCGTACACGATTTGATTACGTCATACTGGGGACTGCTGCCTTCGGGTGCCTGAAGCCATGCATATATCAAGCCGACGCCTTCTCGTGTCGCTCAAATCAAAACCGCATAGCTTGACAACATTTCTTCCTGTCACAACATCTGGAGCTCCACCACCCCCCACCTCTTTGCACCAGGGACTGCTTTCCCCCACACTTCTTTATCCCTTGCGAGCGACAACAGAAAGGAAAGCCACCTCATATCGATCATGCCAGGCTCGAATACCATCACCGCTCTACGCGGCTTCAGGGTTCGACTATCCACGCTAGACAAGTTTCTTGTCGCCAATGGCAAGGCGCATGGCGCAGAAAATGGGTTCGCCCCCCTTTATGACTTCGACAAGCCCGAAGGTCCCGATGAGATCAGCGCGATACTTCGAGCGAAGGCGGGCGGCGGCAGCGGAATTCTCTACGTTGTGCCAGCCGCTGAAGGCCATGATGTCACCCCTTACGTCTATGTAGCCTACCAGTACCGTCACGTCTACTCTCAGCTGCGCATTACTCCGCAAGACCCGCCTGAGCAACCGATCCCAGCGGAATTTGAGCAGCTGAGACAGGAGATCCTCGGTTACAGGGACAGTGCAGGGGGTGGAGTATCTCAGGGCTTTGACCAGGAAGATGGGGTCATGGGTCTGTACATTGTGTACACAGAGGGCCGGTCGGCACCCAATCCACCTGAGTTGCGAGAGCGATACAAAGTAAGTCATAAATATTCCCATGCACATGTATTAGTGGGATGCCATGATTACCAGTGGCTGACATGAAAACCAATGGTAGCAACCAATTCAGTGCAACCAGTGTGATGAGACTTTCATAAGGTGGTCCGCTAGACAGTGGCACCTTGACAAAGTCCATGGAATTGATGAGCCTTTGAATTCACTCCCAGGGAATGCATAATGCATAACAGTCTCAGGTCTATACCTTTTCATGGGTCAGTGTTTTCGGAGAAAATTAACTGTGCTGGCCGGTATAGCCGGATCTGGGCGATAGGGTCTCTCTACACAAATGTGTCTTCAATGTTCGGTAACTGTCCCATAGTTATAGATCCTAGTATAGGTCATCCACAAGGAGGTTCTTCTATGGGTGCCTGTAATATAGCTCTTTATCCCATAGACAATCAACATACAGCAGAGGTTACACCAGAGGACATCTGGAGGTTCTTCCACAGTTTGTGATTCCAGACCCGCCTGTCCGGCTGTGCAAATCATTAGCCAAAGCCGCAGGTAACGATGGCCTCGTCCGTAATGCCGCACGTGACAGCAGTCTGCATGTGCGGGAAAGAAGGTGGTTCATGCAAAGACTGCAGCGGATCCTCGTGTTTTGAATAAGACCACCAGAAATTACAGATAGACCGAGGGGACAGATATTAATGAACAAGATGAGTATATAATCAAGTCCGTGTGTCTGTTAGTTTGCCTCCATCGAATAGAGATTGGAGATCGGGGTTGAAAGCATGCGCAGTAGGTGACTTCACACCAGGGCCAGGAAATAGTCCTGCATGCGCTGATATCCACATGTCGACAAGCCAGAACTAAGGCCTGAAATTCTCTTACTAAAGCATCGCAAGTTTGGATTCCCAAATACGGGCTGCTATCAGTGATCTAACAAAGAAGTTGTCTTTGTAAATCGTGCGCTTCGTCAACCCCCCTCATCCCGGACCAATGACGCTCTGACCACAAAGGAGGACATGTCGCTTCCATTTCTGAAATTCTAGTCACAAAGCTGAACCAAGAATAGGTGTTTCCGATCATTCTTATATGCATTGTCGAATACATGACCGCATCTCCGTTCCAGACTCTCTCAGTGGCCCGAGACCAGCATCACCAGTGTCGAACCTGCACGCGGTTTCTCCGTGGCAAGATTGAATATGTCAATAAGTTGAGTCACCTAGCCTTCGAAGGCAGATTCGTCATAATCGAAGTATTCGGGACCTCGGGCCTTACGGAGAGCTTCCCGAGCGATCTCTCGGGTCGGGCCTTCGAGGCCTAGGTGTATTCTCACCGTCTTCTTTTCTCGGGCATTCCGGAGCCATTTCTGTCCAATGGCACCAGGCCTACAAGCATACCCGCCGGTAGCCGAACTCGAACTGGTCCAAGGCGGAACCTTGCAACTTGAACCACCGGTAATCCGTTTCCTAGACCTGGACGAGGCACTCGTGATCGGGCAGACCATTGCCCGTGAAAATACGCCACATCGCCTTACGGGCGGACAACGTAGATTGGGGCCATGGCTGTCTAACTATCTTGGTCGTGGCCGTGAGATATTTGACGTCCTCAAAGAGACTGCGCAAGGAAGGGATTAGATGGAGATGGATCGCAGATTTTCCCAGACCATCTTGCGATCGCCCTGGTCCCGCATTGCCGGGAACAGCTTTCGCTCTTGGAATGTTTCATCACCACGGAGAAATCGTGGCTTGAGTACCCCGGTGCTGCCCTCAGCTGCGATCCTTTCACGGTATGCCAGGTGGCCGTCTACACATCGCATCAGCCGCTTCTTGCCTCTGAGTATTCTCGTCCACACGTCCAGGATATGGCGGAGATAATTACAGATATCCTACGTCAAGTTGAGTTTCCGTCACACACGAGCACGGGTATTGTTGCTAACCTCGAAGCATTTCATTGCCATGAACCGATGCTCGATCCGGAACTCGACAACAAGCCCAGGTAGGATGCGAAGGGCGTCGAGTCCCGCGGTGATCATTTTATGTTTTGAAAATCCGTTTGAGATCCTTACGCTTGTTTTTGCTGAGGAGTCTTCATATCCGTTTCTCTGTGAACACAGTCCTGATTTGTTTGTTGGCACCATCGTCGTATTGGCGTAGTTTGAGGAATATCTCGCCATCGGAGAAATTCACATAGTTGGAGTACTACTCAGATAAGGCTAGTTTGAGACCCGCGCTCGCATTTGGGCAAATAGTTAGTCTATATGTATAACTAGAGCCCGCGGGCCAGATCTGGAACCATACCACCTTGATATAGGTCCACTGTCCACCACCTAATATCACTTCGTGGGAGCAATTCCTTTCCCACCGCAATCTGATGCAGCCCCTGGAGGCACTCTCTAGTGATGCCATCAGGAAATCTGAGTTCTGGATGCTGCTCACTGCGATTTTCAAGGAGCGAGTCCTGAGATACGTTGGAGAAGCTCTGATGGCGGCTTCCAGGTGGTTTCGTTTCTCATCCCTATAGTTATGTCCTCGGACGTGTACGGAATAGAAGCGAAACCAGTCACTCGCAACTGTTTGCAGGTTGTTGCAGGCCTCCCAGGGATGCATAATAAGCAGAAGCAACACTTTACAATCACCATGCCATTGCCCTCCCATTAATTCGTCGTATCGTCGACCTGTCGCCTGCAGTGGTATCTGAGGGCATAAACATCGATCCTGTGCTGCACATCCACTCTCGAGATTGACGGGTACCACGTGGTCGAGCTAACAAGGATGTCTTGCTTTCTTGTGGACAGTGTAGCCTATGATATCATCCAAAGGTAAGATCACCATGGATTGATCGTGGGTGTCTGGTGTTCTACACTATAATGACAGCCGGCAAGTGCGAGTAAGACAGTACCTAGGTATGCACTTTGGCCACATGCAGGTGGGGAGTTGTACAGTGACACAAGTCGGAATAGCTCCAAGGTTTGAGGGATAGACAGGGTGTGCCCCACCCAGTTACGTTAGCGCCTCATGATACACCTATGTGTTCAGGATGAGATCCTCTCGAGGCTCAAGGTGACTCACCTACCACAGCGCAAGTGCTCTGGTGATCGTGGCTCTGACGTCGCTGTGTCTGGACATATAAAGCAAGGCGCTGGTCCAGCATTGCCGAGGACCTTCTGCCCAACTTCGTGATTCCCATCAACGTACCAGACCCCACCTAGCCCTCGAGTCACCATGCAGTTCATCACGGTCGATGTCTTCACGGACACCTCATTCCTCGGCAACCCCCTAGCGGTGGTCATTGTCGAGGACAAAGATCGATCTGCGCTTGGGAAGGATAAGCAACAGCTCGTTGCCAAGGAGTTCAACCTCTCCGAGACCATTTTCCTCTACCTCCGGCCGGGCGAGACCATACAACACCCGGACCGGTCGTCGAGCGTGCGCGAGGTGAGCATCTTCACCATCGAGAGCGAGCTTCCCTTCGCGGGCCACCCCACCATCGGGGTGACCTACCTGGTCCTGCAGCACCTGGGCTGGGACTTTGTCGACACCATCACGCCGCCGTGCGGGCCAATCCGCATCGCCAAGTCCTCGGCCGCCGACGGTAAGGTGACTGCGAGCATCCCGCACGATGTTCACCTGCACTCGCGCACGCTGCGGTCTCTGTACGAGCTGGGCGACAAGGATGTCAGGGCCCAGATCGAGCCCGCCCTCCATGACGACGAGTCTATCCGCGCCGCGGAACTCGACGCTCCTATTTTCAGCATCGTCAAGGGCATGACATTCCTGCTCGTTGAGCTCCCCAGCTTGGATCACCTCGCCCGCGTTGATGTCCGCAAGCGCCTGAGCCTCGGCGAATACGTGAGCCTCCTGGATGCAGGACCATGGGGCCATGGGTTCACGGCGAGATATTGTGAGTGGCTGCACACTTTTCTACGTACTGCCTGGCCTTCGGCCTCCGGAGTTGAAGTCTTTGTCGGAGGGGCCTGGTTGTCTGGGCGTGAACGGCGCAGTGCTAACGACGAGACGAGCAGACTACGTCCCGCAGGCTGTTGTGACTGATGAGAATGGACTGAGAACTGAGACCATCCGGTCGAGGATGGTGGAGCTCGACTTTGAGGACCCGGCCACCGGCTCCGCGGCGTCGTCGCTGACTGGCTATCTGAGCCTAAAGGGAGATGCCGACGAGATCAGGTACCACATCACTCAGGGAGTCGAGCTCGGGAGAAAGAGCGATATCGAGACGCACATCGTCTCAAAGCAAGGCACGGACGGAACGAGGGCGATAAAAGAGGTGAGGCTTGGTGGCACGGCGAAGGTGGTGATGAAGGGGGAGATATTCCTTTAGCATATTATTATTACCCTGCGATGAGGACCCCGGACTGACGGGCAAATTGATGTTTCTGGGTGCGTCGCGCAGTCTGGGAATCACTGTGTTTCAGGCCTACATCCGATCTTTGATGTTTCTTGGAGGCATAAATTACCGAGAGCCCCTGGATCTGGCGGCTACCGTGCAGACAGGCATGGAGCGGCAGGACGGATTGCAACATGCGTATGCAAGAGGCGGCCCTCCCAGAACACTGGGTCTGAGTTGAAGTTGTGAATCATCTGACAAACGAGGCTGCCCGACGTAGGCAGGGTGGCCATATTCCCTCCCGTCAAGCCTGTCCATGAGACTGGTACGGAGTAGATCTCTCGACTTGATTCCACGGCCCACAGAAAGCATTGCCAAAGAAGAGCAGACAAGATTTGATCGAAATGGCTTTAAATTGAGTAGCGGGCTGTGCAGGTGTCAAGGTTGGCACGAGCCGGGCGAGGAGAGGGCAAAAATCTGGGGAAACGCACAGTACATAGGCTATCTAGGCAGGTACCTAGGTACGGAGGTACTGAAAGGGGGGCGACTGTGGGCCGTGGACCTCCGCTTCTTCCCCGCCGCTGGCTAACCGTAGCTTCCCCACACAAGGGAAGATCAGAGCCGCTCAATGTTCTAGAAAAAATCAGGCAGGAGCCCGGGGTCTGGACAGACGTTTGGTCAACATTGGGCTGACAGGTCTCTACCCCCCTTGGACCCCCGGGCTGACTGCCAGAGCATCCCCTCGGATTCCACACCTTGACCCGGTAGTGCAAGATCCCGCGACATCGCGAATCTAGCACAATTCTTTGTGTTGCCATTTTGATCGAGCCAACGAGCCCCGTCCCGACCCAGCAGCCGCGGCAGCCTGCCCTCTCTCCCTCCCTCCACCTGTACCCTGCCCATAAGACACATTCCACTTGGGCTTAGCTCGCTGCGGACTGTACGGAGTACACACATGCATGGTTGTCTGCGAATGCCCGCACCCGTCTCAGAACAGTCGAGCTGGAACCCGCTGTTCCGGCGGACGCCATCGAGCAGCACACGTCGCCTCACCAACCACCACCGCATCGTCTAGTCTTCCTCTTCCTTGCTCTCGCCCGAGTAGCCAGCCAGCCCGCCCGCCAGCCAACCCAAACGTCTATCGTCTCCAGCACCCTCCCTTTTCAACCCCAAACGCCATCGCATGTCGGCGTCATGGAGTCCATCCAGCTGGCCCAGATGCTAGCTGACATCTCCGATCTCAGCGCTGCCGACAAGAAAGCAGCAGCAGCACTTGTGAACGCGAACAAGGCACTCGCCCAGGAGGCCCAGGCCCAGGCCCAGGCCCTTGCCCCAAACCAGAATGACGGCCTCAAGCCCCCTGCCCCCAACGCCGGCGCATCGCGACCCTCGTCCTCTGTATCCAACAACCGTCTCGACAAGTTCGGGCGCCGCATCCTGACACCACCCATGACGCGAACCAACTCAAATCAGGGGTCCATGCCCGGGACGCCCCGAGGTTCTGATGTAAGTAATCACTCGCCCGTGACCCACGCCTGGGTAATGTGACACCGTGCTAAAGCCCGCCTGCGCGCAACAGCCCGAGGACGACGTCGACCGCGCGAGCACGCTCATGGCCCTTTACGACATCCGCAACAAGATCAAGCAGCAGGACAACACGAGCCTGATCAGGGCGCGCGAGAAGATCGACGCCATGATCGCCAAGCAAAAAGCCGCGGTCGAGAAGCAGAACAAGCAGGGCGGCGACGCGTCGCAGACCCTGGAGAGGCCGCGGCCGACGTCGCGCTACACCTTCCCACGGCCCGACGCGACGAGCAACGCGGACAAGAAGTGAACAAGACGTGAACGAGACGTGAAAGAGACGGGAACTCGGGCAGGCGTTAGCCACGGCGCATGAAAAAGGCATCACATTACACTACATGTTTGGCGCGAGGCGTTTTTAGGCACGGAAAATCCTGTCCAACAATGGCTGCTTGGTAGGGTGTGGTACGGACTTGGGAAATGGAATGAATGGGTCTGCCTATATTATAAATGATCTGGTTTATGACCGCTCGGTGGCACTAATGGGACATCAAAGGTATTTGTTGGTGGGATTGTACGAATGAAAACATGATTGATTCCAGTGAGGCCCAATAGGTCTTATCATAGATGGTTAATGCAACTCTGTGGTTACAAACAACAGACGCCTACGCCAAATGCCAGCCAGATTGACATGTCGGGCAACAAGAATTCCTGATGTGAACAGCTCGTCTCGCAGGTGTCTCCGGCTTGCTTGTTGTGATTGTTCTTGGTGGCCACCCTGTGGGCCCATCAATGAATGGTAGGTAGCGTTCAGGTGGCACATGAAAGACATAGGTGCAGTGCATGTTGCAGTTCTGGACTGCGACTCATCAGGGTGGGTTCAGGCTAACAACTCGAAAAGATAACCATAATCACAGAAGTATACTCTGCTCCCCCTAAAAATGGCATCATTGCACAAGGGGAGCCGAGCCTGGTCCGAGCCCGAAGCTCCACTGAAACTGACCACTGCCGCTAGCACCCCGAGCTTCGTCAAGTGCTACCAACGCAGGCCCCCCACCCTTTATTAGCAGCCTGCCCTTTTTACGACAAAATTGCACCTCCGACGTCACGGCTGGGCCTTTCGCCTCCCGACCACTTCACACTCAACAGCACATACCCAGCAATCTGACCGTCATGGCGACCGGAGTGGATGCGAAGCTCCTCAAGAGCACCAAGTTCCCCCCAGAGTTCAGCCAGAAGGTTGACATGACCAAGGTCAACCTGCAGGTCATGAAGAAGTAGGTCAAGCCAGTGTTGGCGGCGTCTCCCCCCCTCCCACCGACGTGCCAATTGCCTTTCCACGCGACTGACGCGTCACTCCTCATTCAGGTGGATAGCGGGAAAGATCTCGGAAATCTTGGGCAGTGAGGATGACGTGGTCATTGAGCTATGTTTTAACCTCATCGAGGGGTCTCGATACGTGAGTTACCTCGCCAAACGCCTCGCCTCCGATCTTCCTAATGAATCTAAATGCTAACATCTCCTCGCCCGCAGCCCGACATCAAGTCTCTCCAGATCCAGCTCACCGGGTTTCTCGACAAAGATACGGCACCGTTCTGCAAGGAGCTGTGGAACCTCTGTCTCAGTGCCCAGGCCAGCCCTCAAGGCGTGCCCAAGGAGCTGTTGGAGGCGAAGAAAATGGAGCTAATACAAGAGAAGGCACGCTGCTTCAGTACGAGACCGATTGCCCAGAACCCGCATACTAATCTAGAACCAGATCGAGGCCGACAAAGCTGCCGAAGAAGCCCGCAGGAGACGAGAAGAGCTTGAGGCCCGCCGTGGCCGGGGGGGTGGCCGTGTCGACAGCTATCGTGGTGGACGAGGTGACCGAGACACATACCGTGGCGGGGGCCGAGGCTTTGGACGGGGTCGCAGTCCTTCACGTTCACCCCCTCCGCCCAGGCGAGGAGCTCGCGATAATTACCGCGGGCCCACCCGTGGGCGCGATTCGTATGTTCCTGGCGATCGACGCCCTACGTGGCGACGGTCGCCCTCGAAGGACTCGCCACCGCCTCGTTCCCGCTCTCGCTCGTCCAGTGTGTCAGGCAGTCGACGACCGAGAAGACGCAACTCCTCGTCCCCGGATGTACGCAGGAGGTCGCGGTCACCATTGCCCCGGGAGAACAACTACCGCCCTCGCAGGCGCTCCCCGTCCTCAGACAGGAACTCGCCTGCGCCAAAACGCCGACGTTACTCGTCGTCTCGAAGCCGCTCACCTGTCAGGCGGCGGAGGCGCGGCAGATCACTCTCGTCATCTGGCTCGGACAGGCGGTCTCCGTCACGTTCACGAAGCCCGCCCCGGGGACGCCACAGGGATAGCCGGAGCCGGAGCGGCTCCCCCGGCGGTAGTCGCCGGGTCCGAGGTCGAGGAAGACGCGAGCTAAGTCGTAGCAGGTCTCCGTTCGATTCTCCGCGCGACTCCCGGCGCTTGTCGAGGTACCGAAGCAGAAGCAGAAGCTCGAGTCGTGGTGGGAGAGGGGGAAGCAAGAGAAGCCCGCGGAAACATAACACATCCTCCATCTCATCCAAAGACCGTTCGCGAGACAACTCGGCTGATGTTTCCGAAGACGAGAACAGAAGACCCAGACCCAAGTCCCCTGCCGAAGATGACAACAACGAGCCCAAGACGACGACAGCGACAGACGCCTCATCGAAGGTACGCTAGTCTCCTTGACTGGGAAAGAGTGGGAGGCCGGGGTTGGTCACTTTAAAGACTGTACGCGAGACACCTACTGACCAGCTGTCATGCTCTACGAAGCCTCAGCCCAAGCAGAAGACAACGCAGCAGAGGGCTACTGAACTGAAAGAGAAGCTGCTCAGGGAGCGGCTGATCAAGCTGAGGAGATCCTCAAAGAGCGGACCGAGCAATGTCTGAGGCTAACCTCTGTTAAAGTATTTCATGCGCGTCACTGGACGCGTATCTCGGTTGGTGTTGCTTGTTGCACCCATCAAGGCATTGGCATCCCCCGCACTCCTTCCATAGCTACAGTCTCAAGGGCATTATACATACATACCTAGGTAGACAGAGCCCTATATCATCGTCACGGATGCCTCGTGTTTCTTTTTCTGGTTTGGCTGTTGACTGATGTGTGATGCACCATGAAATGTTGTCCCTACCTGCCTTGGTACCTGGTACTACCTAGGTAGTTACCTAGGTACACTGGAGTGGAGTTTCGATGGCCCCTGCCTAAGTAGGTATCGATCAAACGGGCTTGGTTGCTGTGAAAAAGGGTCCAGTCGAGCAAATGGGCCCAATGACGTTGTATCTTCTTCGACTCAAACTGCAACAAATCAACATTGAGAAAAGACGATGCGTTAAGAATTATAAGCAGTGAGCCCTCATGCTCCAAGCATGCCTGCCTCGTCGTAACCTCGCCATATCGCAAGCTCTCCAAACATACGTATTTACCTGTATTCAGCCTTGATAGGCGGTGAGTAATTGGTTACGGAGTAGCCCAACCCTGTTGCGGCCGCTGTGGGCCGGCCCCCGCACGCTTTCAATCGGCCGTCTTCAAACATGTCGGCACAAAAGAAGCTCAAGCTCAGCCTCGAGCACGACCCCAACTATCCTTCAGCCAACCCCCAGACCTCTTCCTGCACAGACGACCGCGCAACCCGCCACGCAGCCCGCCGCTCAGCCCATATTGCAGCCCGCCGATCTGCGAGAGAAGACTTTGATCCGCCATTTAACGTTGACGAGGACGCAGACGACTTCGACTCGGGCGAGGACAGCGAGGACAGCGACGATAGCGAGGACAGCGACGACAAAGAGGACACTCGCCAACGCGAAGAGGTTATTATTGACTGCGAGGACTCCCTCACAAAACGCAACACATATAACAATAGCGGTTACGAGACTGCCGAAGGACTACAGGTCGCGATTGACCACTCCAGCCACCTTCGACGCTTTGGCGACAGCCTGCTGGCCCGCGCACGTCTAAAGAAACGAGGCTCTCTGGCCGGCCGAGACGCGCCATCAGAGCCTGTAGGCGCTGAAGAGTAGGACTCGCTCGCTGCAACTGCTCAAATAACCTCGACCTCGTCCCAAGGTGCTGCAGAAAACAACACGGGAGAGAGTTTGGAGTCTGCGATAGCACGCCGCGACGCGCCAGAGCCTCAGCCAGAATACATCCCCACCGGACCACTTGACGATCCTACTTCGATCCTTGGCAGCCCCGCGTCTGGGGGAAACGAAGTCGTCGAGGCGACACCGACGAACTCTAGCACTCCTCAGGTAGATCTCCCCAGATCCGCGCTGCCGACTACCGATTTGACACCGGACACTGGCCTATCGAACGTGACCAGAGGGCGGACAAGAGTGCACTGGCCTCTGGACGACGAGTTGTACAACATCCGTCTCTTGAGCCCAATCCCACCCGAAAGTCCCGAGAAAACGCCCAAAAAATGACAGAGAACAACCAGGCGGCTGCGGGCGGCGATGCGCCTGGCGGGCAGCCGTATTACGAGCTGTCGCGGTCGCAGTTGAAAACGCTCTTACAGAAGCGACGCGATCTCCAGGCCAAGCTCGTGAGTGTGCCGCAGATCCCTGTCACATGTTGGACGTGACGCCCCCCTAACGAATTGCTCCGTCGCAGGAATCCCTCGAAAACCAAATTTACAACAAAGAAACAGACTATCTCGAACAGACCCAGGCCGGCAACATCATGACAGGTTTCGACAACTACACCAAAGGGACAAACGCGGCGGCGGCTCAGCGCCGTAAGGGGGGCAACACGGATATGCATCGCGTCTTCTCCAAGTCGTCTATCTCGTACAATGCGAACGCGGCCGACTCCACCGCAAACACGCCGGGCTCTAGTCACGCTCCGACGCCGGTGAGCACCACGTTCGCTGGCGGGAGCGGCAGCAACCACCCCACGCCAACAAGTGCCACGGCGTCCACGGGCAAGGCAGGAGGAGGAGGAGGTGGCTCGAAAAAGGATAAGAAGAAGGCCATCAGCCTCAGCGCCGATGCTGGTGGCGACAGCGAGAGTGATATCAACGTCAAAAAGGTCAGGACCAACTTTGGGGCCTCCAGAAAGTAGGAGGATTCTGAAAGCGAGGCCATCATGTCTTCCCCTGAACCAGAGCTTGGTGAGGACGATTCTGATGATGACTACCAACCTCCCGGCAATATCAAGAGACGAGGAGGGGTAGAGGGGAGGAGGAAGAGCACGGCGGATCACGCGTCGAGTCGCCGTCAGAGTCCCCGGGGAGGGAGGGGGGAGGTGAAGAAGGGCGAGTCTATCGTCTCAACGGACGACCGACCTTCTGAAGTATGTATTTGATATAAAAGCGCGGCGTTTCGGAAGGACAAGCTGGCGGGTCGACTATGAGCCGACGACGGGGTTCTGTGTAGGGCTTCAAACGGCATCTCAAGGCTCGAGCCAGGATGGATTCTTTGTGATAGGGCTGTCACATGCAGCAGGGTAAAGCAAGTAGGGAAATGCCAAGCATTTGATGCAGCAAGCAACCCCCCACGCGCAATAGCTTCATCCTGACAGCCTCGACCGAAGGGGGGTGTGCAGCTGCGGGGCAATGCCCAGATCGACGCTGCATGCATCCTCAGGCATGTGTGTACATGGAACGGTGTAGTCTGCTCGGTATTACATGCTAGAGCTTACCCAGGCGGCCAGGTACCTACCTGAATCCCTACCTGGGCACCTACCCAGCTACCTAGGTACCTAGGGTAGGAAGGTAGGTAGGTATGTCCTGGATATCTATCTGGTGCATCGCACCTCGCGCAAGGCGGGCACTTTATCCTTCGGAAGGCCTAAGCGGGACATGAGAAGAAGAGCAGGGCGCAATTGGGCGAGCATAGGCCAACCCCCTCAGGGCTCGCCCCGCCCCTCATAAAGCTGCCGGCAGAAGACAGCTGGGGCGAGCGTGTGGGCGCGGCTCAGCGTGTCATCAGAGTGCCTGTCAGTGTCATAATCGTGAGGGGTACCAGGAGCTCCTCCTCCTCTTTTGAGCATCTGGGCCCGCCCCAATCTGCGGGGTTGTGCGGACGGACGGGCACCTTGAGCTGTCTTGACTGAGACAAGGACGTGCAGTTTTCTCTTTTGCTGGTGAGGCAGGGCGTGACGGCACAGGTGGTATGTAGAAGCAGAGTAACGGTTTTCAGAACGGGGGCGGAGAGTATAAGGCTTGTGTGTCGGAGGAGGGGTTGGTTTAATATTTCAACTTGCTGTCCCCATCGCTCGCTCTCCTCCAAAGCACCAGCTCGTGCCCAATACCACCGCCGCCACCACCACCACCACCACCTCCTCCTCCCCCCTCTCCCCCTCCCACCCAACACCCATCAACCGGCCCATGAGACATATCGGCCGCCTTCATGATGACCATCCGCGCAAAGCTGACCCCGGAGGTGCTCCTCTCTGCGCCTCGTAGATCTGCGGGCAACCCCAACAGCTCTGGCAAGCTGGCCCTGCATACGGTAAGCTACATTTGGCTCTGCCATACCGTCCTGGCCCGAGACGCGAGGACATATCACAGCTGATGCCGCCTAGGTGTCGACGTACTCGTTCCAAGAGCACAAGAAGACCAATTCCGTGCAGGTCCTCGACCTTGCCTCTAACCACGCCACCACCCTGTACACAGACTCGTGCTACAGCGAGCCGACATGGCTGAGCGAGACAGAGTTCCTCCTGGTCAAGTGCGGCGACAAGGGCACCTCGAGCCTCGTTGTTGCAAGTGTGAATAGCCCAGGTGCATCGTTAGTCTCTCATCTCACCACCTGCCACCTCCTCTCTCGTGTACTAAAACACTGCGGCACAGTCCAAAGGAGATCAGCAAGTTCAGCGGGAGCATCTCAAACCTGAAGCTGAGCAAGCTGGGTGATGATACCTTTGGCCTGGCGTGCTCAGCCCTGGTGGATCCGTCCGGGGCTCTTTACAACCCAGAGAACGAGAAGAAGCCTTACTCCAGCGCCAAGGTGTACACCAGCCTCTTTGTCCGGCACTGGGACTCGTGGGTGAACGAGAACCGCAACGCCATCTTCTACGGCTCCCTCAAGAGGTCCTCGGGTGGCGCATACCGCCTGGAGCCCCCGGGCCTCGTCAACGTCCTGGCCGGCACGCGCCTGCAGAGCCCCGTCCCTCCCTTTGGAGGCACGGGCGATTTCGACATCGGCCCGACAGGGATCGTGTTCGTGGCGCGTGACCCGGAGCTCAACCCGGCCACGCACACCAAGAGCGACCTGTACTACGTTGCCCTGTCCAGCTTCACGCAGGCAAAGCCCCCGGCGCCGCAGCTCATCAAGACGGGCAAGCTGAGGGGTTACAGCGGCTCGCCGGCCTTCAGCCACGACGGCAAGGCGGTCGCCTTCACGCGCATGCGCGATGTGCAGTACGAGAGCGACAAGCCGCGGCTCCTGCTTGTCCCCGACGTTGCGGACTTGGCCAACGTGCAGGAGTTCTACGAGACGGCAGATGGCGAGGGGGGCTGGGACCGGAGGCCCGACAGCATCCTCTGGTCCGCCGACGACAAGGAGCTCTACGTTGTGGCCGAGGACCTGGGCCGTTCTAAGCTCTTCAGGCTGCCCGCCAGCCCACTGCTGGCAAAGCAGCTGCCCGAGGTCGTCTCGGACGTCGAGGGCAGCATTGGCGACGTCAGGGCGTACCCGGGCGGCAAGGTCTTCGCCAGCGGCTCCAGCCTCACAGATAACTCACTGTGGACCGTCATCGATCCCTCGGCCAAATCCACCAACCTTGTCTCCTCAAATACCAAGCAAGGCCGGGCGTTCGGCCTGTCGAGGTCTCAGGTTGAAGAGACCTGGTTCCGCGGCGCGGGCGATTACGACGTGCACGCATGGGTGGTGAAGCCGTCCGACTTCGACCCGGCCAAGAAGTATCCCCTGGCGCTGCTGATCCACGGCGGGCCCCAGGGGATGTGGGCCGACAGCTGGTCGACGCGGTGGAACGCGGCCGTGTTCGCGGAGCAGGGCTATGTGTGTGTGCTGCCCAACCCTACCGGGTCGACGGGGTACGGCATGGCCCTCGAGGACGGCATCCGCAACGAGTGGGGCGGCCGGCCCTACAAGGACCTGGAGCTGTGCTTCGACCACGTCGCCGAGAAGCTCGGGGCCTACGTCGACGTCAGCCGTGCCGTCGCCGCGGGTGCCAGCTACGGCGGCTACATGATCAACTGGATCCAGGGCCACCCGCTCGGCCGCAAGCTCAAGGCCCTCGTGTGCCACGACGGTGTCTTCAGCACCCTCAACCAGTACGCCAGCGAGGAACTGTTCTTCCCCATCCACGACTTTGGCGGCGAGCTGTGGAAGAACAGGGAGGGGTACGAGACGTGGGATCCCGCCAAGTATGTGGACCAGTGGGCCACACCGCAGTTGGTAAGTTCTAGTATCAGCAACTGTCCAGCATCCTCCCGCGCTGTTCTGCGGTATCTATGGGCCGGGCTAGTAATACCTGCATGAGGGGATGGCGGCATGCTAACCGAGGGAATCCTCGCCACCTATAGATTATCCACAGCGAGCTCGACTACAGATTGCCCGTGACAGAAGGTCTGGCGGCCTTTAATGTCCTCCAGTCCCGGGGTGTCCCGAGCAAGCTCCTCGTCTTCCCGGATGAGAATCATGTAAGCGCTCCTGCCTTTTCAAACCTCACGGTAGTGGAACTGACTGACGCCGGGTTAGTGGGTATTGAAGCCAGAGAACTCGCTGGTCTGGCACAATGAAGTGCTCGGCTGGCTCAATGAATATTCAGGTGTGGGTGACAAGAATGACTCGAGGGCATCACGATGAGATGATTGTGGTCCATGGCCAGCACAGTGATCATTGTTATCATCAAGTCAAATTGCAAACAGTTTTATCCACCGCTTCCACAGAGTGAGCAAGCTGGGTGATAGCAACCCATATTGACCTTGTCTATGTGTCACCAACAATTTCCCAGACTCCCACAATCAGCAATGTTGAATGTTGACAAGCTGGCGTCCCCCTTGAACCCCGTTTCCACAAGCCGAACTCCCTGGTGTCTCTCAGCTCCAAGCGCCAGGCCACCAGACGTTGGCTACTGGCTCGACCGCATCAATTACGAGAGTAAGGAGTCGGGATGTCCCTCACCACAGTCTTGGCATCCTCCCAGGTCAAGTCTCTGGGCACCGAGACGAACCTCCTGCCGGTTGGGTGCGCCAAATTGTGCACGCGCTCGGGAAACTGTTCCTTTAAGGCATTCTGAAACCAGCGACAGTAACCGGGGTCTTCGATGCCGTCGATGAAGTGGCGGACGAGAGCACCCTTGTCTCTTCCCACAGTAGTTTTCTTGTATATTTTTCGCTTGGACTGGTAGTAAGCCGCAAACTCGTCAAACCGGGCCCGGTTGTGGTCTTCCATCTCTGAGGCCATCTTTCCCTCGCGAGTCGGCAATTCATCAAAACCATGTTTGTGGTCAGACCTCTTTGTATGGCGTGTCTTCTGGCTTTGTGGCTGCTCAAGGCGATGTGCATTACCAGCCTCCTCGGCGGCGGCATCCCCGTAACCAAACTCAGCGGCATCGTCTACATGAGCTCTCTTGATGCCTCGTGGGTACTGCTGCTCCTGTGGCCTTTTCGGTCCCGCTGTGTGATTGTCACTGTCGTCATGGAATGGATGGGGCTGAATATTTGTCTTTGTTTCACGTCGGGGGATGACCTGATGCTCGATTCTTTTCCTGGCGAAACGGCTGTGAAGCGACTGACGCCCCGACGGCTCTTGCAGCTGCATTGCGCTTTGCCGAGTCCCATGGTCACGAGGAGGTTCTGAATTCACTGTCAGTTGGATCGCTCGGTCAAATCACCACATTAGATGGTCCTCTCATACCACCATGGACGGTTGGTTCTTCAGCGCGACGACGCTGTACACAAAGTTCTGCGATCTCCTCTCGCAGCTGTGTGATGTCCGCCACGGAGGAAGCCTGTAGGGAATTGAGGATGGCTTTGAAGGAGTCGACCTCTTGATGATGCTGGCCTTGAAGCTTGGCTATGTCTGCCGCGGCTTTCTCGTTGGAGTCCCGAAGGGACTTGACAGTGTTTTGCAAGCTGGCGATTTCTTGGTGATAGAAGTCTTTCAAGGCGGCAATATCTGAATCAGACTTCTCGGTGGAGGCTTGGAGGGACTTGAAACTAGCTTTCAAGCAGTTGATCTCCTGGTTGTCGGCCTGAAGGGCCTTGACAGTCTCCTCGAGGGAGCTAATTTGTTCAGTGTATGCTTCCATCTGGGCGGTCTGTACAAAGCGGGCGATGCCCTCTGCCACGGCATCTGGATTTGAGGGTTGCATCTCTTCCCTTTGAGTATGTTGGACGAAGATTTCGGAAGAGCGATGTAATGAATGCCTTGACGATCCGGAGAACAGGCTCATGATCATGGCCGAACAAGAGGGAAGAAGAGAAAATAGTAGGTAACAAGGTCTCCCGAGCTGGCAGTACAGGTCCCGTGGGGTTCCTTCCTCCTGCCGTTTATAGAAGGCGCACCAGTGGACATCCAGGGAGCAGGCAGTTGTGTGCTCCTTCCTCCCAAGATCGCGGCCCGTCCCTGAAGCCCTCTGACTGGTCTCAGCAGCTCACTCTGTACAGGCGAAACCGCTCTCAGTCATCGCTGATATGCCAGGCCGGGCGGTGTTGTTTCCCAACAAGGCGTTTTTCCTTCTCCAGCATGTTGTTGAACAGAGACCGTCGCCTTATGTTCATTGACCACTGGTACCATATCCTGGACTTACAGCCAAAGCACCAGTGGCGTAACGCTAGCCATGAGAACACATCTTCTCGGAGCAATTCTCTCCTACACATCAAGGGCTGCGACAATCGTCGCATGAAGGCAACACGTCTGAGGTGAGCTGCTTCAGGGTCGCGTGCACCCTGGGCCCCCTTCTGTGTGTGGGGGGGGGGGGGGCGGTTCCGTAGGTACCTAGGTACCTAGGTAGGTAGTAGGTACTAACCCGACCAAGGGAGGGCCCCCACCCCCACGGTCCCCGCGCCCCGCCAACCTGCCAAACACCGTAGTTGCCTGACAAGTCTGCCTGAGCCACTTCTTAGATTTATCTCTATTCCTCCACGGCGGGACATCTCCTCAAGCCGAATCTCTTCCTCATCATCCCACTGCAATGGTTTCTCTTTCCCCGTCAATTTATCGACCAGGACCATGGCGCAACTCGGAATAACGCGAGGCCGAGGTGGCTTGCCGGCCTGTCCCCCACCCCTCCCCAGATCGCACCCTTACCACGCCAGATCATCGAAGACACCACACTCTGACCAGCTGTGAAGCCGAGCACCCACGGACATGAATCGCCGGCTACAAGACAGTATTCGTGGCCAACAAGCAGGCCATAGCGCCACCATGGCGACAAGCAACTCCGCACACTGGCCACTTGAGCAGCTGGGCCTTGCATCCCGCCCTACCAATCATCGGGCCTACAAGGTGACAAGCCCGGTCGACAGCCCCCACTCTCGCCCGTCTTGGAAGTCATTACGCCGTTGTCTGCTACCTCAAGTTTACCGGGAAGCCAAAGGTGTGAAGGTCGCCGCAAACTTGTGAAGCCAAGCACACTACCTTCCACGTTACCGACCGTCACCTGGGCATCGGCAGCTCATAGGTCTGCCTCTGAACAGTGGGAAAAGCCTCACTGCGAGGATACTTACTCGGAAAGAAAAGACGACGACGTGATGAGATGCATACACCTGAACACCTGCCTATACTCGCTAGTCCGGCCGGGTGAGCACATGACTAGGGGTTACAGGCCCTCGATACTGAACCACAATCCAGCTTCGCCAACACAGTCAGCAGTGCGACCGATTCTCTCCTGGGTACCCAGACAGCTCTGATTCCCACACCCGGCCACTCGTCGTTTGGTGGCACAAATCCCTCTGCTCAAACTAAAGGCCAACCATACCCAAACATTCCACAGACCGCTCGGGTCTCGAACCTGGAAGAAAACTGGCGCGAACATCCCTTGGCAGGCGACGGCCCACAAAGGCCGCGGCTAATGTCGTCCTGGGCAGGACGTTAAAAGGCCCTCTGTGTTGCTAAGTCACGGTCAGGTGGCTGGCAACCGAATGGTCGTTTTGAAGGACCATATCGCTCGCTGTCATGGTTGGCAAGCGGTAGTCCTGGGTAGGACTTTAAACTGCCCAACCGTCGTTCAGCTGTTATCTGCTGGCGACCTGGATGTGGATCATGATCATGACGCTACGAAGGATCATTCCGCGGAATTCTCTCTCCATGGAGTTGTCATGGTGAGCGCTCTAGGTCATGTCCGTTCCCGACCCAGTGGCTGACTAGAAAGCAGGATTGACATTTAGACTCAAGCCTGTCAGGCATCCGGATACTCGAAGAATGTGCACACGACATAGAATGCGACACGTGTATGGCAATGTCATGACGAAGACATTACTTACGGAGCAAGCATTCATTTCGGCGTTCTGAGCGGCCTTTTTTTTTGTGGAATCTCACAAGCATCTCATGGTGTTAATGAGAATCCTGCAGCGTTTTGTAGGTCATCATTTCTTCATGCCCTTCCCTTCCTTTCCGTCACAATGGCGACTAACGTTCTCAGGGAGTGAATTGGGTACCCATCGCCCTCTCTGCGTCCTGGGCATGACGGCACAAAAAGGCCCGGCGAACGCACGTACCTCGCAAATTGTGAGGCTGGGCGAAGCGAATCGAGTCAACGCTGGCATTACAGCTCTCTTCGCCATTGTCTATTTTCGCACCACTGAGTTAATCACTGAGTTTAGGCGACCTTAGATCGCCGAAAGTCAAGTCCACTTCGACCTGACAAAGCGTCGCGGGCGGCCCGACGCGGATATGTCACAAAAACAATCGGGTGGCAGTCCTCTCTTCGTCTGGGCACAGGTACAGGTGACAGGCATTCCTATCTATTTGTGGCTATCACCCGGCTTATAGATAGCTGGCCTGTGACCGCAGTGATGATCTAGTAGCAACAAACAATCGCGGCATGGACAGACGCAGTCGATGTCGCGTCGCGGTAGTATTTGTGGAATCGATCCACAAGTCCTGGGCCGTGGGTTCCAATCAAGCGGGGCTCTTTCTGAAGGAGACAAGCGCGATACAGGTGGCAGCTACCTTCTGGTGGGTGTCATTTGGCTCCGAAGCCAGCATCTGGGACTAGGCCCAGGAGAGTCCGGCCTTCCGTCAAGCCCGACACCATCTCCGTGCCCCGCGGGCATGGTGCCGACAGGAAGGTCAAACGCTTTGATTACATGGGTTGGCCGAGTAGCCAACGAGCAACAGCTGGTCGCGCCTCTGGGGAACAGTCGCGCTTCACGTCGCGCTGTTTCCAATTGCTCACTACTGAGATCCCTGGTTGGAGGAGGGGGGATTTTCATGGGCCTGGACACTTGAGGCCTACGAAAAAGGGGTTGACAACGGGGGACATCGAGCGTGGGATTTGGCTGATGAGTTGACGATACGATACTTGAAGACAGGGTAGATAGGCTTCTTAAAGCCAAGCTGGACCTTGTCCCCCAAATATGGTGCTTTGCAACTGGCATACATGATCAGGACCGCTTTACTAAAGCCGAAGCTCAAGAACACACTCGGCCAATCAGACAGCCTCGTGTTTCCCGAACGGGAAACACAGCCAAGCCCGCCCAGCAGTGCTGTAGCGCTTCCTGTGTGCCACATGACAATGAACCTCGGGAACGAATTCGAACATGGCATGAATTGTAATTATATCCATTTTTTAGCTTTCTTGCAAGTAGAAGGGCTACACACAAACAAGTGTCTCTCAGCTAAGCGAGTAGGCAGCCAAAGTATAAAAGGGCCTCTCTTACTCTCCGAAATGGAGCTTTGTGTTGAAGGTGAGTGGTATCATAAATCAAAACTCCATGTGGTGGCCGTCAGCACGGGACCCCTTGCTCTCCGGTTTCCCCCTTTTCCCTTTCAACGCCATGTCCAATGCAAAATATTGGGGGATTTGTGGCATGTAGCCAAATATTTGAGCACACACGGAATGGGGTACGATTAAGATGATATGCGCATGACAGGATGAGGATCCAAGAGCCTCACCCCCACCTGGCCCAGGTCCAGCCGAAGTCGCCGTCGACGTTGACCCACTCGCCCCTGGAGAAAGCCCTGTCGGGGCCCATCATGACGGCCAGCAGCCGGCAGCCCATCGCGCCAACAGCGCAGACGACGCCACCGCCGTCGGTGGCCCCCGACAGGACGGCCAGGTCCATCAGGTACGCGCGACCGACGAGGCTCCTGAGGCGGATGGTCTCCTCGCCCGCGGGCGGCCCGGACCCAGCAGCGTTGTTGCTGGCCGCCGCCGCCGCCGATAGCCCCAGGTTCCAGAACATGGCGGCGAAGAAGCCGCCCTCCCAGCCAAATGTCTCGTCGACAAACTTGTGCATGACCGACTTGTCGGGCTTCGAGTTCTGTGGCAGCTCCTCCTTGCCGGCGAGCCGGATCTGCTCCTGGGCGCGGGCCGCGCCGCGGAACTCGTCGGCATCGTATACGAGCGGGTCGTCGGACGCGAGGATTATGAGGGACCTGGTCCTCGCCATGGAGGGCGGGGCGTGGTCGCCGCCGCCCAATGTGGTGTTGAGGCGCGCGTGAGCGGCGTCGGCGTAGGTCGCCAGCGGGATGTAGCTGTCCGCGTACTGGAACTCGAGCGGGTGGCGGTCTCCATGGCGCACGTGCACGCCGACGATCCTACCGGTGCCGTGTGCTGCGGCGCCCTCAGCAGCGGACGTGGTCCTGGCCCTTAGTTCGGCGAGCCGGTTCGACACGTAGTCGCGGTCAGCCTCGTTGAGGCGGAACAGAGCCTCGTAGCCGGTGCGCGCCAGGGCGAAAATCTCGCGCTGGGCAGGGCGGTGATCCAAGCTGGCGGCAGGACCTTCAGTGTAGGTGTCACCGTTCGGGACGTGGGCGCCGAGGATATCATCGGCGTTGGCCGAGGAGAGAACAAGGTGCCTTGCGTTTCGCGGACAAGGGATCATCTCGTGCCGCAGCGGAGGCCGGCAGGCCGGCACGGGTGGTATATCGAAGATATCCGCGTATTTGCCATACGCCCACCTTGAGTCTTCGATGAAGAAGGCACGGCCCTCGCGCTGTGCAAGGCCGTATGCCGCCCATAGCGACATCAGTGTCTTTCCCAGCCCGGCGTCTTCTGATTCCAGAACATACGTCAGGCTTGACGTGCAGGCCGGCTTGTCACCTGCTGTGCCCTTGTCCACGCCCAGGAGGTCATTGCCGCGGCCGGATACCATGCCCAGTGCGCCAGGTAAGAAGCCTTGTTTCTCGGCCTCTTTAACGTCCATGAAATACCGATTGTTGGCCGCGTCGCCTCGGTTGAAGGTGATTTGTGCCTTCTCGACAGGGCTATGTGTGTGGAGCGCGTGAACCCTCATGGCCACCTCCCTGCATTTGGCGCATACGTCGGCGTATTCCGTGGGCGTCAAGGGGTACTGGTAATTGGGTGGGATCGAGACAGTCCACTTTGCCCGTCCCCGCCGATCGGTCACCACAATTGGCGTGGGAAAATCTGGCAGATCGTCCTGGCCGACCATCTCATAGGCCTCATCCGAGGCCCAGCCCCATCCCATGACCGGGACAACCTGGCCTTGGCGGATGGACTGGGCGGCCAGGTAGAGGATGAGCAGCATGCCGGAGAGCCATAGCAGGCACCTGAAGACGCGGCTCGGGCGAGGCGAGCCGGATGGCTTTCGCATCCGGGGGGCTTGTTGCGGCAAGGGTAGACCCGGGGAGGGCGGGGGTGAGTTGAAGACCAGGTGGTCGAAGCCGAAGCGGGAGGAGGTAGATGATAGCGGTCCCCTGTCGGAGTTGTTGTAGGAAGCGGCGCGCCGCAGGTTGATGCGAGGGGGCGATATGATCATCTTGTTGTGGGAGCGCGGCGACGACGTGTGCGTCACCTGTATTGTGGGCGGAGTCATCTCGAGAGATGGAGTGGCCGGCGACTCCTAGAGCGGAGTCGAGCAGCACGGAGTCGGCTCACCGATATACAAGGGAAGAAGGTGAGCTGGCGGCGGTGGCGAAATGGCGATCGTCTGGGCTGCAGTCCGCAGTTCCACCGCTAAACTGCACAACCCACCAGGCTGAGAGGGCGACAAGAGAAGCACCGGAAGAAGAGGTGGAGAATAGAAAAGAAGAGGAAAAAATGAGAATATTTGTTCGGCGCAGGCGCAGGCGCAAGAAGAATCGAAATATGAGGGCGGGGAGTGCGAGAGCTCCCGCGAGCAAACAGCCTGCGTTGGGTCAAGATGCCGAGGGCAGACAATAGAAGATAGGCGTGATCCTGGACTGCTGTGATGAGGATAGGCCGGAAAGACGTGTGCCCCCGAGTCAAGCGTATGGGCCAGCCGATGAGAAGTGAAGACGGACACCTTGTGCCAAGATTGCTGTCATCTGTTCATATGCTCCACATGAGGAAACCACAGCCGCGGGAAAAGATGGGACCGGCGCTGTCTCGTGGGTTGAAACCAAACGGGGAGGAGGTTGACGGGGGAGGGCGAGGTAGGGCTTAGTCCGCAGTCGACCAGGTTGCCTATCCGTATTCCCTCTTCCCTCTTCCCTATCCCCTAGTATCCTATCCCCTGGGCTGGAATCCTGGCAGGGCAAGACAAGAGTGTGCCCGAGTCAAGCCAACATGTCGGTCGGGCTGCTGCAGCAAAGACATCAGCAACGAGGGCGCGCGTAGAGCAGAGGGTGGGACTGACGAGCGAGAGGGACTGACGAGACAGGCTCGGAAGGGTGGACGAGGTGGACAAGGTGGACAAGGCGGACGGGGTCTTTTAGAAGGCTGCTCCGCGGAGAGGCAGGCGCGGGACGAGCATGTCAAGTTTGTGAAGTGGCTTCTATTCGGCGGGGGGAGCCCACTTTTGGTCCTCAAATAGCGAGAAAGCCCCTCTGGATGACAAGAGGCTTGTACCGATCGAGCAGGTGGGAGCATATGTGCTGTGTGTGTACAATGCAGATATTCTTCCTATTCGAGAGGCTCGCCCCCAAGGTTCTGTGGGACGAGGGGCCTGGGGGACTGACTGGCAACTGGCAACTGGCAACTGGCACGGGGATTGACACGGTTGAGAGGCCCGCATAATTAAGCAGAAGCCGTCATGCCACACCCTCACAAGCCTCAATCAACCTCAATCAACCCCGGACAGCCTGGCAGCCCCTCTTGGCGGCGATCCCGCCAGGGCAAGCAGGGAAGGACCCGGTGCGCCGGCATGACGGGGGCAGTCGGTAGGCAGTCTGTCTGTTTGCTGGCGAAACAGCCGTGGCGCCCAATAAGGAGGGGACCCGACTGGTGCGGCATAATCTGTACAGAGGGAAGGCTCGAGCCGTGGATGACGATTGACAGGCTGGGGGTTTCATCCTGCTAGCCTCTGGCAAGAACAAGCCGGTGGGCAGTGGGTGAGTGATCGGCCGTCAGCTCGCTGCATTTCAAGCCATGATCGCCACGACCTGATGAATATCGCCGAGGCTGTGTATGCGTGCGTGGTGCGTGCGTTCGTTTGGCTGGTTTGGTCAGCTGACGGCAAAGTTGAAAGTGCCAGCCAGTCGCAGTCTGCCTGTCTGCCAGTCAGGAAGGAACCAGCGTTGGTGCCTTCTCGTCCCCGCCCATTGGGTGCTCAAACTCCCACCGGTCTTGTCGATCCTCGAGAAGAGGGGAAGTGTTCACCCTCATCTAGACTAGACTGCACTGCAAATTGTCACGATGCGACCCGAGTCGGAAGAGAGAAACCTTCCATTATTATTATGCACTTCTTCCAAGTCCCCTCACCCCCCCCTCATTCAGAAAGACAACAATCGTCATCGTCAGCGACCGAGCCGCAAGATGCACAAAAAGGGTCCCCAATTTCTCTCCACCCCTGCACCATGTCGCATCTGAAACACCCCCAGGGCAGTGGCAGTCACTCGCCCAATCACACGACTCGGGCGCCGTTCCCGAGCAATGCCCAAGATGACCCGTTCGGGCAAGCCTCTTCCTCCTGCCTCTCTCCCCAGTCCCCCACAGCGCAGACACCCCAAAGGGTCCTTGCTCCGCTCCCAAAATGTGCTGCACAGCACCGTGGACGCAGGCCAAACTTGACGCTTTCCCCCTTTCTGTCCCACCGTCTTCCATTTTCACTCAATCTCGTCGGAACATGTCCAGACTCCAGTCGGCTCCGCGGGTCATGGGCCGGCCGAGGAGGCGCCTGCCAGCCTGCCAGCCTGCCAGCCTGACAGCCTGACCATCACAGCGCCTTCCCATGCCATGTCTCACACCCCCGACGAGCATGTGTTTGCCTGCAGTCAGTGGGTGCCTGTGTACAATACAACATGCGTCCCGAGTATATATAGCACAGCCAGCACTTGCATCATGTGTGACGATGGGATGACGACCCCAAAAGACGACACGACAGCAACTCGTCCAGCCCTGTCCAACCCTGTCGCGACTACCAGTGCCCGCCGCAGATATATATTGTCACCACCTAGTCTACCTTACCTGTCTTGATGCGACGAGGCAACTTATTAGCCGGGCTTAAGCTATTAGACTAGATACATTACCTAGGCAGACCACCACCACCTTGGCAGAGCCGCAGCACGGACAAAGGACCAGAACCCGCAATCTAACAGGGCAATATAACCCGGCCACATCGAGGCACACCACGGCCAGAGATAGATTGATGATCAGAGACAACGACGCAGAGCAACCCAGCACACTGTTCTACACAGTTTCCTGCCAACGCACGTTGTTGTCTCGTCCCACTCTTGCCCCGCTCACACGGTCGTCCGAATGCTCAAAGACTTTTAAAGTTATCTCACTCGGCCGAAAAACGAGCATCGTCGCAAGGACTTGTCGGCAAAGACTTGTCGCAAAAGGGGGGAGGGGCACTCCCGGCACTCCCCTAGACGTCGTTTTTACAGCTGCCCATCCTGCCACGGTTGTTACTCCGTGACACCTATACACGACGCATATATGTATGTATACGCACAGGCATCAAGGCAAAGCAGGTCACGGCCCCCACCTCCCTTCTCCCGCCGTAAAATGCAGCAGGATTCGGAACATGAGGCCAGGCAGACACATCCCCCAGTGCCGGCACAGGAAACCATTGCCGAGAAATCAGCACCTTCCTGCTCCCTCGGAAGCCCCTTCTTGTGACACCTTGTCAGTGGTTAGTTGTACGGCAGTGTAGATGGCCCTCTCCCTCGCGCCCCGGAAAAAGAACGGAGGGGGGGGGGGAGAGAATCACAACACAGGCCACCATCTCATCGTCCGATGTCTGCACCGACCCTGAAAACGTAGATCTCTTTCTGAAAAATGCATTCATCCATCTGAAAATAACGTGCGGCACTTGACTTTTGCGGAATCCGGGGGCCGACACCCATGGCCGCCACCAAGATCGCGCCCGAGCCCCCGCCACCAGCACGTCCAAGGAGGTCCGAAATCAGCAGCCATGAGCTCTTGCTTGCTTTGCATAATACGGCTCTCTGTCGCGCGACGCGGACATCCGCCACAGGTCGTCAGAGACGGGCTGGGGTGGGGGGCTACAGGATATTGGTCAGAAATGTCCGTCCCACCCTCTCTAACAACTCCCGTGGTCCCTCTACCCTTCACCACACATACACACAAACACAAGCACATGCAAGCACACAAGTCGGCAGCCTGTTCATGTAGCACAACCACAATAGTCACCCTTCTCATTGATTCATCCCATGCCCCATCGTTCGTCGACAGCTACGTTCGGCCTTATGCATATAATACAAGAAAAAGTAAAAGACGAGCAAATAAAACGCTGGCTCGGTCCCTCATTCGTTAAACGGCCCGAACTCGTCATCGAGGGAACGCACTCCACTCGTGTCTCTCTCGCCGCGGTCTTTTGGTCTTCGTTCTCCATCCTTCACCTGTAACGGATGGTCCCTTTCTTCCTTTCCCCCGCAATAGCAAATATCAATACCATTACCCAGAGGGCAAACAACCAAAAACAAAGGGCCATCTTGACGTCGTCCTTCCGTGTCCCTTGTTGGTGCTCACTGGTAGCACCGCAACAACCACCGCTCGTCCATCGCACACACCATTTGCCGCTTTTCGTCGCTCCCAATCCAGCATTATCCGTACCTCAAAAGTCTGGGTATAATAAGAGAAGCAAAATAAATAAATAGCAAGAGTGGAAATACCAAAAAAAAAAAAAAAAGCATCTAACACCGGCATAGACGGTTATGCAACGAAGCCATCAGTGCCTCACCAATCCGAACCAACACCCGTCCCAATTGTCCTAAGAATTTAAACTGAGAAGCAAATCGCCATGCAGGACACAACAGCTCATGACTCTTGGTCGTCATCGATGCCAACTCCAGGCAATGAAGAGAGCGGGCCCCCCGATTTCGTGCGCCTCTTCGCAGAGGCAGACTGCTAGGCTGAGGCCTCTCCTCTGAGCTTCCCGAAATGCCGCCGCAAATTAAGAATGTTCTAAACCTCGAGTACGACTGGGGAGCGCTGGCTGCTCTCGCTGCTCTTCCGAAGAGGCTCGAGGCGGTCAACAAGAGGCTTCTCTCGGTTGGTCGAAGCGACGACGCGGACGCTGCCACGCGTGCTCTTGACAATGTGGCCCGTTTCAACTCGGTCCTGTATCATCTCGTCCAGAATCCGACTCATCTCGTCGGTGCTGCGTCGGTCCTTAGACCTGACGCTGCTGTGCCGGAACAGCGGGCGCTGAGGACTCGTCGGCGAGGTGGGATTAGAGCGCGGCCCATTCTCCAGCATCATCAGTTGAGACGCACGGGTCTCGATACTGCGGTCAGCAATCTCCCCTCTCCTAGCCGCACTCCGCAGGGCGATGAGCATCCGGTCCTTGTCCTCCAGCTGAGCACGCAGCTCCGCTATCTCGGTGTCCTTCTCCTTCAGGGCCGTCGATACACTGTGGTCCTCGCCGACCATGATCCCCTTGCTGCCGGAAGAAAGACCACCCGACGTGCGGGATGAGCTAGCCCTCCGCGCCTGAAGCAAGCGCTTCTCCAAGGTCGCGATGTATCGGTTCTTGTCCACAAGGTCGGCTTGCAGTGCTCGGTTCTGGGCTGCGAGCGAAGCCGTGCCATCGCCGAATTCGCCGACACTATCCTCCTCATCTCCTGCAGACCTCCCACCGGTTGACACGCGGTGGTCCATGCTGGGCCTCCGGCCAATCGTGGATGAAGACGACGTCAAAGACGCAGAGCGCTCAAGCATGGGCCTACCTGCTTGGGATGGTGTCATGGACGAGCGGGAAGACCGCATGGATGCCTGCGAGAACCGTGGGTGCGAGCCCAGGGAGCTCCACGTACCACTGGCGTTGACCCCTATCGATTTCGAGCTCAGGATCAGTCGGTTTAGGTGATCAATTCGCTCCTTCAGCGCCGTTCGAGCAAGCTGCATCTCCAGCATCTGCTCCTCGTGCCGCGCCTCCGCCTCCTTCTCTCGGGCCAGTTCTTCCTCGGCGTCCCTGGTCTTTTCCGCGATGTCCTCGCTCTTATCCTTCTTGGCCTGGGCTTCTAATTGCGACCTCAGCTCCGAAATTTCCATGCGGTAGCGCTCGAGGAGGACTCTTGCGCCACCCTCGCCACCGGCACCTAATGCCTCCTCGGCACGCTTCGCGTGGCTGACCAGATTGTTCTTTGCTCTTGATGCGAATTTGAGAGTATTGAGCGTTTCATTCGTGTGCGTGTTAGCAGCTGCGGCGCTCCCCGTCGATCCTATTTGGATTGTGCAGAGAATGCTGACGAGCGAATTACCCGACAATGCACCTTGGAGCAATCTGGTCAGCTTGCTGTCTCGGTAGGGCAAGTGCTTTCCGTCCTTGTCCGATTTGCCGTCCTTGTGTTCAGAGAGCTTGGACACGACAGTACCCAGGGTCAGCAGGCTCTTGTTGATGTGTGAGCCTTCCTGCCGCCGCTCCTTGCTCTCGGCCGCCTTCTCCGAGCCCGCGAGGTCGATCAGGCTCAAAGTCGACACCCGTACGCCGCCGGGCAGCAGAGCTGATCGCTTGTTCTCGGTTGATGCTGCGGGGCCCCCGGGCACACGCTCTCTGCTCTCGACGACGATCTGAACCACCGCATGACTTCGAGAACTTCGAGAATTGAACTGAGTGCTTGCTGTGCGCCGCGCTTGGTCACCCCGAGCGATTACTCTTAGGAGTTGCGTCGGACTCTGCACGATTTCTTCCTTCAGCGGACTTGCGTAGACACCTCGCTTGCTGTCCTCCCGCAATTTGATTTCCTCCTGTGCCGCCGGGCCGCCGATCCCCCCATTTGTCGACATCCCAAGGAGATCATGAATCTTCTCGTTATAGATCTCCAGGTAACTGACTCGAAGCAAAAACTCCCGCGAAGGAGTCTCGCGGATATACGAGAAGATATCGGTGATCGCAAGAGGAATCACGCCAGGCGATGAAGCGGTTCCTTGCATCGAGAATGTCTTCCCCGTGCCTGTCATTCCATAGGCGAAGACTGTGCCGTGATAGCCCTCCATGACCCGTCTGACGAGTCGTTTCGCAAGATGATCGTATACTCGGTAGTTGTCATCGTGCGTCGTGAAAACGTTGTCTGCAAAGGTCAGTACGAAAAGAATCCCCCGCTGATGTCCATCGCTTAACGTACCGTAGTAGTAATCTCCCCCTTCCTTGCCGTGATACGCGATGAGGGACTTCCGCCCGTCGACCATCCACTCCCCGTCAGGCCGCTGATCTTGAGCCGCAGCGTCTGGCCTCACTCTTACGCTAACAACCACATTTCCCTTGCTGTCGCCTTTTGACAGGTGTTTGTTCGAGGCGTCTGCGCCAGACTTCGCTCCCGCAGCGTCGACAGGGTCGTCATATGTTGTTGCTGACGTGGAGTAAGAATCTTGGGCCGAGGAGCTGCGGCTTTGCGGGGGCGATGACACACTGATCAGCCCGTCAGAGAACCGCGCGCTCGCCCTGGTTACAGATTTGCCTTCGCCAGAGCCGTTGAGTAGACTCGGCGTCCCGGTGGAGCTCGAGCTTGAGGTCGTCGCGGTGACTGTTTTCGACCTCCGGTTGCCCGAGAGAGGGCTTGTCGGGTGACCGTTCAATCGTGTGTCTCCGCGGGGAGGCTGCGGGAACGAGTTGATGCTGACTGTTTTCCGGAGAGCCTTGGTCCCTTGCACGGCAGCGGACACCGATCGTGGTTGCGGCAAGGCGGTCGTCGGAGCTGGTGTGGTCGGCGGTGGGAGTTGGGCAGTGGAAGGGGTTCGTAGCCCACTCTTGGGTGTGGCCATTAATGACCTCGCTGGCGTGGATGGTGGCTGGATACCCGATGATTTCCGCGTTTTGGCGACTGGCAGCGCCGGAAGTGCCATGTTTGGTGGCGCATTGGGATTCCGCTGTGGTTTGGGGAGTGCGGTCGTCATCTTGAGGTTAACTTGCTACCCAACGGTAGCCTTCTGCCGATTTCAACCTCCTTTGGAGGAGAAGGGCAAACCACGGTTGAAGCTCGAATCTGCTGCGGGCGGGTTTCGTGAGGCTAATGGGTAGGCTCCGGTGTTGTCCTAAAACAGGATCGTTGCAGCAGTTGAAGGGACGCCGAGATTGAGTCCATGAACTGGCATCCGAGATCTCGGGTGGCGGAGTGCACACGGTTCAGGGTGGTGTCTGCAGTTGTACCATGGGCTCCCTGATCGTCTTGGTCCAAGGAAGTCGACGAGGTGCCAGGGATCGGCCCAAGAAAACAAGCTAGGCTGGGGGCCCAGAACCCGGCTTATCAAGGAAGAGGAAGTGAAACGGCTTCATGCAACAGCCACTAGGCGACCTCTTGAAGTACCCAGAAGCACTGGGATAGACGGCTAGCTCGAGGATGTCAGCGACTGGACATTCAGAAATAGAGGCTCCTAAGGGGGCTGCAGGGCTGGGGGACCATTGCTGAATCAAGGGCTGTGCCGGAGTGTGCATGTGCAAACGTCGGCCCAACCGCAACATAAACCGGGGTTGGCTCGAAAAGCAATTCAGGGCAGGTGAGACTAGAGGGAGATAGGGGGGATGCAATGTCGAATACGCAACATCTGAGGCTTCCCTGCTGGTCCCGGCCCCCCTGGTAAAAGGGTCCTTTGTAGGGGACAAGTTGGAAAGAAAGGTCATGGAACTGTCCCGAGATCGTAGCCTTGCATACCTATTTTCCTGGTGGTCTCAGGCTGGCACACATGCACGAAGTCCTCCTCTGTCGTCGCCTGTACAATGTGGTAGGTTGGGCGGAGACGATCGGTTCGCGACAGGGCAAACGGTCGCGGGAGTTGGGTAGCAACTGAGGCGTTTGTTGAGGCGGGATCTCGTGGCTCAGCTGTCGGGCCAAAGATGGCAGTGGGCTCGCAGGGTGGGAGCTGGCAAACGGCTTGGGAAAAGCTTGGAGGTAAGGAGGTCTTCGCGGCAGAGGATGTCCCCGGGTTTTGGAAGGTGGGGAGTGGTCTGGATCAGGGCGGCCGAGCGTGGAGGTGGAGCGTGCTATGGCAAGCCAGGACTGGAAGGAGTGACGAGGAGTGACGAAGGGTGACAAGCACAGCTCAAGATTTGAGATTCTGGGAGACGAGACGGGCGGGGACGGGAAGGAGGAGGTCGAGATCAGCCGGGACCAGAAAAGATGGGACGAGGTGGGCGAGAGGTGTTGTGTCGTGCTGTGTCGTGTCGTGGTCGTGTCGGCGGCGGTCGACCGTTTTCGAGGAATTCTGGTACCGCTCTTTGGGCCAATGGTACCAGCAGGTGACTGGTACTGTGGGCAGGGAAGGGGGCTGCTGGACACGGGACGGAAACAGCCACCAGCGCAGGAGATGGTTCGTGCTCTCCTATCTGCGTCGGCGAAATAATAGTCTAAATGGGAGCCAATGTTGTATAAACTTTGGTTGGAGAGCAAGATCAAGTCGGGCTGGTCGGGACGAGGGTGGTGCAGGCTTGGAAGGTGCTGTGCAGCTGTGTGGACAAGAGGCGAAGGGAACGCAGGAAATTGGCCTGCAGACAGAGGCCCTAACGGTATGGGGGCGGCGGCTGCAAGGGTGGGACTGATGGGCGACCACGGTCCGGGGTTGGCTGATAAGTGGCCACGACGATCGGCAAAGAATGCTGGACAGTGCTAATAAAATGCTCTGCCAATATAACAATCGAGCAGTGACGAGCGAGTCGAATCGAATCGCCAGAGCACAAGTATGGCAACTCCCCGGCTCCCCCAAGGGCATCCCAAGGGCAGCCCAGGGGGGCCCTGGTCAGTGCACACCAATCGAGACCCAAGGGGCTGGACTGCAGCAGCAGCAGCAGCAGCAGCAGCTCTCACGACAGCTCTCACAAGACACAGCACATGTCGTCCGTGGTCGGTGGGAGGACAAGCCACGGCTTGGGCGCTCAGACTCGAGGGAGATGGAGACAAGCAATAAAATCAAAACCACAAGTGCCTGAGGACGACTGCGGAAGGCGGCGCAGGAGGGCGGTGGGGTGTCAGTCTACACTACTTGATGGCCCCAGCGTGACAGTTCAATGTCTGTGTGTCTGGCTGTCTGTCTGCCCGTCATTGCACCCCCCTTTGATCTCTCTGTCTCTGTCCCCCCCCCCCCTCAAGATCTGGTGACAAGAATACCAAAGTAAGCAGTTGTCCCACCGTACGTCGTGTACTGTAGATTGGCGGATCGACGGCGATATCCACACCCACATACATACATGCCCACCCCCAAACCGCGCCGCACCTGATCATGTCATGTCCAGTCCCCAATCAGTCCAGTCAGGCAGTCAGGCCGAGCAGATCGAAGAGGATTGACCTTTTGCGTGTGGAGCAGAGGCTACAAACCATTGCCGTTTTCGCAACCAGCAATTTGACCTCACCCCGGCCCGCCCAGCGCCTGCCAGGGCCGGCCTGCCTTCCAGCCATAGGGGTCCCTGATTCAAGGTTACACCTGCACGATCCCTGTCCAGCGTCACAGCGGGGGGCCCTGTCTGATAGTCTTAACTGCCTATCGGCGGCCAGCTTGCCAATCTTTTTCCCACCCTCGCCAGCTGACCCCCAGTCTTATTTACCCAGCCTAAGTACCTACCTGCCAGGTAGGTAGGCAGGCTGGCAGGTAGGTAATGAGCCCAAGTCTTTAGTACTTGCCGTCCTGCATGCACATGCGCTATGCGCTTTATTATACCCAGTACTCCGTACCGTCCCTCCACCCAGGCCACCCTGCACAATATTGCAGGCACTGCCTGCCTGCTTCCCCAGATCGCCAAACTCTGGTCTGATCTTTTCGGGAAGCTGTGTGTGGGCGTGCGTGCGTGCGTGCGTTTGTGAGTGCTTGTACATGCTCACTGTACGGCACTACTGCTGCCAGGACACACACGCTCTCCCTCCCTCCTCCCGCCCTTGACGCAAGGGACCCGAAATCTGAACCATACTTTTCCAACGCTTCAGCCCATCACCCGTTGGGCTCTGACAATGCCGGGGAATCGAGGATGCAACCCTCCCCTTTGAAAACCCAACACTGTCCCGCCAGCCCGCGAGCCCGAGTCTGGTGCACAGGATTCGTGGCTGGCCTTCAGTCGGGCTTAGCGCCGCAGCCTGTACCACGGCTTGTGCCACCGCCGACCACTTCTGCCATCCAGCCATCCTGACTGTCACTCTGTCTGCCTCTGCTCGATCAATCAGAAACCCCTTTTCTCGTCTTGTTCCTGGCGCCCGGCTCGACATGCAGCCTGGCAGCAAAACAGAGTGTCGACCCGGCAGGTCCACCGCTGCTGCATTTTCTAGCTCGTGGGCCACGGGCCGCGGCAGAGGCAACGCGGGAATGGCGCGAGGCCGAATGCGAGGCTCATGTCAGCTTCAACGTCGTGGTGGTGGCACTCTCACACAGCTTTGACCATCACCGCTGGCCATGGCAGGTCGCAGGCTCGTCGCCGCCATCACGCCTGGCGCCGCTTCCGAGAGCTTCTCCACCACCTGTCAATCGCCCAGCCTGACAAGCCCCAGGCAAGCCAGGCTCACAGGCCTTCCCGTGGCCTGCACGGGGCATTCCGTACCGCTGTCAATGGGATCGAGGCTTGCCGGATTGACATATGAGACACACAAGAGGAAACTGTTCCGTCTCCTGGGCTGTCAGGGCTGTCCACCACACGACACACACAATACGGATGCGCTCGCCGTAATTTCCGCAGAGTGCCACCGAACGGCGATCTGCGAGCAAGTGGTCCTCAGCCACCCAAAGCGGCAATCCACGTCCGCTCCCAGAGGTACCGTCGCCGCTGTACTGTCCTGATTCCCCACGACTTGTCCCGCCAGCCGAGGCGTCTCCCGCCCTTCCATGATAATATCGATATCCGGGCTGTGGCGCAGTGGCCGACAGAATCTCGGTGCTATTCTACAGAGTTTGCCTGGGAAATGACAGCGTTGATGCGCCGTGCCCATATCGCCATGCTGTAACTGCCTTGTCCCTATTCCAAACCTATAAGATGTCACTCTAAGAAGTCACCCCAATATAAGGGAGGGGGTTTGGCATCGCTGGTTGCTGCAATCGTGCCGTCCGGTGCCTTACGGGGCGGGCGCAGCGCAGAAAATTGACCAGGCTCAGTCTGGGAGCATCGAGAATAACACCATCACGACCCTCGGTTTTTCCCACTTTCTCACACAGCTTTGGTTTCGTCGTCACGGGGGCTGAGAACGCTGCGCCGGCGATATCCTTGCCAGATATCATGGCCAGAGCAACGAAACGAAACCGCCTCGCCCGGATCCAAATTGCTGCGATGCGTGGGAGTGCCCTCCTGTCCCGACGCGCCCGTCCTGCATGCTCAACCAAAATTTGTACATACATGGCTAGATGAGATGATTGATGATTGACAGATCCGCCCCTCGGTCTGAGCACCTGCTGCATGCTCTGGTGTCGCACTCGCGCACTCGCCATTTCTGTAAGTCGCTGACTCTCGTGCCGAGGAAGATCTCTGTGACGTTTCGGCCGGCTGCAGATTCGCGAACCAGGGCTGCACATGCGATGGGCTATCACCACTCTTGCATCCAAGCGGTCGAAACATGTTCGCATCAAAGAGTCGTGCCCGACGAAGGACCATTGCACACGAGAGCCCGCGAGACTTTCTGGGAGATTGATTTGGTTCGCGGGCATGGGTGCTGGGCAAACCTGGCTTGCTCTCTGCATGGCAAGCTGCGAGCAGCCTTCCTGAAACGGCAGTGAAGATGCTAGTACCCTGCCAGCTGCGACATATTCAGGATGTTCTCACAGGATCACCTTCGGGACTGCATGTATCTGACAGTCATATCCCCTGGTTGGGCAAGAGCTTTCATCCGCACTTTCCGCACGTTCGTTTTATTCTAGAAAATGGTTCCTACGAAATTCTATTTGGCCAATCTCCTTGTCACAATGTTGACCTGGCCTGGGCGGCGTGGAGGATCTCAGTAAGCCCATATACGCCAACGAGCATTCGGGGACTGTCAGTGCGTCCACAGACGGTTTCGGATGCATGTGATGATCATTCTCGACGCCGCAATGATTGCTGCTTTGGCTGACAAGCTTTGCAGAAATATTCTGTCGAGAAGGGCTCGCTGCCCAATTCGCCCTACCATCGCGATGTATCAACATCATAACGACTTATAAGCTTTGTTTGTTCTTTGCTCTTGTATGGTCGGTCTTGGATAGGCACGGATGCGGTATACAAGTCTGCCTCGCCTGCGGAATGATCATATTGCTGTTTGCCAGCATAACGTCCCGCATCGTCGTCCCTTCAGCAGTACGATAGCACTTCTACTCGCCGGCCTGCCGGCCTGCCCTCGCTGCGGGCAGCAACAACCGGCCGGAAGAGGGGATCAAACGCTTTGACCCCAGAGAGCTTGCAAGGCTACCCCAGAGCGTGATGACCCAGCCTCGACTGTTCTGTAACCCGGCACGTGCAGCAAAAGAGCCTCCTCCCAAAGGTTCGATTCCTCTAGGACCAGGTGCACCTCCCAGCTGCCTATCCTTCTCTGGCAATGCCAGTGCCTGCTGTTCTCGGACGCTGTTCACCGCTGGCCGCGCGCTGCGCGGCGAAGCTGTCGCGATCGATGATATGGTGCCACTAAAGACGCAATCCTACGTCTCCCGCGGGCTCTGCAGGAGCTAGTGCCTCAAGATATGCGAGGCAGGGCCGCGGCGGGGAAACAAGCCTCCTGTGACTCGGCCTAGGGGCCGTCAAGATCAGCGTCCCCGATACCGTCATGAGAACCGTGCTGCGGCTCGCAAGAAGAGCAGTGCAACAGTGAGACTTCGGCATCTAGAACAACACATACTGCGCGACATCACGACTGAACGCCGCCCGGCCGTATGCAGGGTCGATCACGGAACCCTTTTCTTTTCTATCCTTAAAGGAGTGTCAAGAGGCCGAAACAGCTCGTGCTGAACGAGCCAAGTGTTCACGCAGTGCGCTGCTCTGGGGAGGGCATTGCGTTGCCTGCGGAGTTTGATGCGCGTGATTCGTCTTGTTCATCCAAAAAGGTTGCAATATCACAGGTCCAATATAAGGATTATGCAGCACCGGTTGTCCGATAGGACAATGATAGTTCGCATTCTTACGATTAGCTTTCTTTCGTACACGGTTCGCAGAAGGGTCTTGAGACACACGTATTTCTTGGCGTGGCTGTTGCGGTTATCCTTTCAGAGGTCTCGAATTCGCGCAGTAGCGAGAACAAATTGGCAGGCATTGCCCAAACATCACAAGCAAACCTTCAGTGCACGACCCGACTAGTGATGTCCGGTCCACCGGTCTTCGCCCACCCCACGCCTGAACGTCATTCGATAGTCCAAGCCCTGCCGTGGCCATGCCGGCGCCGTGGCGCTCATCCGATAATCTCATTGCAGCCGTGGGGCGAGTGGCTGCTCAGGCGGTACTCACTACTGTGGAGTGGGACGGATGGCAGCGAGGCCCAGACGACGGCGTAGCGAGCTAGACAGGTTGGCACCCGTCAAAAACGGGGTGCTGGGTTTTAGGATGGGCAGGCCGATGGCTGGAGATGGGCACAGAGTCCCCACACGACGCTTCCGAGCCGCCGGCGGCATGACGGGACCGGGTTGATCCAGGATCAACGCAACGGCTTCATGTACCTCTCGGAGGGTCATAGCTCTTGCAGCCAGCCTGCCAGCTCGGCCCTTCACGCTAGCCTATCGGCGTCTCTTTAGGCCTTGGGTTCGGATTGGGGGGACGGAATGTTAGCGCATTGAAGGCGGCGGTCATCGTCAGACGACCTGACGACGCAGCTGAGTCGAGCAGGTCGCCGCTGCAATGTGAAACACAGGGTGGTGGGCTTCGGGGATTGGGTACCGTGGCTCCGGGGCTGCTTGGTTCGGACGGATCGATCATAATTGCCCAGAATGGATCCGGCTATAGCGTTGCAATCACATCCGACCGAGAGCGGGGCCGGAGAGAACACGCCGGCGTGGGGCATCGGGATCATCAATCTCGTACCAGGTTGCGGCGACTGTCTGTCTTCTGTTTGTCTTCAGTTCGTCTTCACAGGAGCCTGACTCCTCTACCCACGCTGCCCGTTTCAAACACCTCCACGAGCCCGGCGCCAACAGCTTCATGCAGGACCCACTCAAAGGTCATTCCGTGGAAGTCCCTCCATTTCCTCGTTCTAGCGGGCAATACCCCGGCAAACTCGCGCCTCAATCTCTTGGATGCGTGTTGTTTCGACTCCTGCTTCGCCACGCCACCGTCCCACCTCTCCCTCAGCAGCGTCTCGGGCATCTCTCGGTAGTCGGACTTGGTGAGGATTCCTGTCAACTGGGACAGAGCCGCAGACACAAGCCTCAGGTATGGTCCCTGCCCGGGGACTGCGAGTGAGAGGTCTACACTGGGCCCGCCCCGGGATATGCTGCCGCTACTGCCTCCAGAGCGTGCCCCGCTGCCTCCGGATGCATGCACGGCGCCGTCGCCTCCCACAGCGCCGATGGACCCAGCAGCGGCGCGTGACACAGCCGCAAGGCTGAGATTTGTGCCCCTGTCCTCCGGCCGCGCAAACAAGGACGTGACGCTCCCCACGTCACGGTCATGAGCCGTGGTCAGGAAGCCCGCCCTGACGAGCTGGTCCACATGGCCATGTCCCAAGGTCCCGTCTCCGGCACAGACCTTGAGCGCGGCTGGGTTGTCTTGCAGCCAGTGGCAAAAGGCCCCGGCGGCCTCAGCATCGATGGCGCCCTCGCCCTCTGCCGCCCGGACGAGCTCATGCAAGTCCCCGCCAACGACGAGGAGCTCGCCGACACCACCATCCCTCGCCCGCCGGAGGACGATGATCTTCCGTAGGGCACCAGCGCGCACGAGCTCGGCGACCTCGCGGTCCACGGCCGTGGGGCTGCGCAGCAGCGCTTGCAGGTGCGCGACTGTCACGACGGGCGGCAGGCGCTTCCGGGCCTGGAGGACCTCTGCCACGCGTGTCGAGCTGAGGCCCAGGGAGTGCGGCTGGCCTGGCATCGGGACGAACATGTGCCCGCGTGAGTAGCGCATCGCCTGCGGGACGTCGCGGAGAGTGAGATCCGTCGCCAGGGCCTGCACGAGGCCGACGTCGTCCAGCTTGTCGTGGAAGTAGTCTTCCTCCTCGTCATCTCTCTTCTTCTGTGGCCCTGTGGAAGCGCCCGGCTTCGTCCGGGTGAGCGAGTCGCTCCATGATGAGGACGAGGGCGATGACCTGGCGCTTCTGTTGTTGTTGTTGGCGGCGGCGGCGGCGCTGTTGCTGCTGCTTGTCCGCTTTGGTGCGGCTGGCTTCTTGCGTACGCGGTTTGGGTTCTTGAGTATGGATTTAAGCCGACTGCTCATTATTCACGAGAGACCTTGTGACCATCTAGTGTTGATGGTGAGAGACAAGAGTCTTCAAGAGTGATCGTACTGTGTAAAGGTGAAGCAAGGGATGTCGATGGATGTCAGCCCGAGTCCTGCCAACAGCGCCAAAGCGCAAGGGGTTAGGTGTAGGTGCTTGGACGCCTGTGATTCGCTGTGCGGCCGCTGGCACTTTGCCACCTGCCGCCGTAAAACGAAGGTATGACTGCAGCATGAGGAAGCACTTGTCAAATGTACGCCCTTTGGCCCTGTGGCCGTGAGCCACAAGGTCCACGAGACAGTCCAGTCTCCCGGGCCGCAATGATCGGCATTACTAGTAGGGACGATTGTTCAGGCAGTCAGGTTCGGACGATCAACAATTACAGAAGACTAAAAAGTTACTACGTCCCGCCATGTACCACACCACCTACCGTCGCTAGACCACCTTGGCCACCTTCTCAGCGTCCCCTTGACCGACTTAGACGGGCATTCGTTTTTGGCAACCGGCTCCAGCTCATCATCCCTACTCGAACCCAAACCTCGGGACGTTCCCACGTCTCCAATTCACTAGCCTCGTGGCTGAGGCGAGTTGAAACCAGGTTATGTAACGAAGTGACTTTTGTCTCTGTACAGAACAGAATATTCGCTGCCCCCCGTAATCTCCTCGGGCAAGAAGCTGCTCCCTCTTCCCGTTGCCCATCCTGATATTTGAGGTGATATTACTAATTGGAGGTAATCTTCTTGTACCCATGGTACGTTAAGCGGAGCGGAATTTCTCTTGTCTCAGCTGAGTTTGAGTACTGCACATTTGCTGGCTGGCCCCATCTATCTGGGAGCATGATCTCATTTGGAACATCAGCCCTTCCCAGGTTGCGAGGTAGACTATGGACACCTCAGTGCTGGTGAGCTACAAGTCTGATTAATTCCCGGTGGCTTCATATTCAGATTTTAGAAGAATATCAGTACTGGGAAGGAAACCGAAGAGAAAATACAGTAGGTCGGCCTGTCTTCGAGCAGATCCACTTTGAGCATAACGAGGACCACAGAGCATGATGCTCATCTCATCGTCATAATTTGAAGCCTAGATGCAAGCATTGGGACTTTCGACGGGCCCGAGCATTTATAACAATTTGGCATGAAAATCACATGCATACCGCGATGAATTTTGCGAAGAGGATGTATTTGACATGGAAGTGTATTTACTAGCTTGAAGCAAGCATCTCAGGGCACACTGTGCCAACGATATATAATATGCGCTCACAGCAACAAGGCATGTCATAGGATTTCACAAGGTCACATTCAGCTTCCCGACCACGAGCGCACTTGCGATCGAAATTTGAGAATTCCTCCGGCCGTCTCCCCCCGAAACAGTGGAGAAAAGATGGCACCTGGGCACCTTCTTGATCCGGCTCAGTGTGCGGCGCAGTGGCCTCGGCTGTAATGAGGATCTATATCGGACAACTTCCGCTCTTTTCGAGGCGCGAGAGGACCATGCTTGCTCTGTCTACAAAACTTTGCCTGTTGGTAGAGTGTGATGGTCCAGGTGGGGCGGGAGCCCCGTTATTTCTATTCTTGCCAACACTTGAGCGCCGGTAGGAAGGCCGACTGGCCAGTGTTCCTTTTGCGTGGCCGCAGTCGTTGGGCCCTCTTCCTTCTGTCGGCCTGCTGCTGAATTTGGAAGCTCATATGGCTATGATTGCAATACCTTCGCAAATGGTTAGGATAACATGGAAGCCCTAACATCCGGGATCCTCAAGTCAACCCGACTCAGATCAAGTCATATATTAGGTACATACTGCACAATTCGAATCGACGCCGCACTTGGTCAGCTGCTTTGACCATTCAAAACTTGGAGCCTCAACCCCTCAGGACAAGTTTCTGCTGTCTCCGCTCCGTCTCCCTTCTTGGGCGCGTGCCCAAATTCCACCGGCAAGGTCAGAATGACCTGGAACACGACAACTTGCCCAGATGGGCTCCCAGAGTCCTCGCAGGTTAACTGCCCCCCCAATATCACCTTCGCCTTCGTCCCATCCATCAACACTAGTAACCAGGCATTTGTGACCTGTTGCTACCCCAACCCAATCGAAATTGCGGACGGCTGTTTCGCATGGTGCGAGGCTCCGCCAGCATCAGCATCAGAACAGAGCTTCTCAGACTGTCTTATAATAAATGAAAACGGTGACAGCAGATGGAGACATGGTAGTTTGGGCTTCCACGAGAAGAGTGCGGCTTCGGCAACGAGCTCGCAAATGAGTTTGTTCGTCCTGGGTATCTGGGCGTTAAGTGCGGCGGCGCTATCCTATTGAAGGCAGAATTAAATGCTTGAGGCAGAGGAAACAGCCGTCGGTTTTCGTACATATGTAACATATCCCGGCGGCGTGCGGTTCCTGCACACAGTGGTGAACGCTCAAAGACGCAGCGTTTTTTTCTTTTTTTTTTCAAGGAACAAAAGATAAACGTCAACAACACATCCATCATGAACTACGAGAATTCTACTATCACCACTAGTCACCTCATATGGCATGATGAATTTCGCGGAGATCAATTATTCCGAGCGGAAATTGAAGTTGCTCAAACCATATCTGGGAAATTAATTGGGCCGCGGGGAAACAAAAGGTTGGGTCAGCAGGGTATTTTGTAGTAAATAAATTTCTCAATCAAAAAGTAAGTGGTAATTATATCAATTGCGAAGTATACCTACCTGGGACCTCTGCCTCGGCTCTGCGTCTTGGTAGACGTCCGAACCCGTCAGCTAGCTTACCTTTTCCACAAGCTTCGAAGACCGGAACTTGGCTGTGACAACCTCTCAAGGCCAGTTCATCATCTGAATGATACTCGCGATGCACGTCGCTAACCACTTTTATGTCTTATGCCTGCTACCTTCCGAGACCAGTCCCGTCCTGAATGTGAGTAACAGCCCTCAAAATGAGGCAAACCACGCCAGTCGACGTATTGGCCTTGTAAAGAGCGGTTGCAGGGGATACAGTCCTGCCAATGAGCGATTTGGGCCGCGTCTCGCTTCTTGGGGGCACAAACCCGCCCGACCTCGCTAACCCTCTTGCCTTGAAGGGCAAGGCCGATGAGCACGGCCATGATGCCGCCTCCGAATACCATGCAGAAATAGGCAGCGCGAACAAACGCAGAATAAATGAACATGGTGTGAAATTATTGGCAAATTTGATGCGTCAGGTAGTTTTCTGGGTGCCAAATTGTTTGGATGAGAGAAAATATGCCGGAGCAATCTGGACGTGAATGCAAGGTTTAAAAGTTGTTTATGGGGTTGCGTAAGAGTATGAGGTTGGTTGGATTTAGTCGAGAAAGTCTGTAGTTATCCACAAATTGCATTGTTTCAATCACAATGCCTTTTATGTAAACGTCTTTGTCAAACTTCTTTGTGCGGCGGAGAAGAACAAAAGAGATCCTCCGAACTGAGAGAGGCATTCAACACGTCGCCTATCAACAAGGCTCAATCTTTTTTAATCATTTTGGCGAGCGCACCAGGGTCGCTGCAAGGTAAGGATGAAGTAAATCACAATCTGAACTCAAATATGTTGCTATTCTGGCTATATCGCTCTTATCTGGTATTCAATTCCAAACCCACTCAAGAAAAAGAGATCTTGGAGCAAAAGAGCACGACAGGAGCAACCTCCCCAAAACAAAACAAAGACTCCCATTCGTATGACTCATTATGTAGCAGAAGCATCCCTGGGATTCGTGTGTTCAGGCTTCACGTCAGACTTTGCAGCCTGAGCAGTCGGAGCCTCGCTATTAGTAGCCACCCTATTCAGCTCAGTAGCTACGGGTTCAGGCATCTGTGGCAGCCCGTGCAGATCCTCCTTGCCGTCCGGGAGGCGTGGCGTCACAGCCCCGCTGCCGACTTTTGTCTCGGCATCGCTCGGTCTCCTGGACCCGTTGAGCGTCTCCTGTGGACTCTCCTGAACGTTCTCCAGGACGGAATCGAGCTTGAGCCCGCCCAGGGTGGTAGGGTTCCGCGAGTTGCGGTACGATGACAGCCTCTTGTCCACGATGCGAGAAAGGTTGTTGTCCTGCAGCTGGTGGTCCGTGGCAAGCTCCTTGTTCATATCGTAGTGTTTGATGGTCAGGCTGATGAGGAAGGCGACCGCGCTGATTCCGAGGTAGACCCTGTAGACGCCCTGGAAGCCAAACACGTAGCCATCAACGATTGTGGTCTTCTGCGGGGACGCCGGCATCTCGAGCAGCTGCACGATGAACGCCTCGGCGTTCTTGGCGATCTCCGCCCCGTCAGGTAGGTCGGTCCACGACAACTTGAGTGCCATGATATTTTGGAAAGCGGAGCCCCCGATGCCTACACCGAGGGCGGTGCCGAAGTGTCGCAGGAAGCCGTACATGGCTGCGGCTGCGGCCTCCTCGCCATCGTTGCAGATGGCTTGCGAGGCAAAGTTTTGCGCGTTCAGGACCGCCCCGTGGCCGAAACCCAAAAGGATCAGTGTCACAACCCAGATGCCGATGGAGGTGTCCGCATCCCACATTGTGCTCAGGCCACAAGCGATCGTTGTGACAACCCAGCCTGACCAGATGGGCCAGCGATAGCCATTCCACCGCGTAATCAAAACGCCGGTGATGATGGACCCCGGAACCAGGGTCAGCATGACGGGCAGGAGGGCCAGTCCGGTGTGGATGGGGGAATATTCCAGCACCGACATGAAATAGAAGGGGATGTAATAGAGCTGGCCGAAGAGAACCAGGCCTTGAACGGCGCTGCAGATGTAGGTGGAGATTGCGCTGACGTTGTAGAACAGCGAATGCCTGAGGAAAGGCTCTTTTGCCATGTATTTCTCCCAGGCAGCGGTACCAGCGAGGCCGATGGTACCGATGATCAAGGGAGCAATAGTGGCCGCGCTGGACCACTCAAACTGCGTGCCGCCCCATGAAATGGCAATGAGGAATAAGGTCGCAGAGGTCATGAAGATAGCTGAGCCGACCCAGTCGACACGTGCCAGCTTCTGGCCCATCGTCTCAACCTTTGGCTTCAACGTCAGAAGGAGGGGAATAGAGACGAGGCCAAAGGCGCAGAAAGGGAACATGACGTAGAAGACCCAACGCCAGGTGGTGTTGTCAGCGATGGCTCCGCCCAGCACGGGTCCGACACAATTGCCCAGTGCCCATGCTCCCTGGACTGTTCCGTACCATTTTGGTCGTTGCCGGAGGGGGACGATGTCCGTAAAGATGACCAGACTCAAGACAATGATGCCGCCGCCGCCGATACCCTGAACCGAGCGACCACCCAACAAAGTAGCAATACCAGGCGCAACGGCGCAAATGATAGAGCCGATTGTAAACATGCAAATGGAAAAGACAAGGAGGATTGGTCGGCCGAAGATGTCGGATATCGAGGCCAGGAATGGCATAGCGACTGCTGTTGATAGCAAATATGCTGTGCCGACCCAGAAACTCTGAGTGGCGGTGCCTCCGAGGTCTTCTACGATGGCCTGTTGAACACTGCTGTTAGAACAACCGGGTATTTGGAGAAAATATGGTTTGAGGAGGGGACCGGAGCCTTACACTAAGTGATGTGACGATGATACACGCGTCGAGCGAGACCATGAAACTGATGACACTCAAGGCGACCATGATCATTAGTTGGTGAGTTGTTGGCTTCCATTCTGTCTCTTGTCGAAGAGATTCATCAGCCACCTCAAGCTTGCCCTCGGGCTGCTGCTTGCTGCTGCGTTGGAAGAGGCCCATTCTGATCCAGTGGTGAAGTGGAGCTGAAGGAGGGCGCTGTCTGCGGTGGAGATCATTGGGCTTGCGCTTCTTAATAATTCCTATGGGGATCAAAAACGTGACTCTGGTATCGTAGGTAATTCACACTTGTGTAGTAGTGGGCAGGAGAAAGCCAGAATAAGTGGAAGTCTCCTCTAGGCAAGATAGACAATTGTGAATATTGAGGGACCGCAAAGATATGTATGGGGCTGAGGCTTGGGATTCTCAAGGCTTTGGGTGTGCTGTGTTCTCATGTAGGCCAGGCAGGAGGTCACAGGCAGAGAGACCTGGGCGGCTCTTATATCAGAATCGAAGGGAATCATCGCCGGTAGGATCCATAGTTCTCCAATGGAGCCTTGGAGAGCACAGTTTAGAAGCAACGAATGTATTGGCCCTCGTCAGACAAGAGCACCAACACTGCTATAGTGGGATAGATGGGTGGATACAGCGAGAAGGAAGGCGACAACAACGCACAAGGATCTTGGCCCCCCAAAAAAGAAACAGAACACCAGGCGTTCGGAGCATTTGGAGCCCACATGGGCGAAGAACAAAGCCCTGCAAGCCACAACCCTTGACTTGACTAGGGCCAGTGAGGCATGGCATCAGATCAGCGTGGAGAGCTGTGCCTTAGCTAGGATCAAGAGCCGATGGTTGATCGGCAGCGGGCCGCACGTTTTGGGCCGTACTACACAGCAGGAGAACAAACCCAAGCACGAGCTTGGTGAGCCAGATCGGAGCTAGCGCCTATGCGGACCAATGGTCTCACATCATTCTCGAGAAACATGTGGGCATTCTGTTCCTCAAGCCGCAGTTTGCTGACCCTGCAGGATCCTCCGCTGGTGCCCAGTGCCAGGTTCCAACGTGGCATCGGACGTGGGTCCGGGCAGCGCAGCGAGGACAAAGGAAGCAGCCGCGTTGGCACGCCGGGCCAACGCTGGATGTAACTTTACACAGCCGCAAGTCCACCCACGCGCGCCTTGTGGGGCCTGTTTCAGAGGGTGTGTTCGGGAGATTGTCAGATCTAACCGATAGACGCGGACGCGCAAAAGGCACAGGGCTGTCGAGGACGGATGGTCACACAAGAGACCGAGATTGTAGACGCCGGTTGTAGACCGTATTGACGTTGCCCTCGCTGCATGGCTTGCTGCGATTACCACAGTACAAACCCGGGCAAGCTGGGATAAATGGTGTGCGGCTGAGGGTGGGGGGTGGGACTGGCCAAGCTCTTTTGCAGAGCGGTCTAACAACCAACAACAAAGACATAGGCTGGTCGGTTGGGCCAGAAGAAGCAGATAAAATCTTGCCTCTGCCTAAGAGGTGGGGACTTGGCTCTGGAGACGTCAGGGTGCAGACTCGAGTGCCCTCCTCCCTCACGAAGCGGGCCAGCTAGGCGTGCGCAATCACGATGGCGCGAGGCGCGAGGGTTGCATCTGATAGAGCTTGGGGGCCAGCGGCACAGGCCTGGTGCCCTGGGGCGGGAAAAGGTGGGTGACATCGCCAATGCTCCCGTTACAGAAATATCTTCTGGATTTGTGAGTAGTGGAATCACGAAGCCCCTAGATGCTGCGCGCAAAGGATAGCTTCGTGAGGCGCTTGGTATGGCTGGAGGAGCAGTAAGGGTCGCGGGTCGCGGGTCGCGGGTCGTTGACCAATTCGATGGGGATTGTCGTCGGGTCGGCAGAGGCAGAGGCAGAGAGACGTTGCTCCAATGGCCAGCGCATCGGCAGACCGCCGGCAGACCGCTCGCCCACGGTCCACCAGCACGGCGAGTCAAGAGGGCGGTTGGTGCCTTGTTGGTGCTTTGCTGGTGCTTTGTTGGTGCTAAAACGCTGCATGAGGGCGGATCAGTCGACGATGGAGTCACGGTGTTAGCTTTGTGCGGCACAGCAGCTCCTTCGCCGTGGTGTCGATCCACCCTGCCTGCTGTGCCGCTGTTGGGAAATGAGGGTGACCTCCGGGGAGGTGGGGGGGGCGAAGGTTGTAGTCCGGGAATATTCAAGCCAGAAAGAAGCACATGTGGGAATGAAGCCCGAGAGAATGTGGCGCAGATGACCCGAGGCGATCAGGATGAGGTCAATGAGAAGGCACGACTTGTGAGGTTGCGAGGCGCTGGCGCGCGTGCGGGTTGGGGTCCGAGCTCCAAGGGCGGGTGGGTGGCGTGGGTCCCCAGCACAAGCGGGACAGGGGACCAGCTCCCATATTGGCACCCGGCCACAGGCGAGACCACCCGGAGGGTCAGCCCAGCGCTTCCTCTGCTCACACGGACAAACGTGCATTTCTGTGTTTCGGCTGTCTCGGAGACAGCGAGCTGCCCACTATTTTCCCTGATATTCCTGACCGCTGGCTGACTACTGACTACCTACTGGGTGCACCGTATTATTGTAGTACAATAACCAAGGTTGGGGTTATTGATGACGGACTCCTGCAGCCCGCGCTTATCATTCAGGAATCGCCAGGACCACACGTGTACCCAGGTATGCACACATGCACGCCTCTAAAAATATCAACCCACCCTGGACCCTACCCGCAGCTTACATTTTCCCATCTTGCAGCTTGCATACGACGTCCTGCTCTTTTTCTTTTCCTTCTTTTGCGTCGACTCATTTTGACAAGTCTGCCTTGGATGTGTTTGACATCTGCCCAGTGCACCTTCTAGAACCCCACAATAGCATGCGTATCGCAACCAGATCGTGGGCTGAGTCTTGTGTGAATGAGGGTTTGACAGCCGAGTTCATCGCCAATTCATCCCAGAGCCACGGTTGGTCCATTCGCAGATCGTCATCGCATTCTGGTCTAGACCAGAATGCACATAATAGGCTGCGCGCTTAAATTCCCCTCGATAATACCTTGGCTCTTTTAGCATTTGCTTATTAATTGCCTGCCTAGGCACGCTGGCTTTCATTACGGCCAACATTTGAACTCAATGTGAAATGCGCACGCGTTGAGGATGCTTCCTGTGCCTTGCAGAGGCACGGCGAACGCCTTGGAAAGGTACTTGAGTGCCTACCTAGGTACCTAGGTACCGAGGTACTTAGACCAGAAATCTCAATCCCACTCGTCCATCATTCTTGTGGTCAAATAGATCTTGGGATACATTCGGAGTCTCCCGAGGTCAATACGGGACACAGCACAATGTTTGAAATTTCGTTGCGGCTTCCAACTATCCATCAAGCATTCTTTTTTGTTCATTTGAATGCGTAACAATCCCTCCCAATCCTTATACGAAAACGAGTGTCAGGAAACATTGAAAGATGAACAGGAATAAGCAGAAGTGACAGCCCAAGCAAAAAAATTCAATCATCCACCTCAAGGCCGGGGACACTACGAAGACCGGCCACTTATCATGAGTTCATATATAGCCCAAGTGCTGGACAGGATCTTCAGAGAGTACTAGCCGTTACCTCGACCCATGTCAGTGCCTCTCACCCAATACGAGCAGCCAAGAAGCGCGGCGCATTAATGGCCGCCTCAGTCTGGTAGGAGAAATGTCCCGGCAGGATGACAAGCGTGCCAAAGCACACGGCGTCGGTGGCGGCGCAGTAAACCTCAGTCTTGGACGTTGAGAAGTTGGGGATGCGGCCCCCATTCTGTAGGTTCTTGGTATATCCGAACAACACGACACCCTTGATCTGGTCCTGGACCGCCGAGCCCAGCTCCGAGATCGAGGACGCCATGACGGCGGTGCCCTGGCTTTTTACCCGGTCCCATGTCAGCATCAAATTATTCCCTTTCCCCGGGTCAAGGTCTGGCAGAAGAAGAATAGGGGTTACCTACCTGTACCCTCCCGCAACGACGGCAGAATTGGGGCACTTGGTGTTGGCCAGTGTGAACAGCCTCTTGGCCTCGTTGATAGCAGCACGGCTGGTGCCCTCGGGCAGGGCATTGGAAGCCAGGTCTGCGATGTATGGCCCACCGACGCCCTGAACCCAGACCTGAGACGCCCCATACTGACTCTCAAGGGCATCCGCGACCGTAGGACCTGCGCTCCCTCCCTATTTTTGGTTCTCTGAGTCAGAAGAGTCCGTACCCGAAGTCTCGACTGTGAAGCTACTTGCCATATTTCCCAGCTCGGTAGAAGCGCGAGCAAAAATGAATATCACCCTGGGACATTCAGAGCTGCTCCCAGACTGGAGCTCTTCTCTGGTCAAGCCACCTTGACGAACCTCGAGACTGGCGGCAGCAGCCCTGGCATCGACAGGTCCTTCGATAGGAGCCGTGGCCACAAGAGCGACACAGACAGAAATGAGGGCGGCGAACTTCATTTTGGGGATGTTTCAGGGCTCTTTAAGCTCTGAGAGGATAGCTCTTGTCTGGAAATGTTATTTTCGGGCTTATAGCGAGGGAGTCAAGGCTTTTGGACTGAGTGAGAGAGAACTTGAGTCTGAAGAACAGAAGACTCAGCTCGTTTCTGAATGGATATCTAGAAGCTATTTATCTTATTTCAGATCCTCTCCTCTATTCGTAAGTGTGTCGCTTGTCTACTAAGATCGCTATAGAGTTGTTCGCGTGCCCAGGTGGCCCGACCTGCCCAGCCTGCCCGCGATTCAATGTCTCCTGATGACAAGAAGCCCACATGTGCACTGTAAGCCACAACCTATCACAATGTAAAATTCTCGTGAGGTCCATCGGTCCAGTCGCATTCTTCAAAATATTTTCAGTGTAAGTAGCCCAGTCTTGGCGCGGCGGAGATTCAACGAGAAGGGATGTTACACTAGGGCCGCCGTTTCGCGACACAACATCGATTGGGGAATAGTCGGAAGTGCCTCCGCTGACTCTCTAAGTCGCGGCCAACTCTGGTGCCTCGGGACAAGACCGCTGACATCAATGCAGGACAAAAGGGAGGATTACAGGATGAGGAGAATATGCGGAACGAGAACTAGAATGGTGTCGATGGGCTGGGTAGAGTCAGGTGTTGACCCATGGGCCATCTCTGTTCCCATATAACAGTACCTATACCCGGCATAGTCTACAGTCTTATTGGACGACGATCGATGCTACTCCATTTGCCGATGTCTCAGTCATGATACCTAGCCATGGCTGGTTTCTTGGTTGTTCAAAGGCTTACACAAAAGCATCGTCCTCTGTGCTTCAACCTCATTTGCCAACTCGCGTTCGTTTTGGAGAAATGACCAGAGTAGGGTGAAAGCGACGGCGTCGCGTAACCAAGTCTTGAGCGGAGAGCCTCGGCTTCGAAAGGCATTTATGAACTGTCCTATCGGACTGCAACATTCGACTCGAACTTGCGGCCGACCGAGGTAATTTACAACTCTAGAGATGCCAACATTGACTGCGGGGAGGGATAAAGAACAGCGCAGCTGACCGTGGAAGTACACATGTACGGATCGAAATCGATGCCACAAGGGCGACCCGGTCCAAGTTCGGGCTACCCGTGAGATCTGACCTAAACAAACGAAATGTAATCGTGATACTGTATCATACCCAAGGACACCAGGGATGCAGAAATCCATCAGAGCGATCATCTTCTAAAAAGAGGGACACTTGAGACCAGAGACCGGACATCTGGAGTACCTAGGGCCCTAGGTACCGAGATTATTACGTACCTAGATACAGCGTCATGGCAAATCGAGCTCAGATGTTCTCCTCGGACGCATATTTAGAGAATGTACATAGAAAATCAATTACTTCTTACGTTGTTAAGCTGCATTGGCAGCTTTCTTCAGTCTTCGCAGAAGAAGATTTAATGGCACAGGTGCTTGATAACTCAGTACAGGTTCTTGAACCTACGCACGGGGGATGAATACTGAGTAATTTTATCCTGGAGACGTAAAGCATGCCGCAGGTTCCTTTCGGTATTTGATCATGTCTGGGTTGATGGTCATCCCCAATCGACCATCCCTGATCAGTTGGGGCCAACGGGTCACACAACAGGAGAACAGAAAAATCACGGGACCTGTGCCGGGGGCCTCTGACCAGTTTAATTGGCGGAATCGCAGCGTTGTGCTGCATGTACTCACACCCACGCAGCAATCCAACAATTTGACAACAGCGGAAACTTGGGCTTCTGAGGCTTCTGATTGAACCGCGGTTGGGGGCTGGCAAGCCGCTGTTGGAAGGTACGGTCGGTCTGGCTGACTAAGCCAACTGGCACTTATTACCCGCTCCTTCTGAGCGCTGGGAGAGGACTTAGACTTCTCCCCAACATCAAACAATGAACTATCGTTTGCTCAAATAACTCATCAGGTTGTGAGCCCGGCGTCGCTCGATACATCCTCGCTCGCTTGTTTTCATCAATATCCATCGATTTCGAATCATTTCGTACCCAGAAATCATCGGAATACGGCCGTCGCAGGGCTGAATCGTCGACGTCATTCGTACCTCTCGACGGACGCCACAAGCCCGTGTGAATCACGATAATCCGTCACTCCCGCTCTGATTTTCCGCACCAACTGGTGCCAACTCGAAACCGTTCGAATCGATTCGGTCGTCGTCCAAGATGCCCGACTTCAACTTCAAGCTCGACCCATCGTCGTTGCCTAAGCTCGATCCGAAAGGAGAGAACTACCTCGACTGGCGTTCCGCCTGGAGCCGAGCTTTTCGCTTTGCTGGCCTCAGCGAAATCGTCACCGGCGGGAAGGCGAAGCCTGCCGCAGGTGAAGCCCTCGCAGAATGGCAAAAGCAAGACGACCAGGCTTTCGTCATGCTCCTGAGTGCCATACATTCTGACCTAACGACGTACATCACGTCGTGCGAAAGCTCTTCCGCAGCTTGGAAGACCCTGGAGGATCGTTTTAACCGTGACACCGGAAATTCGACCATCTACCTTTTCCGCCAGTTGACCAACTTGCGCTACGAAGATGGTTCCGACCTGCAAGAACACCTCGACTCGTTCCGTCGACTCTGGACAAGACTTTTTGCCAGAACTTCGACGTCCGATCAGTCCGTGGCGAAATCCATGAAGTCCCTGTTCGAAAACGATGAGGTCAAAGGTTCTTTCTTCCTCACGACGTTGCCTGACGAAATGGACAACGTCGTCGACAATCTCAGCAGCCGTGGAATTTCGAAGTTCTCCGACATCGAACCCAAGATGCTGGACATCGTTGCTCGTTCGAAAGTCGAGCAATCGGAGGCCTACTACACTTCGACCTCTCGGAAGAGGTTGGCACCAACTGGTGCCAAAAAGCCTGGGAAGTCCGCACCATCTGGTGCCAACTCCTCGTCGAAGAAATCCGGCGAGAAGGAATGCACATGGTGTCGCTCCCGTAACTTCACCTTCGTCGGCCACTTGTACACGGATTGCGACAAGTTGGCGAAACACAAGGAAGAGCAAAAGAAGGGCAAGAAACGGGCCGCCGCCAACCAGGCGGAAGACAATGTGGTGGAAATCTCTGATGATGACGAAGAAGATGTGGCGTTCCACGCCGACGTTTCGGCATACGCAGCAAAACTTCCGTCGTCCGAAAATGCAAGTAAAACATCATGGATTTTCGATTCGGGTGCTTCGAAGCACATGTCGGGATGCATGGAGGACTTCAGCTCGCTTCAACCACGTAGCGGAACGATCACCGTCGCTGGTGGAACTCGTCTCGTCGTGGAAGGCGTCGGCACTGTGGACATCCTCCTGCGACTCCCTGACGGATCAATCACCAAGAATACCTTCACTAACGTGCTCTATAGTCGAGGACTGGGAAACACCCGTCTGTTCAGTTGGACCACAGTCCGAAATCGATTTCGTCTAAACGCTCAGGGGAACGACATCTTCCTGCGGCCAAAAGACGACGAATCGAAAGTGATGTGGGCAAGATTTCGAAAAGGGAATTTTGAGATTCAGACTGCCGACAACGAGAACGTCGAAGCCCTCTTCTCGTCATACGAAGAATTCCACGAAGCATTTGGACACAGCAACGTCGGCAAAACCTCTGCCCAACGTCTGTATGCCGATGCCGATGTCGTTCCGACGAAACCGGAAGCGTTCGACTGCGAACCATGCAGGCTTGCGAAGTCCGTCAGACGACGTCCAAAACCACTGCCAGAACGGAAATCGGAAGCTCCATTCGAAATCGTTCATTCAGACCTCTCAGGGCGCTTCTCGACGAGATCTTTGAAGGGTTCCCAATACTTCGTGCTGTTCGTTGACGACTTCACGAGGTACTGCTGGGTCTTCTTCGTCGAAAAGAAGGATCATGTCCCTACAGTCATCGAAAACTTCCTCGTGATGGTGGAGACACAATTCGACACGAAAGTCAAGACGTTCGCTTCCGACAACGGGGGTGAATACGTCAGCGAAACTACAGTCGACTTGTTCCGTCGACGGGGAATCATCCACCGGAAATCCCCGCCGTACCATCACGAATCGAACGGAACACCCGAACGATACATGCGGACAGTCGTCACCGACGCCAGAGCCATGATTCGCGATGAGACATTCCTCATGCTTTGGCCCGAGTGCATTGCGCACTCGGTCTACCTTCGCAACCGTAAATCGCATTCGGCACTGCCGTGTCAGATTACACCATTCGAAATGCTGCACGAGAAGAAGCCCAATGTCGGACACCTCCAGCCCTACTTTCGTCCTTGCTACATCCACATCCCCGTGGAAGCCCGCAAGCCGGGAACGAAGTTGATGGACCGAGCCGAGAAGGCACACTTCGTCGGATTCGAAGCGGACGGCGATTCGGTCTTACGCTTGTATGTGCCGCTCCGCAAAGTCGTTGTCACTGCCACGAACAACCATGTACGATGGAAGAAACACCAGCCCGCGATTACATGGTCGATTGGGAACTCCATTGAAGTAGCCGCCGAACCGGCGAAACAATCCCCCCAATCGGCTGTGGATTTACCCTCGCCGCCACCTCCACAGTCACCTGCGGTGTTGCCTGAACCAGTCGTCGGACGCTCTCCGAACATCAGTTCGAGAGGCCGTCGTATACAACCCTCACGGAAAGCGAGAGCCAACGCTCGATGTACGGAGACTGAATTGGCACCAACCGGTGCGAACTTCGACTCCTTCAACTTGGCACCAACTGGTGCCAATTCCGATTCGGACAACTTGGCACCGATGGGTGCCAACTCTGACGACGATTCAGACGGACCGGCGGAGGCCGCCTTCGCCGAATCCGCGCAGTGCCCATTGGCACCAATGGGTGCCAACTGCGACGAATCACCCATCTTTGCCACTGCGTTTTTGGCGACTCAAGACGACGATATTCCGCAGAACTATGCACAGGCCTTGAAGAGTTCCGAAAAGCCGGACTGGCTTGTCGCCATGGAAAAGGAGCTGAACTCTCTCGAAGCCATGGGGACCTGGGTGGAAGTTCCTGCTCGTCGTGATCAATATGTCGTCAACCCCCGATGGGTATATGCGAAGAAATACGACGCCAAGGGAAATCTCATCCGATACAAGGCCCGTCTGGTTGCTCAGGGGTTCACACAGATTCACGGAATCAACTACGACGACACCTACAGTCCAGTTGCCCGATACGAGACATTGAGAATCGTCATCCGAATCGCCTCCATGACCGGAATGGATCTCTGGCAATTCGACATCGAAACTGCGTACCTTCACGGACACCTGAAACACGATGTCTACATGCGTCCGCCGCCTGGATATCGGACGTTGTCCAAAAAGGTCGTACTCAAGGTCCTTCGGGCTTTGTACGGTCTGAAACAATCAGGACGAGAATGGTTCGGTGAACTACATGGCGAACTCGTGAAGTTCTATGCTCAAGCCGCTTTCGATCCGTGTGTCTTCCTGGGCGACGACATCATCATCGCTGTCTACGTCGATGATATCCTGGTTGCCGGTCGTTCCGACAGCATCGCCAAATTCAAGGCGATCATCTCGAACAAGTTCAAATGCGTCGATATGGGTCTTTGCCAGTATTTCCTCGGCCTCGAAATCTGCCAGACCGAAGCCGGGATCTCCATTTCACAACGAGGCTACGCCGAACGCGTGCTCCGACGATTCGGCATGCTTGACGGCAACGGTCGCCATACCCCAATGGATCCGAACTCGTTTCCGAAACGAGAGGAAGATGGTGACGTTCCCATCGACCCTACCATGTACCAGTCCCTCACCGGTTCGGTGAACTTCCTGGTGACGGGTACGAGAGTCGATCTCGCCTTTCCGACCGCCGCCATTTCGACGTTCAACGCCAATCCAATGGAACGACATCTTGCAATCGGTAAAGGCATCCTCCGTTACATCAAACAGACTCTGGACTATCGGATATTTTATCCTCGAGATATTGCGTCCGCGAAGCTCGACATGTACAGTGATGCTTCGTACAACACGGACCCGGACAATTCGAAGGCGTTCGGAGGCTGGATACAGCTCCTCAACGGATCGCCCGTTGCCTGGTCGTCGAAACGTCAGTCGACAGTTGCCAAATCGACTTGTGAAGCCGAATACATGGCCTGTTCGTCTGCATCCTCCCACTTGCGTTGGATGATTCAGGCGCTGCGAGATTTGAAGATCCCGCATACCGAGCGCCTGCCTGTACTTCATGTCGACAACCAACCCGCCTTGGACCTCGTCCGAAACGCCAAAATCACCACTCGTTCGAAGCACATAGCCGTTCACTACCACTTCGTCCGAGAAGGCGTCGGAAGCATCTACGACGTCGAACACGTTCCGTCCGCAGAAAATCTTGCGGATATTTGTACGAAAGCGCTTCCGAAGCCCATGCTGCTGGGTTTCTGTCGTTCGTTGGGTCTGTTGCCTGTTTGATTTCGACGGATCTGAGACTTGGCACCAATGGGTGCCAACGGAACAGCGAAGGGGAGTTCGACAGTGGGTTCGTCGGTTTGACGACCGGAACATCGTGCTATCCATGTATTTTAGACATCTCTTACGACGACGACGTCGTCGACGGATGGGGGGTGTGTTGGAAGGTACGGTCGGTCTGGCTGACTAAGCCAACTGGCACTTATTACCCGCTCCTTCTGAGCGCTGGGAGAGGACTTAGACTTCTCCCCAACATCAAACAATGAACTATCGTTTGCTCAAATAACTCATCAGCCGCTGCCTCGGTTAGGAGTCGGAGGAGCGATCTATAACGCCCCATTAATTTGATCTCGGCTCCCATGTGCTGCTGATCAATCCTAATTATGCATCAGTCAGCATCTGCCAACAGCCAACGCCACGCATTGAGACCCTGGCTGTCAAATTATATAGCGGAAAGGCAGGGCTAGTAAGCGAGCACTCATCGCCCACATGTGCAACCTGGGCCCATCGATATTGTCCCTAATTCGACGTCCACGGGTACTACAGTAGCCTTGGCCTGTCATGCCAATTAGTCCATTGCAACCCTGTGAAACTTTGTTGGTCAACTTCAAAGCAGGTGGGCAACCACGTTTCGATCCCAATGCGCAACTTTTCAGTGTGTCCGCCTGTTCTTGGCACGGTCAGTAGTACGATGGTTAATACCTAGGCACGCAGCCACAGAGGGGCTGGGAGCTTGCCGTGGGATAGTTGGCAATCCCCTCACGCAAACGAGTGGACTGCAGCGGCCCTCTCGTGACAAAACTTAGCTTTCAGCCATCCCGGAGTTTCCCTTCCTCTATGCGGCGCACTTGCCACGGCCGAGAATCTCCCGGTGGTGGTGCGTCAGCGTTCCGCCTCGAGTGAGTGGGTGGGTGGACTGGGCCGTTCTGTGTGGTCACCGGATGAGCACTTTGAACGCAGGGGGCCGGACGGAGAGCACGAACAAAGTGATTTGTGAATGCGCCTAAGGATCCCGAACCTCGCAGCCTCTTTGGCCCATCAATTTTCCGATATACATTGTGTGCGATTCTTTCGGGTCTTACTCGTCTAGCTCAACATCCTTCCAAAGTTCTCGCCCGTAGTGGAGTGGCCGCCCGTTGGCCCGGCCATATTACCCTCGGGCTGAATCGCTTCTTGTGTCTGCATTCTATATGGAGCTTCCCGTGGTGTGTAGAACTCGTATTGGAACAAGTAATTATGCCTCCCTGGTCTACAGTCCGCAGCCTTGCTATCAGTTTGTCGGACCCGGCTGCTCCATGCCTACAAGTTTGATCATCCAGAGCATCTGGACTGCATAATACGGTCCACAGGTCTTTAAGATCCTATAATAGGGCCTTTGCCTACGCTTTGCCAGTGGTGCGTGCTGAGTGTTTGCCACATCTATTGACTATCATGAGGGGAAAACTCACCACATTTATAGACAAATAGATATTATATCCTATAACTTTAGCCACACTATATTTTGCCTTTATACTATATAACTACTTATTTCTTCCCTAATAGTCCTTTTATAAAAGAACTTTAAACTTATTTTTTCCTTTATTTTTATTATATTTTTCTATATTATTAAAGAGTTAATAATTATTAATAATAAAAGTATAAATTTAAAGAAAGATAAACTTATTATATTCTTTTTTTTATTTTTTTATAAATTATTTTTTAAACTCTTTTTAAAAGTATTAATACTTTATTATAAAAGTTTTAAAATAATATATTATAAATTATTTCTTTATTTTAAGTTTTTAAAGTTAATAACTATATATTTATATAAAAGTTATAATATTAAACTTTATAAACTTATTTAATAAAAGTTTTATTAATATATATATATATATATATTTAAAAGATAATTTTTAATTAAACTTCTTTTAATATAATTTATTTATATAATAATTATTTTTAAACTTAATTTTATTATATAACTTCTTTATAATAATTAAATTATAAGTTACTTTTATTTATAATTAATATTATTATTAAAATAATACCCTTTAATCTTATTTATATATTATAAAATTAAAACTATAAATATTTATTATATTATAATTATTATTATTAGTATTATATTCTTTTTAAACATTAAATTTTAGGTGCTTACTATTATATAAAGGCGCTATATATATCCTTAAATATATATAGAATAGAAGCGAAACTATATATCCTACATAGCTCGATTCACATCTCATTATTATAGGTCTAAGCTAGGCAAATTCTATAGATTAAGCCTCAAGACTATCTACCAGCCAATAGATAGACCCTACCTAGATAAATGGCTTATATCTAATACAATCTTCGGTCTGAAATGAGCAGATGATCCGCTATCTTGGAATTTGGGATTTACTTAGTACCGACTGCAGCACGATCCTTGAAGGGCACAGCATGCCACGGGGTCCTAACAATAAGTTAAAATATGTCCCCTTCACTTGATGATATTCATCGAAAACCAGTGGAGTTTTCAGAGAGAGATGTTGTCTTGCTAATTATATGTGCTCATGATTATGTCTTCATTAAATAAAGCATAGTGTTTCCTGGGCTGCCTAGGTGGCGGGCTTACCCCCAATAGTACACCCCCACCACTCAGACAAGTAATTTCTAAGTCCTATTATACATTTCGAAATACAATGAAAGTCACGTTCTAGACTTGTATATTCTGTTTAGAAACATTTTTTGTTCATAATGTTGCCTTTAATTACCACTTTGCTTACATTGGTACTTTCTCTGTCACACACGTCGCTTCTCTTCACAGTTTTACACACAAGTACCTAGCTGGGCTCCTAATATTGCTATTGAAGTCTTAAAGACCTAGAACAATTAGGAGATTACATATTGTTTATGGTAATCACTCCGATGTATTTTCTAACGATCGTGGACTGGCTGCAAGCACAAGGAAGCGAGCTGGCCAACCTTCCCGTGCCTCCAGATAGGAGGATTCTTTTATCGATTTGGGACATCACTCAGATGGCAGCTGGCGTCACGTACTGCTGCGCCCCAGGTTTCTCTTCAGTGTTCGCTGGTATTAGATTGCCAAAGATATTGTGACCTCGCTTTTCGTCTTTGCGGTCATGAGTCGAAACGGAAGTCAGCTGTTAAGACGAAACGAGGTAGCGGTGGAGCGTGGGCGTCGTTAGAGAGTGTCACCCAGCCAGATCTAGTAGCCTGGAGATCCATGGATTGGTCTTCGCGGTACATACACTGACGATCAGCCGTTGAATTGTTTTTATGGGAGTGCCAATACGGCGCGGTTCAATGAACTTGTGCTGTTCCGCGGGCCCATCCGTGCTTATCGATCAAACCAATAAACATGCCTGTGGCCAAACCTTGACACGAGCCGTATGGCTTCCCGTGCTGCAGCTCCAACTTTGTTGATCGGCCACCCTAGTTTTCGACCTTTTCCTCGTTGCTGGGTGGTTTGCACAATTTATCATATTCTATCGGTTGATACAGGTGGGCTCTTGTGCTGTCCTTGCCCCACCTCGCCTCCATCCACTTGCGCATCGCTTCGAAGCTGTCGTACTTCTTGTCAACCCAGTTGGCCTCGTGCTGCGTACCGGGCTTCAGACAGAGCGGGTAGACCGGCCACGAGCCCTTACACCTGGTCATTGGGTTCTGTGGTAGCTTCCCCTCAGGAAAAACCCGGCCTCTAATGTTAATACAGGCGTTCGGGAGGTCCCGTACCACGGACCTCCCAAAGTCGATAAGCACAACGCGCCACTTCTGGCCGCCTCGTTCTTGTCCGTCCGATCGTTTTTGGCCATTTTGGGGCCGCTCTTCGCCATTTGCCTGGTGCAAGGAAGAGGGGGACGAAGGGTGTTTCGCGCCGCCAACGTCGTCTGCCTCGTCGTCCTCCATATAGTTACCGACCATAACGTTCCGTGTGTGTCGGTCGCCTTGGGAGACGCGTATGTACCACAGTGCACTTTGGGCCTCGGCAACACGCGCCAACAGGTCCATACGGACGGCAGACGGGATACCACGATAGGCGCCCGTCTCAAGCAGGTTTAGTATACTGTCTCCCGGGATGTACTCCATTAGGAGTAGGCGCACATTGCGGGTTACCTTGAACCCTTGCTGTCGGCCTTCTTCATTTCTTCTTGACTGGGGCCCGCCGCCGGTGGTTGCACAGTTGGTGGTAGTATTGCTAGCCGGTTCCAGCTCGAGCTCCCACGGCACGTCAAAGGACCAGCACCCCTCGAAGCGTGGTGTGTACCTGCCGTCAAGCCCACGCTCCCGGATCCGCTCATAGGCGGCGGCCTCGCGGGACCACTCAGACTCAGCAAAGCCTACAGGAGACCAGTCATCGTCTAGGTGCACATCATCCCACCTGTATAGCGGGTCGAAGATCTTGGCCACAAGGAGGCCCTGTATGCCGTCTACACGACACTGCACGACCTGGGCGTAGGCGCCGTCGCGCACCCTGATCTGGTGGAGGATCTCGAGCTGGCGTACCTTCCCATCCTCATGGGGCTCCGTCTTCCTGGGTTGATGCCTGAGATACCTCTCGGTGATTGTGTTGGGTGGGATTTTGCTTGGGTCGGATGATGACTCGTCCCAGGGTGTTAGATGGTCGATTGGGTCTACAATCTTACTCGGAGGCAGGATGTCCTCTGGGAGCAAGGGCTTACTGAGGCTGGCTGGCTCTGGCTCTGGGGGCTCGTAACATTTGCCGTTGTCGAATGGTGTGAGCGGCTTGTGGCGTTTGATCTCGAAGCAGGCGCCCTCGACGTAGGGCAGCGCGGGCCGCTTGCTGTCGTCGAAGACGTATTTAGTATTCTCAAATGAGAGGGACATTGTAGCGGCGCCGTGTTCCAGGGCAAAAATAGCCGGTGGGTGATGGAGTGATGAAAAGCAAAAGCGGACGGACCAGGTGGACATTCTTGGTCTTTATGGTCCTTGCCTAGGTACCTAGGTACTTAAGTAGTAATTATGCAACAGCGGACCCTAACCCTGAAACGGCCCTAAGGTCCAACTGCCCTTGCTACAAAATCCTTTTCGCGGGTGCACTAATGCTCCCTGACCAACGGCCAAGCCTACCTAGGTACCTAAGTAGGCATCTACCTCTGGCCCTGTGGCCCTGTAGCCCTGAGGCCCTGTGGCCCTGAGGCCCTGTGGCCCTGAGGCCCTGTGGCCCTGTGGCCCTGTGGCCCTATGGCCCTATGGCCCTGTGGCCCTGTGGCCCTATGGCCCTATAGCCCTTTTAAGGTAGTCTACACACTATCTAAGAAGGAGATTCCTTATTTAAAATAAACTATCTTATATTTAACTACTTAAAATTAATATAATTAATATTTATTCTTTTTTAAATATAAAGTTAAAAGATTTATAATTATTATAAAAAAAATATAAAAAAAATAAAGTTTTTAAGTTTTATTTAAAATTATAAAATTTTAAATAATATTTAATTTATTTTAAAAAAATAAAAAAATAAAAAAGTTTTAAAAATTTTAATATTAAAAACTTAAAGCTTTTAAAGTTATAAATAATTTATATATTTAATTACTTATTTTAATTTTTAATTTAATATAATTATAATAATAATTATATTTTTAATTACTATTTATATAATTATTTTATAATATAATATAATATTATAATTTAATTTAATTTAAACTTTTAAAATATTTAAATACTTTTATTTAAAAATATAAATTTTAAATTAAATTTATTAAATTTAAATTTAAAACTTTTATAAATTTTAATTTATTTTAAATTAAATTTATAATTTTTAATTATTTTAAAATATATTAATTATTTTATTTTTTAAATATAAAATTAAAAACTTATAATTATAAAATTTTAATTAATTTTATTTAATTATTTATTATATTATAATTTAATTTAATTTAATTTTAATTTTTAAAATTCTTTTAATTTTTATTTTTAAAAATTAAAACTTTATAATTTTAAATTTAAATTTTAAATTCTTATAAATTTTAATATATTTTAAATTAAATTTATAATTCTTTAACTTTTTAAAAATATATTAATTATTTTAAATATTAATAACTTTCTTTAAAATAAAAATAAAATTTTTATATAATTATAAATTTAATTCTTAATAATTATTTCTTTTTTATAAAATTATTAAAATTATAAACTTAAATAATAAAATATAATTATTTTATTTAAAATTATATTTTAATTTAATAAAAATATAATAAATTAAATAACTATTTTAAATAATTTTTATAATATAATAAAATTAATAAATTAATATTTATTTAAATAAAATTAAAATTTATATATATTTTTAAAGAAATAATAATTTAATTTTATTTACTTTAATTAATTTATATTTAAAAACTTAAATTATATAATAAATTTAATATTTATATATAATATTTATTAATATTAAATTATATAATTTATAATTAATAATAATTTTAATATTTAATAAATTAATAATATTAATTTTAATTAATATAATTTAATATATTATTATAAATTATTTATATTTTTAGTTTTATTAAAAATTAAAAGTAAATAGTTAAAGTTTTAAAAGAATAAAATATAATATATTTTTAAAAATTAATTTAATTAAGTTTATTATATAAAACTTTTATAATAACTTTATAATTATTTTATAATACTATCTATTATTGAAAAATCCTTCTTATATTAATATATTAAATTATATTAAGTTAGATTAATATTATTAGTTTATTAAAAGTTAAAGTTATTATAAATTATAAACTATTTAATTTTAATATTATTAAATATTATATATAAAGTTATTATATAACTTAAATATAAGTTAGTTAAAATAAATAAAGATAAAGCTATTATTCTTTTAAAAGTTTTAACTCTATTTAAATAAATATTTATTTATTTACTTTATAAATAAAACTATTTAAAAGTAGTTACTTAACTAAATTAAAATATAATTAAGTAAGGTAACTATATTTTATTATTATATATAATATTTAAGTTTATAGTTTTAATAAATTATAAATAAAAGAAATAACTATTAATAATTAAATTTATAATTATATAAAAATAAATTTTACTTTAAAAAAGTTATTATTATTAAAATAATTAATATATTTTTAAAAAAGTTAAAAGATTATAAGTTTAATTTAAAGTAAATTAAGATTTATAAGAATTTTAAGGCTTTAACTATACTATATTTTTCCTTTACACTATATAACCACTCATTTCTTTCCTAGCAGTCTAAAGCTTATATATAAAGTCTTTAATAACTTTATATATATCCTTATAGTCCTTTTAAAGAGGAACTTTAAATCTACTCTTTTCTTTATTTCTATTATACTTTTCTATACTATTAAAAAGTTAATAGTTATTAATAATAAAAATATAAACTTAAAGAAGGATAAGCTTATTATACTCTCCCTTTATCTTCTTATAAATTACTTTTAAAACTCTCTCTAAGAGTTTTAATACTTTATTATAAAAGTTTTAAAGGTAGTATATTATAAATTATTTCTTTATCTTAAATTTTTTTAAAGTTAGTAACTATATACTTAAATAGGGGCTATAGTGTTAGCTTATTTAATAAGGTTTTATTGTAAAGTATATATATATATATATATATATATATATATATTTAGAGAATAATTTTTAGCTAGGCTTCCCTTAATATAATTCATTTATATAGTAATTATTTTAAAGACCTAATCTCACTATATAACTCCTTTATAGTATTAATATTATTATTAAAATAATACCCTTAGCTTTATTTATATATTATAAAGTTAAGGCTATAAATACTATTATATTATAACTATTATTATTAATATTATATTCTTTTTAATATTAAGTTTTAAATACTTATTACTATATAAAGGTACTATATATATCCTTAAATATATATAAAATAAAAGTAAAACTATATAAAAATCTTAAATTTAAACTTAAAAGTTTAAATTTAAATTTAATTATTTAAAAAATATTAAATAGATTTAAAGAGAGTTTAAATAAAGTTAAAAACTAAATTAAATTATAATATAATAAAATAATTAAATAAAAGTTAATTAAAAATTATAATTATAAGTTTTTAACTTTATATTTAAAAGAATTAATATATTATTATAAAATAATATTTTTAATAATAAATAATATTATAAATATAATAAATTATAAAATTATAATAAAATATTTTATATAATAAGTTTAATTAAATTAATTTTTAAAGATTATATTATATTTTATTTTTAAAATTTTAAATATTTATTTTAATTTAATAATAAAATTTAAAAAAATTAAATAATTTATTAATTATTATAAATATTAATTTTCTTTTAAAAAATAAAGTTTATTTTATATAAATTATTTATATTTTTAATTTTATTATTAAATTAAAAATAAATAATTATAATTTTAAAAAATAAAATATAATATATTTTTAAAGATTAATTTAATTAAATTTATTATATAAAACTTTTATAATAACTTTATAATTTATTATATTTATAATATTCTTTATTATTAAAAATACTTTTATATTAATATATTAAATTATATTTAATTAATTTAAATTAATATTATTAATTTATTAAAAATTAAAATTATTATAAATTATAAATTAATTTAATATTAATAAATATTATATATAAATATTAAAATTTATTATATAATTTAAATTATATATAACTATAAATTAATTAAAATAAATAAAAATAAAATTATTATTTTTAATTAATATTTTAATTTTATTTTATAAATAAATAAATATTTATTAATTTTATTATATTATAAATAAAATTATTTAAAAATAATAATTTAATTTATTATATTTTAAATTAAAATATAATTTTAAATAAAATAATTATATTTTATTATTTAAATTTATAATTTTAATAATTTTATAAAAAATAATTATTATTAAAAGTTAATATTTATTTATTTAATAATTATATTTACTTACTTAGTTTTTTATTAACTATTTATTTAATATAAGAATTTATATATAGAGTCTATATAAAACTATATATCTAATTAAAATTCTTTAAATTTTTAAAACTTTTAATATAAGCCTCTTTTAACACCCCTTTTAATATACCTTCTAGTACACCTTTTAGATAGTACACCTTTTAGGCTATATACCTTCTAGGCTATATATATTTAAGTACTAACTAAGTATTTAAATATTAATTAAATATTAGAAGGCTAGAAGTTTAGAGTATTAAAAGGTTAAAAGAAGTATTAAAAGGTTAGAAAAAGTATAGTTTTTATCTTTACTTTTTTAACTTTTAGTTTTTTAATATTTAATTAGTATTTAAATACTTAGTTAATATTTAAATATATATAAATTAAATAGTAAAGGTAAAAGTAAAGATAAAGATAAAGGTAAAGGGGTATTAAAAGGTATATTAAAAGGGGTATTAGAAGGAGTTTATATTAAAAGTATTAAAAATTAGAGAAGGAAATTATACTATAAGGTCTTTTAATATTAACTTAGAAGGTACTTATAAATATAAGAGAGTTATTTAGAAAATTAATATTAAGTAAGTAGTTAGTAGGAATTAAATAAGTAAATATAATTATTAAGTAAGTAGATATTAGTTTAATTATTAATAATTAAATTTATAATTATAAACTATAAATTATTTATATATTTTTAATTTTATTATTAAATTAAAAATAAATAATTAAATTTTAAAAAATAAAATATAATATATTTTTAAAGATTAATTTAATTAAGTTTATTATATAAAACTTTTTATAATAACTTTATAATTATTTATAATACTATTTATTATTAAAAGATACTTTTATATTAATATATTAAACTATATTAGTTTAGGTTAACATTATTAACTTTAATATAAACTAGTTTATTAAAAGTTAAAGTTATTATAAATAATAAATTAGTTTTAATACTATTAAGTATTATATAAATTTATAACTATATAAATATAAATCTTTATTTTAAAGAAAAATTATTAATATTTAAAATAATTAATATATTTTTAAAAAATTAAAAATTATAAATTTAATTTAAAATATATTAAAATTTATAAAAACTTTAAATTTAAATTTAAAAGTTTTAATTTAATATTTATATTTATAAATTATAAACTATTTATATTTTTAATTTTATTATTAAGTTAAAAGTAAATATTTAAAGTTTTAAAAGAATAAAATATAATATATTTTTAAAGATTAATTTAATTAAATTTATTATATAAAACTTTTTATAATAACTTTATAATTGTTTATAATATTATTTATTATTAGAAAATACCTTCTTATATTAATATATTAAGCTATATTAATTTAAATTAATACTATTAGTTTTAATATAAATTAATTTATTAAAAGTTAAAGCTATTATAGACTATAAGCTATTTAATTTAATATTAATAAGTATTATATATAAGTATTAAATTTATTATATAACTTAAGTAAGTTAGTTAAAATAAATGAAAATAAAGTTATTATTTCTTTAATTAAAGATATATATAAGTTTTAACTTTACTTTATAAATAAATACCTATCTATTAACTCTATTATATTATAAGTAAAATTATTTAAAAATAATTACTTAATTTATTATATTATTAAATTAAAAGATAATTAAATAAAGTAATTATATTTTATTATTTAAGTTTATAATTCTAATAACTTTATAAAAGAAATAACTATAAATAATTAAATCTATAATTATATAAAAATAAATCTTTATTTTAAAAGAAGTTATTAATATTTAAAATAATTAATATATTTTTAAAAACTAAAAGATTATAAATTTAATTTAAAGAAAATTAAAATTTATAAAAATCTTAAACTTAAATTTAAGGGTTTTAATTTAATATTTATATTAATAAAAATAAAAGTATTTATATAGTTTTAAAAGGTTTAAATTAAATTAAATTAAGTTATAATAAAAATCAATTAAATAAAAATTAATTAAAAATTATAATTATAAATCTTTTAACTTTATATTAAAAGGATATTTATATTTATAAAAATAAATATATATATAAAGTTTTTAAAAAAGTTTAAATTAAATTAAATTAAATTAAATTATAATAAAATAAAATAATTAAATTAAAATTAATTAAAAATTATAATTATAAATTTTTAATTTTATATTTAAAAACTTAAAAATATTATATAAAATATTAATAAATAATTTATTTAAATTAATTAATTTATTTTATTAAAGTTTTATAATAAATAAATTAATAAATAAATAATTAAATATTAATTAAATATATTAAATTAATTTTTTTAAATTAAATATAAAAAAGTAAAAACTTTCTATATAAGTTTAAACTTATTTAACTAAATAAATAACTAAACTAAAATATATTACTTTTATATATCCTTAAAAAGCCTAAAAGGCTCTCATAGTTTTTTAAACCTTTCAGTAACTAATATATTAATTTAGTAATAAACTTAGGTATGCTTAGTGTTATAGGTGGGTGGATGCTGGCTGTGCTGCCGCCTGCTTGTGTGTGGGAACCAACAGGGCTAAAAGTAGCAACCTGTGGGCCAACACTTCGAGGCCTGCCTACCAACAAGCCCCTGGAAGGCCCGCCCACCCGGCCGTGACCATGAACTGTTTATTGTCACCAAAGATGTGCATTTGCCATTGATGGCCTCGGCAATACGCCAACTGCCCGGCCAAGGTGGCGCCTGGCACGACGCGGCCGAGTTTCGCTGTCTCGAACGTGGATACCAGAGGGGCTGTAAGTTAATCCGGCGTAGCCACCGGCGCAATTACAGGTCTGCCCCCTCGTAGCTCAGCATGTCTCGCAGCGGCACTGCATCACGATGGCTTCTCGCTCCACTGGCCACATCCAACCTGACCAGACCAAAAATAGATCCTCAACTTCAGTTTCCCCCAAGAATGGCCCAAAAAGAGTGGTCCGCAACGAGACAGCCTCGTCGAATGAAGCATGCACGCCATGGTATATTAATGCCAGCCCATGTACGGCCCAGGAAGACCGGCTGGAGGCTTACTATCCTCATCCATTACTCGCATTGTCCCTTGAACTATCATCTTCATTTGAATTGAACCTCGTATCTATACTATAAATCTCACTCTGCCTTCATTATTCACCTGGCTGTCTAACTTGCCCTCTTCGAGAGCTCACCAAGACATAACACATCCTTCACACAACACTTGAGTGGCCCTTCCATTTATCCGCATCAGCCATGACTACCGTATTCAGCTCGTTCAGCAGAGCGCTAGACGACATCTCCAAGAATAAGCTCGGTCGACAGAGAGAGGGCAAAGGTACAGAGGTCAGAACGCACATATCTGGGCACAACACAGCAAATTGCGACCCCCCAGCCTCTGCAATTGAAATACCCTTGAGCCACTGGATCGAAAAAGCCAACACCCTGTGCCTTGGGAAGCCCGAAGTCCAAGCCAAGCTCAAGGAAGCATACATGCCACTCATGGAACAGGCCCACATGATCAACTCAGAGGAGGACATCGTCGTTGCTTCTGCACGAGACTTCACCTATCCGGTCAACGTGGCTTTGAACATGGTCCATCCTCACGATTCTGTTCTCTGTGAGGTGAGCAAGAATAAGGATAACTCGGGGCCTACCTCACACCTCAGCCGTATTGATCGGATGTACTTCCACGGGCCTCCAAAGGAACCGGACCACCCGGGCAGCTCAGTGAACACCATGGCTGGCCTGGAGTTCAAGAGCTTTAAGGCATTGAATGCTGCAAAATTCGAAGAAATTATAGTCAGAGACAGTGAAGCATTTGTTGGTCGCATGGACGCCAGGGATGAAGGCGACGAACCCGATTCAACGGAGACGCTGAACGTCGCAACGATTCTGAGCCAGGCAACGCACTACGTCATGAAATTCAAGACACCATTCGTCGCCTTGTTTGACTACAACACTCTGATTCTTCTAGTTATGAAGAATACCCAGACTGTTCAGCCCAAGACTAAAACCACTAAAACTAAGGCCAGAGGTTATGGCGGAGATGTGCGTATATTTCTGTCCCCTCCCCCACAAAGAGCCCCCGCCAGTGCGTCTTATATGTACTGCACACTATCTATCATCATCCTAGTGATCAGCTACTATCGAACGACGTTCTAACATTCCGGGGACTGAGCAGTTCGCATATATGACCGTTGTCAAGAATAGCAATCAGATGCGCAGCGCGATGCTGGGGTTCCTGCTCTCCGCACACCTGGAGAGGGAAAACGACGATAGCTGGCATAAGTCCGCAAACGGCACGGATATTTTGATCGACCCCTCCAATCTGCCCAGAATGGGGCCACGTGGTGCGCCTGGCTCGAGAGCACTCCCGGACCGTAGTGCGACAAAGAGGTCGTACAAGGAGAGGAATACCTCGGAAAGCGAGGGAGGCTCACAGTACTCACAGAATAGGGGACACGCTGCGAGCCACACCGGTGAGAAACAGCTCCTACCCACCTCACCGATCGGTGCTGTCTTTGCCCTGAATGTCAAGCCCACGTCGAACACACACACATATACATACACAACTTTGGAAGCCTATGCTGACGCCGATGTCTTTGCTTAAGGTCCCGTTGCTCATGGAGGGCCCCCCCGCAAGCCGTCATGTCTGGTCAAGACCAGCTCTAGCCTCTCCAGCGCCTCCACGTCGAGCTCGAGCTCTGCGAGCAGCCGCGGGTCGTGCGGCAGCGCGACGACCGTGTCTTCTACCGGCAGCGCCGGGAAGCCTACCAAACCCAACCCCAATGCCCATGTCACAACTACTACTGGCGCGGCCAAGACCGCAACCGCAACCGCCCGGCCCCCCACCAGTACCACAACTACTACTCCTTCTGGCCCCACCGGCACCAAACCCGTGAAGCAGTTCACCAAGGTGGCCCCGAGCCCGGCAAACAGTGTTGCGAACAAGGCCGGCAGCGGGTAGCTGCCGGCCTTGTGTGCGAGCAGGCGCGGCATCGACCGGCCGCTGGCAAGAGGTGGTGGCGGAGAGGTAAGCTTAACAGCACTAGTATATAAACAGGGTACTAGTATTATTAGAGCTATAATAAGCATAAAATTATATAAATATATATTATGCTTAGAATTGCAGATGCTTATCACCCTCACCGCCATCACGTGTCATTACCCTTGTACCACAAGCGTTGTGAATGGTTTCTTGGTAGATGGTTTTTAGATAAAATTGATGTCTCTACAAATGAGCCTGAAGATCATTCCACCACTTCTAGGCCGAAACGCCCTTCCATGCAACCCAATAGCAGAGGTCGTCCAGCCTAAGCAATGCCCTTTTCCAGCTCAAATCCCCAGAGACCAAAACGCCAAAACACCAAACATCAGGCCCACAAGTGTGCAGCAGATCATGTCGCTGTGCCTGCCCACGATGATTTACTTATTCAGGGTCCTGGTCCTGCCCGGGCCGGTATAATCCCAAGGAACGTACGCGCTCGCTACCGGGGTCGTGCGCAGGGTCGACTCAGAGGGCAGTCGTGTGGCGTGCAGCTCGCGCTGTTGCTGAATCAGGGGCCTGGCGTAGAAGGCTGCTTCACATGTCAGTCACTAGGGCCTGGTGACGGCGTGGCCTTGGGGTTTGGAGTTCAATGCTCACCAATTCCTGCGACAGCAGCCACGGAGACGATTCTCGCTGACAGAGGCAGTGCCTTTAATCTGGACGCCTTTGTGACGGCTGGCTGGATGGATGGGTAGTCGAACTTTGGGAGAGCCGAGCCATAGGAGTTGGTAGTCATGATGGGCAGCTTTTATATGCTCTTGTTCTTGGTGGCGGTCAAATTGCCGGGGTAAACGTCTTGCGTTGATGGTGTTCTTGTTGGGAAAGATGGGTGATGATGGTCTGCTTTCTACAAGCCGAGAGCACCATCTCGAGCAGAAACCACTTAAATATCTGAAGATGGGCCCCGTTATTTCATATTGTCCACATGGTCTTGATCCTCTCTACGCACGACATGAGCCTCCGTGCTGTGCTTGTCGGGGCGTGTCACGGAGTGTCTCGCCGGGCCGGAATGGCATGATGGGTTACGGTCCCTCATATGTTGGGTGGCATGAGCCCTGGCGAGGGTGGAGCCACCTGCTGCGAGCCCGAGGCGGCGCCAAGGCCCAGCTTTGTACGACATGATCTCCTGCCCTGTAAAACCCACGCCTGCAGATTCGAACCTAGATCAGACTGGCTACCATTCTCCGTACGGGCGTTGGCTGGGGTAGGACGGGGCAGGCTGACCATCTCCGCATCCCTGATTTGATCCAGATCTGTCACTCTGCAAGGGGCGGGGCCTGCCCTCGATGGGTGCTGGATGGCGCGAGAAGTGGGATGTTCATCGACACGGGGTATTGGGGTAGGGTGTGTTTTCGCGGGGAGTTGCTGGGGCCCGGGAATTCCAGCGACTCGCCACAGCCTTGCTGTGGGCTCCGGGTTATTCTCGTGACACATCTGAGAAGAGCACTGCCTTATTACTGCATTGCATCACTGCACTGGTGATGTCTCTTGCTTTTCCTACCTGGACTTGCCGGCTGCCAGGTAATCAGGGTTATCAGGAACTGTCCTCCGATTCTCCATATCTCTGTTCCTGCCTCATCCCCTGGCTGCCGCCTGGCCCTGTCTGTGTCACTGCAAATCTTTTCTTTCCTGGTGTTTGCTTTTCTCAGATGATTGGAAAAACATTCCAGTCCGTGATAGCGACAGGGGGCAGGACAACACGAGTTACTGGGCGACAGAATCGACTGACGTGTGGAAACTCACCCTCATAATAATAAGAGCCCTGTGATTGGCAATTTCATGCTTCGCAATAGCATTGGTCTCCCCGACACCAAAGGGTTTACACGAGCAGCAACGTGTGTTTACCTGCCAAGTGTCGCAGACACTTCTGGCTCCCTCGCCCGGCAACAGAGGAAGCACAGATCTGGGGATATTAGGATTTCTTTGGCTGCGGTGCCCCCATTCATGCAACTGTACCGGTGTTTTGCAGGATCAGCCAACCCTGTGGCAACAGGCAAAATGGCGATCCGAGTGGCGGGTGCGAAGCGGCAGGGTGACCAGACTGACTGCACAACATGCTGCTCATAGGCAGAGGACGAGTGTCGGCAGCCAGGCAGCCAGGCAGCCAGGCAGCGTGGACTAGAGCATGCTGGAGCACATGCTGTGCGACCACTCTGGGCAAGTAGAACGAGGACGTGAACCGAGTTTCCAACACCACCAAAGCCGGCTCAGGGCCACGGTGAAGAGCTAGCGGCGCAGGCCGCGGGCGGCGAGGTCTGGGTGGAAGCAAGACGGTAGCCAATTGCCCCGCAGGCATCAATGCCCTCTTGAGAGAGAGACCACAGTCAAGCACTCATACTCCGTAGACGGTAGAAGCCACTGGCACTGCGACTTGGCATCCGGGGCTGTCTCGGTGCCCAGGTCTGGTGCCGGTGTGCTCCAACGGCCAGCCCGTCCTGATGGTAATGCGTGTCACCACAGCAGCTGCTGTTGTGACCAGTGGTGGCCGTCGCAGCGGACAGGTCAGTTCTCGAAGGCGGCCCGGCAGTGTCGAGGCTGGCTGCAAACTGGATCCGGCCGCGGGGATTAGCACAGCATGTGGAGGGCACAACTGTGTGCTGTGCAATAACAGGCAGAGGCCGACTCGTCAGCCAGCTGTTGTTATTGTTGTTGCGTGGCCATGTGTGTGCCTGGTGGGCAGCTGGGCCTTCCAATCAAGGAAGCCCGGCATCCGAGACGAATTGTCTCCGTCTTGGCTGAGCTTCCAGAAAATTCCCCGAAACGTCGGTTGGGCGTTGGTCAGCCGGGGGCCGGGGGGGAGATACACACGTCAGGTTGTGGGAGCCTGTCTCGCCGGACACGTTTTGGGCATGCAGAGCGCAGAGAAGACAGGCGGCCGGACCGTTGTGCGCGAATGCCGTGTAAACATGACCGGCATGTAAAAGGGGGAGGGGGGAAGGGCGATGGGCGATGGACGATGGGCGATGGGGCCCACTGAGTTTCTGCAACCTCGACTTGGCTATTTTGAAGCAGGCGGCCCTGCAGTCTGGCAAGTCTGGCCCTCCCGCAAAGACAATACAGACAGACCTCGCCAACGTGCATGCACCTGACAGCTTGGGCAGACGGTGCTTTATTGTTAATCGATCCATGCGCCTGCACCTGCACCTGCCTGCACCGTTGCCGCCCCACCGCCGTCGCAAACACCAACCAGCAGCTGTTGTTGGCCCGACCTTGCATTTGGATATTGGATCAATCACATCACAAGGTGCTGTCAGCAGTCTCGTCCAAGCTGGGCGTCCTGAAAGTACCGGCAGTCGACTTGTCCTCAGTCTGTCTGTCGTTTCTGCACCCGCAGGTGCATAGAGTAAGTGCATTTCTTTGCATGTTCCTAGGCTGCTCGCAGACCCCCACTGGGACTGTTGGGAAAAAGGGAAAGAAAATAGAAAGAGAAAAAGAAACAAAACAGGACTAACAGGACTAACAGGACTAACAGGACCCCTCCACCAGACGTCTAGTACGGACAGACCCATGCCCCCATCCTGACCCTGACCCGACAGCAAGAGGCTCAAGTACTACCGCAGTAGATCACCAGGGCCGGGGCCAGGGTGTCCAGATCCAAGGGTCCACCTGAGCCGGCTGGAGCTACCCCACAATCCTGGTCCTGTACGGAGTACGGAGAACGGAGTACAGGTGGGCAAGCTTGAGCTCCCAAGAGCTGTGCCACAGTACCAAGAACAGTATTGTGCCAGTGCCCACCCAGGCCCGCCACCCCCCCCCCCCCCGACTTCCGCCCGGCCCAGCCCAGCAGCTTTGCGTGCATCCGCTGCGTGCGTGTGACGAAAGCTCCCTGGAGCCTTGGGCGGCCCCTCGACGAGCCTCGAGCCTCTGACTTTGATCTGGGCCTCGACTAACAGAGTACCAACCAACTTCCTTTCCTCACTCACATCTACCGCCGCATTTCCGCTCAACGGCAGGCCTGCACACCAAGAGTCGTTTCGTTCCCTTGGTTCGGTTCCAAAGCTGCGGCCAAGTCACCTGGCCCGCATCTGCCGCCTGTCTCTCATCCACCAGTCAGTGTCCAGGTCCGGATCTGTGCGTGGTCGCGGCAAGCACCCGGAGCTTGGTTGCTTGGGGAGCTCAGCCGTCAAGCCGCCGGCAACACCCATCGACACTTGGACCTCTCCGAGACTCGTTGACGACTCTACTAGTACACGAGCTGGTCTTGGAATCCAGACACAAACCACCACTGGCAGTGAACCCCGACCGCTCAGAAAACCATCGCCTGCGCGTCTCGCACTCACCACCGCCACCTCCACCTTCTGAGGCGCCCTCTCCCCCGTTCCGCCTCGCAGGCCCAGCTTCGAGCTGTGCGACCGACCAACCGACCGACCGACCGACCGAACCACCACAACCTTTCTTTCTTTCTGCCCCTGATCCGGCATTCCTCGAGCCACACCTCACCATCCTCGCCGTTCCTCGCGTCAACAGCCCAGTCGTCGCCACGGTTGGCAACTGATCACGCCTCCGCGCACTCCGCCAGCATGGATGACATATCAGACGCCCACTCTTCCTCTGCCGCAGCCATGTCTGCTGCGGCCGCAGCACAAGCTGCCCATTTCCTCGTCCAGAACTTGTCCTCCGTCGACACGATATCTCGCTCTACGTCACCGGGCGTGCCAATCCTGACCCCGGATGAGGACGACAAGAAGCGATACCGCCCGAGGACATTCGCCTACTTCTCCCAGCTGCCCTTCGCCGTCGAGGAGGACCACGAGCGCGACGAGGCTCTGCAGGGCATCCTGAAGAACCTGTATATCGCTGTCAAGGCTGAGGACTTCGCCCCCGGTGCGATGCACTGGACCAGGGAGCTACAAGGATGGTTGAACCTCAAGTTCGAGATGGTTCGCGAGCTGCGCGCCACCCTCGCCCAGCTCTACTACCACCTCGCCCTGGCGCCCGGCCTCGACAGCAACACCGCCGATCGTTTCACCAAGATGGTCATCACTCTCACCAAGTATGCAACAGTTCCTCCCCGTTCCTCCCCTTCCACCCCTGCTCACACGTCTCTTCAATAGGAAAAAGACCTACCTGAAACCAGGCGACGACCTATTCCTCGACTGGCGGCCGTTGTGGAAGGAGTTGAAAGGTCTGGTTCTGCCTTCAGAAAGCGCCGCGCATCAGTCAAGTAGAAGAAAGAGCGGAAGGCACCTGCTGAGGCTAGCCATGCACGCGCAGACATATTTCGACCCAAGCGACCGACAGGAGATGCTGGGTGAATTCCTGCCTCTGTTCAGCACCTCCGACCTATCCTGCGCGTACATTGCAACGGCCGCTATAAATGTGCTGGTGCCGACTGCGCCGTCGTTGCCCTCGCAGCCCCTTTCTCAGCCTTCCGACTACCTGCCCACATACTTCCACCTCTGGTCGCTCATGACGAGGTCCAAGTCTTTTGACATCTTCTTCCTAGACATCTACTCACGCATAGCAAGAGACTACCTCAGCTGCACTCATGTGCCGTACACCGAGCATGGTATATTTACCAAGGACCAGTCAGACCTCATCTTCACCGCCATACTCCGTCTCACTGAGGTCCCCGTGGGCCAGGCAAACTCGCCATACACTGCCCTTGACTATTCCATGGGCGCCGCCGTGTTTCTCGAGAGAGACAAGAAACGACACCCGGTGCCGCACATCGTTGCTAGGTGGATCGTGCACTCTCTGTCCCCCAAGTGCCTCAAGGCCGAGAGCTCCGTCATGGCCAGCCTAGAAGGCCTGATCGAGTCTATTGATACCTTTTTCCACCCGTCAAATCAAGGCTCGTGGACCAACTTTCTGGCACAGTTCGTCTTCTTCCTCACCCACGGTTTCGTGTCCAGGTGGAACCGTGAGCAGGTCGGCGAGCTTGACACACCGGCTGATCGGAAGATCACCCCGGAGCTCAGGAAACGCTTCGTCCTTGCGCTCAAGGAGGTCACCTTCATGGGCCTCTTTGCGAAGAGCATGAAAGCGGTCAGTTATTACACCAGCACACTACAGTGGCTGGCTTACCTCGAGCCAGACATCATTCTGCCTGGCGCATTGCAAAGATTCTACCCTAGTCTGCAGGGCTTGGTGGAAGTGCACCGCACCACATCCAGCCTGAGCGGCCTCATGATGATTGCAAATGTCATGTCAAAACACAAGGGCTTCAGGTGTCACCTCACAGCTTTGCTGGCCCTGGCACTACCCGGCATCGACGCCAACGACTTGGGCAAGACACAATACACGCTCAGCTTCATACAGAGCGTTGCGTACAGCATTCCGTTTGTGCCACTGGTCAAAGAGGGGTCTGAGGTGCGGGACACGGGCCTCGCTGTGCAATGGGTCCAGGGCGAGATGGACCGCATGGAGCGCGAGGGCCAGGATGTCCAGATTAACTACCAAGAAGAGTTGTCAGACGAGGACGAGGCCAACATTGTCCGCTCCTCCACCGCTGCCTTCGGGGAGTTCGTCCTTACTTTACTTGGCAAAGTTTTCACCCTCCTAGAGAACCTGCCCGACGCGTCACAAGTGCGCGCCAACTCCCCAGAAGACAATGTCATCAACACCCTACCCGCGGCTCTGACCCCGCTTTTTGCGTCGTTGTCGCCGGAGCTCTTCGACCAGGCTTTGGAAAAGGTAGCGGCTTTCGTTTCGTCTCATGTCGTGCATCAGGCCAGAGATGCCATGGCCTGGATTTGCAATGCCCTCTGCAAGGTCAACCCAGAGAAGACTCTCAAGGCGTTCATCCCCATGCTCATCGTCAATATCCGTAATGAGATCGATTACAATGGTGCTGCGTCGGATCGCAGCAGCGGAACTGATGTGTTGCCACGGGACCGCGCTCTTGTATGGCACGTGAGCATGCTGAGCATGACGGTCGTCAACGTCGGCGCCGAGGTTCTCAAATACAAGACAGAGCTATTTGACATCGCCCAGTATATGCAAGACAAGTGTCGCGGCATACCGACCATACACATATCAAATTACATACACCACTTGCTACTGAACCTGACTCATACCTACTCCGTCGATACAAATCTGTACGAGCCAGAGGTGATCAAGAGGGGCTTGGATGTGGACGACTGGGGCAAGACAACGTCTCCGGCAGACTTGACCATCAAATGGCACCGGCCATCCACAGAGGAAATCCAATTTGCCGTCGAGCTCTTCGAGTCCCAAGCCCACGGCGCATCTGAGAGGCTAGAATCGCTAATGAGTGACCAAACTCCTGTTAGCCGCAAGGGCAAGAACAAAGAATGGGGAGACGAGGTCTCAAGGCAACTTACACAGCTGAGGCTCGTCATCTCTGGTGTATCCGCCCTGTTTGATCCGAAACGAGCTGCTGGCGAAGCGAATGGCCAGAGGACAGAAGATGGCAGGATTGAAGCAGATGGCGATACCATCATGGACGAGGACGAAGACCCTCTGGCCGAAGTTGCCGACGATGAAGAACTGAAGCGCCAGTACCGGTACCCATCCGGATACATCCTGGATGCGAAGAGCCCGTTGTATAATCGTATTCACGAGCTTCGGGAGGATATCGGACGGCTCCTCTCCAAAACTCATGGTTTCCTCAATACCAACGCGGAGGATGATGTTACCTGCTTCACCGCCTTGTACGCCACATTCCGCACGTGGATCACCGATGTTGGCATCGAGAGATCTGCGCACCCGCTGGAGCGTCTGTCGAGGCTGTACAAGGCCGACATCACTCCGTTCAAGATCCCCGGCCTGCGCAAGGTCTATCCTCGTCCGCTTCTGGTGAAGCGAGCAGATGCGTATCAACTTCAGCGGGTGAAATACAATGCCTCGTATCGGCAAAAGAGCGACCTCGACAAGCGGCTTCTCCTTGATCTTGCTGAATCTTGCATATCCTCATACGCCGATGTCCGAAGAGTCGCACAGGGCGCACAAGATTCGTCGCTCAAGGTGCTTATCGGTGGTCGTCCTCTGGTAATCCCAGTCATACTTGAGAAATACCGCAAGGCTCTCCAGGACAACGATCACGACCACATCAAAGGCGCAATGTACACTTTGCTCTTCACGTCCCTGACGAAGACCCTATTGAAAGACTGGCGTTTTGCCCCTGACCTGATGCGACTGTACATTCAGACGGCCAGCGTTGACAAAGCCTCGATACAGCGGCTGCTATCTACCGCGCTCTACCCCCTGCTCGACTTTGGTAAGCCCTTTGAGCGCATGGTGGTGGTAGATGCCAAAGCTGTGGACACGATCAAGCCAGCGGAGGATTGCTCGAAGGTCATACAAACGAGGCACGATTTTATTCTTGAGCGCAGGAAGAGGGTCGAGACCAAGAAGGGAATGCTGGGGCTCGAGCTCATCGAGAAAGCCAAGGGGGCACATTGGAAGGTCAGCCTCAAGTGCGCCATTTTTGCAACAAATATGGTCCTCCGGTTCGACACGCTTGCGCCACAACAGTTTGTGGACTTGGTCGTCAACGGCACAAACGATGATCACCCAGGCTTGCGAGCCAACTACCAGCTCGCATTCTCCAACATCTTCTCAAGCATCGACCTGAGAGCCGTTTACAGCCACAACTACCGCAACTACCTGCTGGAAGAGGACTCAGACAACGTCAAGTTGGAGATTGAGGTTCCGGCTAACGACCCTGAGTGGACTGACAAATTCATCAGCTCCTTTGGCAGGCTCGACAAGGCTGACTACTTTGTCGATGCTGACCACCCTGGATGGCTGGTCTGGGGCAAGAAGTTCAACGCGTCCAAGGCTGATCCTGAGCCCTTTACGGCATACGACGAGACAGAGAAGAGGGTAAGGGAGCAGGTCGGAAAGCTCCTGACCAAAGAGTGGTTCGCAAAATGCTTCGAGTTCATGAAGCAAGAGCCTCGAGATGCGAGTGCAGACAAGTTCCGCATGCAGAATGTGATCCTTCTTATGCATGTTTTCGACTTGATAAACTACGGCATGACAGCTGTCAAATTCGAGGACATCAAGGAATTGGTTGAAGAAATCTACGGAGACGGGAGTGACAAGCACCAGCACAGGGCCACGGCAGAGATCCTAGGCGCCATGCTGTCAGGCGGCATCGATGATCCCCGAGAATATCGAGACAAGGTCTGGAGTTTCGCGGGGCCGATGATGCTCAAGATCTTCGACGACTCCCTGACGCCAGAGAACCTCCAGTACTGGATGACATGCCTCCACCTGACGGTAGACGCCAAGGATCCCCGGCGTTCCCGTGAGATAGTCGAGAGCTTGAGCTCCTTCAGACTGGACATGTCCTCCAACGCTGCCTTCAAGGAAGCCGCCAAGGTTCAACTGCTCGAGCTCGTCATCAACGACGCCGGCTGGCACTTCCAGCTGGAGAAGCCAATTCTGGAAGACTTCCTGGCTCACATTGACCATCCATACAAATCTGTGCGAGAATCCATTGGTCGGGTGATCGCCACAGTCTATCGTACACGGTATCACGAGTCCTTCCCCAACGTGACGAAGTTGCTTGAGGCCAACAAGGCGGAGTCTTCTGTGGGCATTCGGCCTTACCAGCCAACAGCAGAGTTCTCTGCTACTGTCAAGGAGGTGTTCGCTCGCCTCGAAAAGTGGCGACACGAGCGGACTCCCGGCCAGCAGGAGCCATCCAGCTACACGAATGGATCAAAGACGGTGCTCACCTGGCTCGACTCAATGCTGAGCTCCCAAGAATGCACCCAGCTCGTCCCGTTCTTCCCGGATCCTTTCATCGACCAGCTGCTTCATATGATGGACGTCAAGGAAGACCCAGAGCTCATGCGGCTAGCATATCACGTATACCGACACCTGGCCAATATCTCGTTCCGTGAGGGCGAGGACGAGGCTTTCATCAAGGCTCTTATCCGCATAGGACGGTCTGCTTCCTCATGGCACCAACGCCTGCGCGCGCTCGTGAACATGCAAGTCATATACTTCCGACGACTCTTCTTAACGGCACCTAAGCACAGAGAGATGCTCTTCGAGGCCGTGGGCGACATGCTCTCTGACACACAGCTCGAGGTGCGGGACTGCGCGTCCAACACACTTGCCGGAATGATCCGTTGCTCCCCAGTATCTCTTCGCACCCCCATCATCAAGAGTTTGATTGAAAGATTCAAGCAACAGCTCAGAGAAAATCCAATGCCAAAGCGCAAGCTTCCGGGGACAGACACGCCAGTGGACACCCAGAAGCAAGTAGTGCGACGCCATGCCGCCGTCCTTGGTTTGGGAGCGCTCATCGAGGCTTTCCCTTATGCCACCCCGCCCCCACCATGGATGCCAGATGTTCTCGCACATCTGGCCAGGAGGCCCGCCACAGACCCGGGAGTTGTGGGTAAAGCGGCCAAGACTGTGCTAGCAGAGTTCAAGAAGACGAGGCAGGATAGCTGGACGGTTGATCAGAAGGTAAGCCTGACTCCCTTGATGTGTCCTTGTTGAGACCGCCCTCCGCATGCTGACGCCTGGTTCCCGTGCAGTACTTCACGCCTGAGCAGCTTGAGGATTTGGAAGGCGTGCTTTGGAAGAGTTACTTCGCTTGAACACGTTGCAGACACAAGTTCGCGTGACTCGCGAAGGATTATGTGGGTGTGAGATCGCCGCATTATTACCACCCACACCTGGGCCATAAAAGAATAGGAATGAGGTGACCAGCTCCGGACCCCCTGATGAAAGATGGCCTAACAGAGGCGTGTCACCTAAATGATCAGGATGAGGTCAGGAGCGCCCAAACACATACCCACACATGGCGAGGCGGATTCAACGACCATTAACATCTCCGGCAGCCAGGCGTGCCATGACTGCCAAACATGTCATCATGCATGTTGCTTGCTTCATTATATGGACGAAGAGGTGGCACCCGCTCACCCACAGGCGAATCTGCGCACGCGTCCCGAGGGCCGTGGCCGGTGAGCGGCTGCAGGGAATCAAACCACCCTGGAGGGGGCTTGTACATGTACAGTCAGCTTGTTTCCTGTAGAATACAGCGAGGGCGGTGTGTCATTCACCATGACCGCCGCCTAGAATGCCAATCCTTTTGTGCATGTATTGTTGGTCTGGGGGGGGGGGGCTTTTGCTTTTTCCACAAGTAAAACCCCCCCGCCTGATGAACTAGACTTCTGTGCCGCACACGGACAGGGCACAGAGCACAGACAACGGTTATGATGTTGCTGATTAATTTGACACTTGGCTGCGGTCGGGGACAGGATGGACATTGTGGAGGGGGCTGCCGGCGTCAGCAGGTAGTACCGGTAGCCTCGGACACCTCAACCTGCGCTGACCTCTCTGTAAAGTATGCGGCTCTAGAACAAGTCGAAGCAGCACACATACCGCGTGCTCATCTCATCTCCGGGCCACATCAGACCGAGACCCAAGCGACGAGCACCAACGCAGACCGAGACCATGCCTCCACCACAAGGAAACCCAAACGTTCTCGAGGGGCCAGGTAAGCAGGAATATATGCCGTCTTACATGAAAGAACCCCCCCCCCCCTCCCCCGGCGGATCACGCATCAACGCTTTGTCGTCAGATTGAGTCATCGTTGACCAATATTCCCCTCACCTGCAGGTGATTACAGCGTCACAACCAAGGTCCACAGCGACACGTACCCAGCCATCGACCCCAGCAAGCTCGATCCGACCCTCCTCAAAGGCCGAGCCGTGTACATCTGCGGCGCGTCCAGGGGCATAGGGAAGGCCATCGCCACGTCATTCGCGCGCGGCGGCGCCTCCCTCATCGCCATCGGCGCCCGCGCCACAACCTCCCTGGAGCCTGTGGCCGAGGAGCTGAGGGCGGCGGCGCGGGACGCCGGGCGGGAGGAGCCGCGGGTCGTGTGCGTTGCGCTGGACGCGTCGTCGGCCAAGAGCGTGGCATCCGCGGCCGAGTCGGTGGGGCGCGAGTTCGGCAGCCTGGACGTGGTGGTGCAGAACGCGGGCATCATCGGGCCCCCCACGCGCATCATCGACGCGGACCCAGACGACTGGTGGCGGGTCTGCGAGGTCAACCTCCGGGGCCAGTTCCTCACGGCCAGGAACTTCCTGCCGCTGCTGCTGGGGAAGCCAGAGGGCCTGCGGACGTTCGTCACGGTCGCCAGTGTCGGCGCGCACCTCCTCAACGAGGGGTACAGCAACTACCAGTCCAGCAAGCTAGGGAACCTGAGGCTTGCCGAGTTTGTGGACCGGGAGCATGGCCGTGAGGGAGTGAGCGCGTGGTGCGTGCACCCGGGCAATGTCCTGACTGATATGGCCGGTGGCCCCGACGGCGAGGTTGCTCGGACCATGAGCGATAGTGAGTCTATTTCTCTCCTCCCCTCAAGTTGCACGTGTATGTCTTTGTGTGAACTATTTCTGATGCCATGTCTCAGTCTTCGTGGATACTCCCGAGATCAGCGCTGACACAATCGTCTACCTGACGGCGGAAAAGCGCCAGTGGCTGAGTGGGCGGTACATCAACTGTACGTGGGACATGCCTGAGCTTCTAGCGCAGGAGGATGAAATTGTCAAGGGTGATAAGTTGAAGGTGCGACTCGTCATCTGAGACGACAATCTAGGCTGTACAGAGTTTGTGTGACGGGGCCATATTTAGACTTTCGGGCCCTGGACTAGGAGCTTATCTCGTACTTCCCCTCTATGTATGCCCCCTGAGCAGCTCTGCATAGCTCTAGTAGCTACGTTTCACCTGAATTGATGACACTTGGGGAATGGCAGTCGCATTTTCCGAATCATAAAAGTGTTTGTCTACAGGTGGCTCAGGATCAAATCGGAAACATATGTTAGTAAGTTGAGAAAATAATATCTCCTCACTTTGGGTTTTTGAGTCTGCGATGTGAAATATAATTTACATCGCGCCCTCAGTGTAGAGTGATGGCTTCCAAGGTTTGCAATCTTTCCTGACTACTTACCAAAACGAAATTCTATAGGTTGCCACCTCTACCTTCCAGTTGGTAGCAAGGTGACAATCTCGGGGATTTACCCATGGCTACTTTTATAATCTGTGGTCTCGCTCCCCGTCCAACACATCTGAACTTCTTTATTGTATGCTATCACTTCCGCAGAAGAACCCCGGATATGTTAAGTTCGAATATCACGCTACTGGCACAGGCGAACTATCAGAAAACTTCAGGACTCGTCCGCTTCGCTAAGATGAACTCTCAAAACCCACTCTACATATTTCCACTTATATTTGCTGCAAAGATGTTGAGGCCATCGACTGACACTTTTTGAAGGAACAATTGCAAACTTGTGTCCAGCATTCCTTGCACAGACACGGCCAACCCAACAATTTACCGAGTTTCTGGGGTTCCTAAATGAGGCTCAACTGCGGGCCTGGGTCAGCAAGAGAAACTTCCAAATTGGATGGATAGTTTTCGACTCAAGATTGAAGAGTGCTCCATCTCAGTGCCAACAAGTGATTGGGCGGGCTTCTCAACCCCGCTCTTGCGGCTGAAGCGTCGTCGCAAGCTGTGGCTGAAGCCGTCACATTGATCCATCACTAGATGTTGGTTCTCTTTTGGGTAAGGCTACAGCTTCGAGACTCCCATCACCATTTGTGCGGGTGGCTCATGATGTCATTCTGGATTCCCGTGATGCGTGTTTCCTGCACATTAACGACCGAGGATCAGATCCTGCCCTCATACTCACCGCCGGACTGATCCGCATTGGAATGTGGCTAGATGGACACGACAATAAGGCGCACACAGCCCACCTGGGCAAGCGTGGATGAGTCCGAAGGGCCGGAGGGGAAGGGCGGGCCACCAGGAAGTGCCAACGCGTGCAGATGAGCCCGAATCACGGATGTGGCAAAGGATGTAGGCACACTCCTGAGACGCACGTCATCAAAGCGAGGGCGCAGGGCCGTCCAGTAAGGAGTGGAAACTGGACAATTCTAGCCTTGGTTGAAGAGAGTCCGCCGCTTTCGTTGGGCACTCTGGAGCCCCAGTGGCGTCAGCTGCTGATATACTACTGCAGTCTCCAGCCCGGTGGGAAATATCGAGCAGCCGGAAAAGGGTCCTGTGACCGACGGTGAGCTGCATGATCCTTCCCACCGTTACATCCGAGGGGTCGCTCGGCTCAGCCCTATAGGCCATAGGGCCTCAGATAACCTTCACCGATGAGTGATTGTGGAACTGGCTGCCCGGGCCCACGGGTGGTGGGGAGCAAGACGTGTCAGAAAACCAGAAGACGCAGCGCCGGATTAGTCAAGAAGAACCAGAACGTCTTGTCCCTGCCTTGTTCCTCTGGAATCATCTACTGACTCGAGCCGTGCAGCCCCCAACCGTCTTACTAAGTGGCTTTCCTCGTGCGATATGCCCCCCACACATGTGCAACCCCGGAGCCTCAGCCCTATTACACGGACCCAAACCCATCGAGTCCAGATCCAGGCCGACGAGCTAAGTCGTGCCCCACGGAGCATTTTCCCTGTCTGCAGGGTCAGCAAGCCCAACAACTTCCGGGCTTGGCTAAGCCGGGCCGTCCATCAATCACCACGAACCGTCGCTGCTGCCGGTGAGAACAAGCCCTGTCGTCGCGGAGCACCACTGTCGTCCCGGACTGGGACCACACCGGGACATGCGGCTCATTTTCTCACACCGGCAGGGCCGACCTTGGGTTTCGTAAGCGTTCACGTCAGCCGAAGGCAGAAGTCGTGGGGTTCGTGCTGCGTTCGCAGGTCTAGGTCCGGGTCTAGTCGCTGTTGGCTTGTGAGTATGGTTGTGAGTGCGAGTGCCCACTGCCAGTGAGTGTGCGTGTGATATGATGGGCCCATGGCGTTGGTGTCCGTGCCGCAGTGACCTTCTTACCCGATCTGAACAACGGCATGAACCCCTCCAGGGAGAGACGCATGGTGGCTGGCTGGCTGGCTGGCTGGCTGGGTGTGTGCGTGTGTGGATGGGTGTGATGTGGTGTGCCACAGTGTGTCCTGGAGTATATAGCGGACGTGGTGCCGGTGTCTATTCAAGCTGAACAACGCACCATGCCATCGTATTCCCTTACTCTCTCTAGACATAGACCAGTTGACGGCAGGTGCCACTGCGTCCCTTCCGATCCCACAGACGGCTCTCGGTCACAGTGATTCATATCGTCCGTCGCCAGTAATAGTTACCAGTTACCTTTGAGTACCTTTCTTTCAACTCTGCTTTCCTGAACCACGCAGGACAACGCAGAACCGCGCAAACACAAGATGGTCTCACACAACGTTCCGTCTCTCGTCATGTGGAGGGATCTGACGCCCTACCCCGGACGCCTCATACAGTCGTCAGCAGCTTCTCCCCACGTCCTCATCGTCGGTGCAGGGGTAACGGGCCTCGTGACCGCCTGGGTCCTTCTGGATAAGGGGTACAAGGTCACCATCGTGTCCAAGGACTGGGCCAACTTCACCCCAAGCAACCGACTCACAGCACAGATCGCGGGTGCCCTCTGGGAGTACCCTCCTGCCGTCTGTGGAGCCCACACCGACCGCATCTCTCTTTCCAATTCCAAGCGCTGGTGCATGACGGCGTATCATGCCTGGGATGCCATCGCCTCTCTGCCCGAGCTGAGTCGTGCCTCCGGGGTGAGGATGATGCCCTCGGATTTCTTCTTCCCAGCACCAATCGAGAAGGATCCTGCACAGTTCTCCAAGATGGCTGAGATCATCTCCAGTGGCGTCAAGGGATTCCGACAGGACAGCAAGTTGATGGAGCAGCGACACGTAAACCCAAGCTACGGTGCTGTCGATGCCTATGAGTTGCTGGCCCCCATCATTGACACAGACCAGGCCATGATGTGGCTGATGAGTCTGGTCCACGGGAAGGGAGCCACCACCGTGACCGAGACAATCACCGGAGACCTGCTCCACCAAGAAGACATCCTCCGCGAGCGCTTCGGCGTTGACGCCATCGTTAACGCAACCGGCCTCGCAGGCACGGAAATCGCCGGCGACGCGACATGTTACCCGATCCGTGGTGCCCTGATCCGGGTCATAAACGACGGCAAGAACTTCCCCAAGGTTGAGGCCGCCCTGACCATAACTGCTGATGCGATACACGACTCCAACGAGATCGTGTTCCTGGTGCCTCGCAACGACAACATCCTCCTCATCGGCGGCATCGCCCAGCCGCACGAGTCCACCCTCGACCTGACCCTCGACTCGCCCGTCGTGAAGCGCATGCGCGAGCGCTGCGAGGCCTTCCTCCCTGGCCTCAAGAACGCCCGCCTCGACTCCATGTACCCCCTGGCCCAGGGGCTCCGGCCTTTCAGGCAGAGGAATGTTCGAGTCGAGAGGGAGCTTCGAAACATACCTGGCACCGACAGGCCGAGCAGGATTGTGCACTCATACGGACAAGGAGGAGCCGGGTGGAGTCTTTCTTTTGGGTGCGCTGGTGATGTCGCAAGCCTGGTTGAAGATGCAATCTGCGACCTGATGCCAACGCCAATGGAATTTGATCACTCATATTCCGACGGGACTGAATCCTATGGGACAACGACGAGTTCTTTTGTCTCCGTCAGCATGAAGAATCACGATGAGTGATGGGATTTTGCGATGAGCGTTGGCATGGACGATGTCTTGGGTGATCAGGTTTCAAAGACCTCGAGCTGGCACTAGAGATATTCTCTTGTTAGCAGTCCACGTGTAATATTTCTCTTTTCGTTTTGATTTTGCTAGGGAGGTTCAATGGCCCGTGACCCAGTATATTGGCCTTTCCGTTTGGGAATGGGACTTGTTATTACGAAGAACTTCGTCGTGGCCAAAGTGGGCAGGAAAATTTAGAAAGTTATCACTTTGATAGCAAAGAGATTGATAAAGACCCTACCATTCTGTGCATGAGTTCCACGGTTTCTCCACTGTGTCATCATACCTGGAACATTTCGCATATGCTGTGTAACCACAGAGCTAACCTCGTGAGGGCTATCGAGATGTCCGCACCGAGACTGCGCCAATACAAGCGAGAATTGTATAAAGCTACCGGTTCGAAGCTGATCCGGTGTCCAATATGTAAATATAAGAGGACAAAAGATAGAATCACGGCCCAGAAGATCAAGTGGTGTCGTAACTTGAAGAAGCATCGCGATATCGGCGCACTTGGAAAAGGCTCTCTCGCGTCGGCACTGGGATTCCGGTGTGACGGGCCATTCGGCTGTTGAGGATGCCGTCTAAAATGGATCCCGATGGATGCGTTCCACGTATGGTCTCGAAGATTACGGTGGCTTCTGTTCATCGCGCTACCCAGGTGCCGGACTGGCGTGGACGTGTTTCTTGAGGCGGGTAGCTTGTCAGCTAAAGAATGCCAACAGGAAAAGCCGAAAGAGGGCCACGCAGAACTCTATCAGTCAGTCTCCTCGTGCTGTCTAAATGGAATGGAATTTGTACCAACGTCCTCAAAATGCAGCACCTTTAGAAGCTCTGGACTCTGAGACAAGATGAAGCGGCAGGTGGGCACCCATAATATTCAGCTGCTTCATAGCAAACAAAGAAGACAAGCTTAAGCCCACGCGGGCCATTGCGGCTGCGAACTAGTTCTTTACAGGCGGAAGATGATCCCATCCTTGTTGGCGTCTCAAAAAGTCTCAGATCTATCGTTATTCTAGCTTACGGCTTTTGCGATTGACAAGGTGGTCGGGAGTTCTTACCCTTGGGCATGTGTAATCCTGCCCAGATGTCGCTTGGCTGTCGAGGCTGACTAACTGGGTAGGCAGAGTGCGCACGAAATGATTCACAAGTGGGCGCATAATTCTTAGAGCCATTCAAATGGGTGACGTGAGGCCGGACGTCTTCTTCCAGAGCAATGAACAGGCATTTCTGCCGTGTCACATTGAGAGTTGCAAAGTTTCTATTTCGTTGGACGGTTCTTAGCCGTACTCAAACGGCGTGACGAGCACAGGACTTTCTCTCATGGTTCACAATAGTGCTGACGGGTCTTCGGATCTCATCTATCTTGTGCGACCCAAATATTGGGCTTGTGGAATCCGAGGCTGCTCGTTACTTTCCGGGGCGACACCACTGCAGTTCTTCGGCTTCGAACACCTGGGCACTTGGTAACGTTACGGCGCATATCAAGTATCAGCAGATACCAGGCCTTCTGGATTGAACATATTCGCTGCAGAAAATATGATTTTTGACTGGGAGAACTACCTTTTTGTTCTTATTTCGTATACGTCCGAAGTCATTCACGACGCCTTCATACAGTGTTAAGAGAATGCGAGGTTAAGAAACAAAACTTTCTTATGTGCTCTTCTAAGATCCCAGTTTCTACTCATCCATTAGTTGAGGCCGAGAGGTCTGAAATACCATCCCGACCGACGGTCAGGCGCAAGACCAAAGACATGGGCATCCCCAGCAGCAGCCACGACTTCAGCCGGAGGCTGGCAGTACCCATTCTTTGAAAACGGCTTGCATGTGGTGTCGCAAACAGTCCCATTCGAAGGGACGATTCCGTCATCGAAGTATGCCCTGATATGCTCATTGAAACACTCGCTCCAACCCGTGGCCGCGGCGCAGTGCCCGACTGTCTCATGGATCAACACTGCTGAGCCTGCATGGTCCTTTGACATCTTGTAGGCGGCGTGTAGCGGCGTCACTGGGTCCAGTCTGGAAGAAGTGAACAGGATCGGGGCAGCGGGCAGCCCTTCCTTCAGCTCAGGATCGGCCGGAGGTGTGCCCCAGGGACCGGCAAAGCGCCACTTGGGGCGGATGCGCCATCCAGAACAGGATGAGGGCACGGTCGACCAGAATGGACCGAATGTTGATGACTGGTTCATGACCGTCTCAACATGGTGCTTCCAATACTCGAGGCCTTGCTTCTCGCCGCCGCGATGAGGCCCGTCCGGATCAGCGTAGTCAGCGTCACTGCAAAGGATAGCGACTTGTGCATCATCTGGCCCGGGTTTTGTAGAGTTATCGATGCTACAAGCATCTTGAAGAACGGGTAGGGCGATCTCCTGGGCGATCAAGAAATAGTTGCCCCTGAGCGTCTCGGCCAGAACGGTGGCGAGAGACTCGAAGCCGGCTGGAACTGGGCGATACAAGGGTCTTTGCCAGTTAGAATCTCCTCGACCGACAGAAAAAGAATTATGAAGGTTGCTCACCGGAAAAATGCTTGTCGAATGTCAGTGCCCGTCATTACTCTCAGGTTCGATGAGCCATCATTCTGAACAAAGCTGATGGGGTTATCGTCGGCATCTGAGACCAGCTTGTCGATGCGAGCTCTGATATCCTTGGCCGACTTGTCACTTTTATTCCAGAGTGGACAGTTCTCTGCGCCGTCGAAACACGTATCATAAAAGTAATCCACAATCTTTTCAGTGTCGCGGAGATTGGTCAGCCAATCACCTTTGTGATAGTCTAATGGTGACGTTAGTCCTGCTGCGGATCCCAAAGTACCGCAGTGGTCCTTTCTAGAACAGTCTAAATTATATAGCACGGGGAATACAGGCACAAAGTGATGCTCACCAAAAACGTCGTCAACTCCATCTAGCACTACCCTGCCCATACGTCCTGGAAACATAGACGCAAGAGTATTGCCGAGGACGGTACCATAGCTGAAGCCCCAGTACAAGACACGGGCAGGCTTGTCGTGGGAGTCCTCGTTGCCGTCACCCAGAGGGTGCTGGGCTGCGAGTGGGGACAAGGTCCGCTCCGCACGTCGAAGCTCATCCGCCCGATCGGTAATCTCAATGATGTCCCGTGCAACGGCTGCCGTCGATACGTGCGCAAGAATGTCGTCTTCTGCATCCTTGGTCTCGCAGAGGCTTCCGAAAGCCGAGTTCAGAGCCAAGGCGCGTCTCAGAGCACTGTCACTTGAGCTGTGGGAGCAGAATTGTTGGGATCAGTGGAACACGACATAAGCGCCACTCTTTTCACATGTAAGAATTCTTACTCAAGTGCACCAATCCCCCTCGACTGTAGGATCTTCGAATCCCTTGCAAACATGTGACTTCCGCCGAAGCAGTCAGCTCTCGGAGTCGTGTAGGCTACACCACGAGGATCGAAGCCTAGGAGTTCATAATGTTTCTTGCCCTCGGTCATAGCTTGAAGCAGATGCCCAAAGCTCTGGACGAAGCCCACACCAGAGCCCCCAGGCCCTCCAGGGTTCAAGATGATGGTGCCGCCAAATGACGGGTCATGTCTGGGGACGGTGGCGGGAAGAGTGGTGATGGCGATGGCGATCGTCTTGGTGTTGTTGGCATCCTGCCAGTCCAGGCTGCGAATGATCTATTGTTAAGACAGGAGCATACACAGTATGTGATGTGGGGATTCAAGGACTTGGGGGTCGGTCATACGGGACGGAGAGCCTCGCGCATTGGTACCCATCGTAGCATGGATGGTACATTAGCTGTTCCGAAGGCTCGATGGTGGTCCAGTCGAAGTCGGCCGCCATTGCGATGCGCGCCAGCACGCCCGCAGCAGCTAGAGCACGGATATCCCACATGGTTAAGATATTTGTGAATAAAGTCTGATCAGTATTGGGTCATGTCTGATGACGATGAGCGGTCGTGCAAGAGGGGAGATAGAAAGTACCTGAGGCTGCTTATCTGCGGCGTTGAAGGTGCCCAGGTGGTACAGGCGCTAAGGTGAGGTGGATCAACATCCCTGCTCGCTCTTGCTCTCAAGTAAGCTGTGCATCTAACATCGGAGGAATGCTGCGACTTCTTGGTGTTTCTTACCCAAAGCTACAAGTCTAAGTCAGCCTAATCCCATCAGCACAAGTGAGAGTCGTCAATGATACGAAGGCCGCTATAAGGCCAGCAGAACCTTTGGAGGGCTTGAAAAGATACCAGTGTATATTTGTTCTTGTTTTTTTCGTCCTGCTAAAGTCGGACATGGGGTCTTTCTCATCACCTGTCTCGCAAATGACAAGAAATGCAGAGTCCAATGTCCTGTCGTAGGGGAAAAGAGCTTACGGTATAGCAGCCATTCCTGTGACGAAACACGCTACATAAGCTTCTCAAAACATTATCCAGGTAGACTCTTTGCAGTAACCATCCAGGTAGCCTAGCGCATTTGTAGGACCATTTAACGTTACCTGCTTAAGTGCTCATTGCTTTGCAGGCCATAGGACTAGCTCCTCAATTTTACACAGGCTTGTCCAATACTGGCACAGAGGCCCTTTGGATGGAGAGGCTCCCGAATGGAGAAGATGGCGAGCTGGACCAAGACACAAGACACGAAGCTGACCGTCCGATATCGAGGCGTATCCGAAGTGATATGACTCGACACTAATGTTGTTGAAGTCCAGCTGTCTGGAAGAGGGATTGCATTCATCCAATAACTGTTGGGTTTTCTCGAACAGCCCTCTTCAATGCCACGCCACACTGGCTTGTCTGAATTCCACGGCGGCCAGCCCACGCTTTGGGCCTGAGCCTGCAGTCCGTTGCCGAGGGGATGTTGGAAGCAGAAACGGTCGCAGCGAGGGCAGTCAGTGAAGTCAAACTTGGGATCACAGAGATTCATGCCGCTTCCAAGGTTGTTTCTGCCATCGGTCTGCGTTTGAGCAACCCTGCTGTTTGTGGGTAATTTCAGTGAGTGGCTGTACCTGAATACCTGAATGCCTTAAGTAGGTACTTAAGTACCTTTGACGGGCTGAGGCAAATCGGAGGCGCGCTTCTATCCACCAAGCAAAGCAATCAGCCTCCCCGGCCCTCCAAGGCTGCCGTTTTGTCGCACTTTCCATTTGTTTATCAACAGAATGAAGGCATGAGCTCCTGTTTACCCACCAACTTACCTTGCCGCTCTCAGGCTGCCCACGCAAGTTCTCCCCTGCACACTGTCGTGTCATTCGTGCCTCGAGCTGATCAGTCTCCAAAGCACGCCATGGAGTCTGGCCCAGGCCCTCCATTCATCCATGTGTCTGAGCCACAGACGTCGCAGATGCCAGAGCCACCCCAGAATCCTGTGCCACCGCAGCTTCAGCTGCCCCCGCTTCCCTCGCCGCCTCCGCTGCGTCCAGCAGCCCAGCCCATCATTCAACGTTCCCAAGCCATGAATGTGGTAGAGATCATTGATCTGACAGGGACTAGCGCCGACGAGGACGGTGGCGAGGGAGAGGGCGATGGCGATGGCGAGTGGGAATGGGAGGATATGCCCGATGTCATCGACTTGACAAATCTCCCCTCCGACTCGGACGATGACCATGATGCCGATGCCGAATCGCAGGACCGCTCAGTCCAGAACTTCACAATTCTCAACCTGCCTTCGCGCAACCGGTACACACTGGTCGATCGCCCTCCCATCGCAGCCCCGACACACCCGCGCCGTCGCTTGCGAGCCCCTCCTCGAGCACTTCCAAAGGTTGCTACGCGTGCTGCCGCGCGCGTTCCTGTGCGCCGGGACGTTTGCGAGCTCTGCAACCGCGTCGTCCGCTGGGGCCCTGGCTGCCTGATCACAAAGCACCACCTCTACCCACAAGAGATGACCAAGAAGTACCCGGGTAGATACACCCCGGCCCAAAAGAACTCACTCGCCCTCCTCTGCCGCCCCTGCCACGACGTCTGCCACCGGGCCCACGATAATCGAACCCTGGCGGAATTCTACTACGAGGTCAACCTGCTCAAGGCCGACCCGGCCGTCCAGGCGCACATCCGCTCGATGCAGCGCGCAACCACCCCCGAGCTGAAACGAATGTATGGGGACGGCGTCAGTGTGTTGCGAGGGAAGAAGTACCTCAGCAGACTTGCGAGGGCTGGGAAGGAGCGTGAGGCCGCAGGTCGCCCCAAATTGACAGAGGATAATCTGCGCGCCCTGAGTGCCATCAATCCTCCCGATGTTCGACGAAGTGCAAGGTTGGCTGGGACGATCATGCGCGTTCGGGAGCCGACACCTTTTCCCGGCTCTCGACGAAGTGCCAGGATCTTGAGGAGGACCACGGGGCATCAGCACGAAGTGCCTGTTATTGTAATAGATGATGAGGATGAGGTTATGCAGCACGCGGCCACCCGCGGCAATACCACGGGGAAGGAGAATGAAGAGGTGCAGGATGCGGCAATCCATGACAGCTCCACGGCTGACAAGAATTAAAAGGTGCAGAGTCCTGTTAGTTTGGGGGATCTTCTGGATCTTGCTGCCCGCGGGGAATACATTGCGCTGTAAGCCAATTTATGTTGTGGCGTGCCTGTTTGGGAGGGCTGGGGCTCCCCTGGAGAGGGCACGCCGTCCGGCATGTCTGATCACTCCTATGACTGCCCAGGTGGTCAGGATACAGGAAAGGCTTGTCTGGTCTAAAAGTTCTGGGGTATGTTTCCCGATGAAAAAGAAAAGAACCCATTCTTGTCAACGTTTACCCTCCGGTCTTGTTCTATTCTTGAATTTGGACCCAGTAGGCCTCATCGCAAACCATTTCGGCAGGGCACACCTATCCACCTGCCCCTCGAAGTCCCTGGCGCACTCGACCAGGAACTCCTCGTCTGAGTACGTGTTCAACAGCCTTGTCTGCTCCCCTCCAGACTTTGCATCTACAAGAAGCTGCAGGATCTCCATGAGCGATCCTGTGGTCCTCGGCAAGACCTGAACCGTCTGCCCCGTACGCGCAGACACCAAGAATCCGGACGCGGGCTCATTGAGAAGCAGCATGTACAAGGCAGTCTGTAGCAAGTGCTCCGGTTGCAGTGACTCAGTGTACTTGACCTCCCAGACCGCCTTGCTGGGGCCTTGGGGCCGGCAAATGTCCATCGCCCCTGTGACGATCACCCCTCTCTTCTTCCCTGAGCCTGCTTGTCCACCGCCATGTGTGATTCCGAGAAACTTTCTGTACTTCATGAGCTCAAAGGTTATACCTCGTCCCGAGATCTTTGCTGGCGCGGGGATACTATTCAGAGTGTAGTGGATGTCTTTGCAGTGGGCCTCCGACAGCCAGTCGTACTGGTCCAACGGGATGGCCAAGAGCTTGGTGATATCTTTGTCCTTGGCGGCCATTTCAAAAGTGGCGAGGTATAAGATGTCAGCTGTGCTGAGGACCCCATTTTCATATGCATTCTCGACGAGCGCGAGTCTGTGATACAATTCTTCTGGAAGTTCTCGCAGCGGATTTCTCCGCCTTGGCTGCCGCTTGGGCGGGTGTAACAGCTTGGATGGGCCGGAGATGAGGCTGATTTGCTTCCTTTTCCGCCACTGGAAAACAGCGGGTGCTGCAGTACCTGTGATGCTCGACACTCCCTCGAGGAGCCCGGATCGGTCCAAAATCTCAGTAGGAGGCGGTTGGACACCATAGGCGGGTGCAGCCAGTAGTCTGAAGTCGAGCCTCTGCAGGCAACTAGTGATCAACGTCTCTGAAAGGTTTCTGCAGAGTGCAGTAACGCTGAAGGCTGGTATGCGCCGTTTCGGCGCTGGTGGTTCCACTTGGATGGGACGCACTTTAATCAGCTCGCAAGAGTGGTCGACTTTGTCCAGTTCGACAAATGGAAGTGGTTCTCTGCTCGAATCGTGGATGAGAATCAGGTGCTCTAGCGCACGAGTGGCAGCAACATATTGCGGATTGCTGACTGCCGTCGGAGGGATTGCTGTCTTAGCAAACCAAGTGTGGTATCCCTGATCAAAGCCCAGCACTATGGACGCCCTGCGTTCGATTCCTTTGGCCTGGTGGTAGGTACAGACCAAGACCTTCCCGTGAGCGACTTCTGGGGCGATATCAGAGACATCTGAATCTGATCTGAACACCGGTATGCCCCTCAAAGCAAGGTCGTTGGCCAGGAACACAGCCGGCGAAGACTCTCGAACTGACGGAGCTAGGACTATTATTTCGGTTGGGGAGAGCCCGCACGTATCTAAAAGCCGCAAGACCTCAGTCAGAATATCTTTATAAGGGTCGCATATTACATAGCGCGGTCTCGGATAGAGGACGCCGTCCTGATTCTGCTTTCTGACGGCACGCATAGCCATTCCGAGTGGCTGCTTCAGCATCTGCTGGTTTATGAAGTCGACATTCTGCTGAGTAACTCTGTTGGAAGTTGTCTGGTCGGCGGCAGTCCAGGGGTTCTTATTAAGATATCCGAACACCTCAGGACGGCCAGCCATGGTGAGGAAACGAGAGTCGGCATTGTTGAAAGAGTAAACTTCCTGCCTCTTATCACCAAGTACAACCACTCTCAATTGGTCTGCCCGACGAACCGGCACTCGGCCAGGCCCGCCGAAGTTCTTGTCGCGGATAACCTTGTCGACAAAACGCTTAAGGATTGGGGTCATGTCTTGCTGCTCATCCATGACCAGTACTGAAAAGTCGGGTAAGCTCAGACCTTCATAAACAGACATGTCCTCCTCAACGACACGCTTGAGGCCCTGGTCAGTCGCGCACTCGGAGGTGTAGTATCTGGTGCCAAGGGCGTGGTAATTTAACACGGTGACATTCCGCAGCCCTAAGCCCAGTACTCTGTCCTCAGTTTCTAACATAAGCCGACGGTTGTAGACAAGGACCAGGAAGTTCGTATCTGGAGAGCACTGCGCCAGATGAAGAATCGTAGTTGTTTTCCCCGACCCGGCCATCGCATCAATGATGATATTGTCATGCGTGTGCAGCAGAGTATTGATAGCGACTTGTTGTTCCGGTGAGGGTGGTGGGAGGCGTTTTGGGGATACGATCGCTTTATTCGGTTCAACATCTGTAGTCTGACTGGGTTCGCGAATTGCCAGTGGTATTGAGACTGATGCATGCGCAAATCGTCTTCCTCTCGACTCTGGCAGAAAAATTCTGGAGCACGCTGTCCTTGAGAACTCGGCGAAACAGGAGTCAAGGCGCGGCCTCGGTATGCGAGAGGCCAAAGCCGAATTCAATATTCGCATCTTCGGGCCGCTCTCGCATCTGGGTTGGTGGAAAGGAGTCGATGTGGCAGACAACCAATGGAACTAGTTCAGCACTGTCTTGAATGTCTGCGATTATTCTAGGTCGAACATGCTAGTTTTATGACACAATGCAGCTTTGAAAACGGAGATGGGAACGCTCGGTAGAAGAAGGATGCCAAGTTCGTTATGCTACTACCAGTGAACAAAAAGGGCTAATGTAGCACAAACTGTGATTATGAAGCAAGTGTTGATTGGACCTGAGAATACCGGTCAAGGGAAACAATTCAAAGAGGTGGATGTCGCAGCACTATTCTCTCACGACTCTCACCGACCCTCAAATTTGAGGAAGCCGTAATGTTTAGATGGTGACGGGAGAACCTTGGAGTGCATGACGTGGGAGAGGACCGGGAGAGGCGGACTGGGGCCCTAACCCTAGACAAGCTCCGTCCCACCCTCCCTTCCTCGATATCATAGTGCTCTGGTCGTTCTATCGTCGATAATCCGGCTCGGCAGCAACGACACTTGAGCAGCAGAAATATATATAGCCAGAGCGGTTGTTTCGAACTCGGATTCTTGCGCTTGCGAAAGTGACGCAAATAGTATATCATTTCGCCCTGTAAAATGCGACCCCAACACTAATTGCAACCAGAAGGATGGACCACCTAAGCAATCCTCTCATAGTCGTCTTTGCTGCAAACCTTTCGATGGCTTCGCTGTCATTGATCCTCGGAAATGGCACATCCGGTACGTCTTTGCCCAATGCCTTACAGAGAGGCTCCCAGCCATCCTTGACGGCGAAGAATACCAGCTTGTCCTCTGGCACCGTCTCCTTTAACCACTCCATGTGACGATCATAGGTCATCCTCGTAGGTGGCTCAGTCTCCCCGTAGAGATGAAGCCACATTTCTCGAAGTCCGTTGATGTAGTCGATAAAGTGTCTCATCGTGGGCAGTGGCAGCAGGACACCGCGCAAGAACCACTTGGTAGAGGCGGAAGCCACGCCTGCCATGCTATCGACCCAAGCATCCGGCTCGCGCACGGTGCAGATGACTTTTGCGTCAGGGTACAGCTCGAGGAGCTCTGGGATCAGCCCGGCTCCTGGTGCGTCCGTCGTGGCGGCGTAGCCATCCAGCCGCTGGCGGATCAAGGGAAGGGCCGCTGTCCTGTCGGCTTCGTCTCTGAATGGGAAAAGCCTGAGCACTTTGATCCAAGAGAGCATCTCGATGGGCTCTCCCATGGTACACTGTGTGCCTCCATGGTACACTGGAGCATCAAGGAGAATGCGCAGCGCTTCGCTGAACGAGGCAGTTCCGGTGCGGGGGAGGCCGGCGCCAATGACCTGTAGTTTGGTTCCAGGTGCTGGGACAGAGGGTTGGTTGCCCATTTTGGCCAATGTGCTCAGGTGGACTGTTCGTGAAGGAAGTATAGAGTGGAATTCTCACAATGCAGCCGTTGGGCGTTCCGATTATATCTGAGACTTCAGGAAACCACTGTGGGCCAGTCAGCACTAGAGGCGCCAATGCGGCGTAGCACAAACAGGACTCGCAGCTAATCAAAACCAACGCTCTTTAGTGCGTTTGATATCCGTGTGTGGGCAGGAATGACAACTAATATTCCCATCTGATGCTCGCGTGAGCCGACTGGTGTTAACTGAGTCGTTCTCAGGAGGATGGGCTCCAGTTTAATTTGGACACTTGTATTTCCGATCTCGACTCCCAGATATATGTCTCATCCCCAAGCCCCAAGATGAAAATGCATCATGAACGTGTTCCGATGACAATCTTGACCAAGTATTCCCATTTGAGAAGTCCATCGTAGCCGTTGATGTTTCCTGTAGGCACCTGGGACTCTAGACATTTGTGTCCGTGGCATTCTTCTCATTCCCAGATGCAACCTTTTGCGACCTGTTTGCAATCTGCGCTATTCGCGCCGTCTCTGCCTCAATGAGTACATCTGGTCGCTCTGATTGCGTCGCAGCTCTGTCTGTAAAGACGAAAGCTGACGGGTTGTGTATGAATATCTGGTCCATGTCTTCCAGAGTCCTATTGGCCGTTTCTGGGTAGAAGAGGTATACCACAGGAACGAAGGCGAAGCAGAAAATACCGAACACTGGGGAGAGGTCAGCAAGCCCAAGCCCAAAATGAAAAATGCGCAGTGTACTTGGAGGAGAGTGTCAGTTGAGAGCCAGATCCTGCACTCACTTAGGAAGAAGCGCCACTGCAAGTTATCGAGGCCGACCTTGGTGAATTGGACGACGACGAACCCGCCTAACCAGTTGACCGACTACAGGGTTCCGCAATTAGCTACCCAGATCTTTACAACTTCAAAACGACATCTGCTTACTGTTGCTGCTGCTGCCCCTCTCGTGCGCCATCCGAGAGAGCTGACCTCTGCACTGTAGACCCAGGGTACACTTGAGTATCCTAGGCCGAAGAAAACATGATAGAGTATGAACATGGCGGTTGCCACTTTCCCCATCTATATTTCCGTGGTTTCCAGTCAGAAATATCATCAAAGGTAATACCAAGAGACTCTGGTAATATAATCTCGCCTTTCATGGCTTCACTTACAATCTGAGCCTTGGAAATATCACTTTCTCCCACTGCGAGGCAGATGCAAGCCACAATATGACAGAATCCCATTAAAATTGGAGAATACCTAAGAAGATGAGTATTTGAGCAGCCAATGCAGGGTTGGGAAATCTTACATCATCATCCTGATGCCGTTAGCATACCTAGGTACATATGTAGATAGGGTTTGCAATCTTGCGAGAGGTGGTCAATGAGACAGACTTACTTCCGGCGTCCGAACCGATCAATCATCAACAGGCATACAAAGCTGCAGAAAACGTATACAGTGCTGCTTATTGCGGTGATAAGTCGGCTCATCTGCTGATCGTATCCAACATCTCCCTGCAGCAACGTTGGGAGATAGAACCCTACAATATGCTATCAGCCTTTGGACGCTAATTCGTACATCTGCATTAATAAAAAGAGACTGAAACTGACCCAGTGCGTTAATTCCGCTGTGAATCCTGGTTAGCAAGCTTGATAGAAGTGCTCAAGTGACGACTTGGAATGTTCCAAAAATGCGCTTGCCTAAACTGTTGCATGAACTGTGTACCGCAACCAAGAATCAAACGGCGGAAGTTTTGAGACTTGTCTCTGTGGCACAACACATCGCTCAATGGAACTCTGTCATCTCTCTCCATAATAATAGCAGCCTTTATAGATTGGAACTCAGAGGTAATCGCTGAATCTCCGATATTCTTGCTGTGACCTGCCAGTCTGGATAACACATGCAGGGCTTCTTCGTCGCGGTCAACAAGAAGTAGCCAGCGAGGAGACTCGGGAACGAAGTAGAGTACCGGAGCGACTATGAGGAGAAATATTAGCTGAAAAGCAAGGGGGAACCGCCATTGGAATGCCGAGTCGTCGTGATATAGGCCAAAAGCAATCCAGTTCGCAACGCAGAAACAAGCCACGTTACAGCAAGCCCCCACTGCCAGAAGCATGCCGCGTATGTGGGACGGTGCGCACTCCGATAAATATACCGGAGACATGGAGGACACGAGTCCGATCCCAAATCCGTTGATCAAACGACCAACAATCATTTGCGGTAGATACCATGAGAGAGCTTGTAATACCGAGCCCACCACATTGCAAAGCACTCCCAGGGCGATCGTCCTGCGGCGGCCGAGCCTATCCCCTAGCACAAAAGCTCCGATGGCTCCAAAGAATGCTCCCAGCTGCAAAGTATCAGCCTAGCGCTCCATGCACCTTGGGCGAGACCAATCAATCCACTCACGAAGAAACAGCTCGAGGTGATCCCAGAGACATCTGCATCGAGTGTTTCTGGGAATTGTCTTAGGAAGTCTGGAGAGACCAAGACTCCAGCGAAAACGCCCTGAACATCGCATAATTAGTTGTCTGTTTGGAGTGTAGGGGACGACAAGTCGATGGACCACTCACTTGGTCATATCCGAACCAGCATGAATTAACTATAGCAAAGCAATTAGCCCACGTTTGCAGCGCTGAACTATCAGAAGTCACACAACACACATGCGTCCAGGAGGGTAATCAAGGCGATAAGCCAAGCGCCGTCCACCTTATCTTCCATATGACCCATTCTCGTCGTCGAAGCACGCAAGATTCTCGACCACAACGGCAGACAGTAGAAAATTTTGAGGTAAAAATAGGCCGCGTGACTCGCTATTTCAGTCGGCGACTGGCAGCTCACCTATAACTAGTTAAATCAAGGGCTCGTTAATGTTGCAAAATTCTTCGAAGCCGACGTGGGTTTGAACAAAATTTGGCCTACAAAATCACATGCAACAACCAACATCCAGGGTCCAACAAACGAGTTGACCACCAATTAGGGCTGCAGCAACGGAGCGCTGTCACCCCTGAGGGAAAACCCGGCGGGGCGGCGTGGACCGCCACTCGGGCCCGGAGCTGCGGCACCGGCGTCGGAATGGACGGGTTGGGAACCACCGACAACATATGGAATAGCACAAGAGACGAGCTGAGGTCCAGTCTTTCTGTTGGAAAACTCGGCAGGTATCTTCAAGTTGCGACGCAAGCTAGGCAACACTGCTCTGCCCGAATCTGCGATCAGATACTCATCGTTTGTTTGATTCTGGTCCAAGTGTTCGGGCAAAACCTCAACCAAGTACCCACCAGCTGCTTCCAAGGTTGTGCAAGCTTTGCGAGACCGCTTACCAGGATCGTTGGGTGGTCGACCCTGACCCGTTCTGTCTTGGTCGACAGAGGACCTGCAGCAGTTCCGTGTCACTTCGGCGGCTCAGTGCATGGTGAAATTTGGTATTCGAGCCAGATGCTGTCAGGCTCGGAGGAGCATCTATCTAATTCATACGTAAGAACAAGGGTATTGTGTAGGAATAAGAAAAGAATAATTAATGTATAGACTGGAACATCCGATGATCTGGATGAATGTCGGCCGTTGGACACGCATCTGCACCTGTGCTCTCCCTCTTTAACGCTCCAGGGCTGTTTGTCGCGGCGACCCTTCAAAACATTATCTGCCTCAGCTTGCATCTCTGAGTGCGCTCTCATGTAGCTTGTCGTGGCCGGCGATACGGCGGCGTCAAAGGGATGGCCGTGTACGGCAGTCCATGCCGAATCCGGTGAGACATGTTTGAACATCCAGCTCATCATAAGGACGTCAGCAGCCCGTTCGCTCCCATCTGCTGGAAGTTGGCGCAGGTGATCCGGGTCTTGTTGGCAAAGTGCACGACGACGCTCAGGTTTCCGATAAAAGACTGGCCATCGCCCGTTGCCGTGAACGAGTCGGTGTATGACGCCTCGAAGGGGGATGTGGTTATGGCTCCGTATTTGCCGGCGAGGTCTCCAACCTGGCACGTCATCGGGAGGTCTGCGTCACAAGGGGGACTCTCGCCTCGCTCAAAGGGGTCGAGGTGACCGAGTGTCGCGTTGCAGTTTCCATCTGGGGGGACAGGCTCCGTGTGGATGTGATATACTATTAAGACGAGTTAGTTGCTCGCCTTCTTCGGTAGCCTTAAGACTGGAGAGTCATTTCAGGCCTTGACCTACGGAAGGGACCACCCTCATTTGGGAGGTTATCAATCATGATATCGTATCGCACGCCTTTTCCATCTCGCCCGCTTTGAGCTAACACGACACCTCGGACGTTTCCGTTTGGTGTAGGCGTGAACTGCGTGCCATCTGTTGGGAATGTAGCCCTGAACGATGATCCCCGAGGGTTGCTTTCTACTGCTGTCGCGTTTCCCTTCGCCTGCGGAATTGTCAGAAAATAGTGCATTGTAGCTGTCTGGGTTCAAATGGATCTTACCCCTGTGGTCGTGCCCGAAGTCGCAGGAATTTGCCGTATCGCAACTCCAAGAACAGATGGCAGGAGGAGAAGACTGCTCAGCAAGCTGCGATGCATCTTTCTCCGGCTGGCCAGCTAATCTGGGTCTTCACAAGGGAAGGCTTATTATGGGCGGAGTTTGTTACCTTTGCCAGAGATGATAAAAAGGATTAAAGTTAATTTTCCGAGCCGCTGTGGTATTGTCCCGATGGCAGTGGAAAATAGCGAACGGCAGAAACCTTGAACGCGGTGGAACAGTTGACAGCCTCGCAACACAATGGGGAGCGACAGCGTTTCCTTTTGAGTGAGAGCTGTCATGACTCTCGTTCCGAATAAGCCGTGGATCACAATCTCGGATGAATCGAGACATATCTAGTTGACTTGTCCTGGGGCGATCAGGGTGAAAAGGGGTCAATGGTCCAAGCTTGTGTGATGGGCAAGATACGCAAAACTAACTGGGCCGTGAGCTGAGGGTTGGAAGGCTTCCCCGATTTGGGATGGCTGAGAGATTCGGGCAGCAAACCGGTGGGTGCTCCCGGCGGCTAAAGCCAATTGTAGCAAGACTGGCGATGTGTGGCCCTGGTGGTGAGGAGCACAGCCTCAAGCCTTGTAAGGGAAGCGATTGCAACAACAACATCAGATGGATATGTGACTACGGAGACCCCTTGCCCGTGCCGCCTATGAGCCAGTTTCTGCGGGAGTGATTCCGGGCGCCTGGGAATTCCCCCCTCCCTCTCGGTACTGGCACTTACCAGTGGGCTACGAGAATGGCCCCAAGAGATTGTGACAGGTCTTGGCAAGATGAAACTGGTACTAAAGCACGTCTTGATAGATTGGAGGAACCGGATGTCCGAGTAATAGCGTCGGCCGTAGGCCGCTACAGGAGGTGAGCATTCTCTCATTTGAGCGATGTTGTCCTCGGTCCTTGAACACTGCGAAGCGATTTGAGATTTCTAAAGTTGGACCTGGCTGAGGTTGATTGAGGGTGTGGGTCCTCTTCGTGCCACGAGCTTGCATAAAGTTGACATTTGCTCGCAGGTTGCAACCCATCCATACTTTCAAGTGACAGATGGGGGAAGGTTTAGTTGCTCTCTGTGCAAAAAGACCCCGCTCATACCCAGCCAAGTCTTTCAAGATACCGTGCCCTCGCGCAACCCACCTTGTGCGAGTCAGACCATGCTATGGTAGATTCCCACATATCGGACACAGCCGGTTAGTCCACTCTTCCGAGGACACAATCGGACACAACTTGAATCTTGCTCATAGTCCTCTAATGGTGAGCAGTGCTAGGGTTTCATGGTCCGTCATTCTGTCAGTCCGTGCGCTTGTTTCTCAAGTGCTGCCTCCAAGAGGGCCGCAAAGCTTAGCACGATCGGCAACAGGGAGCTGCTGAAACAACTACTCTGGCTCAACGTCGGGGCTAAAAGTCGAGGGCCCTACTCAGCTGTGGGACTTTCTACCTCGCACATACAACTTGAATGCCCCTTTTCGTCCGATGCCGTTGTTTTGATTGAGGTAGACAGGCAGCGCTTCAACCCAGCTTACTTCATCCGTGGGTCGACACCAGTGCATGCACTGGGCGTCTCCCGCTCACGTCGCAGAGAAGCGAAGAGTAAATTTATTGGTTCCAATCTTAATCTAGTTTGGATTGGCCTATCGCAACAGCTTTGCAGTCGGCTCTACTACTTAGGTACCTAGGTAGGCTCTCCCTTCCTGCGCAGCTGGTTTGTCAACGGCTATCCGTAGTTCTTCAACCCTTGAGTCACCTCACCGAGTTGGGGGCCGCTCTTCCGCTTTTCTGCTTCGCATCTGTGCACTGAGAACGCTTCCGGACTTGAAACATTTTGGTCAATCATCGAAATGCCATGGGCGTCTGCTCCTCAAACATCTATGAGACTATAGTAGTAAGTCAAAGTCCTGACATCTTAAAGAAGTACGGTCTATACCAAGTTCTCGTGTTATTAGGATATCAGCAAACCTAGCATTGTTGGTGCTCGAGGCCGATGACCACTCGCCTACACCTTGTGGGTGTCTATATGAGCCTAGAATTCTTCGCAATGAAAGTTTTGGTGGTAAAAAGGAACTCACCAATTGATGTCGGGTGTGGTCTGGAAAGGTTTCTTCAATAACAGTAAGTACCTAAGTGTTATAGTCATCGATGCTTCATGATAGCAATCCAACGCTAGGTTTGAGCTTAACAAATCATGCTTTCTTGTCCACCAATGACTGATGCACACAGTGCTAGGCAATGACTGCGGATCGCTAAATCAAGTACCTCAGGCTAGGTAGAGGGTGGCAAGTGTACTCAGGTATCGACTCGAGCTAGTTACCCATCACGTCGGCATTCAACTTGGACACAGGTGTAATAACAACATAATAATATTTAAGCCCATGTGTTCTACAAAGTACCCTACCTAGGTATGTAAGTTCAAGAATGATGGAGTTCCAGACAGCAAGATCTCAACATCCTTCAGGTACCTTATGTTACGGCAGGGACATACGAGAGGCGAAACTCTTAAGTCTTACTCAGAATTTTAAGTAATACCTAGTGTATCTACTAGTAAGTGGTTTTGTTTCCAATTCCCATACATACAAAACGTACATGGCGCCATCATACAGTGATAAACGCTGAAAACCTAGTGTTTAAAATGCCAATAACAGCACAGAGAGAATACAACACGTCTGCAGGCACGTGGCCTCAGCCCTGTGCCGTACAGACAAGGCTAGGAGGCATCGCTCCCGACTTCAGGACACGCCGCTGATCGTCGACACAAGCAGCCCAAGAGCTAATAGCCAGCAAAGCAGTCACTCATCGCCAGTTATGCCGTAGGATTAGCAAAGTAGCAGATTATAGACCAAACTTCCAGAGAGGACATGAAGAGACTCACCATTGCCCTACTCCCAACTACATGGCTGGTCTGAAGCCACCCCTCGCCCCCCCAATTTCAGACCGGACACTTCGATAGCGCTGTTGTCTGGCATTTGTGGTCCTCGTAGGCGCACTAGTGAGACAAGAGGGAAGAAGCTGTTTGCAAAGGGTTTTCAAGCAACACAGAGCTTGCAATTCCATGGTCAGCTGTGCCATGCTATTCTTGCGATGGCCCGATTTCAGCCCAGCATGCAGTAATACTTACTATGCAACATGTTGTGGAATACGGTTCTCAGTGGAGTAGCCCCGGTAGATCCATTAATCAAGGTGATAGTAATTTCCGAGGCGTGGATGAGTGCTGACTCGTGGCCTAGCTAAGTATTTTCCGGTCTGGCACTTGAGCAGACCCTATGTTGGATGTTGAACTAACGAACGGGCTGCTCAAACTTTTGCGATTAGGGAGTAACAATCATACTCGACTTATAATGGATCTCTTGGGTGAATGTCTGCTTCTATGTTGCCCAGCTACTGCATGGATGATAACATCATTACCATGTATCACCACAAGAAGGCCTCAGGCAGTGAATGGCCGTAGGAAACACATTCAATTCACGAAGTCATAGTCCATACATTTGTCCGTGTGTAGTGATGCTTGGAAAAGATGCTATTTGGAGCCTGAGATGTCAACAAAAGCGAGTGACCTGGTCCCTAAAGACTGCTAGCATCTAGCTAATCCCGCGGCATTCGAGCGCATCAAGACCTCAGATCAACCAATAAGCAATAATTGCCATCATTTTCCCAGTAGCGGGCAGCCTAGATGGAACCAGTCCAGCCCTGAAAAATGAAGGGATCGTTTTCATGTTGTCTCCATCCGTCAACCTCGGCATGGCAACCGTATGATCGAGAGGGCGTCAACGCGTTCCAGCCTCGTGGTAGCCTTGGAAGATATGTTGAGAGCTTTATGACACTGGCTTGGCACATTGCGCTAAAAGTGGATCAAGGCAGGCATTGAGAAATATAACCTACTAGTACACCTGTAAAGGTCTCGTAACGATCGTAAGGAGCCTAATACGGGCTGACCCGGTGATCCCGCTACCGGATGGAGACGTGGTCGAGTCAGTGCCCACGTGGGTATGGAGCGCAACAAGCTGGTAGTGGTTATTCTTGGCGCTGAAAAATGACGGATCGCAGTTGATGTAACTGAGTGGTCCATTGTCCAATTCCGGGCATAGAGGAAGAAAGGCTCAGAACCCATAAAGTGCCCGTTTTGCGCTAGCACTGTTGCAACTGGTGATGCCTGGTACACCACGTAGCTACGCCACGTGAGCTGAAATACACGTCTGGGGGGACTTCTCAAAGTAAACAAGATTCACGTTAGGGCAAACATTGAGCGAGCACTGTTGTTAACATTACTGTCTTCCAAGGTTCGCAAAGATCTTTGGTGTGCTCATGTGGCCGCGACCCAATTGTCACAACTGCAGTGCCCGTGTAAGAAAATGGTCATGAAGCCGGGGAGATGCCCCGTAATTGCTACACCGACAAACCGTCTTTCTGGAATTGCACATAACATCAGTAGACCCCAGTCGTTTGTACCGTACCGCGTGCGTGCACACCCGCACTACATAGGACATAGTTGAGGCGAACCACGGAAGCAGCCAAGAGGCCTTGCCTATTCCAGCCGCATGCCTCACGAGTCACGTTTCACGCACTACACCCTCCCGGAATCCCAGCAACGGCGGCACAAGGGAAGTATTGGCCAATTTCGCATGAAGGGCTGGTCATCGCAGTGAATGCGTCCTGTTTCAAATGAGGGTGACGTGCAGCGTTCCACGCGGCGTTGGCTTGTCGCGCTCTGGGCAAGAGCCCGCGCATCGAAGGAGTGCGACCCTCCTCCCAGTCGTCACCATATTGATGAGAATTGAGGACAGAAAGGATAAACTGATGTGCAAGAATACATGCTCATTATTTATACTATCCAAGTCACATTACGGACTGCCTCGTAAGATTTTAGGGTCTATAATTGGGGACGGGAGCCAGCTATAGAGGCAGACTACTTACATGCCTAGGTACTAAGTAAGTAACTAGGTATATGTTTGGCTGCAACTATTATGCATGAAGCGATAGGATCAGTACCGTTTATGCTGTGCAGATGACGCGGCTTCCGACGACATGTCACTGAATACGCGCTGAATCCGTGACCAAATGTCGCTCATGTCAACCAAGCTGCAACAGTCTCGTTCCAGATTGCACATATAGAATTTGGCTATTAGAATTTAAGGTCAACGTTAATAAACCCCATGACTCCAGACCCACAGACCCAGCCTCATGTGTGATGTTCGAGCATACGTGATAGTAGTACATAATAAGTCATATTGTTGTTACAGAAGCGGCGGCCTTGCTCCATTCAAAGCGCCAATCACACAGGACTGCGGGTCATGTGTCCCTTGAACATCCGTAGGTCCTCCTTACTTGAGCCCCCACGCTCTGACCCGGACCCGGACCCATTGGTCACCATCGGCTCGATCTTGACCCGGACTGTACTGGTCTTGACGATGCCTCCGCCCTGAACAAGTTTAGTTGTTGATTCCTTGTCGTCGAGGACTGCCTCCTCGTCTTTATCTACGCGCGTGAATAGCGTCCCCATGTGAAAGATGTCGCTGCTGCGGCGCAGCGCCTTGTTTGACGAGCCGATGGTCGGCGGCGGCTGCTGTGCGCCCCGGCCCGACACGTTTCCGTTGAGCCCCTTTGATGGTGGCAAGTATGATTCGGTCGACAGACCGAGGCGGTGCATGATGACCTTGAACAGCGGCCTGATACATGCCAGGCTTCCCGCTGAGACGGCCAGGCCGCACTCGACGGTAGACCAGATGGCAATGTCGACTGTGGCAACTACATTGGCTTCGTTAGCACGGAGCGTTACGATGATGTGACTGTGAGGTGGTTTAGACTTACACAGGAAGTCGGGGTTCCTAAATGTCTCAACGTATGCAAGCCGGACAACCACTGCGGAACTCGCGATGCAGCCCATGCTGAGCAGCGGCATGATGGCAACCTTCATCCTCCGCTTCATGTTGAGCTTGCGGACAATGAAGATGGGCAGTATAGCGAATGTGAAGTCGACAATGATGTTGAGGCTCGAGTAGAGGTAGGTCAGGCCGATGATGATATCAATTTGAATGCATTTGCCGGGTTGGTCCTTGTTCCAGAAATACGACACAGGCTGGCACTGGAGCGTGGTGACAAAGAAAAACACCATTCCGGTCAAGACGTTGATGGTGAGGGCCATGTAGATGAACCAGACCTGGATGCGCTCGACGATGATGCGCAGAAGGAAGATTCCAATAGAGATCTTGGAGAAGATCATGGTCCAGCAGTACCAGATGTAGCAATAATACCAAAACTGTGGAGACAGCCGAGTCAGTTGCGAGAAGATATATATCGTGAAATCAGAGATACTCACCTGCATGGCATCTTTGAAATCAGATAGCTCGAGGTCTGCAAAGTGGCGACCCGTCCCGTAGTGCACTCCGATGTTTACGGACGTGACAAAGAGAATGAACGTTATCGTAGCAAACAGCATAAACCAATCGTCCACACCAAATGCCCTCACCATGAACGCGCGCACATAAGCCCTCAAGACGAATGAGGTGGTGGCCATCGTCACAAGAAAGATGGCCACCGCTGACAGTACCGGCCCGCGGTTTTCGATGGCCATGGTGGCGTGAGGATTGATCAGAGGCGGCGGACTGGTAGGATGGAGAATGCTTTGTTGTTTAGAGCGACCTCGTGGTCGCCATTCCTTGCCGGTGATTGTCTTTGGTGGTCTTTGGTCTTCCCTTTCCTCCTCCTTGCGTACACGGTCGATTTCGTTGAGGTCGATGGTTGATATAAAAGTCGAAGGCTGTAGACAGGCCGTACTAGGAGGCAACACTAGGGGGTGGCCAGTTAAAGGCTGGGGGCAAGGAAAAGTCCACTTACCGAGTCTGCGGTGTTGAGCCTAGCGCATATTAGAAGCTTACAGGTTCATCAAACACTCGCCCTTGATCCTTGACAGTGCTTCTAGACTGGGACCTAGCCTACTACCGTACCCCTGATGCCCTGCTAGTTAGGGTAACATATCCATGCCGGGCAGCCATAAGATTTGCGAAATATCAAGAGAATACGCAGCAGCACCCGGCGAGGACAAGGGCATACATCACATCGGCCGAGCAGGTTCGGACAAGCTGTGCATGATGCAGTGTCACCGGAGCGGAGGGAGCTCTGTGATCTGGGCGGCATGGAGAACACCCCGTCTGCCAGTGTGGCGGTCTTCACATCAGAGTGGAGGGTGGGCTTGGAGGCTCCATGGTCTGGTGAGAAAAACGGGGTCTTCCGCTTCGGCGGGAATAACCACCCAGGGTTACGATGTGACTTGCTCTCTCTCCAGTGAGGGGCGACGATCTTTGGACAGAGTAGCATTTGGACCTCGGTCGTTTGAGCCCAGCCTGCTGGTCGCATTGACGTTTAGCTGGGCCTTCCTGGCCTGCCAGGCCTGCTGGGGAAACTGACTGAACGGCTTCGGGATTAGTGCGATGGGTTCTTATCCGGACCCGGGACATGGCCCGGAACCTGCGCTAGATCTATACCGCACATGGCCCTCCTCCGCTTGGTGATGCGTTTGGCGTGTGAAGGCTCGTTGCTATTGCAGTAGCCTCAGCTGGGGGTGCAGATCCAGTTGGAACGTCGGCAACTGCCAACCCTTGGAAACGTAATCTTGATCGCCAACCCTCATCTGCTTTGACAGCGGCCGGCTGCTTGCACAACCGCGCCTGAAGCAATAATGCGCCGTCGGCTGAGATTGGATTCTTAGCTGATCGTCTTTGAGTTTGCCGCGCGAGGAGTATATCACTGCCCAACCCTAGCCTTTCGTCGGGGTGTCCCGGCCTGACAGGATCGTCCCCAAGCCTTGATGAGGAGGGATCCATGCTCGCGAATCTGAACTGGTCGTCGGGTCCGTCTGCGGATGGAACTGGGTCAGAGCTTGCGCGGGCAGCTGGCCGGCCGCTGGCCGGCTGGGTGTGCTCTCTGGGGCGATATCTTCGAGGGCCATATGCCCTCCGGCCTACCATACGGAGTATACCTACCGTGTACAATATACCTGCATGAGCAATATCATCACGAGTCACAAGTCTGTTGCGCGCCACAAAGACCACCGCAGAGTGAGGCGTTGTCACGGTGGGATGATAGAGCCGGTGGGGTGAAACCCCTGCATATTTACGGTGGCTTCGTCCCGTCGGTGAGCATGAAAATCCCAATAGCGGCAGAAGCTTTCGGTTGGGAGATGTACTTGTTGTGCCCTTGTCGGCAGCCCTACATTTGGGCACGAGCGCCGTTTTCTGCCTCTGTTGAAGATAAAGGGTCGCAGTGTCGCACGGAGGCCTAGGGGTTAGCCTCGAAGTTGTTAGGTTGCTCAAGAGTTACCAGTGGTTCGGAAATGTCTCACAGACAACAGCCAGGTGGGGGTCAACACTTCGAACTCGAGGGGGGCTCTGGAAACCTAAGCGACGTTGCTGTGCGCTGCACGATGGGACCTAGACTCCTAGGCATTCCGGCCAAGCGGAGCCCTCGTGGATGATCTTCGAGATGCAATTTTGAAACACGTCGGCCGCAGGGTGGAGGGTGAACTCAACCTTCAGCTGCAGGTTCGGCGACAATAGTCATGTCCGCCAACCTGGTGCGCAGTGCCTTGTTGGGTAGCATCGACAGAGTATCGGTGCTTGACAGCCGCATACTTGCCCAACGGTGACCTCACAAATATGCCGACGCCAAAAAAACGCCATCGCTCAGGAATCTGCGTGCAGATGCGCGTTTTACGAAAAACCTTCCGACTCGGGTAAGTGCCCCCGACTTGTGCCCCCAACAACGTTGCTTGAGTTTCTGAAGCCACGTGGATCTCGTGACATCGCCGCCTCATGGCGTTTCGAAACTGGAAGGCCGGCCTTGCTGGCGACCGGGCTTCACTGAAGATCAGGGGCCCGAATAGGTCCCCCAGCAGGACGACGACCGGGCTTAGAAATACTGTGACATCGCTTACCAAAATCTGCACGGCTAGCAGGCAGGTTTGGTGGGCCTTGGAGCACCGGCAAAACAATTTCGCCCCTCCCCTCCCTGGCTCCCTGCCTCGCTGTCTCCCTGGCCTCGTAATGTTGGTTCAGTTGGGCCATGTTTCCGACCGAACTATTAGCAGAGCTAGGCACGTCGTGAGACTGAGGGCGGCGATCAGTCACCGAGTCGGGCCGTGCAGCTAGACCGAAAAGGGATCCCGTGCCCCTTTTATCCGGCAGCCCCGGGCTCATCACCATACTTGTGGGGTGCTGGCGGTCGTCTTGAAATATTCCGGGCTCCGCTTTCGAGCCGGGCTCTGGCGGAGACGCAGGGACTTGCTGCCTGGTGCCAGGTGCCTGGTGCAAGCGCGGACCACGGGGCGGTCCCTGATGACCTTGGGCTGCTCGGGCGTCATATAATGAATGAGTGGGATCCGGCAGTCCTTTCATCCTGTGCGCCCATGTAAACACGTGCACGGCCAGGACCGTGTTGGCCTCGCAGACCGGAGATTTTGCTACCTGTGGCACTCGCTCTGCCGGTTGCGACGCCGCTGCTGGGAGCAGGGAGGTGGCATCGTGCCGGGCGTGGCTCCCACAGGCGTGGGTTGGGAAGCAGCTTGGCAGGCTAAAGTCGAGGGCCCAGAACCCAACTGCGTGGGCAAGCACCGGCTCACTGCGGGCTCACTGCGGGCTCACTGCTCCAATGGTGCTCTGCGCGAAGGTTCAGAGACAAACAGCACGGCCGTGCGCTCCAGACCGGGCTCCAGACCTCCGACAGTGGATGCTCCTGTGGGATCGGTTGCGACTCTGCGACCCCGCGATTGCAATGTGACGAGGTGCAGCGTAGGATATGCTCGCGAGAGGCGAAGGGCGACTGGTGCCGATTGCCGACGGCTCACCAGGCTCACCAGAGATGGCTGTACATGCATACTCACCTCACTGTAGGAACGTCACGCCGCTGGACCAGCTGACCAGCCCCGACGGAAACATGGCAGACGCGCGTGCCGGATCGAGTGGGACAAAGGTGGTGGCGCTTTGTCGACAGATGTGATGCAATGAAGCACAGTACATGGCTGGGTATGCACGTAGCGTGCCTTGCGTGCCTGGGACGTTGCGCCATGGCCAGGGGAACTCTGAAAGCAAAGGATGGCGAAACCCCACCAGGCGGTGCGAGAATGTGTTATCTTTATCCACAAGTGTACGATGACGGGTGCGCAGTCGGGCCAGGAGCAGCGATGGTGACGCCGTGTCCAGCCCACTCGAGTACTTTTCGAGAGACCAAAACCCCGTGTGATCGAGGCAGGGTGATAATCTCGACGTGTGGACCCTGCCCCATCCACGGGGAACCACTGAATCCTGCCGGGGCAGGGAGGCCATCAGCCGCGGCCCCAGGCAGCCCACAGCATCCAGACGTGCTACGAAGAAGCCCCGACAGACCGGATTCGAGTGAGGGTGCAGCTCCTTCCGGCAGTGGTCCTGCAACGTCAACACCAGCATCAACGTCAACGTCAGCGTCACGGTTGCCGCGTTTTACCCGGGCGAGTGCGTGGAAGTAGACGAGAGAGGGGACCGTGCGGGGCAATTGTGATGGGTCGCCCTTGGTGCCCATGCTTGCCATGCCAGTTGGACGCCAAGGCGAGGCCAGCCTGCGAGGGCGTTGTCTTCCAAGGTGCAGAGCGTTGAGCATGTGAAGGAATGAATGACTGGATGACTGACCACAATCCAGACTGACAGGGCACGACTGGTCGCAAGAATCCCCAGTCGTATCTGCCGGTGCAAGAGGGTTGGCGATTGAAGGCTGCAAGATCATGCGACGGGGACGTGGCAAGGCATGTCATGATTAGTAGTATGCTGAGGTCGTTTGGCGGCTGGCTAGTGGCAGTCGCAATCACCTGGCTGGTATACCACAGCAGCAGCACAGCAGCAGCACAGCCAGCGACTGCCGGCACCGACCGTCTGTCTTACTGCGTGCTCAATGCGTGCTCGCAGGCTCGATGCCATGGCCTGGCTGTGGCATTCCCAAGAATTGTCTACGGGGTAGATGGCCTGATTCTTGGTTTGCCCTTCTGTCAGTTCCCTGGCATCTGCGCCGCAACCCTGCTCCGTAAGATCCCGTGCGTCGGGCCTGCTTGGCGTCGAGTTACCGGTCAGACGCTGCATGTGCTGGCGTGACCTCATAGCCTCCTTGAAAGGCGCACAATGTGCAGCAGAGACCACCAGCAAGACCACCAGCGAGCCCACCAGCAAGCCCAACCTCTGTGCGCCCTCTAGGAATCTTGACTGCAATCGCCCCAGCGGCAGCCCGCCAGAGACACCATGTGTATTGTCCTTCTTACCACCGCGCACCCAAAGTATGCGCTCATCGTCATCGACAACCGGGACGAGTTCATCCTCCGCCCGACATCGCGGCCGCACTGGTGGACCACGCGAGCCTCCCGCCAGCCCTCCAGGACGCCCACCCCCGATGTGTCATGGCAGCAGCACGGCGTCAACGGCCACGCCCCGGATGCCGAACCAGAAGAGATGCAGCATATTCTCTCGTCCCGGGATCTGCAGCGTGCTGAGAGGGGCACATGGCTCGGAATCACAAAGTCGGGCCACTTCTCGGTGCTTACCAACTACCGCGAGCTGGACCCCGGCAGGCTGGGCCAGCCCGTCAGCGGCCAGAAGAGCCGGGGGGCCATGGTCACTTCGTGGCTCGAGAACTCAGCAGACCGCAGCGTGCGCGACTATGTGGAGACAGTCATGGCAAGCGGCGGCTGTCATGGTGTCGGCGGCTTTTCGCTCATCTGTGGCAGGTTGAGACGGAGAAAGGGCGAGGGTGAAGACGGGTTGGAGCCCATGGCGATCCTGTCAAATCGTGCCGAGCACCCTGGTCAGATCCCATGGGTTGTGGGCAAGAGAGGTGAGACGGTTGGGCTCAGCAATGCCGCATTCGATGACCCTGTGGAGTGGCCCAAGGTGAAGAACGGAAAATCGCTGGTCAACCGGGTCGTCGGCGAGGCGGTCGAGAAGGGCATGGGCGAGGACGAGCTGCGGGAGAGACTGTTCTGGGTCTTGGACCAGAACACCCTGCCAACCCACCCAGGGAAGAGCCTAGAGGAGCATCTGGGGGAGCTCAAGGAGTCCATATTCATCCCCCCGATAGGCGACTCGAAGCATCAGGACGACATGGTGAAAGCGGCAGGCAAAGGAACGAGTGAGAGCAACCATGCCGACCCCGAGATGCAAGAAAGCCTGTCCAAGGTGGTCGGAGCCCAACGGCCAGACCCTCAAACCATGGGTTTCGCCACGGGCATGTACGGAACGCAGAGGCAGACGATAGTGCTGGTGGATTGGGATGGGAATGTGACTTATACCGAGAGGGCACTGTGGGATCCAAACGGCAACGTCATAGAGAGAGGCAAAGGAGACATGACCTTCAGATTCAAGGTCGACGGGTGGGATTAGACGGTGCATAAGACTGCCGGAAAATAGGGCCTGCATTAGAATTTTTGGATGATGGTGTGGTTACTCGGTAGAATTAAATGCATGATAGAGTGATCGACTGTACTGCCAACATCTTTGAAGTTGACCAGGACCAGGCCACAGACATGCGATTATATGCACATGAATTCTATGGGGATAATCGATGTCTGTGAGCAGCAGCTTCAACGCCCACCGTTACCGTTGCTTCTACGCTCAGGGGTCTTGGGGGTATTTAGGCAGGAGCGCGTCACGCTGACTGCCTCGCGACTCTGTCGTCACAAGGCATAGCTGCCAGATGGGCTGCCAGGTAGACAGACCACCGATTGCGCTTTCCCCTAGAGCCAGTTACCGTGTCAACCAGGTGGGCAAGCACACGCTTACTGCACCTTGTGGTCGTCTTTGAATGAGCTGGCGCCCTCGATCATCACCTCGCCCCTCCAGCTCCCATCACCACCACGTCTTGTTTCGACAAAACCCCCCAACATCACCAGTAAACGCCACTAGACTCCACGACAATCCCACAGCGCAACAACGTCTTACGCTCCTCCTCATCATGACTACAGATACTGGTCGGGCCAAATTCGATCCTTCTCGTATCAACTGTGCGTCAGGAAATTCAGCCTCCGACGTGAACCGCGACTTCAACTACGGCGCCCCGGCCGATGTCAGACAAATCCTTGGCTTCCTCAATTTCACCTTGAAGGAGAGCATTATTCAGACTGTGAAAGCTTTCATTCAGAGCCTCAGGTGCACCTATCTGCTTGTCTCCGAGCTCCACAGGCCCTTCCTCGACTCCGTCCGTGTCTTGATTCCCTTTTGGCTGGCTGTCTTCCGCGCCATCCTTCTCGTCTTTTTTGTTCTGGTGCACAGAAATATTTCAGGCGCATTCAAACGTCTCCACAAAATAGCTAGTGACTTATTCGCCAAGCTCACGGCATGGACAGACGACGCCGTTCCTCACTTCTCCCGGCGCCTCGGTTGCCGTTCAGGAAGCGGCCCGTCATCAGCGCCCCGATCGGACCCGTCCAGCACAATGGCAGAGTGATTTTACCGTCCCGTCCTGTCACCACTTCCAAGATTTCCGGCAATTATATTTTTGGTGAGGTGGTGTCTGGAGGCCGCAAGGACGTGAAGCCTGAATCTAAGCGGCCACCCACTCCCATTGTCGGCGCTCTTGAAGACTCGACGCCACGACAGTTGTCCAAATCACGCACATTCAACGTCTTTTCCGGAATTACAGCATCTTTTTCCAGATCTAGCTTGGCCTCCAGTCGTCGGAACACTGCTTCATCGAATGGGTCCTCAGCTTCTCTCGCCCCGGCCATAACAGCTGATACTTCACGTTCCAAGACGCCAACTTCCTCTCGCCTCCCAATCTCAAAGAGTGGCCGAGTGTCTCTGGGCTCACACAAGATGGATCTGCACCTCACTCGGGATCCTTGCTGCATCTATACCGATCAGCCTTCAGCGTACTGGAGCGGCCGCTTCACTTCGTTGCATGACAAGTTTCTGGCCGAATGTCTTACCCCCAACAATCTGCAAAGCCTGCTTGGAGCTAAATCAGACCGCAGTACAGCCTTAAAGAAGAAGATGCAGCCAAGTATTCCGCAAGAATCCCAATACACCCGTTTCGACGCCCGCCTTCCGCCGTCCGCCACCTCGGCCGCCATACTTCAACAGATGGGGGGCGGCGGTGGCCTCAACGGCCATATGGACGAGGTCCAGAGCTCTGAAGCGTGTGTTGCAGATGCTAAGTTGCTGCTGGATGACGATGAGCGATGCAGGCGGGTTTTCATCCACCTTGAGGCTTACTGTGCAACTGAAGAAGCCCGGAGGAGCCTGTTTGCCTTCCAGCAGGACTTTGCGCGCAAGGAACGCCGCCCGAAGCTCCTCCCGAAAGGTGGTACTATGGGTGACCGCAACTTGGGCTCGTATATCTCACGGATGGGGGTGCGAAGGATCGGAAAGAGGGCGAGTATGTACTAATAAGCGTGTGAAGTGGGAGACGATGCTTTTGAAATGGGGCTGACGAAGAGCGAAGGAGACATGACGCCCCTCACATGTCTCAGAAGAAGACCATCGGCTCCTCACACCTTGCTCGGAGAACATTGCTACTGCTGCGTCGGGCTGGCTGGAACTCGAATTTACAGGGGGGACTTCCTGCTGTTTGTGGGAACTGGTATATTTTTAGGCTATTGCCATTTGCGGCAGACAGAGATGGAAGATTATCCCAGGATGCAAAATTGTTGACACAGACGAGGGAAAATCACTCGGACATAGCATTGTAAGAGCGTAGAGAGAATAGTCAAGTGATGATTTCTTGGTGATAACTTGTGATGCGCCGCGACCGCTTGTGGGTCACCTACAGCAATGTAGGTAGGAAAACAGCATCGTTGGCTCTACCGGGTATCCGCCCTAACGCCTTTTCCCTTGGACCATGTAGCCCACCTATCTTTTTTGTAGCCCTGAACGCCGGCCGGTGAATCTTTGGTTTGGACCTGTTTGAAAGGACCAGGTATGATCAAGCCGTGACTAGGCCATCATATTCAAGACTGAGAGCATCCCATCAGCCTCAGGATCATCTCCAAGCAGTGCTCAACCTGGCTCGGAGAACCCCGTCACATGTCACATCTGCAGCACGCCCCTGACAGTTTTACCGTATATCACAGGCCGAAAGACACCAGGACGTCGCGTCTCCGAGATTATGGTGACCCTTGACTGCAAGTCGTCACAGCCGCTGCCGAAAATCAGGCCGGGAGTTGAGAAAGCGGAATCCTAGTTCGCCTTCTTCCACAGCCTCAGGTAGTCAGCCAGCTGCTCGACCTTGCTGGCGAAGAAGATCTGGCGGGCGTCGCTGCGCCAGACCAGGACGCCGATCTCCTCGGCGTAGCGCGACAGGGCGTCGTACTCGGCCTTGGAGTCGAAGTCCTTGAAAAGGAAGCCGGGTGTGGCGCGCATGCGCTCGTTCTCGAGCTGCCAGAGGCGGATCTGGTCCACCACCGTGGGCGGCAGCACGGGCTTTGTGTTGAGCTGCGCGACGCGGTGCATCTGCTCGTGTGCGTGCGTCGCCAGGTACGACACGATCTGGTCCGCCGTGATGCCGTAGCTGATGGCCTTGCGGATCGAGTCGCGGGTCAGCCGGCCCGTCACCATGCCCGAGAAGCGGTGCCGGAGGTGGCAGAAGAGCGAGAGCACACAGATCTGCAGCGGGGACGTCGTGTATGCGTAGATGCGGTAGTTGGTCTCCACGATGATGAAGCCCTTGTGCTGCCCGCCCTCTCCACCACCACCGCCACCGCCGCCGCCGCCGCCGCCACCCTCCCCGTGGCCGGCGGCTATGGCGGCGTCAAAGCCCGATGATACGCTGCGCAGTGCCGAGGCTCCGCTCGTAAGGGTCGTGGCCAGCCGGGTTGGGAAGTACTGGTGGTGGTTGGCCGTGTCGATGTAGACGAGGCCAAAGTCCACCAGGTTCGGAAGCATGTTCTGACGTTTCTCAGTCAGCGCATTTGTGTCATAAGCCCTTCCTAGCTCCAAGCTGGCAAGCATGAACAGGAAGCTTAGCATGTCGACGCTGTCGAGCTTGGACTCCCTGCCGGCCTGCTCGGCCTCCTTGCGCGCCTGGTCAGCGGCCTCCAACCACTGCAGCAGCAGCGTCCACACCTGAGCATTCGCCTCCTGTAGCAGAAACGTGAAGCCTGACTGTGTGATCCCCACGCTTCCCAGCCCCCTCCGCTCGACCAGGCGGCCTGCCACTAGCAGATCCTTGACGGAAGCCTTGGGCCCGGACCCCGACATGTTTTCGCCACCCCCCATCGCAACGCTGTTCACCACAAAGTGCAGTATGTCGTCCCACTTCTTGCGCGCGTACTTGTCGAGGAACGCAATGTCGACGTGGCCGGGCACCGGGAGGGAACTGGGCACGCCGAAGCTCTGGTGCTCGCCGCCGCCCTCGAGGGCAAGGCGCAGGGAGTTCTTGAAGTTGGTGGTCAGGGCCATCTCCTGGGGCTTGTCCTTGACGGCCATGGAGATGGACACTATGTGCAGGCGGCGCAGGATGCCGAGGGCGTGGTCACGGTCCTTCTTGGCGTCGGGCTTGACCCAGGTGTCGAGGTCGTCGAGCAGGAGGGGCGTGGGCATGTACAGGATGGCCATGACGAAGGTCTTGGCAAGGTTGGGCAGCATGCGCCGGAAGATGGCAAAGGCGGTGGAGGGCTGCAGGTAGAGCCTCCGGAAGACGGCGCCGGAGAGCTTCTCCAGGTAGTCGGAGAGGGTGAGGGAGGGCGCCGCGGACATGGTGGGCCAAGCGTGCGAGGACGGGTGAGGTGAGGGAGGAGGAGGCTCGACGGCGTCTGCCTCGGCCAGTCAGTGCCGCTGGGGGTCAAAGCCAGGTCGCAGTGTTTATCGCATTTCTCGGGCAGGGAGGGATCTGGATGGATGGTCAGCGTGACCTCCCGATGGCACTGCCCAAACCGACTGCGAGCAGGTCTGCTGGGTGGTGTGGCGAGGAGGACGCGGCTCGTGGTGGTCGAAGGACGGTGCTGCGTGTTTGGGGGCCTGACTTTGAAATGCACCAGTCAAGCAACGTCAACTACGGACTACGGCGCGGGCTTAGACTATCAAGACTATGTGCAGGGGTTGTCCCCTCCAAGGCTAGCGATAAGACGGCTCCTGTGGCGCCTGGGCCTCCCTCCCAGGATGGCCAGCAGACAGCAGACTCTCATACCACTCAATGGACGACGAACCTAAACACATCCAGGGCCGCTTTTAGATTTCCTCCCTTCTCATATCCTTACGCTAGACATCTCCTTGGCAACTTGATCATGTCGAAATTTTTGAAGGCTGAGGAATTTGTTCCGAGGGTCAGTCCCTCGACGTCGGACACAGCTACATAGCCAGCCTAGGTGACTGACATTCGGTGCATCCGCGTCTTTCTAGGTTCTGAGGAACTTCATGCAGACATCTGGCCTGGAGCCAACGTATGTGATGATTCTCCCCCGGACACATAGGAAATACTGGCAAGACTGACAATCCACACAGGCTGCTAGGGAAAAACAACGTGAGAGCGCTCGAGGTGTGGTGTCTCTGTGTTGGACGGGTCGCATGCTCACGGCGGTGGTGATTACAGCTACGTGTCGTTGCTGCCGGTATTGGCAAGGTCACATTTGATCTCCATCTCCATAAGCAGCACACGGTGAGTGAAGGGCCAAGAGCGACCCAAACAAGCCAGCTTGAACAGCTGAGGCCCATGGTGCTGACGCCAACCCCCAGAACCGGTTGAGAATCCTGCACGGTGGAACCATCGCCAGCATGGTTGATCTCGGCGGCTCTCTTGCCGTGGCATCGATGGGACTGTACTCTACGGGTGTCTCGACGGACCTGAATGGTGCGGACTGTTTCACTATGGTGCTGTATCCTGGAAGGGCTGGCTAACCCAGACTGTCCAGTTTCCTACTTGGCTGCCGGTGGCAGGGCAGGCGACAAGATCCGTGTTATTGCTGAATGCGAGAAGAGTGAGTGTCACGGGATCCTCCACCCAGACTTAAGACCATCTACCTAGGTAGTACTGACACAATGACAACAGTGGGGAAGACCCTGGCATACACACATATCAAGTTCTTCAACGCAAAGGGAGACTTGTTTGCGAGAGGAAGCCATACCAAGTGAGACCCTCCGCAACCAGCCTGCGCTGTTCTGACCACAAGACTGATCTGGTCCTGCTAGGTACATCGAGAAGGCGCGTCAAGATCAAGTGACGCCCTATAGTCTCCCAGCCTGGGACTTGTCAGGGCCTTCCGTGGATGCCAACGGGCAAGGGCAAGGGCACGGAGAGCAGGATGAGCAGGGGTTATTGGACCCCAGTGAACAAAACGGAGACAAGTCCTCTCAGTATTAGGCCAATGCAAAGACAGGCTCCTCTAGGGCATCCGTTCCGTTTTGTATCCTGATTCTCGGACCGGACAGGCCTCGTTCAGGTCAGGAGCCGACGCTGCTTCCGTGCTGCTACTCGGTACTTGGTACTTTTGGCGCCTGAGGCCAGCACAACGGGTGGATCCAATATTTAGCGGGGATTGGAGTCGCTTAAAATTTCAAGTGCACAGAATTTTCCTTCCCATCACAACCACAATTACTTTCCTGGGAGAAAACCACCCTCACGACGCGCCGGCTAGGACATTTTGTCGTGTCAAGGCCAATATGGAAACGGGATGAGGTCTCGACAGGGCGAGGCTGAAGAGCCTCAAGTCGAGACAGCACCGACCCGGGGCCACAGCCCAATTGCAAGCAAGGGACCGGGCGCCCGGGTGGGGTCCGCCTTGCAAGCTTGCAGCTGACAGTGGCAGCCTCAGAGCTCGCAGAACAAAATGGAATCGCTTGGATTTCTTCCACGCCGTTCCGGCCTCCCTGCTCACCACCAACAATACTGCTACCACCACACCACCCACCCATCCTCCCATATCTTTGACTACCTCTCACTGATCAGCCCTTGCGAACCACTGAACCACTGCCATCAAATTGCATCCGCTCAGCCTTCTCACACAACCCGCTCTGGGACTCCAAGGTACGTGTGCCCCCGCCGCCGCTTTCTCCCACCGCAATCACCACAGCCACCGCTGTTACCACGTCAACGTGATGAGATTTATAGCTGGCACCAGTCATAGGGGTTTTTTGTACTCTCTCCCTTTGATGATCAAGCTCTTGAATATACTTCATTTCTGAACGACGCTCTCCCAATTGGCACTTTACGACACGTTACCGAGGCCATGGCAACTTTGACTGACATTGCCCCGCCAAAGCAGACTTGAACCCTCCAACCCGCCCTTTTCGCCGCTGAAGCCGTCCTCCTACCTAGGTAGCCACACCCAAAATGGTCCTTCACAACCCGAACAACTGGCACTGGGTCAACAAGGATGTCTCGGAGTGGACAAGAGCCTGGTTCACCGAGAACCTGACCAAGACCGAGGTGGAGGACGGGGGCTCAAAGGTCAAGATTAGCAAGGTCATCACCTGCGACGGTGATGTCGACGTTAGCCAGCGCAAGGGCAAGGTCATCACAATCTACGACGTGAAGCTGGTCCTCGAGTTCTCCGGCTCCGCCCCGGAGGCAGACGATGTGTCCGGCACCATCACCGTGCCCGAGGTTGCACACGACACAGAGGAGGACGAGTTTGTGTTCGACGTCGACGTCTACTCCGAGTCGAAAGAGAAGCAGCCGGTCAAGGATCTCATCCGCTCCAAGCTCGTCCCTCAGCTGCGACAGCAGTTTGTCAAGCTGCCTTCTGCCCTGATTGCCGAGCACGGCAAGGACATCCAGCACGCGCCTGGGTCCAATCCTTCCAGCGGCTTCTCGACTCCCAAGTTCCAGCCCAAGCCCTCCGCCCCGGAACCAGCCTCGACCACCGTCAAGTCGAGCAAGGGCGCTGTTGTCAACACCACCACCGTGAACGACAGCGAGGAGTTCCGCACGACCGCAGAGGAGCTGTACAAGACTTTCACCGACCCTCAGCGGATCGCGGCCTTTACGCGTGCGCCCCCAAAGGTCTTTGAGGGCGCCAAGAAGGGCGGCAAGTTCGAGCTGTTCGGGGGTAATGTGCACGGCGAGTACCTGGAGCTGAGCGAGCCCACCAAGATCGTGCAGAGCTGGAGGCTGGAGCAGTGGCCAGCAGGACACTTCTCGAAACTGGAGATTGAGTTCGACCAGAACGATGTGGACTCGGTGACGGTCATGCGCGTCAACTGGACCGGTGTGCCAGTGGGCCAGGAGGAGGTCACCAAGGAGAACTGGCAGAACTACTACGTCCACAGCATCAAGAGGACTTTCGGGTAAGCAATCTATCGTCTATTCGCAGTGGTGGGGCTCGGCCATGTGCTAACTTTGTAACAGTTTCGGCACCATCCTCTAATCTGCTCCCAAGCGCAGAGGGCTTGTTAGGTAGTATCTACGGTTCCCTAGGTTAGATATCAAGGACGAGCCACCCACTAGAAAGAAGTAAAAATTCAAAATCAAGAAACATATGAACTCCAACCTCGTCGCTCTCTTTTGCAGTGACATGCCCTGGTCAGCCGCGCTTGAGGGCCACAACGTCCTCCGACATGGAGGGACTGTAGCCCGTGAACCTATGGACTTTGTGCGGACATTGCCGGCCTACCCGAGAAGTGGCCTAATGGGTTGCAACGACTAGACAGGTCTTGGTGATCAGTCACTATAAAGCCACTGCTAGACTCCCGAAGCCCTGATACGACGAGTTAAGCTTTCTCAGTCGAGACTTGAACAGGCTTAACTGGTTCTGTTCAGCCCGGGTGCGTTTCCTAGTAGCAAACAACGGGCTGTTGAGAGAGACCCAAGCGCGCTTTGCGCAGCAGAGGCTGGCCGGACGCGAAAGATGGCCCGGTTCTCCACCTCTCGCCGGCCCGGCACCGATGATCGCTCTACGTCAGGATAACTCGCCGTGAAAACTTGCGGATATCCCTTTCGATGAAGCCATTTACGGCATTAGACCAGCACCCCAATTCCTCACAGTCGGTGCTCTCACCGACGGGTTTTTCAAGATGGCACCCGCCTACAAATTTGCGCTGATTCAGATGCAACCCAAGGTCAGTTATTAGTCGGTTAGTCAGTTAGTCGGTCAGTCAGTTGCGTCACCTCTTCGACGAGCTTTATCGTCTCTCCCATCTTGGTAATCTTGATCATCTTCATAGAAAAGGGCCGGCTCGTCACTGCTTCTTGTCCATTTGGCTCGAGCTGGTACAGCTTAGCCATTTAAACATCCCTCTTGGACGGGCAGTCACCTGTGGACTTACCTTTATCTCATCAATTGATTCCACTATTCTGCTCACTCACCCCCCCCCTCCCTCCCACGCTCTCACTTATTCCCTTGCCAATCGTTGACCCCGGCCTCAGCCAGTCGACCCGGCAGCAAACTTCAAAAAAGCAGAATCAGAGATACGCAAAGCCGCCGAAAATGGCTGTCACGTCGCCGTGCTCCCAGAGTACCATCTCACCTCCTGGGTACCGGACCACCCAGACTTCATCGCCTCCTGCGCAGAATCAGAGACCTACCTGCCTCGGTACCAGGCCCTCGCCCGCGAGCTGAACATAAGCATAGTCCCGGGCACGATCTGCACCTCAGACGCGCCGCCGCCGCCGCCGCCGCAGCCGCAGCCAACAGCCAGGGACGGCGGCAAGGGGCTGCGCAACATGGCGTACTTCATCTCGGCGGGGACGGGCGAGCTGGCGGGCAGCTACCAGAAGAAGAACCTGTGGCACCCTGAGCGGCCGCACCTGAAGCCCGGGCGCCACGAGCCCCACGCCGCCTTCGACACGCCGCTGCGCAACGCCGACGGGTCCCCCGTGCGCGCGGGCCTGCTCGTGTGCTGGGACCTGGCCTTCCCGGAGGCCTTCCGCGCGCTCATCGCCGACGGCGCGCAGGTCGTCATCGTCCCTTCGTTCTGGCTGATCACGGACGTCGACGAGGCCGGGCTCGCGCTCAACCCGGACAGCGAGAAGGTCTTTCTTGACTCGGCTGTCGTGTGCCGCGCGTTTGAGAACACGGCCGCTGTGGTCTTTTGTAACAAGGGCGGGTGCAGCCAGGTCGCGCTGCCGATTGTGGGCAAGGTCAAGAATGAGGGTGGTAAGGAGCTTGGCCTGGACGAGGATGGCACCGTCTACGCTGAGGTGGACTTGGATGTCTTGAGGATCGCAGAAGAGAACTACAAGGTGAGGGAGGATATAAAGGGCAAGGGCTGGCACTATGGATATGAGCTGGTCAAGGATTAGGCATGAAGCAGTGCGTCCAGATGTCACGACCCGGGAGGCTGAGGCCATCTGCCCACGGACGTATAGTATGCTCTTTGCACTTTTATTGGCATTGTGGTCTTTTTTAAACAAAAAGCGCTGTGTCTTGGGCGTTTACCACTGTACCAAGACGCCACTTGCAGTCTGTACGTATGGGGATCGGAAACGAAACCACCTAAGCATGGCGCAAGCCATGATTTTCCGGTCTGAGAATGTGATTGATTTCTATCATGGCTTATATCAAATTACTTACGGATATCCTGGGGTCAAATCAGTGTTTCAAGAAGAAAGAAGAAAGACTTCCTGTTTCTCAATGGCAGCTGCGGCTGAAAAGACGACAACAGAAACTCATCGAGCACCTGGGAGCCACGCAGACACCAACTTGCACTTCCCGCGCCGACGACATGCTTCCACGGCCCGACCCGTACCAGGGATGAGCCCATCATCACGGATGTCCAGCTCTTATCCCTGTGAATTATGCCCAGATCGCGCCAGTCTCCTTTCCCGGTGGAGCACGTATGTACCGACGGCACATGGGAGGAAAGTATTTCCCAGCCACAGGACGAGGTGGGTACACTCTCGGGCCTGACTACCCGGGAAAGAGAAATTCCCAAAGCATATGCAACTTCGCCGCATCTCATGGAACTCAAAACCATCGTCGATTCATACCGTCGATATCGTCCGGGCCATCGGTAACACTTTCACCCTCATATTGGAGGGGAATCATCGGGGGAGCTCTCGAGGGCGCGCATGCTCCCGCGGGACGAACGCCGGCCACCTCGGCAAGAAACAAGGTCCGGCAAATGCCGAGATGTAATGAGTGATGAGATGACACTGAGATGTATTGTTCTCGGTTGAATCGAAAGACCAATTATGGTTCTTGATGGTAGGTGGATAGTAGGGTCCATGTGCTGAAAAGTGTCTGATAAATTCCGGTTCAAGCGTAACTTGGTAAACCAGAAAAGGAATTCATACATGGAACGTTCAAACAAGGTGTCACCCAGCTTTCAAAAACCATCTGAGTTGTATATTGGCATGCAATGGTACTACAGATCATGGGCAGTCGGATCAGTTGCAATCCTTTGCAGCAGTGTTCAATGGTGCTCTGGTCAGTGCTTGGCTGGATGTTCGCCCATTGTTCTCAATTTGCAAATTGAACGGTGATTGAAATCTGACGGGTGACAGCGGTTTTGCTATGTTTGTCTGTGGTTGAAGGGTAAATATTATGAATTTTACGTGTGTAAAAGTTCTATGTTATGTACAGTCCTGAACCAGTTCAATAATTCCTTACACACCCGTGTGCCGTATATCGGCAACGACAAGTGGCGTATAGAATGGTGTAGCCAGCGCTCTGGCCTCGGGAAGGATTTGTCTAAGTCGCAGATACCTGTTCCCCCTTTTCTGTCAGGGCATCCGCCTCAGGTTGCGGTATCGTCCTTGGCGAGAACGTCGTCCAGAAGTCTGACTGCTTGACGAACCACGAGTTCGTAATCTTCCAGTCCTTGGAAGGGTCTTGGAAATCAATCTGTTCGGGTCGCATTGTTAGCAGACTGTCGCCGGAAACAGGTAAAGGAATGGAGTGGAATGACTTACGTCAAAAGCCCGTAGCAAGCTAGGTACGAGCTTGTATATCTCCAGCAGGCTGATGTTCTTCCCGATACACGTCCGGCTACCCATACCAAACTGTAGCATGGTGCCCGTCATCTCTTTGACCCTGGCCTCCTCCTTCTCCTTGTCGAGAGACTCATCCACCAGCCACCTCTCCGGCCTATACACGTCCGCGTCCTCGCCGAAGATTCTCTTATTGCGATGGAATACCCACGCGGAGCAGCCCACGATGGTCCCACCGGGGATGAAACGGCCGGCAATCTCGGCGCCCTGGGGCGGGACGATGCGCTCCATGGGTAGGCCGGGGGCTGGGTGGACCCGGAAAGCCTCCTTGATGCACGCATCCAGGTATGGAAGCTTCTGCGCCTCAGCCCAGGTTACGAGGCCCGTCTCATTGTCGTGGAAGACACCCTTGCGGCCTGCCTCATCCAGCTCGGCCCGAAGCCTTGCCATCGCGGCCGGGTTGCGCAGGAGGTAGTAGAAGGTGGCGCCGAGGCTAATGGCGGTGGTCTCGGAGCCCGCGAAAGCCATCGACACCGCCATGGTCTGCACGAGGCCGTCCGTCATGAATTCGGGGCGTGTCTCCTGGGCGGCGAGAAACTTGGACAGCAAGTCAAGCGTGGGTTTCTTCTTGTCTGATGTGGGCAGGATGTTGCCCTTCTCGCTGTTGAGATCGGGCAGGCGCTCGGCCATGCGCGCTCGGGCGAACTTGGCGACGGGGAAGGTCGCGTCGATGAGGCCCCATTCACCAAGCTTGAGGTAGATGGGGTTCTTCAAGAAGAGGCGGTCTAGGAGGGGAATCTGTCCGATCTAGGTGGGTTGTGAGTCTGTTGCTCCTTCAAACGGATCCAGTCAGGGGCCTTGGTGGACTTACGGGTGCCACATAATTGAACAGCTGGGTCAGGTATGATACGATTCCGTCGATGTCCTCGTTCTTCTCAACAAACCCATGGCGTTTGCTGTAGGTGATTTCGCCGATGACGTCGAAAGCGTAGAACTGAAGCCAGCGAGTGAAGTCGCAGCCTTCCGATTTGTTGGCGAAGAGGCGCTGTGTCTGCTTGAGGAATAGTTTCGTGGTATTATCAACAAACGGCTCGTATTGCACGAGGGCCGACATGGCAAAGGCCGAGTTCACGCAACGTCGGAACTGCTGGTGGAAGTCGTTGTCGACGGTGCTGAACAGACTCGGTTGCGACTGGCCTTTGACGACGGCTTGTTGCACAACATAGAAATCAGACTGTCGAGGAACACTATCGTCAATCCATCGTCTCCTAGAAGTGCTGGCCTCTTGGGTGCAGACGGTGCTCACCTTAACATAGCCTTTGTTCAGACCATATATCGCCTTCAGAGCTGCCGGATCCGCGAAGGACAAGGTGTTTGGTCCAAGCCGTACGACGTCTCCATGCTTCTCGTGGAGTTTGAGGTGGGTGAGCTCTGGCCGCCTGTTCCATACGTCCACAAACCTCCACCAGTCTGTCAGAGACGCCAGAAAGGGCCCAGGGTATTTGTTCAGTCCGTTGTGGTATCGGTTTCGGAGGAGCCATGCGGCAATGATGATAACTAGTGCCGAGGCCCAGTGTTGAAGCACCGCATGCAGTATTTGATCTGTTATTCCATGCATCTTGACTGTCGTGATGTTGCCGGGTTGAAGACGGCGATTGGATGTTGAATGGTAGTAGGTAGGTGGATTTTAGCCCTTTTCAACTGATCGCACAAGATGACCTGGCGTGCACATGTGCGGTGTTGCGTTCCCGGAAGTGAGCTGGATGCTTCAGATGAAATACAACTATAGGCTAGTCAGGTAAGTTGGGGCTGAACAACATATAAATGAAATTCATCCTTCTCGAGGACTACTTATCAGGCTCGGGCGAAAGTACGGATCAATTTGCACAACTGTGGCCGGACTGTCGGGATCATGGCGAGGCAAATGATAGTAGCTACTCGCAGCATGAAACCTTATAGATACGACATCGACTAGTGACCATTTGGATCCACCAGAGACACTCATCGCATGCGGGTGAACCAGCCTACACGCGTGTCTACGGGTCATGCGTGGAAGATATCTCTACCGCGCGTGTCTCGCGCGGCCAATGGGGCCCTGTGGGAAAATCCAGAAAACCCGCGTCAAGGACGGCATTTGGAGGCTGATATGAGCGCCCGTGTTACCACTTTGAGTCGAGTTTGGGATATTGTGCCGGGCCCACCCCTGATTCCCCACCCCAGATCGGCCCAAGCCGGTGGGGTTCCTCTGTTGGGGTACCGGGCCAACGGGCTTGCTGCCAGAACAGCGGGGGGTGTGCAAGTCGTCGCCGGATAGGACCGACGTCATGGTTCAACTTGAAGAACCAGCATCCTACGGTCCAAGAGGGCGAGGTTCCCAAAGGGCCCAAAGTGCCTCCTGTGATGGACACGGCCTTGTTGCTTTGGCTCCTATACTGGTGGGGAATGTCGTATCGCTACAACATGGGAAACGGTCCGCGAGTATGCACCACGAGAGCCGCATCGAATAATGCTCAGAGTCAATATGGCTGGCCGTGCAGACGCGGCGGCCAGGATAAGACTCCGATGCCGACCCACCCTGTCATGGGCCGGATATCCCGAAATCCACGGGCCGGTGGGCTCAGCCTCAGTGCTGGGTCAAACGTCCGAATCGTTCAGTGTTGGACAGGGAGAAAGGGAGGTCTTGGGGCTGGGCATTTGGAGAGGGCGGGAAATAGTTGACCCTGGGTTAGTCCGAACTAGGATCCTCCCATCGGACGCCAGATCAAGGGACGAGATGCATGATGTCAGGTCGCACGGCGTCAAAATGGCCCATGAACAGCACCGAGCTCTCCAAGTGCCGTAATAGTAAGGACGCGGCTGGTTCACAGATAACTTCATATTTCCAAGAACAATAATCACTATACCGAAATGCATTCCTTCAATATGGTGAAGCCGCATAGATATGTTATTGGCTTGTAAGCACGCTAGGGTGTCCCTTGGGACGCATGCCCGCAGCACTGAGAATGCCATGCCGCTCCCAAAGTCGGGTGTCGCAAGCACACGATAATAAGAAGTCCGGGACGAATATACCTAGGTACCATACGATATCTAGGTACTACTCCACCACTGTCATAAATCGCCTATAAAGGCGGGTGCGGTACTATCCATGGGTAATTGTACATATTGGCATTAGACAAAGAGTCATCAATGATATGACTTTTGAAATTACCATAATCACGAAAGATCCCAAAGAAGAGTACCTAGGTAGCAAATCACTATTTTCGCCACAAGAGGGGGCCTAACAGCTTAAATCCGTAAAATTTTTCAAATTCGAGCGGCACGATATGTTCTGTGTCTTTTTGAAGAGATTGGTGTCGTTGGACTCGAGTCGTGTGTGAGCATCGAGGTAAAGAATCATCTACGGAAAGAGCAGCACGCTGTTAGGGATGAAGTGATGTTGAAACCCGCTATCAATTGATGCGAGGCAACTTGCGCAATGAAATATGAATACCCAATGGCCTGGCGGGTGTCTTGCCACAGCGTCGAGACCAACTATTGAAAGAACAACAGCGGGAACAATTTTTGGGTGGACCACGCCTGATGGAACCACTTACATATGTACACATATGCAGCTCCCCCTCGCTGTTATTTGCGTTTTTTATGCCAGAAAAGGTGGCAAAGAAGCCAAGTTGCGGCTTTGAAATGAGGTCAGAGGCGTGTGAGCTGCTATACTCCTTGAGCGAGTCTTTACAGAGAAACTTGTCACAAGTGTGAACGCCATGATGGCTCGGCTTGATAAAATTGCAAGCTGTGATTGATCGAGCTTCCAGTATCTCGAGGATAATAGTTAGATTTTATTTTATTTGAGTGAGTGCAAGCGGAGTCTCTCAAGCTGAATTTATTGTCAACACTCTTGGATTTTGTGAGATGGGACATGTTTTCTCACTCCTTGAATTGTTCCACAGGGAACCTGTTCTGGATGCTCGAAGTCTTGAATCTCTTCCCGTATGCTCTAATGCAAATCTATTAGCCTTTACCCATACACCTCAACTTCCTACAGTTTGAGAATTTCGAGCAGTCAAAGCTGCTTGTAAAGCACTGCCAGTGGCTGCAATATTTTCAACTTATATAGTTTCGCTTCTATTCCATATACATCCAAGGACATACATAGTGCCTTTATACAGTAGTAAGCACTCAAGACCCAGCGCTTAGAAAGAATACAATACCGATAACAATATTTATAATACGATAGGTACTTGTAGCCTCAGCCTTACGACGTACAGACAAGGCTAAGGGGCACCATCTTGACCAATTTTCAACTTATCAGATATATTTTCAGCCTCAATGGATGCTTAACCCTCCTGGCTGGTATATGCCCTAAACTTTTCTTAATACTTATCTCATTTACATATCGTAAATTTTGCGTCCTAAATCCATCCGAATCCCCTCAGCATCGCGAGTCTAGACATACACCAAGTTGACCAAGTCAGTAATCTGACGGGGTAACGTCCTCATCTTCCAGCTTGATTTGTAAAGGGCCGCCCCGGGAATAATGTGCTCTCCACTTTCCCTAAATCTCTAGCAAAGTGACCTAGAAGATCAGGGCGGACGTCGTTGCCCGTGGGCTGGAAGAAAGATAATATAAATTTCATTAACGATTGCTGATGTTGATGACATTAGCCCAATCATGAGAATGTTGTGCAGTCTTTGACAATCAATGAAATCGTTTTTCAATACTTGATGGTACGGCAATTGGAACGCAGCAAGGCCAAGAGCACTACTACATTCAGTTCGAGTAGTCCAGTGACGAACACATCTATCTGCAGAACGCACCCCTTTCTCCTCAGCCCGGCCTCCTGACTTGCTCCATGTGACATATTTCCAACAGCTGGTGCTGCTCAAAAGCCAATATACCAGGTGGTTTCGTTTCTAAAACCCACACATACTAAGCGTATGTAGCGCCTTCATCAAGTGGTAAACCGCTTAAGAACCAGTGTTTTGGAGGCATAATGCCAATAACAGTGCAGATAGAATACGATACATGGGTCAGGACGCCAACACTCAAATATTTTCGGACAGGCTGTCTTCCGCTCAGCTTGTTGAGCTCCTCAACATTTACAGCAGAGACACCGCGTTTGGGTGACTTTCCTCTACCGAAGCTGTAGACTCTACTAGCAGTCGCCTCGCCAATGGTGGCAGGGTGGCAGCCCGTGACTGGATGACGATGGGCGGTTGCACGACTGTACACACGACGGTTTAGAAATCGATGTATATAAGTGTCAACAGGAATTAATGCATGCTGCCTAGTGTGACAGATCATATGGCTTCTCTTGCTCCTCCGCCCTCTCCCCACCGTAGTCATTCTTCCAAGAACCGGCATAGTGGTGAACCACCAAAGATGGGCCCTGGCCCCCTTCTTCGTACGTGTTGAACAGGGCCGCCAAGGAGTATCCCGGGAGAATCAAGACATCGCCAGCTAGCTTCGGCTCCAGGATTTCATAATACTCATCCCACCCCTTCCAGCCACTCGTCCCGTTCAGCGAGGCCCGCACGCTCTCGGTGACGCTCTTCGCGAACCTCCTCGGCCCGGTCAACTCCACCACATCGCCGACCATGTCCATCTTGAGCTGCGGGATCGTGGCATTATTCTCCTTGGCGACGCGCTCCACCGACCTCACAATGTCCTCGACCACAGCGATCAGGTGCCGCGAGCCCTTCTCGGCCATGACGGCCCACGTTGTGAACTGGCGCTCGAACGGGTACGGATACCCAGCGTCAAACTCCCAGCCCACGACCAGGCCGACATCCTCCTTGAGATCCTGGGGGATCCACTCGTCTACCGGTATGCCCTCGCACGAAACGTCAAGGTCGAACCAGACGCCGCCCTCGGAGTAGAGCAGGAGGTACCTCAGCATGTCGGCCTTGACGATGGGTATGGTGAGGGCCATGTACGTCGCCACAATGTCCGGGCGGTCTGCGTATTTCTCGCGGACAAAGTCGTCGGCAGACTCATCTGTCAGGAACTCTGCGTGGTACTCAGGGTTCTGTGAGATGCACGTGTCCGTCCACAGGTTCGCCTCGTAGCTGAGACCCTTTGGCCCCAACTTGTACCAGATCTTTTTGGGTATCCTGCCGGGTCTTGGTGCCACGACTGGGAGCTGTGCGTCAGCCGCCTGGAAAGGGATCTCTTCTGGGATCTCTGCCGGGGCCGCTGCTGGTGCCTCCGGGGACGAGTCTGTCGACGTCTCCACGAGTGGCTCCGGCGCCTCCGGAGGTTGTGTGAGTGCTTGTGGGCTCGAGCTCGCTGCGTATTCCATGCCCCATGCTCGGAAGTAATTCAGTACCAACAGAAGGACAAAGACGATCGCGATGTTTCTCGCAGAGGGCAGTCGGCGTGGTCGCCGCCAGATAGCCATTGGTTGTTTGTTGTTCTCCATTGCAAGGCAAACTCTGGGATCATGGGGAATACGGGGTCATGAGTATCTCGACAGCTCAGCTGATAACGGGATGGGGCCGGCCCCGAGTCTAAAGTAGATCGCTGGTAGAGCGCAAGACACTAATAAATGAATGACTAGATGAGCAAGGGATGGTCAGGCAGTCCGTGAACAGCAGGCTGGGCAGGGAATCGCGTATGGACAAACAGTGAAGGGATCTTCAAATTCAAGCAGCTCAAGATTAATGATGCATTGCACAACCCGGGGAGTAGGGAATGAGTTTGATGACTCGGGCTGGTCGGTGAACATGTACAGCCAACACCCGAGGATGTTATCTTTCTTTTCTGCAGATCTTCTCGAAAAGCAACGCAGAGGCCCTAGCAACTATCGAGCATCCCAAAGATATCGTTGGCTGAGTGGGTGCAATGTCTTGGGTAACATGTGCCGCTTCTATTGTTGTCTCGGTCGACCTGCTTTCTCACCCGCCCCCCTGCATTATGTCTCGGTCGAAATGTGAAGGTCCCGTATGCCGGACTCCGACACCAGCCCCGACTGACGGGATTCAGTGATGATACCGGAGCCGCACACCGGTGGAAATAGAATCTCGAAGTGAAGATTAGGATCCTGGGAGACGTTGACAGTTGTAGTCTTTGGACGATGCGGCACGGCGCGAGGTTGATATGGGGTACGAGCTCGCGGCTGGAGACGGAGATCATCCGAGATCCGAGTATCTTATTAGTGTTCAGAGTTCGTATCAACTACAAGTCGCAGCGAATTTCGACTGTACAGGAATCGTGGCAGGTTTAGGCACATAGCTTCGAGCGACTATTGGAAATTTACAGCCGAGACCCTGACGATGATGCAGGTTGTACAGAGAAACGCCAAGGAGCCCTGGTGTCAGGGCAGGGTCCGATCCTAGAGTTGTCTACGTGTGGGAGCATGAGGCTTTCGGAGCCCCATGCTCACTAAAGATCTGGTCGCGCTTATGGTACCATGAATGTTGGTTGAGAGGATGGTAATAATCATTATATACTAATTATGAGCATGTAGATTACCGCCGCTGGTGCTGATATTGCTTAGACGCGGTTAATGAAAACCACGGTGCTATCGTAGTCACCCTGCAGCGAGTACTGCAGTCCGACGTTCTGGAGTGTGGCACCAGAGAATGTGCCCGCGCCCTCGACCTCGTAGTTAGCGGCCGGGTCGAGGCCCTGGAGGCGAATGAAGGGCAGTGCCTGATTCCAGACGGATCGGATCTGAAAGTAGAAGAGCACTGCCTCTGCACCGTCCTCCGAGACGAACATGGCAGCAGGCCAGTTGGAGTCCTCGGGCAGGGCAAGACGCCACATATCACCGTTGATGACGAGGGGGTTGACGCGCTCGGCGAGGGCGATGAGGCCGGGCAGCTGCTCGCGGTCCTCATCCGGGATCTTGGGCGGGTTGAGCTCGAGCCCGAAGCTGCCGCCCATCATGGCGACGTGGGCGCGAAAGGCGATCGGGGTGGTGCGCTGGGTCTGGTGGTTGGGCACGGCGCTCACGTGGGCGCCCATGGCGGACGGCGGGTACACAAGACTGGTGCCGAACTGGATGAAGATCCTCTCCAGAGCGTCGGTGTTGTCGCTGGTCCAGATCTGCGGGAAGTACTGCAGCACACCCGGGTCGAAGCGGCCGCCGCCGCTGGCGCAACCCTCCCAAAGGACCTGGGGGAAGCGGCTGGTCAGGGTGTTGAAGACGCGGTACAGGCCGAGCATGTAGGCGTGGTCAACGCCGTCGTAGGGGGTCTCGTGGAAGCCGCGGTTGTTGTCCCACTTGACGTAGGTGATGGAGGCATTGCTGAGAATGCCGGCCACGGATTCGATAACGAAGTCCTGGACCTCGGGGAGGGCGAGGTTCAGAACCAGCTGGTCACGGCGCAGGGTGCGTGGGTAAGGGCCGGCGCTCAGGACCCAGTCTGGGTGTTGGTGGTACAGCGTCGAGTTGGGGTTGACCATCTCGGGCTCGAACCAGAGGCCGAACTGCAGGTTGGTGGTCGAGTTGGCCGCCTGGAGCTGCCTGACCTGGTCGACCAGGGGTGCGAGTGAGCCGCTCGGGAAGCGTTCCGTGTTGACCTCCCAGTCACCAAGACCAGCGTTGTCCTTGACACGAGGGTACTCCTCCCCGAACCAGCCGTCGTCGAGCACGAACAGCTTGACGCCGAGGTCGGCAGCCTCCTGGGCAAGCGTATAGACGGTGCTCTGGTTGTAGTCGAAGTAGAGGCCCTCCCAAGAGTTCAACAGGACCGGGCGAGTCTCGGCCTTGAAGTCACTCTTGATGAGATGGTTGCGGTACAGACGATGGTAGGCGCGGGAGAGGCCGCCAACGCCGGTATTGGAGTAGACAGCGACGGTCTCGGGCGACTGGAGGCTCTCGCCGGGCCCCAGGTTCCAGGAGAGGTGGTAGGGGTTGAAGCCGAGCTGGGCGCGGGTGAAACCCTGCGAGCCCTTCTCGACGTCGACCTGGAAGGAGCCGGTGTAGACAAAAGAGAAGCCCCATGCCTCGCCCTGGGACTCGGTGGTGCTCGGGGTGGCCAAGGCGAGGAAGGGGTTGTGCAGGTGAGATGAGTATCCAGTGGTGCTGCCGAATCTATTGTGGCGTGGGGTCAGGTCAGTACTTGAGCACCTAGGTAGATAGCATATCCTGGCGCAAGACTTGTTCTTGTCTACTCACCCTTGCACGCCGTACTCGACCGATCTCCTGAGCCTCATGGCCTCCCTCGCCCAGTCGCCACGGAGCTCGATCATGTCGAGGTCGGTGTAGGGCAGATCGACGCTGAAGCTGGCAAGCCTCTCGACGGTGATGTTGCCGTCGCCCAGGTTGGCGAGGTTGACGCTCCTGACCACAGCATCGTACTTTGGGAAGATGGAGTAGCTGAGGTTGGCGGCGATGGAGGAGTAGTTGTCGTAGAGGTGGACGATGACGGTGGAGACGTCGCCGTCGTCGCCAAAGGTGGAGGGCAGGCCCGGGAGCTCGGGCTTGCCCTGGAGGACGGTGTGGGACTGGTACTGCAGGTCGCTGACGGTGTAACCTGCGGTCTGGCGGACGCGGACGGCGGGGATCCTAAAGTCACCACGGCCCAGGTCTGGGAACTCGCGCCTCACCCTGCCGGGCATGCCGACCCAGCCATTGGTCTCTGGCACTGGCAGGGGGACGGTCTCGTAGGCAGAGCCGCCAAAGTGGTCTCCGATCAGGTCACCGGTGGCATTGTCAACATGGAAGCGGTACGAGACATGCTCGCCATTGAGGGCGAAGTCTGTGCCGTCGACGGTGACGCCTGTGCCTGTGCCTGTGGGGGAGGGCGGGGGATCAGCTTCCTGTCGAGTGTACTGGGTAGATGTAGTAGATATTTCTATTTCTCTTACCTGAGGGCGACTGGGCATGAGCCCGGTCTGCGAGGAGCACGGAGCCAAGGCCCAGGGCGGTGGCATAGCGCCCCAGAGCTGGAATGCTGAGCATCTTGCCGGTCGGTAGGAACAAGTCTAGGGCAGCCTCGTGCTTGGGAGGGGGGCGGGCATCCCCCAGGCCAGGCGGCGGCGAGGGCGACGATGCCAGGGCCCTCTTATATATTTGTGTACATGACCGCGTCCAGCAGGCCCTGTCGGTGCCCAGGGCAGTGAGGGCACTCTCATCTCCGCAGCCAGGGGTTCCCCAGAGGAGGGGTAGTATGGGGAAGCGTGGAAAGGTACGCTGGCAAGCTGGGGAAGGGACGAACAGGTGTGGAGGCTGGCGCTGCGGGTCCCATGCTGCCATGGTCAGTGTCTAGCAGTGATTAGGTTGGCCTTCTCCGCACCGAGGGAACAAAGACAGGTGCTGATCGACAGGGCCGCCCCAACTCGCTGCTTGGCATGGCCGATTTCCACCTCACAGGCGGTCCAACGGGACAAATCTCGGCCTATCCTCGTGACGAGGTATTTGTAGTAGTAGTGTGCAGTACTGAGGACGATGGCTTAATATAATAAGCCTTGTTGTGTAAAGTGGCCCTGTCTCAACACACTGCGAACACACCGTCAACACACCGTCAACACACCAACACACACCGTGGCCTAGCAGTCTGGTAATCTGGGCCACCACGATGCCAAGACTTCAGACCACCATGCACGTCATCCCATCACCACACAAGGCTCACATGCTGATCGTGTGTTTTGGCACCTCATGGCCGACCACGCAGGAGGAAGCTCTTATTCTCGCTGCTTGGCTCGCTAGCTCCTTGGTAGCTGTCCCGGCCCTGTGCATGCCGAGCTGTCTGTTGACCGCCTAGTCCAATATACTCAAGTATATACAAGTATATATATCTGCCTCCTACCACGGAGAAGGTACGTTACACAACAACATACCCCCATGTCCCCGGTGGCCGTGGGGCCGGAGTCGCCGCTGCAACCAGTACTCCATACTGTGCACACATAGCCCAGTCACGGTCATGCTTGATGTCATCTGGTCAAAATTGCGGATACATCGGGCAAACTCTGCGTGCTCTTGCGGATTTGTTTGTGGGGAGCAGGCGACGACGCCAAAAAGGGCTGCTAGCTGCCAGGATGAACGCGGGGAACACGGGTCGGCACAGGGCCGCTTATACGGAGTAGTCTGTACCTACCTAGGTACCTAGGTAGTGTCACGGTAGCTGGGTAGCAAGCAGGGCAAGGCGACCGCTAGCGGCAAATAAGCTCCAAGCTTCCCCTTCCCAGCCCGCCAGCCCGCCAGCCATCAGATGGGTTAAAATTCCCGGAGCTAGCTGAGACCATTTTAACCATCCCCACCCCTGCACACGCGTCTACTACCCTACGACCCGCGAGGCTGTCATCGAGATGCGCCAGACATAGCGAGTGAGTCGTCTCGACATCCATCTACAATGGCTCCGCGGAGGTCCAAACCCGCTCCGCCGCCCCAGCCGACGCGCACCTTGGTCATTGACAACGGCGCCCACACCCTCAAGGCCGGCTTTGTCACGGCCGACGCCATCGACGAGCCCACCGTCGTCCCCAATTGCATCGCCCGCGACAGGGCCAGGAAGACCTATGTCGCGTCCGACCTTTCCAAATGCAAGGACTTTGGCGACATCTCCTTCCGCCGGCCAGTCGACAAGGGCTTCATCGTCAACTGGGAGGCCCAGAAGGAGGTCTGGGACCACGAGTTCTTCGCCAACGACGCGCCCCTCAGGTGCGATCCTGCCGAGACCAGGCTCATCCTGACCGAGCAGCCAAACTCCATTCCTGCCCTGCAGACAAACTGCGACCAGATGGTATTCGAGGAGTTCGGCTTTGCCAGCTACTATCGCGGCATAGGTGAGAGAGACAGACCCTTCCACCAGAGAGAGGCCAAACCTGCTGACTACCCACCCACTTCGCCCCCGCCAGCGCCGACCTTCAATGCATACCATGACGTCCAGGCCATCTTCCGAACCCCCGAACGCGACCCGGACGCCATGAGCAAGCTGCCCGCCGAGCTGATCCTCCTCATCGACTCGGGATACTCCTTCACCACAGTCACTCCAATCTTCCAGGGCCGCCCCCTACAATCCGCCATCCGCCGGCTCGATGTGGGCGGCAAGTTCCTGACAAACTACCTGACCCGTCTCCTCTCCCTTAGGCACTACGACATGCGCAACGACTCCTACATAGTCAACGAGATCAAAGAGAAGGCATGCTACGTCTCGCTGGACTTCAAGGGCGACCTGGAAAAGACCTGGAAGGGGACCCGCGGCGAGAGGCGAGAGCCCTTCGTCACAGGAGCAGGCATCGCCAAGGACTACGTCCTGCCCGACTTCCACACCCGCTCCGCCGGCATCGTGCGCGACTTCGACCCCACCACCACCGCCAAGCAGCGCAAGCTGGCAGCCGCCGCCTCCAACGAGGACGTCCTGACCCTGCGCAACGAGCGCTTCGTCATCCCCGAGCTCTTCTTCAACCCCTCCGACGTTGGCATGCAGGTGCCGGGCCTCGCCGACCTGGTGAAACAGTCCCTGGACGAGCTGCCCGTCGGCCTGTGGCCGGGCCTCCTGGCCAATATCGTCGTCGTCGGCGGCAACGCACACTTCGACGGCTTCATCCAGCGCCTGCAAAAGGAGATTGTGCAGCGTGTGCCAGACGAGTCCATAGTCCGGGTTGCCAGGCCTGCTGACCCCATCTGCAACACCTGGCTGGGTGCTGCCAACTTTGCGAGGCATCAGCATGTCGAGAAGCTCGCAGTCACCAAGCAGGAGTACGAGGAGAACGGGGCGGCGTGGGTTGCCCGGAAGTTCGCCGTCGGCCTGGGTCAAGACTGAGCGCCAGTGTTGTGTTGCACTTGAGAATTATCCTGGTGTGAGGGTCATAATCGAGCCCCAGGCCCTCCTCGCCCTTCGCGCCGTCGGCGCCAGTGGGCGAGTGCTTGCTTGCCCCCCGGCAGCGCCCTCAGGTCGATACACACAGCCCACGAGTGTCCGCCCGGCTGCACGGGGACGCGGCAGCCCAAGTCCCGCGCCGCCGACGTGGCCCCAGGCCGCGGCCAGGACTTCGTCCCGCAGCGTCGAGTCGCGGAAAGACGGTGGGCACGAGACCCGCGGGCGCACTTGGGGCCCCGCTGGGTGATGCTGGGCCGCTGGCCGCCATCGTTGTCCTAGCTTGGTTTGCAGTTCTGATGCCTAGGTCGTATGTGGTCTTCAGCGTGTACATGAGCGAGCACCGTCTTGTTGGGTAGATATATATATACCCACGATCATGTGTCCCAAAGCTTAGAATGTGCAAGAATAGAAATTGAGACACACGACCCGCGCCACTTTTAGGTCGGCAGCACTGGCTTGGGGCTTAAATGCGAACGCAACGTCTTTAGGCCAGATCAAATCCCCTGAAGTTCATTATCCGGTACACCCAGTCGAGTAAATACCGTTCTCACCAAACATCGACTCACAGCCGACCCCGGGTTTGCGGGTCCCAACCCGACCTTTCTATTCCGGGACGGGTTTGAGGCAAGCTGCATGCCTAGGTACTTGACCCTAGTTCGCGTTCCGTCGTTAGAGCCCTACCGGACAGGATTTGCAAGCGGTCTCGCAATCGCCGGCCTGGCCCACCGTTGGGATGGGGTGGGACGTACTTGTATTTTGATGGAAGTGGGCCTCAAATGTTCTGATAATAACGGAAACAATTGCAGACGTACCCAAGCTTCAGGAACATATGGCAGGCAGGCAGGCAGTCATACATACAGAGGGAGCTTGAGGCGGCCCTGGTGGCTCCCGAGGGTCATGAATCTGCAGACAGGTCAAGTGCAACATTGAAACGCTTTTCTTCTCTATAGACAGACGTATCGCTTCATCCACCCTAGCTCCACCCGGTCGACCACCTGCCTGTCCCTTACCTTGCCAGCTTAGTATTATACAAGGCGATAGCTACTCCTTATCATACAAAGAAGGGTAGAAACCCAGATTAACGCTTGTAGGGCAGACGCTCCATCTGAAGATCGCTAAAAAGCCCGACAAGTAACACCCCAGGATGCCGTCACCTCACAGTTGTCTCGTCACTACCATCATGTGATAGAGGATGACAGACCTTTTGGTGAATGCGCTTGAGGTAGAGCTCATGAGCGGCAATATCGAGGGTCCCCGCCACTTCAGTCATCGACACCTGAAGCAGAACAACCTCGCCGAAAGCTTGACAATATAACAAGGCGTTGAGTGAGAGTGAGCGTTATTGAAACCTATGTTTCGCTCGTCTTCGCCCACTGCCAAGTTGGTTTACCGCCCACATCCGTGCCCGTCGACACATATGGCTAATCTCCCTGGCAACTGGATTCTCCAGCTTCTGGATTCGCCAAGAAGTCGCCAGCTAAAGTCTTTTGGGTGCTCTGCTCCGTGCCCTGGTGCGTCTTGCCAACGGCTTCCGCGCCTCTGCTTAGCCTTTGCTGAACGGCTTGTCGAAGATATACTCTACTTCGTGTCCTCAGGAACCCCGGCCGGGGCTTGACATTCGTCTTGGTGGCGCTTGCCCGGATTTTGAGTTGATTGCCTCCCGCTTTCGAGGCACCCCCGGCATTTATAACATGTGCGAGATTCGACGCTGACTGTGGATCGATTCTGGCCTTCCCTTTTCCTTTCGCTTCCTTAGGTACCGGGGTTGACTGGGCAGATTCGTCTTGACTTGCCAAGGATAGTGTGGATACCATGTTCTCTGCGTTGGTGTGCTCTTCGGCGATGGCGGGTGTGCCCATCGCAGAACTCCGGTCCTCCCTGCTCAATTCTGTGTCCCTGCCTTCCTGTTGGTCATACTCACGTCCTTCAGATTCAATCGACCTTTTCCTCCCCAAGAGTGATTGAATGGCTTGGGGCAGGTTTGACCAGGAGAAAGTCTAGTCCTCCTCGGAATCGCTATCGTCCTGGTCCACAACGGCGCGGAAACGCCGGCTCGCCAGATCTTCATCGAGCCCGCCTTCGCTCTCGGGGTCGAGGTAGCCCTTGCCTCCCATGAAGCTCAGGATAACAGGCAGGAAGACTAAAGCATGCGTGGCTGCGAACACCACGAGCGCGACCCAGATGCGGAAGTAGTAAATCTCAAAGATCTTGCTCCGAGTGAAAGCCAGCACAAAAACACCGAGTATCTTTGTAACAGTGATTCCCGAGAACACGGAGCCGCCAACGTTGACAAGCGCAGTCCACGCACGAGCATCGCGGCCTCGGAAGCGGTTCTTAGCGCGTTCCATAAAGGTGCGCGAAGGGAACATGAAGGCCCTCGCAATGTGGGCGCAGAACTCGACCGCAATGCCCACGCAGATGATCAAGTTGACCAGAGACACAGCATTGAGACTGACATTGAACACCGCCATCGCACCGATGATGTCCACGATAGTCATCACCACCGAGATCGCTACAGCCGCACCAGTGAGGGCTGAGCCGAGGAGAATGGACGAGATGACGAAAATGATACCGATCGCGGCGCTGAGCAGGCCTGCCGTCAAACCAACAATCGTAACATACTGGTCAAAGAATATGTAGAAAACACTGTATGGGAATACTTCTGCCCCTGTCGAGCGGCTCACATCACGAGCAATTCGCCTGGCAGAGGTGTAGGCATTGATAAAGTCATCCTGGCTGCGCAGGGGTGAGTGCATCGTGCGGAAGTGGCTTGCAGGAATGGTCTTTTTCTCTTCGTCGATAACGACGGCAGATCCATAAGACGCTTGGCCGCCAAGTGGGCAATCCTCAGTGGTCGGCGCAGAAAGGAACTTTTGGAGATAGTGGATGAATTCATCTCCCTCCGGCATCCCTGAAAGTGTGATATTCCATGCTGGGTCTCGATTCTGAAAGCATGGGGATCCTTTCTCGACACAGCACTCTTCAAATTGAGGGTTGAGCCAAAGGAAGAAGTCGTCAACCCAGCTCGCGGTTGGAGACGAGATGTATGACACGTCGGTACGCTTGCGTTCTTGCTCTAGAACGTTGGTGAGCGACAACGAATCACAAGTAGTGAACCTTGCGCAGATCTGTCGTTGGTGCTTTCGTTTGGTCGCATCGACATCTTTGGCCACGAAGTAGACAGGCGGACCAGAGTCGAAATAGTCGTAGAGATCGTTGAAATATGGGATCAGGTACGAGTCATCAGGAATTGCTACTCTCTGGTCAAGCCCTAGCTTGACCTCAGGGATGAGAGCAACACCGGCAGCAAAGAAGCCCAGGAAAATTGCGATGATCGCCACTTTTACCTTCTTGCCCAACAAAGCAGGCGCATAATAACGAATAATGAACCGCTGGAGGAAGCCCTCCTCGGGTACCTCGTATAACCGGGCGCCAAGATTGCCGTTGCTACCATCGAGATGGATCCTGGCCGCTTTGATCGTGATGCAAGGAAAACAATCCATTCTCGAGTCCTCGACCCGCTTCGTATTATATGCGAGCAGCGAGATGAATAGTGTGACCTGCAAGAGTGCGTTGATAAACACAGCACCGGCCGCGTAAATGGCGAAGTTGCGCACGGCCGGCATGCCGACAAATGCACCCAAAGCGAAGGAAACTGTCTCTGTGATTGCGGAAAGAAGTATGGAGGGACCCATGCGCCCCAGAGCTTTGGCAACACGCACTTCGACGTCGTCGTCAGGGTTTGTGATGTTGACCCGCTCGAATTCATGGACGATCAGGAATATATTGTCCACGCCGACAGCGAGCACAATGAATGGTATGACATCGACGATAATGAGCGTAGCCCTCAAGTTCGCCCACGAGAACAGACCGATAGATGCGCTGATCGACATGAGGACAATGACAATGCCGGCCACACCAAGAGAGAACTTGGACTCTACGATGCTGACGGCGGGGTTCCTGATCATATCCCTGATTGACAACGTCGTAGAGCCGAGGGCGATGGATGCGTAGAGGAACATGATTACGTAGCTGATGACAATAATCTTGGCATCCGTGTTGGTGGTTTTGTTGAGCTCCTCCTCCAGGCTGATTTCTGTGGAGAATGACAGCCTGAGACCCCTGGTAGCTGCCTCCTTCTGTGTTTCAAGCAGAAAGTTTTTCAGGGCTATCTCCCAGTCCATAGCTCGGGCAAGCTCGGATGTGCCCTCCGCGAAGTTGTTGACAACCCAAGTCACGGTCATTGCAGGGGCGTCGACCACGTCATCCGTGCCAGAGTAGCCGCCGAGGATCATATTTGGTTCAAGAGGCTGACCATAGGCCGGCCGGCACTCCGCTGGTGCTCGAGCGCATTGCCGTAGCTGATCTTGCCAGCCTTTCTTGCTGATAAGCGCTGGCTCGTTGTCGAAATAAGCTGCCACCGACTGAACCACACAAGCAGACCCAGTCGGCTTGTAGCAAACATCATGCAGCTTCATCTTCCAAGTCTCACTCTCGAGCTGCGAGATGCTCTTCTCCACTTCGATCCACCAAAGCAGCGTCTCGTAAGTGAGAACCGGGCCCGGCCCCGAGGGGAGGGTGTCATTGACGAGGAACACCTTCTCTGCTCGATAGAACGGGCCGAAGTTGGAGTCAAAGAACTCCTTCTCCTGAGCAGCAGACGAGGTTGGAGCAACCCATAACCTGGCAGGGTCCTTCTCGATCTCGAAACGCACCCAGCCAGCGCTAAGCACGATGATGACAATGAGAGAACTTGTGATTGTGATGGCGGGGAACCGCGCAGCCCAATGGCCAAGCCTCCTGAAGGCTGTATTACACCAAGTATTCAGTTGGTAGGGCTTGGTAGGACGGTCAAACATGGCGCCGTTTTGCACTAGCCGGCCCTCGTCATCATCATCATCGCTCGCGTCGATTCCACCCTGGAGCAGAGTTCGTTCCTCCTGGAGACGCGCGGCCCGCTTCCGGTACCATACGTGACCAACAATGGCCACGGCTAGACTCAAAAGTAGAATGCTGTAGACGAATATCGAAGCGAATGAAAGACATGGCAGCAGTCCAACCTTGCACGAGCCGGCGTCTTCGACCTCGGGCAGTTCAGGGCACACTTGTGGGCAGTCCACACAAGCGCAGCGGAAGTTGGGGTCTTGATCGTTGCATTTCTTGGGTGTCATGGGGAGGGGGTCCATCTTCGGCTCCTTGTATGACACTGGGAAGTTGATCTGGAACGGCGAGCCGACCAGCTTCTCGTCGCCCAGGTACTTGAGGAACTGTGTGTAGTTCTTCGCGCCGCCTCCGATGAGCTTCATGGCCTCGCTGTTGCTTGGTCCAAACTTGACATCCTTGCAGCTATCGTAGAAACCGGTACCGTAGTCTGCGGATATGAGCTGGTCGAGCTCTGTGACGAGTGTCTTGCCGTTCTTAGACATGGTGTTTGTCACGTTTATGAAGAGCGACTGATCGGGAGAGCAGGTGAAAGTACAAAAGAGGTTGTAGAAGTTGTCCTTGCAGGCTGGGCATGACGATACGATCGTATTTGCAGTGGAGAGCTCATCTTTGAGCGACTCGACCTACACGCAGAATATGTCAGTTGACTGAGGCAGCGGCGAATATGGCAGCTACACGAATGGACCGACCTGTTCCTTGGTGCAACATATTGGGCCGTCATTCCATTTGGGGCCGCACAGATCTACCAACTGATTCCTTAGATCCGCATCGGGCTGCTCGGCCAGGCCATTATCGACACAGGGAAGTTCTTTGCCAAAGAAGCTCTTCTTGCCGCAGTGATTGCGGATGGCGCAGCGTCCGGCCTCGTGTTTCGGAGTGTACAGCTCGTCGGCTGTCCCTAAGCCGGCGAGTAACGCCAGGGCGGCGAATTTGGCCATGTTGACCAAGAATGCCGCTGGGCGGCGGGTAGTAATGGCACAGTTCAGAGCGCAAGTAACGAGCGAGGTCTCGCAACCCTATTAGATGAATCGGTTAATGAGAAGGACGAAGGAGCTCTGGTGGTGGGCGATGGCGATGGCGATGGTTGGGTGTTGTGACGGGACGAGCAACCCGAGGCAGGAGAAGCTAATCCCTGTCTGCCGGGAAGAAACCACTGTCCTGCGTCATCATGCGGAACCGAGGTGTTCCGCGGGACCTGGAGCCACACCCAAATTTACACTGGTTGCATGTAGTGCTTATCAGGGAACCTTCTGTCACGCGCCACCTCCTGGCAGCCACCACCTGCATTGTGAGCAGGTGCCCAGGTACACAGATAGGTGCCTAGGTACCTAGGTACCTATCATCCTCTGCTAGACAAATTTCCTCCGCTTCCTCCATGTCATGGCAGTAGCACATCCGAAAGACGCCATTCGATTTCACCCATCTGCTTGGGGAAACACAGCCCGCCCCAGTACGGTAGATTTGGCGTGTTATGGCCGTTGCCTTCTATACATTGACGAGGAATCACAGCGTACCAGACGCTCCCGTGGGGGTACATACCTAGGTATGTAAGACCACTGCTGACGAGCAGGCCATCCTCGAGCAGGAGAAAGCTCGTCAAGGTGCCTAGCCATAGCAGGAGACTGAACGGGTAGAACCGAGAGCCTGTGAGACTGAACCAGCGTAGCTTCACAGACAAGGCAGCCAGAATACGAACCTTAAATGCGGTCGTGCAGGATACCGGTAGCCTCGGCTCACAGCCCACGTGCAGACAGCTGGTCGTTCAAGAACGGCGCAGACCGAATGCTCTCGAGGCACTTCAAATGTTCTGTGACACTGTGGGGCTTACCTGATCTCACTTCTATTCCGTATACATCCGAAGATATACACATGCATGGCGCCTTCATACAGTGGTAAACACTCAAGACCAATAATGCCTCATAAAAATTCCTCTTGTAGGATACCATCCTACAGGATTGTCTCCTATAAGAGATCATCCTGTATTGTAACTCATGTAGGTGACCTTGTATAAGAAAGTTTCTTATATCCCATGATTAGCTTTTAGATTAATTCGATTCAGGCCGCCTCTTCTACATATGTAACGTAACCGGGTTGAAGGTGAGTACGTTGTAGTTGTTAGTATTGGACTCTTTGTACTACCTAGGTACACATCGTAACAACTGGACAGGTGACTGAAATGTGGATCATCACGGGCGAGCGTGTGGCTTTCAGGGCTAGCAGTCAGAGGGCAATAATTATAATTTGAGCGTCCCTGACTTGTGTACCATCCAAAATTACTATTGGTCAGACAATTCTCTCTGTCTGATTTACTGCCCACACAAAGCAACTCACACTGACTGTCTATCTAAAAGAAATATACCACTTTGAAGATTGGTATGTATTTGTCTCACCAGGCACCTGGGCCGTAGCACCTCCCGGATTAAGATTCTGGTTTCGAAGAAAAGCTAACGAGGATGAGTATTTTTTCTGGGGAGATTTCGCTGGGGAACTTCCACAGTCAGGCTGGGCCTTGGAATACTACCTAGGTAGATGCCGCGAAGTGCTATGAAGGATCAGTTAGTTGACCCGACATTCGATCGCGCCATCACTTGCTTTCTCACCATGCAGATGGCCCGCAGACCAACCCTCCCTTCCGGCGGTATATAGCGTCGAGCCGTTGTTGGCATTGTGTTTTTTTAAACCCTGGGTTAAGACGCTTGGTCTTGAGCGTTCACCACTATATAAAATGTCCCCAGACATATGCGGAATAGAAGCGAAACCAGTTACCGCACGATACAAAGCAGCGAGTCACAACGCTTTTGGGCCCAGGCTTAGCTGTAGCATCATGGTCGAGGGGTTTATGTGGATTTATTAGTACGATAGCTTGAATGGAGTGAGACTCACTGCGCCGTGAAGCATGTTAACCTCTATCACTGCGGCCGTCTTCACGAGACCGTCAGGGATATAGTGCATCATCTATGACGGTATACTGAGATTCCAACAAGCCCGTCTTCCATGCACATGCCCTGAAAAGTCCTGCAAAACTGCTCTCCATCTATCCAGAAGAATTGTACTGTCCAACTTCAGCATCTGTCTGGCTTCCCGTTTACCTAGCTACGACAAACAATCCCAAATTGCTCCAACAATGCAACCTCATCAAGTTCGATGCCATGATACAAGAAAGGCCATGCAACAGAACACCCAAATACCTAGAAAGATCCCACAAGAGCGCCAATGCAAACAACCCCAAAACATCTCATCGTCCTCCATGCCAGGGCCTATGTCCTGCCCGTCACGACAAACTGTCCGGTCTCGGTGCGGACCCTCCACCCAGCCCTCTTGAGCGCCGCACCAACGTCCTGCCGCATGCGCGACACCCCGCCAGAGCTATGATTACCCAGCCCCGTGACTACGGTGAAGCCCTCACCAGAGCGGGCCCGGCGGGCCCTATCCTCGCCGAGGGCGGCCCACCAGGCCTGGGTGCGCTCGAGGGCGATGCGCACCCCATCCGCGACCGGCACGCCGTGCAGGTCGATGTGACCCGCTGACGAGTTTTCGTCGACCAGCGCCTCGTACGCCTCGCTGTGCGCCGCCTTGGACCGCCCCAGCTGCTCGCGCGCCCGCTCCGCCAGGACCCCGGCCACGGGCCGGAACAGCGCGTCTGACTTGCCCCGCCGATATGCAGCGCGTGCTGCGGTGAAGGACTCCGCTGTCGTCTCGCGGGCCTCGGCCGCGTCACGCGCCAGCTCGGTGTATGTCTTGCGTGGCCGATTGCTGGGCTGGACGGTCTGCCACTCAGTGGAGGCTTTGAGGGCGGGGGTGTTTGGGGCGGATGTCTTGGCGGCGTTCGAGGAGCTGGAAGGCGGCACCAACCGCGGGAGCGAGCTGCGACGGGTCAAGGGGCGAGAGGCGGCGAGAGCAGGCGAGACTGGGCTACTGGCTGCTTTGCCCTCTGCGTCCAAATCGAGGGGCTTGAGTCGGTATTCCACATCAAGCCTTGCCTTGCCAGCCTTGTCCTTGAGTATATCCGCCCCGGAGCGGCCTGTGTTGAGTCAGCTGAAGGCCCGAGCAGTTTGGATATGTGAAAAACAAGAAGAAGGGAGAAAGTTGTTGGCCAGGCTATCACGCCCAACGCCATGGCCAATCCGTGGAATAAGGTCTTCGTCTTGCCTTTCTTACGACCAGTGTGACCGTCGCCCCGGAAAGCTCCTTCGATTCCCTTTGGGCGGAGGCCATTATCCTCCAGAAACTGGGTGCTGAGGAGCTCCTCACAAGCCTTTGTGAAGTCCCCGTCAGCTTTTCTCAGCGCGAATTTAACGTCCATGTGCTTGAGGAGGGGAAACATGATCTCTAGCTCAGCAATCTTGCCATCCTCGTCGAGGGCCAGGACGTCAACGTCCTCGTGCAAGTCCAGCAAGTCGAACTGCTCAGACAAAGAGTCGCTGGGATCAGTCCTGGAGGAGAAGTCGGTGCAGGGCTTGGATCCCGAGTTGGAACGCGATGAGTGGGTGTTGGCAGGCCCGTCGAGCCCCGAGAGGCCATCGATATCGCCATCCACACCACAGGCGTTGAATCGAGACGCCTCTTCGGCGTCTGCATCCTTGGAGAGACCCTGGAGGATGGCCCGGGCCTCTTCAAACTGGAGGGCCAGGTCGTAGTCACCGACGATAGCAATGATGAGGGACTCATCGAGGGCAGAGCGAAACTCGTCCTGACAGGAGTTTAGCTGAGCCGACAAGTCAGGATGGGCCGAGGTGGACATGACACCGACTTACAACGAGGCTGCCCATCAGCGAGGCCGCATCGGGAACTTGGTCATGGTCATCCTCCATCCTCCGGCCCCTGTCGCCTGTCTACCTTCCAGAACGGGGGCAGAAGATACAGATGCAGGCAGTGATACAGTACATATGGGCAGGCTCATGTCCAGGAGTCGATGTTGCTGTCCTGACATAATCGGCTTTTCGCTGTGTTGTTTGCCGGTCACGGGTTGAACACGCAAAGTGATGATTCAGTTTTGGCAGTGGTTCGCGGATGCACAGGGTGCCTGATCAGGTTTAGCGCGACCGGCCAGGAGCTTATGTTTCTCTGCCGATGGGCGTGTTGGCGTGCAGGCCTTTGGGTCGGGCTAATGTCCACGCTTGTGTTGTTGGTGATTTCCAGATTGTCGTCAAGGCGAACATGAGATTTAATCTACAAAATTACAAAATGAAATAGTAGACTATAGTCTATAGTCTATGGCTCGTCACTACAGTGGTGACAAAAATGCAAAGGGTTGGAACCTCGGAATGGGGGCGTGCGAGGCTAGCAAGGCTAGGTACCTAGGTACTCAGGCAAACCAAGCATTGCCTGCTCCAGCCGGGACACCCTAACATGAGCTTGACCTACGTGGCAGCCCGTCTAGATTTGGCATGCTGGATGGATATTTTATCCAGTGCACATGGCAATGCTAACTGCCAGTGGAATCAGGCCGCCCCAGGCCTGTAAACGTTAGGTACTTAGGTACTTGACCAAGGTTCCTCAAACAGGGCTCAGCCTGAGGTCTCATGTTGCTTGGCCGCACTGGCACCACATCCATTCGAGAACCCACCCGAGCAGCCCGAGATCTCACTTACTCTGCCACAGCCTCGAGATACTGTATTTCAGGAACACCAATTCGGAGCTATGCAGTCTCGTTCCATGGGTGCCAGCGCCGCGGGGCCCGTCCACAGCCGGCCTCCACTGGCAGCAGCACGACTCTGGTGCAGAGGCAGGCCTGCTGAGTGAGCCAACGGCACCCCGCGGACGTCACCAAGATCTACAGAGTACACCACACGTACTTCGGTGCCCAGCACCCTTGCACTCGGGCGGTGGGGCTGATCCGCTCAGGAAAGGCGCCCGAAGCTCCCGAACGCAACGCTGCGTGTTGCCCTGGTGCTCTCGTGGTGTACCGAGTACCCAACGGCAGGACGGCCAGCATTGGAATATCACACCTGGGTAGACATGCAGGACAGGCTGACAGTAGGCGCAAAGGGCTTCATCTTATTAATAACCAGCTCTACCGTCCACCTGCTGACCATCCATGGTTGAAATGGATCACCACTTTGCTGCTGCTGTTTACTTCAACGACGTCACTTGCACAGGCCGCACTTGCACTCACTCTCACTCGTATTGTTGGAGCTGAACAGCCTCACCTCGGCAGGGGGCCGTCCGTACGGTGGCACCTGGCATCGTCTTCCCTGCCTGCATCAACTCTACTACCTGCCTCACGCCTGCAACATCAGGTGGCCACAGCAAGGACACTCCCGCGATATCCCCATGAGCCGAGCTCGCCGCTGCCGTTCTAGCCTGTGCAGATTTATGCGTCCAGCCTCCTCGGCTTGTGATACGGGCAGCTGCTAGGCTCAAGCTGTCAAGGTCGACTGCAACAAGGCTCGCCATCTACCACTCGGCCCTAGTTCTGTTTCAGGTATCCTCCCTAAGCTCAGGCCCGTCACTCTGTCGCCGCTGCCAGCTCCCGACTGCATGCCTGCATAAAGATCTGCCTCCCCTGGTGACCAAGCACCACCTAGTCACACGGCCCTCTCACATCACAACTCAATTCCTTCTGCCACTTCTCTTTTTTTTTTATTTGCTTGCGGTTCGCATCGTGTCGACGTCCGGCTCTCTTGGAGGACGCCGATCGACATCTACGCCATCAGACCGAGAGACCAGCCAGCTGGCTTCCGGCCTTGGCATGAAGGGCACGATGGCCACCGATAACAAGCACCCATTTTGGGGTTACCCGGCCCCGATTAAAGGGTGAGTGATCGAGCCGCCAATCTGACAGGCCTTGGCATAGCGCCTCTCTTCTTGGGGCAATCCACCATTTCCCCAAATATGGAGGGAGAGGCAGGCGGGCTAACTGGACCCCAGGCCCGAGGTTGCGTACAGGGGCGAGCGCAAGTCGAACCCGGCTATGCGAGGATGGATCTTGATGCCGGCAGCCTACCTCCTCGAGCAGGTCCGCCCTCTGAGGGAGATGATCTGGTCCAACGCCGGCTTCTCCTCCCTGCGTAAGCTCCGGGAGAAGATCGAGGACTACGAGCCACTCCATGATCCCACAGTGGTGCCGCTTGACCACAGGCTGCTCTTCGCAACAAATGGTGGTGGGGCTCCTCTTACCAATGGGAATGGCAACGGGAATGGACACGTGCCGGGACGAGATGCAGAAGCCCTGGCGGACTCATCTCCTCATACCATCTCGCTCACCAGTTATTATTCGGCCAAGACGTATCGCGAACTGTACCTAAAAGGCGACCTTACGCCTACCGACGTCGCCAAAGCCATACTGCCTCTTATTCGGCGAGACATCGAGCCCAAGGGCTCTCACCACCTCATTTTCTTCGACAGCAAGGCCGAGCTAGTCCTCAAAGCTGCCGATGAGTCGACTCAGCGATATCGCGAGAACCGCTCTCGTGGTCCGCTCGATGGCGTACCTTGTGCCATCAAGGACGAATACGACCTCGACGGATACAAGTGTTGCCTCGGATCCGTGAATGACTACACTGCAGAACTTGCTGATGAGAACGACAGCATCACGTCCTGGTGCGTCAAGAAGCTGTTGGAAGCGGGTGTCGTCATCGTGGGCAAGACGAGCATGGTCGAATTTGGGCTGGACACGCCCGGGAATAACCCTAATTACGGCACGCCGCGCAATCCATTTAATGAGGACTACTACACCGGCGGTTCCTCGTCGGGCACGGCAGCGGCCATCGGGTCCGGGCTGATCCCCATAGGGCTGGGCAGTGACGGGGGTGGGAGCATACGGATCCCGGCGAGCTTCTGCAACATCTTCGGGCTCAAGCCGACTCATGCGCGCGTTTCGTTTTGGCCCAGCGCCAACCACTCCAACACGTGCGCCGTCAACGGGCCCATGGCCGCCGACATGGAGTCTCTGGCTACCTTGTTCGAGGTCATCGCTCGGCCGCATCCGGACTCGCCCTTCGCCTTCCCCAGCGTCCCGAGGCTGCCTGCGGCGGAGCAACTGCTCGCTCAGACGCCCAGCCGGCCCAAGATCCTTGGTATCTGCCGTGCGTGGTTCAACGACTGTGCACCGGCGGTCAGGGAGTTGTGTGAGGGCATGGTGGACACTATGGTATCCAAGCACGGGTATAAGGTCGTTGACATCCAGATCCCGTTCCTGGCCGAAGGGCAATTCGCGCACGCGATGACGGTCCTGACTGACGCGTCTACATTGCTGCCCAAGTACGACAACCTCACCTATGCCAACCGGTAAGTCTTGGGTGTGGTCCTTCTCCTGCCTTGAGAAATGAGAAACCCCCAGGAAGCCCAGAAAAGCTGACTGTAACCACTTCTGCCTAGCATCCTCCTTGCACTGGGACGCACAACACCGGCAACGGATTACCTTCTTGCGCAGAAGATGCGACGCTGCCTCATGTCGCACCTATCGTACCTGTGGCAACAGAATCCCGGGATGCTGATCATCACGCCGACAACGGCGTGTGCCGGTTGGCGGATCCGGGACGGCGGCAAGGCGGGCAGCAGCAATAGCGGCGAGATGCGGGTGGGCATCTCGGATGGCGACAAGACCATCGAGACGATGCGGTACGTATGGATGGGCAACTTCTGCGGCCTGCCGTCCATCAACGTCCCTGCGGGCTACGCGACCCCGGACACCAACGGCAAGGGGGAGAGGGTGGCGGACAAGGGCACCGTCGGCAAGATCCCCGTGGGTTTCATGGCCACGGGCGAGTGGGCGTCTGAGAAGAGCCTGATCGAATTTGGAGTCGAGGCCGAGCGTGCTGGCGCTGAGTGGAGGGAGAGGCCTAAGGGGTGGGTCGATGTTGTTGAACTTGCCAAGAAGGCAAAATAGGCCGTCTCTAAGGTGGTCACCTAGACAAGTGACGGCCTCGGCCACCGACCTTTTCGCCAAGTGCGGCCTGGACTTACGGGTCCGTCATGGACCTCGTCGCGCGGGTCTGTCCCGCGCTTCAAAGTTGCACATTCGCGTGCACAGGTGGTTTGAGGGTGACATGAAAATGTCGTATTCGGGGGAGGGGTGGGGTTTTCATTTAATCTAAAACAAAGAGGTCACTCCTTTCCAGATACCATGAGGCTTAGAAGATGGATGTCGGCCGAGGAATGTGGCGAAGCTTATACACCACGATCCTTCCTCCGATGATCACGATCACGGAGCTGCATATATTAGACAGAGGGTGCAATTTTGCATCAACATTGTTCGATGATTTTTCTCATCCGACCCGGGCTCATCTTCCTGTGCTGAATACCCTGGATGTGAGCGGAGAAGGTAAGCGGTAGGCACTCAGCTCACCACAATAACGTGATCCCCTCCCTCAACGCCCTCAACTAGAACAGTGTCGAACACCACGCCCGTTTTCCTATACCAAATAGGCTCGACTGCTCTGCCGTCCACCATCACGGAAGGCTTACTCCCCTGCTGTACGACCGGCAAAATCAAGCTCCCCGCTGTTCCAACAGGCGTGCTCACACTGGCATTATACGCGCCCTCCTCCGCAACGTCCCAGCGAGCTTTGAATTTGCCCAGGGCCGTCATAAAACCGCCCTCGGCAAAGCTCAGCCCACCAAACTGCGGCGCAAAAGACCACGCACTCCCCACGCGCGCGGTAACGGTCAGTCCCAGGACAAACTCGGTCAACGCACTGGTAGGGCCAGACGACCACCCGTGCGCATGCGAGACATAGCTGAAATCGTTTCCGTACCCTCGGCTCCACCGGTAGCCAAACGTGCCATTGACAAGGTAACCCTCGACGACGGTGCTCTGCGTACCGTTGGTATTATCGAGGTACCATCCCCAGCTCGTCCGGATGAGATCCAAGGCACGCTGGGTCTCACCGGCCGCCAGGTGCGCCTGTATCTCGAACGACGAGATGAACGGGCTGATGTTTCCGGGGAGCTCCGGGGCCTCGGCACCGATGGGCGTCCAGTTGTCCGTCAGGCGCGACGAGATGGACCGTGCCGTGGAAGTGTTGGCGCCGACGACCCCAAATAGCACCGCCATGGCGTTCGCGTCTTGTGGGTGCAATGCCGTCGCCGTCGCATTGTCCCTAAAGGCCCCGTAGCCTTCGTCGAAGCAGTGCGCCAGGGTGGCGTTCTGCAATGCCGCCGCGCGCTGGGTCCAAAGAGCCGTGAGGTCGGTTGTTGTGCTGCCAATGTCGCTGCTGCCTTCCCCTTGCCAGGCTGCCAGGTCTGCACCCGTGGTGAGCGTCCGATACAGGATCATCTGCGCCGACGACATGTTGAAGCCCGTCTGCCAGCGCGCCCAGTCACGGGTGCCAGTGACGTTGAGCAGGCCCGACGGTGAGGGCTGCACCTTGGCGTAAATGTAGTTCATCGCGGCGAGGTAGCCGTCCCAGTTGCGCGCGAGGAAGTCCGTGTCGTTGGTGTACAGCACGTAATTGTACGTCCCGATCATAGTCCACATGTGATATGTATCACTGCCCTGCTGGAGCAGAGGCGGGCCTGCCTCGGGGAACGAGCCGTCCTTGTTCTGATAGTCGTACATGACCTGCAGCGCGTTGCGCACGCTGTCGAGGTCGCCTACACTCACGAAGGTCGACGGCACGGCGATTCCCATGTCGCCAGGCCAGACCGCGCGATCGCGCTTTGCCCCATCGACGATGATTGTGTCTCCTGGGCCCAGGGTCCCGTTGTTGACCCAGCTTGTGTTGACGAATGGGACCCAGCGCCCAGTGTTGACGGGCACGGCGTTGGTCTGAAGCGTGTACGCTCCGCTATACCAGATCTTATTCAAGAGGTCATCGGAGCTGTGGAAGTAGCCCTGGTATGCCCTGAGGTTTGACCATGTCGGCTGGAACCCGATCTCGAGCTCTATGGAGGATACATCTACCGATGCGGACTCGGATATCAGGAACAGAGTCAGGTACCGAAAGCCTCCTCGGATCTTCTCGTCGGGCATCGTATAAGTGATGGTCTCCGTGCCGGTGAAGTTGGAGTAAATTGCTCCATCCGGACCAACGAACTTGCCATTGGAAGCGTCTGACCACTCTCCTATCCAGTTCTTGGCCTCCGAAAAGGCCAGCCCCACCGCACCACTGCTTGCCCCTGAAGAAGTGTACTTGAGCGTGACGATGCCGCCGACCTCCTTGCCGAAGTCAAAGATAAGTTTGGACCCGTTGGTGGCCAGGTGTGCCGACCCATTCCAGGACGATATGATGACCCCATCGGCGGCCGACAGGACAGAACTGGGAGAGACGGTCCTTGACTCTGGCGCGTAGTTGTTGACATCCCATTCGCCCGGAAACGCAGCTTCGGAGATGGTGCTGCAGGTGGTGTCCCTCCAGCACGACTGGCCGAGAGCACTAGAGACCAGGAGGCCAAGGAGCACGGTCAGGGCCATCATGTTGAACTTCGAGGCGCTGGAGTTTAGGAGCATAATGGGCATGGCAGGTTGCATCCCACACTCCGTGCCCAGTAGTCTCCTGTTGTGTTATACCATGTCGGTGAACCTCAACGTCGGCAAGGGAGCAAGGGCCAGCGCCCAATGACCGTTCTGGCGGCCAAATTTGGCGTTGGTTTCCGCGTAGCTCGGTACATTTTGGGCACCGAGATTCACTGGCAAATTCGGAAATCAGAGAAGATGGTTTTCGTCATATTCATTCGGCAAGGGCTACATGGGTGACGGCACTGGGGACCCTCTTCACGAGCGCTGGAGCGGTTCGTTCGGGCGAGAGTACTTAAGTAACCAGTCCGGGGAAGCTGGGGAAGACCCCTGAAAAGCGCGGGGATATGCCCAGCGGGGGCGACAAGCTCGCTTCAATTGTGCCGAGACTGGGTAGGCACTGACTAGTCCACTCTAATGGTAGGGATGGGCTAGGTCATCATAGACCGCCTAAGATTAACGCGTATGTTTTCAGCCAAGGATATTTCAGTCTTACTCATATGTGAAGCCTCTCCACAACGTTGCCTCAGTATATGTACAAAAAGTGACCTGCTGATGGTTCCTGTAAGTAGAACCTGAAATATCTCAAGCCTGTCGCACTCCAGGAGGTAGCTTGCATAGAATGAATCATGCTCTAATCGACTTGACTGCATTTCGGCAAGGGGGGAATTCACGTCAAGATCTGCCGATCACACAACGGAATTCCGTTTTAGTAGAATATTGAGTTCAAGTACCGCGTAAACCTCGGCCATGACCGAACACCGGGAAACCTTTCACGCAGGCGAACAGCACACGTTCCTGCGCTAGGTCATGCTCCTCGCGAACGGGACACGGACAAAGAAGCGTTGCATTGTGCCGTGGATTGTCTAGATGGATCTGCCTGGCTCCAAGGTTCGCGAAGAGAAGAGGCAAAATCCTTGAAAAGAAACTCGTCTCAAGTATGGGACTCGGTCGATCATCCGTGCCACTATACCCCAACCTTAAGAGTCACCGTGCAAACTCTCGACTGGATGAACTCCCGCCAGTTGATCACCTGGGCAGACCCGTGAATCTGGAACCGCCGAGGAGGTTACAACACCCATCTCCAAATCTTGGTTTCGTGTAGAACCTGCACATATTTCTCATATTTCTGTCCCGGCTGTGTTTAGCACGCATGCAATCCAGCCGCGGGACAGAAGGCAACCTTACGCTGACTTTCCTCAGGCGCACTTTTCTCCTGGTAACATCTTTTGTTTTGTTCCATGACCGCTTTCGTCCCCAGACCTAACTCTGCAAGTTCGCTTGCGAACAGGGTGTTGCATAATACCAATAGCATGAAGCGTACACCGCAATCCTTCATTATTACCGGATCGTATCCGTGCCGGTCCCTGAGTGTGACAAAGAGCATGAAGCATATGTCGACGTGAGATATGTGATTTCTGAATCTCCCAATCGCCATGGCAGTGAGGGCCTGGCCGGCTGCACACAAGTTGCCTGCTGGTGCTGTCTCTCCCAGAACACTATGACTTAGAATATTAATGTAAGCTCTGTATTCATATCCAATGATGCTGCAATACGCCATGTAACGCTATACTGGGATCGGGTATTGCGTTGAAAATCACGCTGTGTATGGAACCATGTAATTCTTGAAATACATAGTAGTTCAGTTTCAGTCCAGGAGTAATTCCCAGGAGCAAACAGTCAGTACGTTAAGCAGATGCAGTCGCTAGTCATCCATGATACTTGAGGATCAGTACATTGATATTCAAAAGGCAGCAAGGATACCCAGGCAGGCACGTTCGGTATCCCCGTTGCTCTTCTTTTTCTCATCCGAACGTTGCTTATGATAGTCATATGACCCCTAGGACTCGAGTGTCAGGGTCTGAGCACTGCCAACGCTGGGATCGACGAGACGCCTGAGTTGCTCAACTGGTCCGGCCTATCCGGGCAGAGTGATCGCTGTCGGCCTCCCGAGGAGCATCCCACCAGACCTCGGGGGCAGAATAACATTTTCTAAGTGCGACGTGGGCCGACCCGATTCCGACCAACCCCCGATTCCGACCGTCAACTATAAATGCAAACGCTGGGCCTTAAGCATTCACCACTACATGATGGCACCGTGTATAGCTTCGGACATGGACGGAATAGCAGCAAAATATCCAATTTAAAGTAGTGTTTAATACTTTATTATAGTAGTAGAATTAGTTAATAGTTTTATTCTTACTTTATATATATTTAAAAAGTATATAATTCCTTTATATTATTATAAATACTTAAAGTCCTAGTAAATTTTTTTTAAAAAAGAAGAAATTTTAAAAATTAGTAGTCTACTTTATCCTTTAGGGTTAGGGCTATAAAAATTTATTTAAATCTAGTAGGGGGGTGTTAAAGTCGGTCGGAATCTCGGCCGCCTATGTTACCAAGTAGGTGGTGTGGGTGGCCCATTTGTCTTTCCGTGATCATCCTTTCCAAGAATTATGAGCTCAACGGTATGCGGTAACCTCTTCACGGCCGCGACTATTCACGGATACGATGGGAATTTGCTGCGGGCTTTCGGGTGCCTTTGAAGCTTCGAAACTGGAAACGTGAGAAGACTGACTCTGCGTCCAGGACCCCCTGCATTGACCATGTCGTCTCATCGACCCGGGCAACCTCAGGAGTAGCGTTTCTAATTCCGTGATCCCAGAGCCGATTTGGGGGAACCTTACTTTCGGGTCTGGTCGTCCCAAGACATCTTCAGTCATTAGGGCATAGGGCTCAAGTGCTGCAAATGTATACCTAGAGCGGTGATTGGCCCCTCAGGCCGAGCGCCCATTCTCTCGGGTGCATCCAGTCGCATTTTCTCAGGCCAATATGCCGTTGATGCGTTGTCCATCAATATTTCACATTGGGTCCAAGTTCCACGAAGAATTTGAAAAGATCAGTCAAATTTTCTAATTGAGCCTCGACTCAGCTATCTTATGATGTGGTTCTAGAGTGACCCCTGAACAGCTCCATTAGCCCACCTCAAACAGCCAAGCCATAGAGGAATATTTACGGCTCTGGATAGGTAATTATGGATAGCAACGGTGATGCTAGACTATGTCGGCCTACCTTGAGCCCTGACCCATGTCTCCCATGTGCGATTATGTGAGTACGCCCCAACTATGATTTTCGGATTTGCCTGATGGTGATCTTGGCAATTCTAGCTTCAGCAGGGCAGCCCCTTCGACCCCTGAGTACTGATTCGGCAGACATCAGACGTCACTTCAGACAACGACGAAACCACGACTTGAAGTCAATATCGATTTCCTCATCCGGAGTCTGGCGAGCGGATGGGGTTCAAGATTTAGGATGGCACTTCGGAGACATCACATAGGCCGACAACAGATTCCGCATGCACTCGAAATTGTATATATATAACAGTGCTGGGCCTATCTAATACACATAAAGATCAGGTTGCACTCCTTCCATCATTATCATCACAGCGAGATTCACTCCACATTCTTTCCAGGTGCAGGCACATACATTCTTTTCTAAAATAATTGTTTATTCTTTTCCAATCAGACAGTCTTTCCTGTTTAATCGATATTTTCGATCAACCCTCTTTCGACAAGATGAGGACTAACGCCATCATTTGCGCTTTCATGGCCATCACGGCCAATGCTGGTCCACTGAACAAGCGCCAGGCCGCTGCAGGTATGTGACTATCGCTGGGATTCCAATATGATAAGAAGTTCCATGGACGCCGTGGTTGCCTTGGACCATGTTTTAGGAAGTAGTGGTGCTCAAGTGGTCTGGATTTGTGTGAAGGTTCTAGTCTGACATATATATAAATAGGCAACCTCCAAACATTCACTGGCAATGTTGGAGGAGCGACTGCCCCTGCCGTAAGCTGCTTCTGACCCCGTCTGGAGGGCATAGTCACCGAGGCAATTCGGTTCTCGTTCACGGGCTAATTTTGGATCTTCTAGGTCACCAACGTCGGCGGTGACAGACCGTTCGTGGTGGACGGAGTCAAAGACACGTTCAAGGCTGCTGGAGGCGCTCTTGACCGCTCATGCTCCATCCAAAAGAACGCGTGCGCCGAGGCGGCCAACTCAGGTGCTGATGCCAGCATCACTGTCGCGGACTGTGATGCTCAGCGCCAGGAGTGTTCCCAGGCTGCCCAGACCGCTGCTGCAGGTGCCCAGGACGCCCAGGCCGGTGCTGGGGCTGCTGGCAATAAGAACAATGACAGCGCGGCTGCCGCTGGTGGCGCCAACGCTGCTGGTGGTGACCAAGCCAAGGAAAATAAGGGACAGGGAGCCGGCGACCAAGCAGCGGCTGAGTGCAACGCAGCGGCCGGACAAGCAGCAGGACAAAAGAATGCCACAGCCGGTGCCGCAGCTGGTGCCGCAGCTGGTGCCGCAGCTGGAGGCGCAGCCGTACTCCCTGACGGCCGTATCGCGCAGGATGCCGTCCCAGAGAACTTCAACGTGCTGGCGTCCCCGTTCAAGTCGGCAGTTGTCAAGGGTGACGGGCTGAACTTCAGCGATGTGATTACCTTCCCGGATATCCAGCCGTCAATCTTCGACGCGGCGGGCAACACCAAGGCGTTCCAGATCAACATCAACGACCGTAAGCATCAACTTTCACCCAATATGGATCCCCGTCTTTCATGTTTTGGGATATTCTAGAATACAGCACCACAGGATTCGTAGCAGGACTAACGTCAACTCTAGAGTCCATCTTCGTGCCCGAGGGCCAGGCCCCTCAAGACCAGTTCCGACGTGCCGACCTGCTTCCCAGCATTGCCTCGACTCTGAACAACGTCTCCACTACCGGCGTGAAGACGATGCACTTCTCACTCCAGCAAGATCCCGCCAAGCCTCTCGCTCTCACTACCAACGAGTACCAGCTGGCATTCCTTGAGACTGCAGACTTTGAGAGCCGCATCTTTGACGTGCGCGTCGGCACTGGCACCACCAGCCCGAGCCTGACCGGAGAGAACATCGTCGTCCTTGGCCGCTCTGGGGACGCCATTCAGGAGATGTTTGTTGCCCCTTTCTCGGCGGACCTGCAAAACTTTGCCGTGACCTTGGACTTTGACCAGAAGTAAGCCTTTGTGCCGTGTTTAAAAAGACATACATGAACGAAACTGACGCGTTTGCAACAGCACCATGCAAGTCTTCCACAGCACCGGACAGACCCCTCTCGCACAGGTTTCCGAGGCTGTCGCCAACGACAACACGGGTAATGGCGAGTACCACTTTGCGCTTCTCAAATTGGCGGACGCGCAGGGGCAGCAGGCTGCGGGCATTGATGAGGGCATGGCCTTTGCGGGTATTTTCATGGAAGACTCAGCCGGTGGCGCTATCACGCTGCAGTAAGTTGTCATCTCAGAAGAGCCAATGCAGCACATGCAAAACATGGATTAGTACACTCGGGATTGGTTCATAAAATTGGAGATAGTTTGGGTGTTGTATTTCCCCCCAAGGTTTTAGATTCACATATGTATCTAGGTAACGTCGCCTGCGCCGAGATGGCAGTCCGCCTTTCAGCCACAGTTCCACTTCTGATTAGTATGCCTAGAGGGTTCAGCGTCATTGTCCGTCCACTCACGAGGGGACAGTAAGAGAATCTGGGCTCGAACGTTTTCTGAACCGAGTGTATTGTAGGCCCTGTTGATTCAACTTGCAGTGACTAGCATAAATTTGACAAAGAGCACAAATTGTCGTTTTTCTGGGCCAGCACTGTGGAAAATTGATTATTTATCTAGGTACCTAGGTACCTAGGTAGTTAAGTATATTTGATCCCACGTTCTCCCTGGTCCAAGACTGATTAGATCCAGCAGCAAGCTATGGAATTAACCACGCCGAATTCACATGGGCAGGCAAGCACATATTCGATTGCCTCAGAATTTGAGAGAGCACTGGCTCTCCAGAATTTGACGTGGACATGATTCCAATCAATATTGGGACTGCTCCATAGTCCGCACTGGAGTAGGTGCTTGAGTCACCTAACTACCTACCTAGGTAGGTACCTTGGACTCCCAAAGCAATCCAAACACCTGGGCAGTTATTTGCATCAAACTGGTGGCAATGCTAGACCAGGAGCTATTTCACTCCGGTCTGCGCTAGGAAACAATTCGACTGTGTACTTGTCCGTGCTTGTCTAATTTGGACCTCTCTTCCATCCACCTGGCAGCAATGATACTGTCCACTGTGTGGTTGTGTTCGGAACTCTGAGAATTTACTGTGGTTTACGACTGAGTCGAAAAGGACTGTTCAAAACCAGTCCCGCTAGAACCAGGCATACCTAGGTATGTTTCTTTGCTTGAATGAGTTCTGTAGTAATTGCCCCCCTCGCCCCGCCCCCAAAAAAGTGAACATTGTGCGTTTCTGCTCTTTTATAGCTGTGTACTGGGCGAGAACACACAGGAGGCCCAAAACACCCACAACACTCAACACCAATAAGACTTTGCATTTCGGCATCCGTCTTCCACGGAGCCGGCTGGGCACGTCTTCCTACATATGTAGCCCATGCCGTGGCACCCAGAGCAGGGCCGCAACGGGAAGTGATTGCACTACATGTGAGCAAACTGTCCCTAGACGGTGGGCTATGATACGCAAGGGCGAGCGTGATTGTTGTGCAGTGCCATAAGTCTGTGTCAGCGAAGGGGCAGGTGGAGCCGTGACATTGTTGCAACATTGAACCAGGGTGCAGTGGCTCAGTCCAAATCATTGATGGCTGAATGTCAAAGGCTATTGGGGCCAGTTGCAATCATGTCGTACTCGACTTGTTCAGAGCGAAAAGCTGTTACTACAGATTGGAAAGACTGAGATTGTCGCAGGGCCGTAACTACGGCATATTGGTGTAAGTGTGTCTTTGCTATGTAGATGTCTCGAGGCTGACTTGTGAATGGATGTGGCACAGCACAGCGCATGAAATTTTTGTTGTTCTGGTTTTATACAGAACAGACTCGCGCAGTACGTGCTCACAGTAAACATGCGCTTAGACCTACTTGAGTAAGAGACGAGACAGTCTTGACTGTATCTAAGTGCTGGGGCTAATGGTATACACTCTAAATTTAAAGAAGGTTGTCCAATTTTTTTTTTTGAGACGTAGCGCGACAAGACCATAGCAATGCTGCAAGCCATTCCCGCTAGGATGATGGCAGGCTAATACGTCACTTCAACAAGAGGCACAGCCACGCCGAGGCGAAAGCTGGTCCCAGGCCGCTTTGATGTTTGAATTTGGAGGATGGGGCCGCCGTAATCTTGGCATGGCCAGGGTGAGTTTAGGCGCAGAGGCTCAAGTACATATGGATACTTAGTACCTAGCTGCCCAGGTGGGTAATGTGATGCCATGCCATGCAAATGCATAGATGCTGTGCAGTGCTGTCAACAATGCGCGCTGGAAGCGCTACAGCATGGCGGACCACGGCCTCATGCCAGCCACCTAGATACCTTGGTACTTAGGTACACAAGCACCTACCTAGGTAGGTACGTACTTGAGTACCAAGTAAGCATTTCTCACCCTCTTATCTCCTGCTAGTCCCTCCCTCTGACTGCAGGAGGCTGCCGCCCGGCACAAAGGAGGAGGGGCTCTGGTTGAGAAGAATCAATCAAAACCGCTCACCATGGATGGGGACAGCATTAAAGCGCCGCACGTGATGATCCCAAGGGCGCTAATGCAGCCACTCCAATGTTGCCTTATTATTCTTAGTGCAAGTGCACCGTTTCTGGCGCCTCTGGAGAACGGCTGAACTGTCTCTGGGTCCTGTGAGGAGAAGGGGGGGCCTCCAGGGGTGGTGGGACACGGGTGCCCAGCACCCAGAAGCGCCAAACCCACCTGCCTACCTGCCTACCTGCCCAGGTACAGTAAGTACCTCTGTAGGTGGTCAGGCAGGCAGGTAGGTCAGGGTACCTACCTGGGTAGACAGTCTTCCCCCCTGCTGCGGTCCCCCGTTTGGCAACCAGGCGGGTGGGTGATGGGCCCCCCCTCCCCCTTTCAGGACAGAACAGAGGCGGATGGAAGAAGAGCAAGGCTTCCAGACCAAATGGGGTCGAGATCCATCCACCACAAAGTCATGGTCATGACACCTGCGCAGCACCACTATTTGCCGCGACCAACGCACTGAATACGACGTTCGACGTTGGTCTGTTCCAGCAACAAGAGGACGGCAGCGTCAATCCTGACAGCCCAGCTCTTTGTTCGCCCACGCACCAGCGGCCAGTAAGCCAGTACAGAGTACAGAGTACAGAGCCAGTAATAATAATTCTCGCACCAGCTTTGCGCCAGCTTTGCACCAGCTCTGCACCAGACCCGGCGTCATCACCACCGTCACCGTCGCCTTGTTGTTCTGCTGGCTCGCGCGCCCCCTCGACGCCGAACAGGTGGTGAAGGAAGACCCCTGGTCCACTCTTCCTAGCCCAAGCCCGGAGCCCAAGCCCATACCGCTTAAATCGTCCATTACGCCCCTCCACTAGAGCCCGAATCCGATGCGACGAGACACGCCGGCAGCCCGGTTAGGTCCACTCAATTGTTCTTCTCCTGAATCGTACCCTATAACGTCGCTTCAACCAGACGGCACTCGACTGTCCTGCCCTGCCCTGCCCTGCCCTGCCCTGCCCTGCCCGTGTCGGCTGGCTCACCTTCGACCTCGAACTCGACCTTGACCTCGTCCTCGACCTCGCTCTCGCCCTCGCCCTCGACACTGGCCTCGACACGTCTGACCGACACGGCCGCCTTCCTCTTTGAGAAGTCGCCACCCATCCCACCAAGTCCTCGGCGGCACTCTCTCCCTCACCCCAGGCTGCCCTGCCCACCTCAAACCGCCACAGAGCAACCGCAGGAGCGTCGGGTGGGATTTGGGATCTGCTGCCTTACGAACGGGCCTGATCGAGGCCTCTCCTCGACCCCAGATGATGGTGCGTACTACAGCCCCCCTGTCCCCGAACTCGAAGCACGAAGCACGAAGCGCGAAGCACGAAGCACGGCACCGGCCCGCATCGAGGAACCTGATCTTGCTCCCACGGCGGCCGCCCCGAAAGTCCTGCCCCGGAAGACGGGTCAGGCTGTCTGCCAAACCCGGGGCTCCTTGGACGGGAAACGTCCACAACTGTCACCATGAGGACCCAGCTGACTGACACATGTTGTTCACCTAAGCAGACCTCATCTAGGCCCCGCGAAGTTGGCGCCAGCTTTGCAGCACGACGTGGCCATGCCAACACACTTTCGATATCTGACCCGAGCCACCATGTCACCGAGGCAATAGGCACCTTGTACGGCTCTGACGACGACTCCGACGTCGACACCCGGGAGCACCGCAAGAGTCGCCCCTTGAGCTTCCTCTCATACGGCGATGAGCAGCTGCCAGATGCCGCCAAGAACCCGGGCGGCGCCCAGGACTCGAGGCAGCCACTTCAACGATCTATCTCGGACAACACGCACGTGGGCTCCTACGATGGCAGCCCGGCTCCAACCCTGTCTCAGCTGACAATGCCGATTCAGCGAGGCCCACCACAAGACACCGGGCCCCCCTCGCCGGGCGGCACAATGTCCCCAATGTCTCCTACCCCGTCCTTGCGCGATATGCAGGCAGCCGAGTCTTCCATGCCCATGACCAACATCGACAACCCAAACGACATCGCCCAGGAGCTCAGCAACCTGCAGGCCTTGCGTCGCATGTCTATGGACGTCGGCCATTCGAGTGACCCTGACCTGATGCCCTTCCAGGGCATAGTCCCCATCCCTGCCATAGCGCCATCCGGCGACGACGACGAGGCCGATCCTTCGAGGCTGCTATGGGTCCCCGCCAACGTACACCCCGAGCTGGCGCCGGACCAATTCAAGAACTTTCTGGAGAGGAGGGTCAACTCTATGAAGAGAAGATCTGGGGAGTCCGTCATGGGGTCTGGAGACGGCCTGCAGCGGAACAACTCGTCGAGCTTGAGGCGGACAAAATCCAAGCTGTCCAGGCAGATTGACAATTCTGGTGGTCGTGGAGGTGACGGCTATGTGGACGGGTCTGAGAGGCTTGTACGCCAGAGGTCGGTCGAAGGCTACGCCACCCCGGAGCTGAGCCTGGACGAGCTCGTCAGCGATCCTGCGGCAGCTGTGCAGAAGCTGGCGCAGGAAACGTCCGAGGGGACGGGTGCCGGTGATATGCCCATCTTACCAGTCGCGCCTGGGATGGGCCTGCGACGCTCGACCCGGACACAGTATCGAAAAAGCGGCAGCATGCGCAACGATCGCGCCCCTTTTTCCAAACGCATGGCCCACAGACAAGCAGACAGCCAGGACGAAGGTGTGCCGCCGATGCCCAAGGCCGACGCACCCCCCGGACACGGCCTCGTCCGAGTACAGTCCGAGCCTCCGAGGACGGAAAACTTCTCAAGGCCACAAAGGTCTGTTAAACGGCAGCAGGGGTTCACAAGAGAAGCAGCTTCGCCGATCGAACCACCGACAGAACAAGCCTTTGACGACGACTCGTATCAGTCCCACGGTCGAAGCTTTTCGGAGCAGTCAGAAGTGCCAGAGATTGTCGAGACTCCGCCGCCGGCAGAGCAGCCAGAGTCATCAAACCAGTTCCCGGAGAGGTCTTCTTCTCAACAGAGCCAGGTCCAGCGTTCTCAGGACCAGCCGCCCTCGCCTCAGCAGCAGCATCCGCAAGATAGAGTTGGAGAGCAGCAGACGAGTCGTGCCAACAGGCAAGCGCCGCCTGGCCGGCAGGGCATGTCGCCTATCTCTCTCGACAATGTACCTGGGCCGACCCAGACGATGAACGATATCACAAACCATCCCTCCGCGATACCCGGTCCTAGCGGAACCCGGACTGACAACCTCACTTTTATCCCGACTTTTACTGAGTCGGAAAAGAAGAAGAATAAGGACAGCGATAGCGAGTCGACCAAGTCAAGTAAGGGCTGGAAGTGGTTCAAGAGCGAGGATAAGCAGAAGAAGGAAAAAGAAAGGGAACGGGAAGAACAGGCAAAGAAGTCCAAGGCCAAGGCAGCAGCCGAGAAGCCACACGAGAACGCTCGCCTGGATGTCCTCCAAAGCTCTATCGAGAACGTGGTTACCAAGGGCCGGGAGAGTCTGCTCCTGGACCGGGACACCATTGATAACAAGCTTCAAGAGGAGCGCAAGAAGGAGAGCAGCCGCAAGTCCTCCGATGGCAGGAAGGACAAGGACGGATTCTTTGGTTCGATCTTTGGAGGCAAGAAAAAGTCGGACAAGGACACCCCCAGCAAAAAGCACCAGCAGCGTGCACTCTCGCCCGAACCACCCCCAAGGGTGCTAAAGCCTGATGTTGACTACCCTTACACGCGATTCCCCCTACTCGAGGAGCGAGCCATCTACCGTATGGCGCATATCAAACTTGCTAACCCCAAGCGAAATCTGCTCTCTCAGGTGCTGCTCAGCAACTTCATGTATTCATACCTGGCCAAGATCCAGGCAATGCATCCTCAGATCCAAGTGCCTGCGTCACCACAGCAAAAGCGCATGGAAGAGGAGAGACGTCGCAAGGAGCAGGAAGCCCAGCAGCAGGCATACATGGAGCAGCAGATGTCGCAGCAATCGGCCCAGAACAGCATCGACCAATACAACTTTGAGTACCACCGGGTAGGCACATAACGCACATGCGTGCAGTTCATCGAATGTGCAAGTAACGTCTGCTAACATACCGCCCAGTCTTCCAACCAGTATGGCGACTCAGAGAACGAATATGTCGATGAGAACCATGAGTCGTACGACTACGAGCAGGGTCGCGGCCAGGGATACGATGGCCAGGGCCAGAATGGCGGCTATGGGTACGGGCACGATGCTTACGGGCAGCAACAACAGCAGTATTATGATGGCCATGATCCACAACGGCGCCAGGATGACAACGATATGTGGTGACCTGGTTTGAGCCGTGCTATTTAAAGCCTCCTATGCTGTATCCCAATGTGTACGAAGCTGTGGGGACGTCCGAATCCGTTCTCCAGCGATGGAGAGGCGGGGGGGTGGGAAACAAATACTGCCATATAAACCAAAAAAATAATACCTGCATACGAGCATAGGAGTTCGTGGGATGCGTGTGACTGGTCGGGCTGTTGGGACGGAGACTAGGAGGCCGCGCTTCTTCATTTTCAAACCCTCGATGTTCCTTTTACTTTTTCTTCAGATCTGTATACCATACCCTATATTTGCAAAACGCGGACCTTGCGACGGTCGGAGCCGTCAGTTTCAGCAGCAAGTATAGTGACCAGTAGACGAAAAACACCGCCGTGCGTCAAGGCACATATTTTCCCTGTGTCGCGAAGCGGTATGAGCGAGCTGGTTTCCGGCCTCGAGTTTGTTGTCGATGCTTCTTGTGTACACCCTAGGTATGTGTGCCAGAATTAGCACATGAACACGGCAGCTGGTGGGAACTGTGCCATGTGCTAGGTGAAGTAGGTTATTTAATTCCCATATACTTGAGGCCAAGTGAAGTGCATACTGACTTACAAGCACGAGACAGGACCCACCCGCTCTACGCTTCGCGTTCACAGTGCGGTTACCAGACCTTGGCGCGAATTCCCGTGAACCCTGGTCAACCTCGATCCTTCGTGAACCTTGTGGTGGCATGAGTGGCTGGATCGGACCAAACTCCGGAGACATATTTCCACTGTTGGCAAGGTCGCCCCCCCATCCAACCCATAGTAGCATGACCGCAGCTGAACGCTTGGTTTTATGGTAAACTAGTAGCGCCCCTGGATCCAGCGAGATACTGGGCAGGGGCTGGCTGCATTAGGGCTATACTGGCTGATCTAGAGCTGCTTACGGGCCGCTACCCTCTCGATGTTGTACGGCAAGTAGGTGCCTGCGTGATGGGGAAATGCAGCCGAGCTTTTTGAGGTGTATGAAATAGGAGGTGGACTCGTCCAGGGCGAAGCAAACTACATAAATAAGCACGTAATAATGCCAGGGAACTGACCCAACTGCAGGGCATTGCAACTTCTCCATATCAGTCGCACCACGCAAGACCGTGGCCAAACGCTTACTCCCATCTACAAGCGACGATGGCGCTCACCAATAGCTCATGGACTTTCACGCCGATAATCGAGGCGTTCCCTCAGACGGTGCTTCCTAATGTCGCCTACTGGAACGTCACGGCGAGCGACACGGACCTGGAATACCAGATCTCGCTTTCATGGCCTCTGGACTGGCCAGCGTCGCGCGAGGTAGAGAACAAGACAGCGCTGACCATGTAAGTGCTGCCTCTAGGAGATGCCTCACACGGACACTCATCTCATCAGCTGCTGAAATGCTCATGACGTGTCCCAGGTACGTCCTCGACGGCAACGCCTTGGGCATGTCGGCAACAGAAGCCTGGAGACGACGAGATGCGGTGGAAACGAACCAGCCGGATTACATCGTGGTTAGCATCGGCTACCCGGTTACTGACAGCGTCTACGGATCCCAGCGCAGCATCGACTTCCAGCCCGTGACGCCGGGCGAGGACCCCCCTGCCGTTCCGGGGGTGCGTGAGGGTGCGGATGACTTTATCGAGTTCATCGAGGGCACGCTGCGGCCCTTTGTGCGAGAGCAAGCGTTCCCACGGGGCGTGGAGTACGGGCGCGAGGCTTTATACGGCCACTCCTTTGGCGGGCTGTTTGTGGTCTACGCCTTGCTGCGGCGTCCCGACCTTGTCGACACGTTCCTCTCGGCCAGCCCGGCGCTCTTCTGGAATGACCGCTACATTCTCAACCACACGGACTGGCTCGACGATGCCCCCGCGGCGCCCGGGGACGGCCCTGCGTTCAGGCTTGCGTATGGGGGCCTTGAGCAGAACGCAGTGCGGCGGCGGACGGAGACGGAGGAGGAGTTTGAGGCGAGGGTTGCGCTGCTGGAGAGCTTTGGGCTGCTGCAAATGGGCGTGGAATGCGCCGAGCTGATGGACAAGATCGGCTCGAGCCAGAGGCTTAGGAACGCTGAGCTCAAGGAGTATGATGGGAGTGACCACGCCTCGGTGGGAGCGGTGGCGCTGACGGATGGGCTGGATTATTTCATCGACTGGTGACTGGTGACTTGTATCTGATGTGTGATGTGACACGGCTCCGTAGCTAATACCTCTGTCGAGGCTCGTTCATCATTCACCCCTTCACAGGTCAAACAGCCATGTGAGACGACCTGGGTGTAAGTACCTAGGTACCTGGCAACTGGCAGTGGCAGAGTGGCAGGCAGTTCATCCTACTAGCCTAGTCTCTAACGGGCAACGCGTTGTTGCTTTGCTGGCAGGAGCAGCGGCAGCAGGAGCTCCCAGTGGCCGGGGTCAACACTAACAGTGACTCTGAGGGAAAACGCCTACAGCACGATATGGCCTGTGCGGTACTGCCGCATCACACTGGACGGTGAGTGGCCGTCGCGACTCTGAGCCTAGGCTGCCCTCTAGATCTAGTCCATGTAGGCAGAGGCGAGAAATCAAAACCTCACCTCGCCAGTTTGACCCTCGCTGCCGCCCCCGTCGTCGCGCAGTTTTGTATCAAACGCCCCATCTTCTGACGTTTTCTTTTGATACCCCTCGTTGTAGTCCTTTTCTCCTCCTTGGTGACTGTCGACTGTCACTTGTATTGATTGACGGAAATCTCGACGATAAGAACACAACAGCCAGCCAGCCAGCCAGCCCTCTTGACTGCATCGACCGCACGGCAGCCGCAGCCTCAGCTTCTGCTCCCGCTCCCGCTCCCGCTCCTGCTCTGCTTGCCCACCTGGCCCCACACTTTTTTCCTCCTCCCCAGCAACCCAGCACGCTGCGTCGCGACATCTGGACCCACGAACGTCGACACGGCAGCACAGCTCAGCACGGCACCGACCCCGACCCCAACGCCCACGGCTCGCACCACATCGCCCAGCCCAGCACAGCACGCCCACAAGGTCCCACGCCCACGCCCACGCCCACGCCCACGGTCCACGGTCCACGGTCTACGGTCTACGGCCCACGGTCCAAGCTCGACAACGACGGCTACCTCTGTCCGCATCGACCTTAGACAAATACAGCACATCCTCGATCCGTGTCCGCAAAACCCCATCCCCATCCTCCTCTCCTCCTCGCCGTCTACCAGTCAGTCACATTAGAATGGCCAATGTGAGCTCACCCCTGCCATTGCAATCCTGATCTTGTTTGCCTGTCGCGATTCTCCTGCACACGACCACCAACAACAGCATATAAACCATCCATCCTCGTCTCGTCCGCCTTGCTTCTGGTGGAGGCTCTTGATTTTTGGACTTTGTTGTCTGCCTGCACACCTATCTCCCCCCCAAGTCCCCCCAACCCAACCCCACCACCCCCATCCTGAGCTTGCTTCGACTTCTTCACTTTCTTCTTGTCCCCTGCCTCCTGCCACATCCAGCCTGTCTGTCCTCTCGTGGTGCCAGGTCAAGATGCCTTCGGCCGCAGCCCCAGCTATCCCCCCCGGTGCGTGGCGAAAGCCTCTCTCCTCAGCCAGCAGCTCACAACCTGTCCAGCAACCTCCCCGCCACCCCTACAACAACCCCGGTGGCTACGGCCTTGCCAACGGTGCACCCGGCGGCGCGCCCCAGGCCGTGCCAGCTCCTGGTGCCACCCCCCTCCTGCCAAACCAGGGCCGCATCCTGCAGTCTGGTCCCATCCGAGTCCTCTGTGTTGCCGACGTTCGAGGTAAGCCCGCAAGCCCGCAAGCCCACATCCGCCTCCCCCGGCGCCTGTCGCGCGTACAAGCTGACACAGACCCTCGACAGGTAACCTGCGATCCCTCAACGATCTCGCGAAGAAAGCAGGTGCCGACTATATCGTCCACACTGGCGACTTTGGTTTCTACGATGACTCTTCGTTGGAGCGCATTGCTGAGAAGTGAGTGTGCCATGTCTCTCAGGGAGGCGCGTAACATTCTGGCGCGTGGCGCATTGCTAATGCCGGGTTTTCACAGGACCCTGAAACATGTTGCCCAATACTCTCCTCTCATCTCCGAACCCGTGAAGAAGGCTATCGCTCAGGGCGGCCCTGGCTCGGTCAAGGCTAGGTTCCCTGCAAACGAGCTGCCGCTCTCTGAGCTTCCCCTCTTCATCACACCGCAGAATGGGGGCAGCCCGACCTTCGAGCTGGAGATCCCCGTCTATACCGTCTGGGGTGCCTGCGAGGATGTCCGGGTCTTGGAAAAGTTCCGATCGAGGGAGTACAAGGTCAAGAACCTACACATCATTGACGAAGCCCAGTCCATGCTGCTCGAAGTCGGTGGTGTCAAGCTGCGCCTGCTCGGCCTTGGAGGAGCTGTCGTTATGCACAAGCTGTTCGACAACGGAGAGGGCAGGACGACTATCGCAGGCGGCCAGGGTACTATGTGGACAACGCTGCTGCAGATGGGCGAGCTGGTCGACACGGCCAACCGAGTTTACGATCCTACCGAGACCCGCATTTTCGTCACACACGCCTCGCCAGCGCGCGAGGGTATTCTGAACCAGCTGTCGGTGACCTTGAAGGCAGACTTCTCCATATCTGCTGGGTTGCACTTTCGGTATGGCAGTTCGTACAACGAATTCAGCGTCAACCCAACCCTGGATCACTATCGCGGCAAGCTGGCGGCGAGCAAGGCCTCCTTCAACGACGTCTGGGAGACCGTCAAGAACGAGGTCGAGCCTGCCATCCAGGCCAACGAGGCGCAGCAGAACCTGCTGAAGAATGCGCTTGGAGTGGTCGAAAAGATGCCCACCCAGGCTGCTGGTGGCAACCCCTTCGGGAATGCCGGAGGTCCCGCCACCTTGGGCCAGGTGGACGAGAGCGCATTCAAGAACATGTGGAACTTCAACCTCGCGGACGCTGCCTTCGGTTGGCTCGTGCTAGAGGTGCACGACGGCCGCATCGGAACGGAGATGAAGGCCCAAGGCTTCAACTTTAGTCACCGCGGAGCTAAGCAACAACCTCCTGTCCCTTCTGCCCCCCAGTCTGTCGTCGGCGCTGCACCACCTGCCGCACCCGCCGCCCAAGCACCAGCGCCTGCACCTCAACGACAGCCCTCGCAACCTCAAGCGAAACCTTCCCCCGTTCCAGCCCAAGCGAAACCTGCCACACCTGCACCTGACACGCTCCCAAGCAAGGAGAATGAGAAGCCCGCGGGTGCAAACGGCCACGCTCCCGAGTCCGCGCCCTCTCCGGCCCCGAAGAGGGATGAGATTATCGGCCTGTTTGTCATGAACGCGACAGGAGACGAGGAGCTGCGCAAGCTATTCGCCGAGGAAGATCAGCCCAAGATCTCTGAGATTACCAAGTGGGGCCAGATGAACAGGGTAATCCAATTCAAGACTACCGAGGATCGTGACGGAGCTCTGGAGCGGCTAGCCGATGAATTCAAGACGCGATCGCAGGAGGACCGATCAAAGCCTCTGATCAAGCTCTTTGAGCGGCGCGAGACAGGCGCAGGTCGGAACTTCACGAACCGTGGTGCAGGCACGTGGGGCAGCAGCCGTGGCGCCTCTAGCACGGGCGGACCTCGGAGCGGGTACCAGAGCAGCGGCGCTGGCGGCACGGCATCTGATAGTGAAGGCGGTGCCGGACGCCGTGGTGGACGCGGTGGCCGTGGTGGACGGGGAGACCGAGGCGGCCGCGGGGGCAGAGGAAGGGGCGCATTGAAGGGTGAGGGCGGCGGAAACGGTTCGCCTGCGCCTGCGGCAGCCACGCCTGCCGAGTCGTAGGACTTCTCCCAGACAACGGAGTCTCGAAGAAAGAAGAGACAACGGCTGCGTTGAGGCGCTGCAGGAGCTCGGACCCAGTCAGGGGGCCAACGGGCTGGCTGCTTCTACTGGAGGGATGGGACGGCGAAGGGCCTAATTTTCTTTCCTGACCCTTCGGCCTTACTACCTTGCTACCACACTGTCACATTATTTGCGGCCTTTTGACCTGAAGAAAATCATTTTGACGCGGCATGTCAATGGCTGCCCGCAGATCCCGTTTCATAGGTTAGGTTTAGGTTGATGACATTTTCACAGAGTGTGAGAGGGGGAGGAGTCAGAACAGACACAGGAAAGAGAAAAGCACGATGTTCTAATTCTGTTTCGCTTTGTAATTTGTCCACCACTCTCCTGATTTCATCCCTCTGTTGTTTTCGTCTTCGGCCTACTTATCATGTCTGGCAAGTATAACCTGTGTGTCTGTCTGCCTTTCCGCTCTGGGACCTGGGTTCAAATGTTAGTCCTCTACACTGTACCATACCTTCATCTACACATACCGGTTTTTCGAGGCTTTGGAGGCATAGAGAAGTGAGTTTGGTTGGGGGTTGGCATCGGATGGAATAAAGTGTAACGAAAAGGCGGGAAAGGAAATTCAAAATCATCTTGAACTATGATTTTTGTACCGATGCCTGTGCTGTCCGTCTCATTGCGCTATGCTTATGCGCATAAACACTGGTGTGTGCCATTTGTTGTAGTATTAGCAATACTTGTAGCTGGTGTTGAGATCCTTGAGCGGGCAAGCTCGCACTGAGAGGGTTACGGACATATGCCTAGACCTCTCTTTTATACCTTGTGTCCTTCCCTCGTTGTAAGGCGCGTAAAAAGTACCGCCGCCCTTGGGCATTCACCTGGGGGGCAACAGCAAGACGACCTGAGCCTTCACACACCCGTTTTCTCTCTTTCTTTACTGATAGATTCGTAGCCTCCGTCGAAAAAAGACAGAACACATTAATAAAGCAGGGAAAAGCGCCTGGGATGGCGTTGGCTACTTCGTATTCGACAATATTATCTGAGAGAGCACATCTCTGCAACAGATAGCCGGAAATGAAAGCCGTCTTGTGAAATGTTCATCTTGCGTAGTACGAGAAGGCATTGGGGTTTTCTGCAAGTGTCCTATTTCTTCGTGCTCACGACGACGGCCTAATGGCGAGTGGCATATTGTACAGTATTTTTCTCTACGAAATGAAATGCTGTGCCCTGCATTATGATTTTTTTTGTGGACCATGACATGTAAAGTATAAGAACGACGGCGCGACGCACAACCGGACAAGCAGATACCGCCACTTCGCGGTCGACATGCAACAAAGAATGCGCAGCGGACCAGGTCTGTACGACAGCCAAAGAACAGCAGCACCTCCGCGACTTGGCCCAGGACTTGGATCACGCCTTCGGCTTCATCCCCTTGTGTATGGCCGCGACACCACCCGTGAGGTTCTCATAGCCGTCGCCGCCGACGACGAAGCCCGCGTCGAGGATGAGGTCGCGGAACTCGTCCTGGGAGGGGAAGCGCTCGATGCTCTCGACCAGGTACTGGTACGAGTCCCTGTCGCCGGCGACGAGCTGGCCGATGAGGGGGATGGCGCCGAAGCTCCAGCGGCGGTAGACCTCGGTGAAGAGCGGGGTCCAGCGGTCGGCCTTGCTGAACTCGAGCACGGCGAGGACGCCGCCCGGCTTCAGCACGCGGTACGCCTCGCGCAGCGCCGCGGGGATGTTGCTGAAGTTGCGGATGCCGAACGCCACGGTGTACAGGTCGACGCTGGCGTCCGGGACGCCCGCGGAGGCCAGGTCCTCGGCGTTGGCCTCGAGGAAGGAGAGGTTTGCCTGCTGGCTTGCGGGGAGGGCCTGGGACCGCTGCTTGCCCACTGCCAGCATGTCTGGGTTGATGTCGGAGATGGTGACGCGCACGTTCGGGTTGCGGTTCACCACGTGGGCGTGGTTCAGGTGGCGGAAGGCGATGTCGCCTGTGCCACCGGCTATGTCGAGGATGTGTTGGGCTGGCGGGTGGGATGGGTCGGAGGAGAAGCCTGGGTTAAGGGAGGATACGTAGTGGTCTCTGTGGAAAGGCACGTGTTAGCAACGGTGGTCTGCGGCGAGGGACGGCTCACGGCAGCGCCAAGTGGTGCGCGTTGGGAGCGGAGTAAAGCTGACGAACTTCCAGACGCGATGCCAGCCGAAGGACATCAGGTCGTTCATGCGGTCGTAAGTCTCTGCGACGCTGCTGAATACATCGGCCACGCGCTTCCTTTTCTCGGCCTCGGTGACCGTCTCGTAACCAAAATGGGTCTGACGGTTGGATGTGTCACCCGGGGCAGCATCTCGGGCGGGCGCAGTCAAGGAGAAGGGTCGGGATGATGGTGATATTATGGCGGGGCCGGAACGGAGACTCCTCAGACATGATCGTACAGTATTGGCACCGAGACCCAATACGGGTCTTGGAGCAGCCATGGTGAGGGGAGTTGGCTGCCTCGTGGAGAGAGAATTGAGGCAGGTAGGAGGTCTGTGAGGATGTCCCGGAAGGAAAGTTAGCCCATGCCCAAGGCTGAGGGAAGATTTTCGGGGTCGTGAGTGGCCTGTGCCAGCTCGTCGGCCGCTCGGGTTGCTTGCCGAGCTCAGCCTTGCCGTCAGTGTGGGGTCTCTTATGCACGTCATCGGCTGGCATGGTCTTGGGGCTCCACGCCGAATCGGCACCGACCCCAAATGTTATGCCTCTTGGAATTGTACGTTGAATGCCAATGCGGGAGTCTTGATTTAATGCCACGTTCTACACACACCTTAAACCGCGTCGCCACGTTCGGCCTGCTTGGCTTGGACCATGGCAGTGGTAAAAGACTTGATCCAGTTGCGCCCAAAGTAAGCGCCGGCGCCGATCACGAGGAAGACCAAGAAGAGAATGAGCACGATGGCCAGGTTGTTGTCGGGCATTGTTTGACAGCGTGGGAGGATACTGGGCGGTTTCTGTTTCGAAATCTTGCGCTGAGACTCTCAATTGGCGAGGGTATTGTGTGGGGTGTGTCAATTCGGTTCAGTAGTGTCACGTCGCGAGTGGTTGCTGTGTAGCCAAGACCCGTCGAAATCAACGAGGCCCGCAGGCAATCAATCACACACCAGGGAGGTAGGTACCTAGGTACCTAGGTAGGTAGATGGGTGCATGTGGCAACCAACCTCGAGCCGGCTTGTCACCGACCTCTACTGCAAGCGCAATTCCTTTGCAGAGAGACATATTGATCTTTGTGTGCTCTATGGTTTCAACGTCTCTTTGCCGCCTTCGAACTCTCCAACATCGTACTCGTCCGGGTACTTGTCCAGGTGTTCTCTCAGCTCACTCATCTGCTTCTTCAGGTCTGGCGTCAGCTCCTCATACACATCCTCAAACATTGCCCGAATTGGTGGCTTCTTTTCCTTCTCTGCTTCCTGGAACGCCTTGAGCAGCTCCCTCCGGATGCTGTCTCGCGCCTCCTTCTCCTTTTGTTCGTCCCAGATCCCCTTGGCTTCCATCCACTTGCGCAGTCTCGAGATTGGATTGTCCCGTCGCTTCCAGTCCTCAACCTCCACGCGCGCCCTGTACGCGAACGAGTCGTCCGAGGTGCTGTGGTGGCCTACCCTGTACGTCAGTGCTTCGATGAGCACGGGTTTTCCGCCGTCTTGCAGGGCCATCTCCCTTGCCCTCTTGGTGGCCTCGCGGATGGCCCATATGTCATTGCCATCGACCCTTATTGTCTCGATGCCGTAGCCTACTCCTCTACTGGCGATCCCGTCCCCGCGATACTGTTCCAGCACGGGTGTCGAGATCGAGTAGCCGTTATTCCGGCAGATAAACACCACAGGACAGGAGCGCGTCGCGGCAATGTTAAGAGCCGCGTGGAAGTCACCTTCCGAGGCGGCGCCCTCGCCAAAGTAGACTGCGACTACTCGCTCCGGCGTGGCAGGGTTCTGCAGGCGCTGCATCTTGAGGGCGTACGCGGCACCTGATGCATGGGGGATCTGTGTCCCAAGGGGTGACGAGATTGTGTGCTACGCAAGGGAACTCGACGTTAGTAGTCCGGGCTCGGCGTTACACTGCCTGGATACAAGGGGACAAGAAACCACAAGACGGCTGGCGGGAGATGGCACGCACGATGTTCAACTCCTTGCTCCCGTAGTGGACCGGCATGTTTCGCCCCTTTCCAGGGTCCATCCTGTTGGCAAACAACTGGCTCATGAAGTCCTTTGGGGTGAATCCCCTTTGCGCAAAGACTCCCTGCTCCCTGTACTGGCAGAAAATGACATCTTCCTTGGTCAACGCCGAGGCCGACCCCACACAAACGGCTTCCTCGCCAGCTGATACCATATAGAAGCTGATTCGGCCCTGCCGCTGGGAGTCGAACATGATGATGTCCATTATCGAGACGAGCAGCATGTCCCTGTATAACTTGATCACCTCCTCGTCTTTTAGGTCCGGCTTGAAGGACGGGTCAACGACGTTGCCGCTCTGGTCAACAGCTCGGTAGGTAGGCATGGCATCATGGGACGAGGGCTGCTCGAACTGGAGCTTGGTGGTGAAGGCGGACTTGACAGCCCCCGGGAACTGGACGAAGCTCGAATCCGGCCGTTGGGAGAGCGAGGAGGCGGAGCGGCGCGCGGGTGAGCCGGTGGCAGTGGCTAAGCTGCCATTGAGCGGGAGCGAGCGGCGAGCACCACGCAGAGCCGGGGCGAGAGTGGCGGGTCGCATCCTCATCGTGCTGGAGGAATTGGGCCTGGGCAGGGGCCTGGCGCGATGAGAGGAGACTTCGAGGCCGTGGGCCGGTGTTGGAGAGATTCTTGGGTAGAATTCTATGAAAGAGGGCGATTCACTTGACTGCCATGTATGTGCTTACAGTGAAGGGGACCGCGGCTCAACGCCCTCGGCCAGAGACGGTCGTCATGCTAAACCCGACAGAAGCCGAGCAACCTGGTCTCTGGCGAGACGGATCTCTGATTGAAGACATGCCAGATCAAGGCAGCCTGGAAAACAACGATAATTCATGCTGAACCACATGGCATTGAGGGGTTATCACCTTGCTTCACAGGTATAACGAGGCTATTGCGAAGGTCAGAGTGAGCGGATATGCAGACTGGGGGGACTAAGACGGCCGGAATGGGCCCATCAGTTCCGATTTCGGATATGTGGGACCAGCAACAAGAACAACTGCTTGAAGGTTGAGCATTGTCTTGTTTCTCAACCCTTGGGCAGTAATTTGCGACTGCCAGTGAGGCCCGAAATTGAGATAGGACGGCTCATATTCGCTGTCTAAGCGAGGCCCCGCGGTCCATGCCATGCCTAGTAGGTGCCCAATTGTTGAACCACCAGACCACATGTGCACGCGACGACCCTGTCTCCACCATCGCCGCTTCTTACCCTGGGTTCCGTCATCGTCATAGATACGTGGCGGTGCATGTGAGAGAAAGACTGGAGCCAACACGGCAGACAGTGCAAGCAAGACAAGAAACATGTTGACAGAACACGCTCGCACACACACACACATGTCCACAAAAGAGTCCGACTTGAAATTGTGTTCTGGCCATTGACAGTTCTGGCTTCACTGGAGAGAGCCCGCCGGACTCTCAACAAGCTTTGCCTCTCGAGAGCCTAATACAGTAATACTACATAGTAAGAGGCGGACGGCAGCGGAGGAATGCTACGCCTTGGGATCAGGGGTCCAGATAGGCCCTGGGCTGCTTACCTCAATAGCGTCCCTTGTCCTCACTCGCCAGCTCGCCCGAGTTTGAGTGGAGGGGGTTCGAAACGATGTGCCGGGCCCATGTATGGGGCAGTTTAGGCGCCGCCTGGCCACCCGTAAGGCGTGATCTGGCCTGGCAGGACTTGTTATTTGGCCCGGGTGCTCGTGCTCGTGCTGGCGGGTTGTGCCTACAATCTGCTGTGATTATCCGCTAGACCCTGCAATGACATGACAAGCCCAGACAGGCCGGCTGTTGTCTGTCCGCCCCCCCCCGTGATCTATCTACCTACCTGTCTATCTAGTCTGTCTAGTCTGTCTACTTAGTCTATCCAGGGGACTTGGTTCCGACCTTGGATCTCATCACGACCCGGATCCCGGACCACGGAACACGACTCTGCGGCCACGACGAACCCGACGACGCCACGACGACATCCTATTGCCACCACCGCCGCCGCCGCCGCCTCGACGACGCCCAACGGTGAGCCCCCGACCCGATCCGGCTCCAACAAAACCACGCACACTGTGTCACCGTCTCAGCCTGCGACCTACCAGGACTCGTCAGGACCAGATGAGCAAGGCCTTCCAGGGCCCGCCCCTCCGCGATTAAATCATATTGTCCCAAACCTGTACCCGTGAACTGTTGTCGCCGATCCCGATGGCGGCGTAATCCATGGCAGAACGAAGCACGACAAGCTGGAACTCGCGCTCGTCCAGAAGTACTGAACCCACCTCGTCGGCCTCTACAGCGACCTCGACCTCCTTCCCTCCCCTCCCCCTCCCGGCCTCCGCCGCGACCGATATCCCGCCGCCGAACTCGAACTCGACCCCGACCCCGAGTGCAAGCCCACGGGCGACAGCAAACACACGGCCGGCGGCGACGTCGTCGACGACAAGAGCAGGTGCGGCCCCTGTAGTACCAGGCGCGACCAACACCCGGCCTCGTTGCTCCTCCTCGCCAAAAACAACAAGGTATATACAATATACATCTACATATACAGCACTTGAGACGTGCACGCACGCTTCCTCTTGCACTCTTGCACTCTTGCACTCTTGCATTGCGCACACGGGACATACCCACCCACCCCTTGACGCACCAGTCCACATCCCTTCCCCATAATACCCTCCCCCCCCCATACAAAAGTAAATATGCTATATGCCCTCTCAAGCGGGCGGGCGGGCACGCACGCTGTCGGGACGGGCCAGGGCAGGGCAGGGCTGGGCAGGCAGGCGGGCAGGCAGGCAGGCAGGGCCTGCGGGCAGACAGACAGACAGACATATCACCAGTTGCCTGTGGTTTCCCGCCGCCTCTTGCAAGAGTCGGCCTGGATATCAAGTGTTATTCTAACGCACCCACTGCATGGCACTGTGCTGCGTCAGACCGGATCTATCCTGACTTCCCAAGAACCTCCCCCCCCCCCCCTTGGCCAAAGAAAAATGCTGGTCGCTCCTGCTTTACTCTGACATTTCACTTGGATAGCACCTGCCTCTCGCAGCGACATCCCATCCCGCCTCCCCTGCCTCACTCCGTCCATAATAGTCATCTGTACTTCACCTCCAGCCATTCGTTCATTCCCCCCCATCCCCCGCCTTTGGCAGGCCTGGTCTTGCCTTTTCTGCAGCCTGCCAGGACCTGAGGAGGTTGGGACTTTGGGCGTCCTGAAGCTCCCTCCCACTTTCCCATACCATACCACCCAGACCTTGTCCATTGGTTCTTTGCTGGCGAACCACCGGAACTGGTCTGCCTGCCGTCTCCAAAGAAGGAAGGCTGTCTGTCAACCCAGGGGCAACCAGACTTGGGAGCTCCACCAGGTCGGCCACTGGCCAGCAGCTCTGCTCTAGCACGGCACCGCGCACAAGCACTAGCACTGGACCGCACCTCCACCTGCACCCCGTCTTGGCCCCAGAGCGCCTCGAGCTGCACGCAACCACAACACAGCACACGCACCGCCTGGGAAACCAGTCCCAGGCATCTGCTCTCTACGCAGGCAATCGTGTTCACGACTTGCACTCCACCCCAAAACACTTGACAGCATCAATCACTTCCACTTTCTTGTCACCTACCCAAACCCTCTCCACAACTCCACCCACCGCAACTCACTGCCCCGACCGACATCTTGCCTGCCGTTGGACGGGCTCAGGCACATCGATACCTGCATCAAACCATGGTCTTCGGCCGACACTTTACTCATGTCTTCTTCTAGTAGGCCTGCCACCCGCTCGTCAGCTCGCCAGGCAGCCAGGCAGGCAGAATCATCCCGATCTGCCGGCGTTTCTGCTGCTGGGTCCCCGACCGAACCTGCCCCTCCTCCGCCCGCCTCTCGACGACTCGACCCCCGGAAGCGTAAGGTCACCGCCGATCTAGAGGTCGCACCCGAACCTGTCCCCTCGACTAGACGTTCCAAGAGGGCAAAGGTTTCCGACCAACAGCCGCCTCAGCCAGCCGCTGCCCCAGCACCACACTCACAGCCCGCCTACTCTCTTAGGAAGAGAAAGGGAAAACAAGCTCCGACTATGTCGAGTCCAGAGTACGACGCCTCCAGCGTCCCCTCTCCTGGGGCCCACCTGCTGACTCTGTCAAGATCTGCCGCAGGCCCATCCATACCCCCTTCGGAAATTGCGCAGTCTGCCTCGTCCAGTCGAAAGTCCAGTCGCAGCAAGAAGACTGCACAAGGTGAGACCTGCAAGCCGCCAGCAAGAGCCGAGGTTGTGCCAGCTGACACACACCCTCTCAAATCAGCCTCGGGGCCCTCGTCTTCGAACCGACGATCGCGGAAGAAGTCGAACAATGCCGATGAGGACACCCCGATGACCGGTACCGACGAGAACGAGAAAGCATCAGCACCACCCCCTCCTCCAGCGCACGAGGACAACTTCGACGAGGACAGCGAGGACCATGACGACGAGGACCACCGATACGATGAGCACGACGATGACGACGTATTTGGAGGGTTCGGCGGCCCACCAGGTGGGCTTCACTCCAGCCTCGCCCTCCTCACAGGCATGATGTCCGGCATGGGATCCCGCCTCAGGGAGATACTGGCCAATCTTCGACAAAAGGAGGACCCGAGTTTGCATCTCATCGCGCTGAACGAGCTGTCTGAGCTCCTCCTGGTGTCCAACGAGGACAACCTCCAGGGCCATTTCTCGGCGGACTCGTTCGTGCGTGAGCTGGTCTCGCTGATGAAGCCAGACGACTTCATGGAGGCCAACCCGGAAATCATGCTTCTCGCCTGCCGCTGTCTCGCAAACCTCATGGAGGCCCTGCCTTCCAGCGTCACCAACGTCGTGTACGCCGGCGCCGTGCCAGTTCTCTGCGAGAAGCTCAGGGACATTCAGTTCATAGATTTGGCCGAACAGGCTTTGAGCACCCTGGAGAAGATCTCTGTCGAGTATCCCTCTGCAATCGTCAAGGAGGGCGGTCTTGCCGCCTGCCTCGAGTATCTCGACTTTTTCGCCATGAGCACACAACGAACCGCCGTAACGACTGCTGCAAACTGCTGTCGCAACCTTCCGCACGACTACTTCGACGTTGTGAAAGACGCAATGCGGATCCTCCGCGATGTTCTGAAGAATAGTGACCAGCGGGTGGTGGAGCAAGCATCTATTTGCGTTTCTCGCATCGTGGACACCTGGCGCCATAACCCGAGCAAGCTGGAGGCTCTGGTGACCGAGGATCTCCTGTCCTCTATTCTCCGACTACTACTGCCCGGCAGCACCAACCTGATCTCACCCAACATCCACACCCAATTTCTGCGAGTCCTGGCATCCACGGCAAGGGCGAGCCCCAGGCTGTCCGTGGAGCTAATGAAAATGAACGTGGTCGAGACTCTCTACCAGGTCTTGACAGGTGTTTCGCCTCCTAACGGGACTGATGACATCGCATCAAAACTTGACAGTGTGCTCATCATGCAAGCACTTATCCACCGACCACGAGAACAGATTCTCGAGGCACTGAATGTCATCTGCGAACTCCTGCCCAAGCTGCCCACCGGCGCTGCCGATCCCACAAAGGGCGGCTTCAACGAGGTCGCTCCGCGAGAAGTCAACACTGGCTCACCCTCCACGTCGAGACGCAGAACGTCGGATGAGAAGCGTATCCAGTTGTTGGAGGGTTGCAAGGCGGAGGTCCGACGATTCGCCTTGATTTTGTTCCCGACTCTGACGGATGCCTTTTCCAGCACGGTGAACCTCAGTGTGAGGCAAAAGGTCTTGTTGGCTCAGCTTAAGATGCTGTACAACTTGGACGAGGGAATTCTTACCGAAGCCCTGGCACCAGTGCCTTACGCGTCCTTCCTCGCGTCAATCCTCTCGCAGAAGGACGACCTCACCCTCGTGACAGCAGCCCTGCAGGCTACAGAGCTTCTCATGACACGGCTCGGAAGCATTTATCAGTACCAGCTGTACAGGGAGGGTGTTATCGCAGAAATCTCAAAGGTGGCCGACGAGACGGAGGCTGATGCCAAAGCAGTCATTGAGTCTCAAGACTTGCCAAGGCGGACCTCTGCGGCTTCCGAAGACCGGTCTTCGCGTAATGATTCATCGGACGACGACGACGATGACGACGCAGCTGATGAGCATGATGAAGACGACGAGGATGACGAGCCATCGCACCACTCGTCCGAGGATGAGCACGATGAGGACAACGAGGAGGACGAAGACGAGGAGCACGAAAACGACGGCCGACCTCAGGTCATGTCTGGATCTCCCGATAGCTCCGGTGGTTCTACCATGTCCATCGATGCCCCACCCCGGCCGCCTCCATTCACGAGTACTCAGTTGCTGCGATCCAAGATCCATAAGGACGCAAAGCAGTTTCTCGCGACGCACGAGGCGGAGAAGAATGCCAAGTCCATGAAGAAGAGAGCTACCAAGATCTTGACGGACCTTACAGAACTGGCATCAGAAATTGAGGCTTTCTATCTCCGCCCAACCTCATCTGGCAGCATCGCCGGTGAGAATGGAAAGAAGTTGTTCGAGAAGCTGGCGACATATTTCGACTCGGACTTGTTTGAGAGTGCAACAAGTGCGGAGCTCCTTGCCTCGGGTGTTGTACGAGTCCTTGAAGAGGTGTTTAGCAACCCTGACGAGGATCTTGCAATGGCTGCTCAGGCAGCGTTCATTGAGGTCTTCATGGGATACACCGTCAAATCGAAACCCAAGACAGCAACTGCTGACTCGCCCGCCACTCCCTTCAGTATGATGGTGCACAAGCTGCAAGACCTGCTCAGCCGATCGGAGCACTTTGAGGTCCTCACTGTGTCTAGTGCTGCGCACGGCGATAGCCACCGCAGCAGCCCGGCATCCATGCTGGCCAAACAAATCCGCCTGAAGCTCGTCGCTGACGACGACTCAGACATCCCTAAGGTTTACCGGAACATAATGGTCTCCATACATGCGATCGCGACATTCAAGTCATTGGAGGACTACCTGCGCCCACGCATCAGCCTCTCCGACCGTCCGCGACCACCACGGGGCAATCGCGAGAGCCTGACGCGAGCCTTGGCCGCAATGACAGGGGGCGCCTTCCCCTTCGGCGCCGGCTCACCCTCTGGGTCCGGTCGCATTCCCTCTCGCATGCCCCCGCAGCTTGGTAGTGCCACGCCGCCGCCTCCTCCCCCGCCAGTTCCACCTACAGCTTCGGGCTCTCGATCGTCGCGGAAATCCAAGACCTCCAGGTCGCTCCCTAACGCAGAGACCCCGTCCACACCAGACCCTGCTTCTTCAGCACCGGGCGCAAAAGTCATACTGCGTAGGTCCAGTCGACGCAGCGCGGCGCCAGCAGATTCACCACAAGCAAGCCGTGCACCCCCAGCCGACGAAGACGACCTTGAGGATGCGCTTGAGTGTGCTGATGAAAAGCATATCACCGAGGATGAGGGTACACCCGACCGCAGCGCTCTTGATGCTATTGTGGGCGACCTGGATGAAGACATGGGTGATGCACCAACCCCTGACCCTTCGGCCGTGAATCTTGAGGTCGCAGCGGGTGGCAAGATCACGGCGCGGAAGGAAGATGGCACGCGTGTTCCAACCCCATCTCAGGGCAGCACCAGCAGCGGCAGCGGCAACGCGAACCTTGCTCAGCGTTCAAGTCTTCTTGCCAACGCGCTGATGAACTCGCCGTCGCCGTCCTCTCCTTCCCGCTCCATGTCCTATGCTGCTGCAATCCAGTCCGTGCCGCAAGACTGGCATCTGGAGTTCAGCCACCAGGGCAAGGTCTTGACCAATGATACGACGGTATACCGCGCAGTTCAGAAACCGGCGATAGATTCAAATGACTACTCAAGCCGGAATGTTTGGATCTTGACACACGAGATCAAAATCCGGCGTGTGCCCGGGCCCCCGTCGGCCGAGAGACTGTCGTTTGGCGGTTCGGCTTCCAGCGAGGAGAGCGAGAACGGGGAGGGCAACAGCCCAGCCTCGTTAGCCAAGCACCCTAGTACTGCGTCCATCCTTCGCCTGCTGAAGATCCTGCACAACCTAAATGCGAACATTGACGACGTGCTTGTGGAAAACAAGGCTACTCTCAAGCTGAATATTGAACCCCTGTCACAGTTCGTCAATACCAAGCTGACATCGAAGCTGAACCGGCAGCTTGAAGAGCCTCTGATCGTCGCCAGCAACTGCCTACCAAGTTGGAGCGAAGACCTGGCGCGACTGTATCCTTTCCTCTTCCCCTTCGAGACACGCCACTTGTTCCTCCAGTCGACCTCATTTGGTTACGCTCGTTCCATGAACCGATGGCAGAATGCTCAGTCACAGGAAGAGTTGAGGCGTAACCGGGACGACCGACCATTCCTTGGTCGCCTGCAGCGACAGAAGGTGCGCATCTCACGGGCCAAGATCCTCGAGTCGGCCTTGAAGGTTATGGATCTATATGGAAGCTCGCAGAGCATCCTGGAGGTGGAGTACTTTGAGGAAGTCGGTACCGGTCTCGGCCCAACGTTGGAGTTCTACTCGACGGTCTCCAAGGAATTTGCCATGAAGAAGCTCAGGCTTTGGAGAGATGCGGACCAGAATGAGTCCGATGAGTATGTCTCTGGACCGACTGGCCTGTTTCCACGGCCGTTGAGCGAAGATGACGTGTCCACGCCGAATGGCGAACGCATCCTGCAGCTTTTCAGGACACTTGGCAAGTTCACAGCTCGCTCGATGATTGATTCCCGAATCATCGATATCAATTTCAACCCCATCTTTTTCCGCATTGGCGATGAGACATCGGGCATCAAGCCTTCCCTTGGAGCCATGAAACTTGTGGACCCAGTCCTGGCCAGGTCCTTGGTTCTGGTGAAGAAGTTCGCTCTGGCCAAGAAGACAATTGCCGAGGATCCCAACAGGGACGCCACACAGAAGGTCAATGACATCCAGAACATCACCGTGGACAACGGAGTGCGGGTCGAAGACTTGTCACTCGACTTCACCCTCCCCGGCTACCCGGAGATTGACCTGGTACCCAACGGCTCGCAAATCATGTTGACCATTGACAACGTGGACAATTATCTGGAGCGAGTCATTGACATGACACTGGGAAGCGGAGTCCGCCATCAGGTTGATGCTTTCCGTACAGGCTTTTCTCAAGTCTTCCCGTACAGCGCCCTTAGAGCCTTCACGCCTGATGAGCTTTGCACTCTGTTCGGCCGCACTGAGGAGGATTGGTCCCTTCCTAGTAAGATCAACCCGTCCCATATGCACGAGAAGATGAAACTGACAGCATCCACAGCTCTCATGGACTCAATCAAGGCAGACCACGGCTTCAACATGGACAGCAAGAGTGTCAGGAACCTGCTGCAAACCATGAATGAGATGACACCAGTCCAGCGACGGGAGTTCTTGCAGTTTACAACTGGAAGTCCCAAACTTCCCATTGGAGGTAAGGATCTAAAACGGGTCGTGAAGCTTAGGGACTGTTCTAACGGTGACGCAGGATTCAAGAGTCTGACACCAATGTTCACCGTCGTCTGCAAGCCGGCAGAGGCGCCGTACACCTCGGATGACTACCTCCCTAGTGTCATGACCTGCGCCAACTATCTCAAGCTCCCCGATTACACCGATGTCAAGATTCTGCAGAAGCGTCTTTTCACCGCGACCAAGGAGGGACAGGGCGCATTCCACCTTTCGTAATATGTCATGGCTGAGGGTGGACTTATTGCTCTTTCCATCAGTCGATCCGCAACGTTGCAGCGGAGTTATGCCTTCGACTTCTATACCCACATCAGTTCACCGTCTCCACTTGCTAGGATTTTGAGGGCGTCTCTTTTTCTTTCCTTGTTTTTTTTTTTGGGAGGGGGTTGGGGGGCGGACCAACAGCACCAATCGATTAGCCGACCAATCAGGAGGGAAGGGTACTAAAAGGGACAAAATGGATTGCATGGAAAGGAAGGAGCCTCGAGCGGCTCTCATGTCTAGTTTTCTGTAGTTTTCATGGTCGACGAAAGGGAGGGAGGGAGCGAGCACGTCAACTCTTAGAGGATGGACAAGGAGGCGTAATCCCAGATAGATTGGTAAACTCATTACACACTCTTGTTAGACCACTGCAAGATTGAAAGCGTCCAAGCGACTCCTGGCATACCCACCGGGAACTCCTTAGTTTGCTCTCCCAATTCTCTCCATTGGTTGGTTTGATTCAAGCAGCCCCGGGCGCACTTGGATGTGATGACATAAGCGGGGCTGATGTCATCTTGTTTGATTGACCCCAGCTCGACGCGTCCCGTAATAAGAGCTGTCGCGTCTGAGACCTCGACGGGCCTGACCCGCGCTAAGTGGAAGTGACCCACCTGCCGCAATGGGTGTATACCTGGGTGGGCAGGGGCACAAGGGGCACTCCTGACCTTGTCATGACTGCCTGGCAGCCTGGACGACGAGGACCACGACTGTCAGGACTCGAATGAGACAGCATCCTTGAGGGGGCAATTTCGTGGCCAAACCCGCTCGGCCTCTGATGTTTCCGAATCAGGGTCCTACACAAACACGACCCATTCTCTCACGCCCAGCTGCCCTGCACCGTCACCTCGCCACCCTGGCGTAGTGGCCATGGCGCCTCAGACGCGCTCTCGCAAATCAGGCGGCGCTGCACAAACGTCCATGGACGACCTGGTGACCCAAACGTCTGCGGAGGCGTCGTCCAAGTCAGCGAAGCCCAAGAAACCCAAAGCACACCACATCTCCGAACCAGCCCACAGGCAACTTTATTTTCCTGCCCGTAGCACGACAATTCGCACATACGGCAAGGGCAAGGCTCGTCGAAGCCTACCCGCAAAACCCCCAGATCAGTCGACCTTGACGCAGATTGGCTGGATACCGAGCACTTACCAGGACGACGAAGATGACATGGAGGGGTTGAGCGATCTGATCACGGACGACGAGGATGACGATGCACAGAAGCCCAAGGGCAAGGGAACCGCCAGAAGAGGCACCAAGAGGAGGAGGACCACGGGTGGCCTGGATGCGATGCCCAACCCCACAGCCGGCTCCAGTTTTCACACTCAGACCTTGACCCAGATGCCGTCGTTCACGTCTGGTCAACAGCCGGATGACGAGGAGCCGGATGAAGACTTCAGATTCGACGACCACAATGACGGCCACAAGGTCACGGCTAGAATGGCAGACGAGGACAGGAAGTTGGGAGCTTCATTGCTGCTCCAGGATGGAGAGGAGAGAGCAACACCCTCGCCGCAGAAAGCCGCCTCATCCCCTCCACATGGCCCAACAACATCGCAGGCTACTCAGACACCACGCAAACAAATCATTGAACGAGCAGTGATTCCCTCGTCGCAACCGTCTCCTTTCACTCCTAACCTAGGGATCTCGGAACGGTATTGGTCGCAGTTGGACCGGACGCCCTTGAAGGAGAAGTCGACAAATGTGGATGCCCCGACACCAAGTGTAAGCAGAAAGAGACCTCGGACGTTGGAAATTGCGGATTCGTGGAGCACTGTCAATGGCGGCATGAGCTCGAGTCCTTCCAAGGGTCAAGTCCGGAGAGATCCCTTGAAAGAGATAAGCCTGCACGATGTCGCGGAAAGGAGCATCATCTTAGGAGAGAGTCCTGTTCATGATGATGGCCAGACTATCACGGAGGAGGTTAATGAGCCTGAGGCGGATTCGGAATCACGGGGCGAGCCAAGGGAGGACAAGTTAACGCGCTCAGTAGGAGACATTATATCTGATTCCGAGGATGACTATGATTTCGGGCTCGAGGATGTCGACGGAGCCAGCGACGAAACTCCTGGGACACCCACACCAGCAGCCCGAGTACACACTCAGAAGAACACGGGAATCCTGGTCCAGGAGACTGGGGTGATCGTGAAGTCCCCACCGAAGCCCTGCACATTGTCTCCCGAACGGCGTGCCACCCAACAAGATTCTACGCCAGTCCCTGCATCGGAGGAGGTCGAACCCGAGCCTGAGACGCCTAGCCCTTCACCGCTGAGAGGCGCCAGTATCTCCAGTGCAGTCGAGGCTGGCACGGGCACACCCCTGTCCTCACCGCAGAAGACATCGCCTGCTCTGCCGCCACCACCCCAGCGGATTGAGTCCAGCCGCAGGCCACAGGCCCCGTTGGCTATATCGCACTCGCAGAAGGTATCGCCAGCTGTACCGGTTTCTCAACTTGGATTCAGGTACAAGTCGCAGGCTTTCGAGTCACAACGTGTCCCATTTGAGCGAATACAACGGCTGGGAGCACAGACAGACCGCTCCGACATTATTATCTCGATCCACCCGGACCAGGTTGAGCAGATTGTCGAAGGCCAAAAGACCCATGAATTTCGCAACTATCGAATCCCGCAGACTGTTGGGCGAATCTGGATTTATGTCACGCGGCCAGCCTGCGCCCTTAAATACATGGCGACAATCAGCGTCGCCAAACAGCCTGGGGAGATCTCCCACGAGGATCCAGGCATCGGCAACGTCGAATTCAATGAGGGCAAAGGGTCGCAATTTGCGTATGAGCTGAAACAGGTTTACGAGCTCAATAACCCAGTCTCTTTGGCCAAGATGAAGGAAAATGGCTGGGTGGAAGAGGCACCGGCCAAATATGTATACATACCACTTGCGGTGCTGGGAGAGTTGATGGCAAATCTCAGGCGCGCCATATTTGTGGAGCCGGGAGAGTCACAGTCAAGCCAGGTCGGAATGACAGAATCACAGGAGGTGGACATGCAGCTGCGAAGTGATATTGCGCACTCGACGCAAGTGGGCTATGCGGGATCTTCACCGCCGCAAAGCCAGAGGTGCGAGGCGCGAGGCAATGCCCATACCGTCCCCTCCAGCCAGAGCAACGGCAACGAGGAGCTTAACAGCAGCCCGCCGCACCCGAGCGTCGCCGCGAAGAACAAGGAGCCGGTCTTTGCTAAGCCCACCGTACCGGCGAGCCGGTCGCAAAGAAGCGTTCACTGGGCCGGGAATAGCCCCGTGGAAGGGCGGGCACAGCCAGCCTCACAGCGAGGGGAAGGCTATACCTTGCGCCCGTCCCAGGCCACGACGGCCAGCGCGCCGTCCAGTCCATCGCAGCGGCTGCCTTCCTACCGTGGGCAGCCCATCTTGATCTCATCGCAGAGCCAGCCGTCCATACCCGTCTCGCCGCCCACAGAGGCCGCGCCCTCCGGGCCGCTGCGGATTGCCCGCGGGTCTAGCGGACTCGTTTCGGAGATTGGGAATTTGGGAGAGGACGATGCTATCGTGGGCGACAGTCCCGTGCGGGGGCACAAGACTGGCACTCAAAACTCGTCTGCCCTGCTCGAGTCCTCCCAGAGAGCCCTTGCGTTGGAGAGCGGGGAGCCGGACAGCCTGCTGGACGACTCGCGGGTGAGACAGCCACCCGACATCGTGTGGGACTCGGATGGTGAGATTGAATGATTTTATGTGTGCCGGTTTTCATGGTTGCTTAGCAGTGTAGCGGACATTCTACCGAAAGTGGGGGCGTCAGGCATATGGGCAGGTTGGTGCTGTGCTAGTCAAGGTATAGGGGGGCGAGGTCGGCGTGCTGCTTTGCTCTCCATCAGTGCTTGGGCGGATTCATGGGGGAGCGACTTGAGACGGCAGATTTGACTTGTGTGGATGGATACACACGACATGGACTATCAAGGGTGGAACGGAAAGGCATTCGATGGTGCTGGGCGATCTTTCCGACCCTTCTTGTGACGGCACACGCAAATCTAAAGCAGACAGCGGGTTGTGAATACAGAAGAAAGACGGCGTGTCGTCTTGTATCTTTTACATCGTGTACACCTGAGAAACCTGTGTCGGATTTGCTGTGTAGTCTACAAGTGGTGATGCACATCCACGGCTAAAGCGGCATTGTATCCCGCTGGTTTGATAGGCCCACACGAGGTCATCCTGTATGCGGTTGTCCTGTTTATTAACCTAGAAGATGTGACCACGCAGGCAGTCGGTCTTCCTGAGCGACGTGTTGGCTGAGACGTGAGTTGACATGCCTCGTCAATTCTTACTGATGGGGCAGTCACATCGTGACAGGTCAAGGTAATGTTGGGCGGAAGGCCAGCCAGAATGACGGCAGTGTGAGCGCAAGACGGCAAGACGGGTCTTGGCCTGGACACATTAAGAGACCATCCCCACAAAAAGCAGGCTGACGGGGGATGCAGGGCTGCGAGACCGTAGGAAAACAAGTTCACGCCCCTCCTAGGAGAGGCCCCTTTAGCCATGCCCCACCAATTGCAGCGAGTTGCACGGCCTGGGCTTTGATTGACTGTACCGCAGTACACATCCGCATTGGAGATGTGACCCCAGCGGGTTCTGGTTTCACGCACGCGGGTATGACCTCATCTCACTGCTCCACCCAGCCTCCCGGCCCGATCGATACTGACAGGGACGGACGGGACGCGGGAGGACCATATGACGACTGTTTGTTCCCCTTGTGGGCAGTAGGTAAATATGGCACACCCGCACCCAGGCCACTTATTATTCGTAGCTGGACTCGAGACGATTCGACCCATCAACTGCCAGACTGCACACTAGTGTTTTAATTCCCTAGTTGCATGCTTGCCGTTCGACCTCCTCCTTCAGGCCGGACCAGGGCTTCGACTTAAACAAAGTTCGTTTGCTGCGTCTACTGCGTCTACTGCGTCTACTGCCCCTGCTGCACATTTGTGTCAACCCGCACCCTTGCAGCTCTGGACGACTCGCCAGCATGGCTGAACAGCCACAGGACTTCGACGAGCAGCAGTCACGGAGATCGCACGTGGGGCCTCACTCAGGCGGCCACCCCATTCCTACCATCCAGGGCTACAGACAGCACAGGAAGGACCTAAACGACCGGCAACAGCAGACAGAGGCAGCACAGGAGGGTCCCGAGGACGAGTCCAAGCCAAAGAGGGCATTCGAGTCTGTCAAGACCATCTTCAAGGGCGAGGATGATCGCGCAGGGAGCCATGAGCCTTACTCTGCCACAAATCGCCATTATGTCGTGCCCCCAGGCCAGGATCACCAGGGCCAGCTGTCCCAGTTGCAAGAGCAGGAGCAGGAACGCGGGATCGAGCAGGGACAGCGACACGAGCAGCCACCACGTGACGACCAAGGTGTAGATACCAGTCAGTCTGACGAGACGAACGAGCAAGACGGCCACCAGTCACAGGCTCCACAGCAGCAGCAACAGCAGCAGTCACAAAGGAGGACTGGAGGTGGAGGAGATTCACAAGAAAAGACCGCCACCGAGCAGGTAGCCAGCTCTGCAGACCCCAAGGAGAAGCGAAAGGCTATGAAGAAGAGCAAACGCCAGACCGGAGGCCGCGAGGTGACTGATCCAGTCACCCATCTACCCATCATCATCCACGACCAGACTGACAAGGACCTGAAGTCTGTGCCCGAGAACGAACCCGAGCCAGGCGAGCACCACACCACCGCCACGGGCCCACAGGGAGCCTCCAAGACGGACGAGGAGCTCCAAAAGGAACGTGATATGGTTCAGAGGGGCCACAACGGTATCCAGAAGCTCTTCCCGCCGCCCAAGTTCGCCGACCTCAAGGAAGAGCTGGCCTCGGCATACCAGTCCACCCTAAGGGCGGGCCTTTCGGTCATCGGCGTCGCCGCAGCTCTCCCGTTCCTGGCATCATCACTTCAGGGCCATCTGATGCCGCACTGGTCGACGCTGCTCACCGTGCTGGGTTTTCTCTCCGTCACCCTCGGCACAGCCTGGGGCATGGGCGAGTGGATCTCCAAGAAGGTTGATGAGATTGTTGATGACGAGACGTGGGATGCCTCGAGGAGGGAGGAGGAGGCCATGGTTGACTCCGACGCGGAGCTCCCAGAGTCGGTGCAGTGGCTTAATAGTTTTGTGGCTTCGATATGGCCGCTCGTGAATCCGGATTTGTTCTCCTCCTTGATCGATATGGTGGAAGACATTATGCAGGCATCTCTTCCAAAGGTCGTCAAGATGGTCTCTGTCGATGACATGGGCCAAGGCAACCAGTCTCTGCGGATCTTGGGAATCCGCTGGCTACCTTCTGGTGCAGCGAGCCGCACTGTCGGGCCCAATGGGAAGCTTGAAAAGGTCGAAAAGAACAAGACGAGCGACCGCACAGACCCGGAGGCTGGCCAAGAAAACGCCCGTGACGAGACATTTAATCAGAAAAAGGACGGCGATGATGATAGTAACAAGACCAAGGAGGAGGAACAGTCCGAGGCTGCGATGCGCGAGGGAATGGAGGCCGAGGAAGGCGACTTTATCAACCTGGAGCTTGCAGTCGCCTACCGTAGCCGGGCCACTGGCAAGTCTATCAGGGCGAAGGCCAAGAACGCACATCTATTCTTGAAATTCTATTCGGTTGGAGGTATCGCACTTCCGGTCTGGGTCGAGGTTAGGGGCTTCATTGCAACTCTTCGCCTGCGACTACAACTCACCGTAAGTACTTCGAACCAGAACTAGGAGCCCAAATTTGCTTCCCTCTGTAGCTAACGTCTATCCAGCCCGATCCGCCCTTTGTCAGCCTTTGTACCCTGACCTTCTTGGGGCAACCCAAGGCATCCTTGTCATGCGTTCCTCTGTCGAAGCATGGGCTCAATTTGATGGACGTACCGATGTTGTCATCTTTCGTCCAGTCTGCCATCGATGCCGCTCTAGCTGAATATGTTGCGCCTAAGAGCCTGACCCTGAACCTCAAGGACATGCTTGTGGGCGAGGACTTCAAGAAGAATACCACCAGCCACGGCGTTGTATTCATCTTGATCAAGCGAGCTCGTGGGTTCAAGCAGGGTGACGGTGGAATTGGATCCTCGGGGGGCTCAAGTGACGCCTATGTCACCGTAGGCTGGGGTAAATTCGGCAAGACGGTGGCTTCAACACGAATTATTGAGAGCACGCAAGAGCCCGACTGGCACGAATACGCGAACATATTGGTGTCGTCAGAGGAGCTGAATGCTGAGGAGAAGCTGCGATTGACGCTCTGGGATTCGGATAAACATACTGCAGACGACGACCTTGGCCGGGTCGAGGTCGACCTCAAGAAGTTGATGAACGCCCGCGAGAGCTATAATCAGATGCAGGACCGAGAGGACCGATTCACAGGCCAAGATCCCGACGAGAAAATGCCCGGCACGCTGCAGTGGTCTGTCGGGTATTTCTCCAAGGTCAGGATTCTGCAGCAGCAGCTCGAACAGCAAACTGTTCTCGAGAACATCCGCAGCCAGGAGCAGCTCAAGGAGCATGTCTCTGAGGAGTCTGCCAACAAGCTCAGGGAGGCCGGAAAGGCACCGGATGATGAGGAGCTCCATCAGCAGCGTGTCCAGGACTATGCTGAGCTCGAGGATAACATGATAATTTCTGCGCCGCCACCGCAGGAGTTCCCCTCTGGTATCCTGAGCGTGCAGGTCCACAACATCACTGGCTTGGAGGTCCAAAAGCTGCGTAAGCGGGACAGCAAAAACGGCGATTCAGATATCGAAGAAGAAACGGAGACGGGTGACGATATGCCCGATAGCTACTGCAACATTATCTTGAACCACAAGAAGATCTACCGGACCCGCACGAAGCCGAAGAACTCTAAGCCGTTCTTCAACGCCGGCACAGAGAGGTTTGTTCGAGACTGGCGAACCTGTGAGGTCATCGTTGCGGTTCGTGATGCCCGCGCACGCGAAGATGACCCCCTTATCGGCATAGTATACCTGCCGATTGGAAAGGTTCTCAAGAACAGGAGTCAATTGATGTCAATGTTCCCCTTGGTCGGCGGTATTGGCTTCGGACGAGCTCGTATCTCGATTGTCTGGCGAAGTGTCGAGCTGAAGCTTCCCCCGACTCTGCTGGGCTGGGACTACGGAACAGTTGAGATCCGAGGACCGGTGCGGGCCAAGGGACAGCTTCCAGAGAAATTCACCAAGAGCCGGATAAAGATCCGTAGCGATCTTGGCAGGATAAAGATGTACCCGAACGACAACCAGGGAGAATGGCTTCTGAAAGGAAGGGACAGCAGAAACCAGAGTGCATTCCTACCTGTGCGGAAGCGTTACAGCTCCTCGCTTGTTCTCGAATTCCGCGAGTCGACGCTCGGGCCGGACAAGTCACCTGCTTTCGCAGTCATGTGGCTGCGTGACCTTGTTGACGAGGAGAGCGAGACAAAGGTGCTGAAGGTATGGAAAGGCGGCAAGGGCCAGATAGCCAGGGCCCAGTCGAATTGTGACTATAACGGTATCGAGGAAGGTGAGCAGCCGCTTGGTGAGGTAGAGATGGAGCTCAAGTTCTGGCGAGGGCTCTCCGGGTATCACAAGCGGTTCGCCGCGTCATCGAGGAGAGGAAACATGAAGCAGGTGATGGAATGCCTGGATACCATAACAGACGAGAGCCTAATCAGAGACGAGGACGAAGTGGAAGATGACGAAGATGATTACTCGAGCTCGGAAAACTCCCGCAGCAGCGAGGACAAGGCGGCCAAGAAGAGACTGAAGGTCCACACGAACGACGACTCCTCGGCGGCCGAGGACACAGGCTCGGACACAGACGGTGAGGGGAACAAGCAGAGGACCAACTCTGACTTCTCGCTGGGCAAAGTGCGCAAGACGCCCAAGAAGATCCTGCGCAACCCGGTCGAGGGCGTGACCTCAACAGCGGCGGCGATCATCGCTCCTGGCCACAACGACCCTGACGACGGCTCCCGCGGCCTGCGTAACCAGCTGCGAGACTACAAGGACCACCACAAGCAGCTGCACCGCAAGCACCGTGGCATCATGCAGTGGCGTGTGGCCAGGGAGGCAGACCACCTCGGCAGCAAGCTTAGCGACCTCAAGGGGAACGTCAGTGGGCTTTTCAAGCATAGCGAGAAGGGCGAGGGGGTTGAAACAGAGGTGTGAAATCGAGACTGCACGACTTCGCTCAAGGGATGTAGAGTCAACAATGATGAGAAGATATATGGTGGGCTCGGGATACAAGACGCGGATAGGGCGGACACTGGAGAGGTGATTGATTATGAAGCGGGAATAACAAGCGCAAATGGTTGCAGCTACATAGTCCTAGAATGGACGGCTGGTCGGAAAATACCACGCTCAATGTGTCAATCAGACTCGTAGGGTTGTGTCTCTTGGGACAGAACGGATGTCCGATCCACCAGGGACATCTGGAACGCAGCATACGATAGCCTTCTGTCAAACATCTGCTGTGAATGTTCTGTCGCGGGCTCAAGCTGTGCAATACAATCGATCCTAGGTGGCCTGCATTCTTTTTCCAAGTCTTCTTAAGGTTGTTAGATCAGACGGGCTAGGCTAGAGCAGGGCCCTCTCGCCCTCTCTTGGTCTTCACATCTATGCCATCCAAATCTCAGTACTTTCAACTGTGTCTCTACGCTTAGAACCCCTGAAGCCCCAGGATTGGTTATATAGCCATTCGACGAGCCACATGCTCGACTTTACAGGATGTCGGACGTAGTCAAGCAGACAGTGTGATGCCAGCCACCAATCCGAAGATCGGCACGTTGTCGCATTTTCAACGGTTCTTTATATACGACTTGCTCCATTTGGCCTAGCGACGCGGTTGTGGCAGCGGGCACTACCCAATTCCTGCTGCCCGTTGAGCACGTTTCTATCCGTCGCTGGAACCATTGTATGACTTTAATTGCCGATACAGCCCTCACCCACCCACCAGAAGGCAAAATATTACGTGCGACCATTTGGGAGGGCTTGTCTCCGGTGTCCCCGACTTATCATCGGCATATGCTCTCCGGCAAGGGGGTCGGTCTTAAGCACACGCCATGGGTTGGAATGGAGATGAGGTTCAAAAGATGGCTTATCGTCAGCACCCTCAAGGGAGCCGTCAGGCGAGGGAGGACCCTGGTATTAATAGATCACACCGGCTCTCAAAGCACGCTCTCGGGGCGATCGACAAGAAAATCATGGCTTTTTTCGCTTTTGCTGGGTTTCTCTGGCTCATTGCTCCCTCGTTACAGGCAGTTTTGCCAGTGAGATATGTGAGCCCCAATAGCGGCGATCTATATGGTCCGCTGAGGTTCCGGGAGGATGGCACGTTCCAAATATCCATCTTTGAGGATCTTCACTTTGGCGAGAGTAAGTAGCTTGCCATTCAAAGGCCTGACGATTTACATTACTGTCTGGATTATAGGACTGACCACCGTAGATGCATGGGATTCATGGGGCCCTCAGCAAGATATCAACTCTGTGAGGGTCATGAATCATATTCTAGACATTGAGTCCCCGGGACTTGTAGTCTTAAATGGCGACTTGATCACCGGCGAGAACACCTTCAAAGAGAACAGCACAACATACATCGACCAAATCGTTGGCCCTCTTGTTGAGCGCAACTTGACCTGGGCTTCTACATACGGCAACCACGACAGTGACTTCAACATCACGCGCGAAGGTATTTTATCCCGGGAAAAGCTGTGGCCCAACTCACGCACAACTAGTATGGTCCCAGACCCCAACTCTGGTGTCACCAACTACTACCTCCCAGTATATCCGGCCAACTGCAGTCTCGCCTCAGCAGCCGCAGCGCAGTGCGCACCGGGCCTGATCCTCTGGTTCTTCGACAGCCGCGGTGGCCACCTATACCAGGAGCTCGACGCTGACGGCAACATGGTCGGCATGCAGAACTGGGTGGACACAAGCGTGGTCAACTGGTTCCAGCAGACGAATGCGCAGCTCACACAGCGCCACGGGGGAGTCATCCCGTCGTTGGCGTTTGTGCACATCCCCACAAATGCGTCACAGGCGATCCAGACCGAGGCTGGCGTGGATCCGAGCCTCCAGCCAGGCATAAATGATGATTATATACTGGCGGCGCAGGGCCAAGGCTGGTGTGCTGATGGAATCACTAATGATGGCTCGTGTGACTATGGTGGCCAGGATGTCCCTTTTATGCAGGCTATCACCACGACCAAGGGATTGATGGCGGTGTTTTCTGGGCATGATCATGGTGAGCTGCAGTATTGCTGATTGCTCTAGTGCACAATCCCCTAGTTCTCGGAATTCCAGCTGACGGTGTGGTTCTCCTCCAGGCGACACGTGGTGCTACAAATGGGAGGGTGTATGGCCCGGCATGACTGTTGCTGGAAACGGACTGAACCTGTGCTTCGGACAGCACTCAGGCTACGGTGGATACGGGAACTGGATCCGAGGCTCACGCCAGGTCCTCGTGTCGCAAGAGCAGCTCACGACTCTGGCTTTCGACACGTGGATCCGAACTGAGGCTGGAGGCGTCGTTGGAGCAGTATCCCTCAACTCGACTTACGGGGCGGACTCATACCCAGCGACGCCAAATGACAAGACATATTGTCCGACCTGTGACTATTCATGATTATATAGCTGGTTGTAGGGGATCGAATAGACTCTATCTCAACATACTTGTATGCTAGAAGTCAACATCGACCAAACTGCCTTCGAAAAGTGGCTCCTACACGCAGGGCCGTAAACTTGATCAAACTGAACGCCAATTGAATTACCACGCAACATCACTCACTTTCATGCGGTATGCAAGCAGCAGTCGGGTGGCACACTCGGTGCGCCTCACCTTGCACACGCAGAAGAGTGGGCGGTCAAGTAACCCGTGGACGTCGAAGCCCGGCCCGGCAAGCCCGGACCTAGTCAGGTGCGGCCCTATATAGTATGCATTAATTACTTGCCACGGACCTTCAACCTGGTATATGTCATCTGTGTTTCTTTTTCCAAGTACATAAAAAGTTGGACAAGGACTCAGCGAATGTGACAGCGGTCTTTTGATGCTTCTTGAGGATGTCGATGCTGTTCTGTGCGGCCGCAGCCTTTGAGTGGTGGAAGCTGGGATTCATTCTTTCACTGGTTTCGCTTCTATTCCGTGTACGTCCGAGGACATATGGATTCATTGTTTAGCTGAAATTTGCTTGTGGACTGAGAGAAATCCTTCTTGCTTAGGATATTTGACCACCCAATAAGAATATGATGTGTGATACCAGGGGAAATGTTGTGAGATGATGGAGGGTTATTGCGACCCGAATGGTGAGAAGGACTCCTATGGTAGTGAGGCATACGTAGTTCTTCATAATTTTGTCTGTATTTCTACTTTTCCTAGAGCATGGTCAAACAGTCAGCATCCCTGCAAATTGCCTGAAATTATAGTGCACACACACATACGGTGTGTCTGGCCCCTAGGCCTAAGTCTAATGAGGCGCTTTGGGTGAGTCAACCGCCGGCCAGCAATAAAGAACAGAAACCCGGGAGCTTCAGAATGTGTGAAAGCCCATCTGCTCAGTGCTTGGACCTCACTGTATGTTTGGGTCACACCGCCATCCAAGGCGAGTGAGATGTATTTGACTGGTCGCAAATCACAGGGTCTTTTTCTTTGTTGCTGCGAAAACAGCTGCTCGTTTGCCAAGAGCCGGGGTTTCACCGACTAGGCTAGGTTAGCCAGCATACTCAACAGCTCAGTCAACGCGAGAGCTTCCTTTCTTTTCTTGGTGCTAATGAGACGTCAGTCGTAAACAAGTGGCCAGAAGCGTGATGTACGGTGGTGATCGTAGCCAAGCGGACTTGATCCAGGCGACCGCATGTATCGCACTCTGTAGTCACTGATATCGAAGAGATCGAGTCTATTGCACAATGTCAAGCACTATTGACAGGGGACTAAGGAAGGGAAAGTGGTTGAAGAGTCGGAGCCCGATATTTGCTTGCCTCATCGGTCCGTTGCTGGGACTATCATTCTGGGTAAACACCCAGAGTCCGCACAGCAAGAACGAGGAGAAATATTAGAGCAAGAAAGGGGGCCCGCAAGCGAGGCACGTGCATAGTCGTACAGATCCGTCACCGTCTGCCTCAATTTCATTCAGTCCTTGCGGTTCTCCATCCCGTGTAGCTACCCCCGAGCCTCGGTATCATGAGTTTTCCGGTTCATTGCTCATCAGTATATCCTGTACAGAAGAAAAAGAAATGTCGGTGTTTTCGTCGCGAATTGGATGGCACATCATGCGTAGCCGTATTCTGACTTTGTGGGAGTGGCAAAGTCCTCAAAGTATGGGTGATTGCAGGCGGCCTTGGCGGAGATCCGGCCTGCTGGGTCGTAGACAAGCATCATCTCCAGCAAATCCAGGCCATGACGGTCCAGATTCTGGCAGAGAGGTTGGCTGAAGTCACGGTTCCACTTGGGGAAGGACGACTTGAAGTCAGGGTAGCTGGTCACACCGGGCCAGACCTCCTCCGTGGGTGTGCCAAGAATTCTGTAGATACCGTCAGTAAAGTTGAGACAGGGATGGAAGCAGCGAACATGCTCACCTGAAGATCTTGAAGATCTCGTCGATTTCGGAGTCGCCTGGGAACAAAGCTTTGCGCGTGCACATTTCGGCGAAGATGCAACCGACGGACCACATGTCCACGCCTGTGGAGTACTGTCGACCTCCCAACAGGATCTCCGGGGCTCGGTACCACAGAGTTACGACTTCGTGAGTGTACGTCCTAAGAGGAACTCCAAAGGCCCTAGCCAGACCGAAATCCGCCAGCTTCAGGTTGCCCTCGCGGTCGATGAGCAGGTTCTGGGGCTTCAGGTCGCGATGCAGCACGCGGTGCGAGTGGCAGAACCGTATGCCGTCGCACAGTTGCTTCATAAACTTCTTGATGATGGCCGATCCCAGCCCCAGCTGGGCCAGCTCGCCGCTTGTGCCCTCAGGGAGCGCCCTGCCTCGACCTCCATCCGACACCGGCAAGGCCTCCATGTATTTCTTGAGGTCAAGGTCGAGGAATTCGAAGACGAGGTAGAGCTTGTGGCTGTCGGCGTGCACGATGTTGAACAGACGGACAATGTTGGGGTCACGCATCTCCTTGAGCAGGGAGATTTCTCGGATGGCCGTGGAAGGAACACCCTCATCCTCGGCTTCGAGTCTGATCTTCTTCAATGCGACGATTCGGTTGTCATGGAGAAGATCACGGGCCTTGTAGACCACACCGTATGTTCCTGAGAGACAAGCAAAGGTCAGCGACCTAGGTATGGGCATTCGGCACTTGGGGGGTGAAAAGGGGCAAGGTATGTCACTTACCCTCCCCAATCTTCTCCAACTTCTGGTAATTCTCCATGTTGCTTCCTTGGTTCCTGCCGCGGATGGTCAGTCATGCAGGAACAATTCAAAAACACAAAGGACAAGTACATGGTGGCTGTCGAGTCACGCAGAGTGCGTGATCAGTCGAATCTGGCAGAGAGAGACAGGTCGACTCGCAGACGGGTTAAACTGCTGGATCTTCCTATTCCACTTGGGTGTCTCGTACGCTCAAAAGAGAACGGGGTCTTCTGCAGATTGTGACAGTCGAGAGCGGCACACCAAGCCAGGCTGGATTCTACTCGTCGCTGCTGAAGCTAGCTGGAGTGTTTGCCACAATGTGTGGCTGCCAGGCTGCCAGGCGGGACCGAGAAAAGTTTCCAGTGCTGCATGCAGGCATGCAGGTATTCTAGGACACAATGCGCAGGGCGACGACTCGAGTGGTGCGAAGAAAAGGTGTTGGCTTTGTACCTTGAGGTCTGGTCGAGCGGGCGGGCAGGTGGCAGGTGGCAGGTGGCAGGTGTGCAAGTACGCTGTTCAAAATGCCAATCGAGAGGACGATCGACGGTGCGAACAGACGCTCGAGACACAAGGGCCACTGTCGTGCGGTGGCTGCTGCTGCAACGATAGGGGCCGTCTGCAGTTGAGGCAGAGGGGTCGAAGGCGAGGGACTGGCGGTGGGATGGAATGTTTGGTCGGGGACGCGGTTCTAGGTTTACTTTTGGCTGGCCGACGCGTCGCCCATTGGAAGCCAGCCATTGGGGCAGTTGGGGTTGGCTAGCCGGGCCTTGTTTTGGGTGACTGCAAGGTTTCTAGGGTGATGATGGTGGGGTTGCTCAGGCCTAGCCGCGCCTACACAGCAACCTAGCAGCTGCTTAGGTACCTAGGTATGCAAGACAGTTGATAACAGTGGGACAAGGGTCCACGGGCTCGCTCAAGAACCCTAACCCACCCAGGCACGCCAATCAGTCTTCTGAGGGTGAAGGCTGCCACAACCGCACAGACGACAGATTTGATCGCACTGTCAACTCGAAGAAGCTTATAATCTCTTGGTCAACCCCATATATTATCTTTTTGAGCACGTGTATACGGATAAAGCCCCTGAGAAGCCGGGTGGCTGACAAGTGTTTGAAGTGATTGACCAGCAATCAAAGGACCGGCCTTCAGGGTGAAATACTAGATGTTGTTGAATATTCAATAAGCTGTGAGTGTGAAGCCGTGGAGGGCGACCAATAGCAATATGACCCTGGACCTCACCACCTTGGATGCTCATGAGCAGCCCTCTATTTATATGAGGAAGAAATGGAAGGGCTACACCCGAGGAGACGGCACTGAAACCCTCAACCGAGGCGACGTCGACGATCTGTCTGTGCCGGAGAAGCTTGCAGAGTTCCAAAAAGCAGGCACGATACCCGCAGAAAAGATTCGGGATGCGCTTGCCCGCCTAGATGAACATGACCCGTCTATCGCTGAAGTCAAGGAAGACGCCATCATCTACCATCACCCCCTGATTCCAGGTGAGTTCGGTGGCTCTCGACGGACGGTGGCTTGTTGCTGAGTTTTCTGACCGATATTCAGGACTGCTGATCGTACCGTCGCTTCTACCACCCACCATCCAGCAGACCCTGCTGTCTCGTCTTATTCACCGGGACCTGGGCATGCCTCATCACCAGACTAACATGCACCTGCACTACGACATCCCTTATCCTGAAAAGAGTGCTGTTACCAACCAGCCGCAGTCCTTTTTCACGTATGCGCCAGAATCAGAAACCGTCTTCGTCCCCAAGGACCCCTCAGTGCACAAGACTCTGTCTATGAAGCAGGTCTTGGAACGGAAACTACACTGGGTCACGCTGGGCGGTCAGTATGACTGGACAAACCGGGTCTACCCGGGTGAACAACCGCCCGCCTTCCCTGAAGATGTGGCTGGTCTCTTGGAAACTCTTTTCCCCGAGACTCAGGCTCAGGCGGCCATTGTCAACTTCTACACCCCGGGAGACACAATGATGATGCATCGGGACGTGTCTGAGGAGACAGACAAGGGCCTTGTGAGCGTCAGCATGGGCTGTGATGCATTGTTCAGTGAGTCATGATCTCATGGCTAACCAGCAATAGCTAACTGTCTCTAGTGATCGCACCCAACGACGTGGGCAAGCTCCCCGAGGCTGAAAGGCCCGTGCAGGGAGAGAGGGATTGTTTGCTCTTGCGTATCCGGTCGGGAGACATCATTTACATGACGCAAGAGGCACGATACGCATGGCATGGAGTACCCAAGGTCATCAAGGGGACGTGTCCTGACTACCTGGCGGACTGGCCAGCAGAAGATGGCAAGTACGAGGAGTGGAGCGGATGGATGTCCAACAAGAGGATCAACCTCAACGTGAGGCAGATGAGAGACTGATGCACACCTACCTATCTATCCTGGAAGCCTTGGCCCACTTGGATCTCCAGTCCTCAACGGACGAGAACATCTGCCAATATTGGAACCGGTCGACACCATCCGCGATTAGTCAAGTCAACTGGGCCGAGTTGCCTGCTCCTACAACTCACATCACGCTGGGTTTAGTCCGTGGTATCCGGCATGGCACCGGGAATTGGTGGCTAACTCCGCCGGTCCTCCCACCGGGGAATGACGCGGCTCTCGACGCGCGCTCATGCCCATGCCCACCGAGCCTTCACGGAGACACACCGCACGCGAGATGCTGTGATCCACACGTTGGTGTGTCCCCAGGACTGCTCAGCCACGACGCCAAAATCGATGTGGGGCAAACACCACGAGATCCACGTGGGATCCATCTGGGTGACGATGCAAAGCCACGGTACCGAAGCTTGGATAAGCTCAGGCTTAGCAAATATCTCGTATGGGGCGAAATTGAGCTGTACTCGTGAGAAGTCACCACTTTCTAGTGTGTACTTGTCGGGGTCATGTCAAAAGGAAATGAAGAAGCCGGGGGTAATGAGTCCATCGTAACATGTAGCCAGGCTGCGCCTCCCACGAGCAGAACTTTGGTTTGTGACACCGGGAAACTCGGCTATCCACGGCGGTCATGGGCTCATCAGTTTACATCTTGTTGAATTGAGCACCCGGTGGCTTCATCAAGCAGAGGCAGGAGAGGGCTGGAGGGCTGTCCAGAGGCGTTGGGCTGCGCCACACTTGCAGAACAGCGCCACAGAAGAGGCAGCCCAGCGACGAGTCGAATTAGTCGGTTCCGAGCGGCCCGCAATGGGCAGACCAGAACAGAGTCAAGAATCTGACTACGGGCATCGGCCTACAATCCAAGCGCGACGCGTACCACCCCGGCAAAAGTAAGCACCAGTCAAGCTGGATTCTTGCATCTGCCGGTGGTTATCCCCATCCCCGATCTGATCTCCCATCAGACGAAGCCCCGGGCATCCGTCTGGTTGTCTCTGCCAGGGCTGAGCATGCATGTTGCTCGACCCGGCCCCAATCCTGGATCATGTCAGCTCGCCATGGATTGTTGACCCGCCCGTTCATTGTGGATAGTCAGATCCCTTTCGGATCCAGAGTCCGACCCCATATTCGATATTTGTCGATAGATCAGCACTGCGGGATGCAATGAGCAGGGAAGCGGTTCTCGCCCCACGTCGGAAGGTGCTGACTGAGCGGCTCTGTACTCCGTGCTGCGTTCACTTGGCCTCTGCTGGGGATGAGAATATCCGGAAGCGGCAACGCAGGATGGCTGGGCTTTTACTGTTATGGGATGGCCACGAATGCGCCCCCTGGTGCACGCAACCAAGGTAAGACCTATCCGCGATCCTGGATGTACCATGCCTCAAAGGAGACAGCCCACTGGCCATCACTAATAAGCCGCCTGGGGGCCAGCCACGACCTTGGATCCATCCATGACTTCACGCGTTGTGACGGTCAACAGTATGCAACCTGCCCGAAAGCCTATTTTCATGACGATGCCATCATTTCAAGAAAGACTTGGCTCCCCTGGCCCTGCGTGGGTCGCCTGCGCCGCAGCCGTGCACCAGAGAAGGTTGTCTGCAGGATTCAATAGGGGATCAATGAATCCTAGCTGGGCCCTTCCATCAAGGGATGTATCGGCCTGGTTACCTCATTGGACCACGAACCAAATCCCTTGCCGAAGAACACTTGACAAGTAGCATTTGACAAAATCCACCTCTGTGCGGCGCTGCACGTGGAAGAACAATGAGATTGGCCCGTGAACGAGCAACCGATCAGCCGCGGCCGGGGCTAGGCACAGGGCAAGGGGCCACGACCTTCCCAGCGTGTTGGTAACAAACACCAGCTAGCTAGCACGCACGAGTGCAGCCTGGGCAGCCTGGCAGCCCGGGCAGCCGTAGATGTCAGTACGCTCAGATGGTCAGAACGTGTCGCGGGAGGAAGGCACTCGATCACAATCCGGCTGTAACCACATGATGCCCATGGGCAGGCGCGCCGTGCCACTGACTCCTTTTTCAGCCTTGCGTAGGCCGGATCGGGAAAGGGGAGGATCGGGAGCACACGCCGCGCCTGGGGCTAACGCGACGCGGCTCGTAGTTGGGTGGCTTGCCTGCGGGCTAAGAGGAATCCGGCGCCTGCGTTGGACCAGGCTGGCACGAGTCCAGGCCGACCCAGACTCCCGGAGCGGCCACGATCCCGCACAGTCGGCGCCAGCGGCGGCTTCGCAGGTAGTCGGTCAGTGCGAGGGCTTCCCGAGACCTTTGTTGTCCGCCGGGTTGGAGACTGCCGACGCCCGTCTTCCTAAGGCACATGGGCCAGGCGTCCTTTGTTTTCTCTACTGCTGCCCTGCGCGCATCCTGTGGGCAACGCATTGTGATCCGGGCTGTTGGGAGCGCCCCTCGTGCGTCGGGCGCCCCAATCCTGTCTCGGCGGGTTGGTAGGCCCTGTAGGCACGTTGGTTAGTTACTGTTGGATCGCTAGCAGGGCCTTTGTCTCTCGGCCCGTCACTCGATCTTTTCGGGTGACGCCCTTGTCTTGTTGACGTTGTCTGGGGAAGAAGGGCTCCTCGGGCCTGCCAAGCCCCGGCGGTCAGGGACGACGTCTGCAGGTCATCGGGTACTGGCGATCAGGAGGGTCATCCATGTCCTGACTGCCAGTCTAGTGTAGTCTCGCAGTCTCGCCGGTCCTGGGGAGATCTGGATCTGGCTCCAAGAGTCACGCAGGCACTCGCGTTTCCGCTAGGCGCGGTTGCCTGTGCTGCCTACTAAGTACCTGGGCACAACTGTACCTATGTACCTGGATACCTAGGTGCCTTGGTACCTGGTGCGGGTTGGGGTTGTACTCGTGACATTGTATGCTTCACTATCGCTGACCGCCAAACCTGGGACCGCAAACCCTTACACAATACACTACACTAGAGAGTGCCATTCCAAACAACAAAGTCCCCCGGGCCCCGCCAGCACAAGGTTATCGGGTGCCGGGCTCGGGAAGCAAACACCATTGTGTGGGGATTTCCTGTGGTGGGGTGGCTGGTCAGGTGGTCATGGGCGCTGTGGCGGCCGGCCGGACGACCCTTGTCGCAGTTGATGTTGCATGTGTCGTATGTTGTCCGTCGCATGCGAGATATCTGTCGGCCTGGCTGTCTGGACCATACCTGAGTACGAATCAAGGTTGAGTCAACAGGCCTGGCAGATGTCCAATGCTTTGCTGTGTTGTCTTCCAGATTCCCTCCCCAAGCACCAACCCGGCAGGTCCCGTTGCCACACCCCAGCCCGCCAGCCTGCCAGCCTGCAAGCCCGCCAGCCAGCCCGCCCAGCACTTGAGCCTAGCCAGCCCCCGGCCCACTTGATCGACAGCCCTGCCACACGCATCGCGACCCGACATCGCGACCGCTTCTTGTTGGGCTTGTGTGATTCATGCTGGACGCGGGGTGCCGCATCATTACCGCACAACAATGGTACAGCATGAGAAATAACAAACACACTAGTCCGGTGGCTGGCTCGGCTGTGATTGTAACGGTGTGACAACAAGCTGTTCAACAGCTGTTCAATTAGACGACGGGCGGGTTGCCCGTCACACACATCATGTCCATGTCAACAAGCATCCCGTTGTGAGCTTCACTTGTACACATGTGCACGCCAATCACACACAGCAGCCACCAGAGTTTTGCTCCCGAGTGTCATGGTTTGCGCCGAGACCAATTGTGGTCTGGCTGTTGGTCTCTCATATTGATGAATTCTGCCTGGGCTCATCAAGATGGACAAAAGAACTATGCAGATGGTATCACGAATCCAATCATCCATCTCTCTCTTCCCCCATGCTCGCTCTTCATGCTATGACCATCACATCTCCCTCTCATACCCTGCCCCATGCACGTGCGCAAGGTTGAAAAAAAAAAGACCGAAAACATTCCACACTTTTTGCTCCAGAGTGATCACTGGTCTCCCCAGCAGTGATATTATTAGGAAAAAGTAGTCGTCGATCGTACCGTGATCCAGAGTTCCCCTCCTGAAACGCCATGCGGAAGCGCATTAAAAGAACGAAAAGCACAGATCCTTCCCGCCATAAACACCTATGTATGCTTTGTGTGTGCCGTCTATTCGTGTCGCTGCAAAGACAGTCGTGGTTGAATTTGATTGCCCTCAGAATTGCCATTACCGTGCGGTGGCATTGGAGCCGCCGAACACACGGCCGAGCATGCCCCTCATCCTCTTGACCCGGCTGCCGCCCTCCTGCAGGTCCCTCAGCTCCTCGGCGCTGATCTCGTAGGGGAGGAGCGACCTCTGCTTTGTCAGTGCGGGTGCGGGCCGGCTCAGCATCGGCTGTTGCTTGGGCTGCTCCAGGACGATCTCCACGGGCGGGTCGTAAAGGCTGCCCGTGTGGAGCATGCCGTCGTAGATGTAGGGCGCCTCGCCGTCTGAAGACAGCGGCGTGGTCGCCTCGCTGCCCCGCGATGACGAGAGCGAAGACGCGTACGAGTGAGAACTATGCGAGCTGTGGATGCTGCGCGATCCGTAGCTGCTGCTCAGGCCGGGGAGCGAGTCTGGGCTCTCCTGCCTTATCTGCCTAGACGAGCACCTAGACCTGGACTCGGGCGTTGCCGGGGGTGTCGAGTAGATGTTCTTGCTCGCAGTCTGCGCCGCAAGCCATGCTGCCGCCGCCGCTTCCTCCTCCTCGATGCGCCTCCGCTCCTCCTCGGCGGCCTGCTGGGCTGCCTTCCTGCGCTGCCTGCGCTCGTGGCGTGCAGCCACGTCATCTCGAAGTGGAGCCAGGAATGGGTCCAACTCGCGGTACAGATCCTCCTCCGTGATGCGCAGATCCCAGTCCAGCAGGAACAGCAGCTGCTTCTCCATCAGGTTGACCTCGGTCCGTGAGAATCCAAAAGAGAAGCCCGCACAGGGCATCACCGAGTAGTTGGCCCAGTGCTTGTTCTTGGGCGAGCTGTCGTTCAGGTACTTTGCTGCCAGGATTAGCGAGGCCAGGAAGATCCTGTGCGTTGTGCAGCGGAGACCCTTTGCCATGGGTTGCAGGCGGGACCGGAGGCGGTTGAGATAGACCAGGGTTGACATGAGCGTCGGCACCTGGACGTTTGACGAGACGACGAGCTGCGTAATGAATTCCTCAAGGGTGGGCAGTCCAGCATCTTCTGCCGGTACAGCGCGTGGTGGCGGGGTCTTTGGAGGCGTGGGTGGCAATCTGGAGTTCTGCGGCGCCGTGGTTGGTGGTGGTGGCATCATTTTCGGGTCGCACTGGATGACGCTACATGCTGCAGAGGCGAGATATGAGATCATGCTCCTCGATACGGGCGTGTAGATGAAGTGGTCCAGGGCGGCAGCGTTGAGCTCGTCGATGCTGAGAGTCGAGCATGCCGAAGATGCTTGCGACTGTCGTATTTGTGAAGCCATGGTGAGCTTTGATGTGATGTGAGTGTGAAATGTGTGAGCTGTAGCCCCTTGGCGGAGAGGCTTCACTTTGTCTTCTCCTTGGTCTGCGAGGAGAGGAGAACGCTCGGGGATTTTCCTTGGGAAGCTCTTGAGAACGGGAGTGCCGGTGGGGAAATAGGAGCCAGGAAAATGGGAGCGTGGAAAAAAGGTGTCAGCAGTCAAAGGATCTTCGGTTGCTGTTATTCCCAGTAATGGATTTATGCGGGTGTTGGGCGAAGTGCGGTGTGGTAGTACTGAATGCCGTGCCAGCTGATGCGAGTCAAGGGTCGTGGTAAAAAAGCCTAGGTGCGGCAAAGTTTCATGTGGCTAAGTTGCCGGAGTATCTTGGTGTGAAGTCCGGTGTGGGACTTTAAAAAGAGTGAGATGTAAGATGTGGGCGTGAGCTGCTTCCTGAGGCGGGTTGCAACGGCTGATGAGTTGCGATAAAGGGTCAGTCAGGTGTGTGTGCCTCGAGGTATGGCTTGGGCTAGTTGTGGGATCGATATGCCTTGGTGACTCGGCCTTCAGGTGTTCGAGGTTGGGAGCCAAGGGGGGTGTGGAGCGGGCAGGGAGGCTGTGATGGAGCAGAAGACAAAGAAAGTCGAAGCACGGAGGCACATATGCAGGTGCGGCGGCACTCGGAGGGTATATGACTTTCCTGCGAGGTCGAAAAGGGCAAAATTGGGACAACGAATAAACCTCGAACCTGAAAAATAGAAGGCCGACTTACAAGTGACTTGTCCTGGGCCTTGGCCGGTGGGGCGCTTGGGGTCAGGCGTAGATGGGCCTCCTGAGCTGGGGCTTGTACGGCTTGTTCGTCAGAGGGTGACGTGCGACTCGCTGGGCCCACGAGGCTGAGTATGGGAGGGGTGGTTGATGCGAGTGCACAGGGGTTCCCTGGGGTGGTCGGGGCAGGCGACAGGGAAGAGCGATCCCGAGGTATAGTCTGGTCCGGCGGTACTTGGGTACGTACGGCGCCCTGCAGCAGGGTGGGCGCAGGGGTGGGCGGTGGGCGCGGTGGGGTGACAGGTGGTGTGAAGGGGGGATGGGCCTAGTCAGCGATCGACCGTTCTGGCTTTCAGGCTTTTTGGGCTGGGCTCTGTTCTGTGGACGCTGTAGCACCGGTGCTCTGGTAGTGCAGGCTGGACCTTGGCGAAGGCCGGGTCGATCGCGTCGGGGGCAAGGCGCAGAGGGAGGGAAAGACGGCGCTGTGACTGGCTCAACGCACTCAACGGGCTGCCAGAGAGGGGGCCACGAGAAAAGCAGGCCTGACTCGAAATGCAAGACGGTCTGGCCGTAGATCAAGCAGCGATTCGCTCTCAGGTGCTCACTCTGTCTTGCGCCTTGTCTCAGTCCAGCGAGGTCAAAGTCCACTCAGGACGCTCTGAAATGGCCCTTGTGCGAGTTTGACAGCAGCCGAAACTCTGTAGGTGGTCCTGAGACGGGGAGCTTGGCCTGTGACCTGCAGTGTGCCTGTTGTCGTGTGGCGGCCGATCGACGGTGGGCTGCTGGTGAAGCGACGAGCGAAACTGGGTGGTGGCAACTGCGATTGTCGTATTGACAAACTTGACCTCGGTCGCTGGAGTGGCTGAGGCCGATTGCGAAAACGGGTCCGCACCGAGGGGGGGGAAAGGTTGCTCCCAAACGAGTCCGCAGCAGCCACTCAAAAAAAGAGGAGCAGATCAAAAGTTTGATGTTTCGACCGAACAGTGAAGTCTTGGTGTTTTCTCACTTGGATGAGCTCCTGGCCCAGGTCCGTCTAGCGGGGTGAATCCGGGGCTGCTGGGGCTGGCGTCGACGGCAGTTTCGATAGCGCCGGCCAGTGGGCGAGTCAGACTTCTAATTCGAGGAGCGATCGCGTGCCCCGTGCTCTATTATTCTTCAATGCCCGCCGGGGACAATGCCAAAAACGAAGGGGGCTTGAGGATGAATTACGAGAAGATTGTCGGCAGAAGTCCGGTCCAGCGGAGTAATTGTCGAATGTAGGAGGAAACGTAGGAAATGAAAAAGGGGATAAACGAGGAAAGAGAGCTTGGGCAATGCGACCCTGGGTGGAAGCTGTCGTGGACAGATGAGCCTTTCAAGAAGAGCTCCCTCGCCGGTTTTCAGGGTCCGCTGCCAGCTTAATACACGAGCTCGTGGGCAGGGGTGTCGGGCTCGCTGCCGCAGGATGCACTGATGAGTGCAAGCCCGCGCGGGTAAAGTGAATTATTTCCAGAACTCGAGATCCGCAGGCGACGGCGCGGTCCCGCCTGGCGTCTAGAGATTGGGTGAAGCGCTTCGTCAGAGGAGACGCTGGCCCGGGATGCTGCAAGCCGGTGGGGCCAATGATTCGCTGGCAGCGCTTCGTGGGAGGACGCAGCTGCGAGGCCAAGCTTGGTTCGTCTCCCAACCTGGGTGGCGCTGCGAGAATGGTTGGCTCGAGGAGGACAGCAGAGGACCGTCGACCCCTGGGCGGGCACAAGGCCTTTGAAGCAGGTTGATTGCTGCGAAATAAGGGCATCTATGCCTGTCGGGCGCTGGATCTGGAAAAGGCAATGCAGATGCCGATGACGTTCCCGCTCTCGTAGGGGTACCACGCACTTTACTTAGCTTTCAGGCTTTTCGGGGCCAAGGTGGTATTCGGGATGCGGACTGCAGGCGGTTGGGGCTGGTGCGTTGCAACCTGGCATTCCCTGGTCTGGATGCGGCTGTTCTTGTACTATGTAGTACGTCTGTCTGCGCTGCACTCGGTGGTGGCTCTGGAATCCTGGGCGAGATAGATCAAAGTCCAGATCTCAGAATCCCAGAAGGGAGTCCAGGGCTCGACTCGATCTGTACAAAGGGTCAATCGCCGTAGGTATTTACGGACACAAGGGATGGTACCCTGTGGGGGATCGCAATTACATCCGAGCACCTCGAGCAAATATTTGGCGGAGCTTGTCATGCTCAGGGAGCCAGAGCCACCAGGGCGATGGCCTCGTCGAGGATGCTATCGCCAGGTCCCCATTCCAGCATCGACCCGGGATGCGTGCGGAATCCTCCGTTTCCCAGCTGCCAGGCCGGGCAGGGACGGGCAGGGAGAAGGAAGGAACCAAGCGGTTGTGCACGACCCTTGGCTTGCTGTCGTCTGACTCTCCCTTCATGGCCCTGGCGGCTTGCCTGCAGCTCTGTGCGAGAGCAGCGGCCGGAGCTTGGAGACGACTAGGTTCGAGTTCGGGTTCCAGACCGAGGCCCTCGAGTCCGCGACCGGTCAACAGCCGAGGACAGCTTTGCAGACGCACAGCCCGTCCTGTCCGTCAGGTCGTCAGGTCGTGCGGTCGTCAGGTCGTGCGGTCCCGCGGGTTGCAATGCCGGGATGGCTGAATGCCTGAAGGGCCGAGTGGCTCACCGACACAATCAATCATCAGGCGCGGCACTTGCTGGCTTCGTGCATGACCTCTCAAATTGGGCCGCCTGGACGCTGGCAGTGAGGGCAGTGAGTGGTTGGCGAAGAGCCCGTCGACACATGAAACATGGAGGGGAGGAGTAGGTAGCCAGGGGTTGGCTGTGGATGGCCGAAAGCAGAAAGAGGCATGGGCGCGAGGCCGGGTATGGTTTAGCGGCCCAGATACGGAGTATATACAATACACACCCAACCAGGTACATGACAGACAGGCCCACGCACGCGTGCACTGGATGTACCGCCCTCCGGCCATGCGAGAGACGAAGAAGGCCTCTATCAAACCCGCCACCAGACACAGGGCAAACACGGCCCACACGGCCCACACGGCCCCTACGCCCTTTCGTACAAACCTCACACGGCAGCCTCGAGAGGCCGGTTACAGCCTCTAGGCAAGCATCATCAGCAGCATCACCATCAGCATCACGGAACAACTGGCCTGCTTCACGGGCGGGCAGCATGCTCCAGCCCCCGCTGCGCACGCAAACATGGCAGTGACCACCAGCTGCAACTTGAATCTTTGGTGCCGATATGCCGGGGCATATTCCCCCATTTACAATGCTGACCTGCCTCACTGCCACTCCGGATCGGGCCATGTATTCGATTGCTGACCTCCAAGCTGGTCGGTAGACTACGGAGTACACGGAGTACACATCCACAGGCGCCTCCGAACCCAGAGGCACGATTGGGCAGTTGGGCTAGCTCACGCCAATGGCCGGATAGATACCATGCAAGCATTCGTTTGACAGCTGCGCGCCCATCAACTTGCCTGCCGCCCCGGGGCTAATGCACCCCCTGCGTGCATCGCTGGCCTCTTCAGACTTTAGCCTGTCGGGCATGTCTGCGCCTGTGGAGAGGCGGGATTGCAACAGGGTCGTCCCCCAGAAATCTGACGACTGGCCATCCCGTCGCGGACATCGTGAAACGAAACGGCAACCAACACAACGGCTCTGGTGGATCACAGCGCCTGTCCTCCGGCGTCGTTTCTCGACGATCTGCAGCACGCATGAGATCCAAGGCTCAGATCACGCCCGCTCGTCCGTCTTCCACGCGTCGTGCCCTCTAAATGCCTCGGCAGTCCATCGACGATCTTGGCGCTGAATGCGGCCACGCCCCGACAATCCTCACGCGAGCGTCCCGTAGGGCTGGGTCGTGAATCGGACCATTGCCCACCGGCTCGAAACAAACCATGGCGAGGGCAACTGGACGCTGCGGGCCATCTCTGTTTTGGTCAAGCTTCGTCAAACGCGTCGAGGCTGCGGGGCTGTCGACGGGCTCGAGGCCAGTCTGGTGCGCGCACTGGCTGCTGCACTTCCCACCGCCGCCTGGTCCCGAGCGTCCGGTAGGGGAGCCAAAGACAATTTGGGGTTCCCGCCCATTCGGCCTGATCAGTCCTGGGTCCGTGTGCCTATTTCGGGGTCCATGAACCAAGTGACGTCGCGCATGTCAGTGACAAACACCACTGTCATGCTGCTGCCAGTGCTTTCGGGTCTGCATGAAACTCGACTCATCATCAATTTCCTGGAATAACTCCAAAGTGACAGGTTCATCACAAGATTGCGAACGCTGTTTCATGTGCCTGTCAACACCTGCCATCTTCTGGTCAGAGACGACAAGATGAGCTCCACCCCAACCCCTGAGCCGATCTCTAAAATGTGGGCGGTCGATCCCCGCGGGAAATGCAGCAAGTCCAGATTCGGCATCGCAGACCATAGCTCCGGGGCGGAACGCCAGACCGCATGAGCACGGCTGTGGGCTGTCAGCGCTTATGCGTCTGGGCTCGGGAGTCACCAGAATGGGAAATGTGGCTTCTTTTTGGGCTCTTGTGGCACTCAGCTAATTAAGCTGTGGTCCTACCTGCGCTACTGTGGTAGCTAGGCGGGTTCTCCGAGCTGCGATACTATTACTGGGTAGTATAGTCAGCTCTTCCGACGGCGACTCCCTCGGATATAGTGTAGAAGAATTCTTGGTGCCCAGTCCCTCGCTTCATTGTGGGTTTGCTGGAACCAGCCGAGAGCCAGGATTTTATAGTATGGAGCGGAGGGGTCGCGAAACACATGCATCTCTCCGCCAATCTGTGTCGGTGACTGGGGACGGTCGGAGTGGAGCCTGAGTCTCCCCATGGACCGCAGAGCCTCACACATAGTGGATGTTCCTTGGCCCCGTCATGTCTACGAATTGGGTTTTGCTCGCGAGCTTCATCACGAATACGCGCTGCACAAGACACCGTCAACGTCGGGGCGCTGGCTGTCAAAGTTGTGTTGATCGCGGTCTGCTCTGCTGCTGCACAGCTTCGAGCACAAGGGTCTTCGAGCACCGCAGGTTCTCCCTACATCTGCTTTAGCGCACAACCGATCTGGCATAGCAAGATGCAGATGCACGTGTCCATGTGGAGCAGCGACCTGCAGGTCATGGTGGCACAGTCGGAGGGCGTGCCGAGATGTGGCCTGCGCGCGCCGCCATTGGCCGTGTGCCTTCTGAAACACACAGGGCTCATTAGCAGGCCACTCCGGCTCCAATCATCCTGCCCCGTTCAATCCCGACTTGGGGCGCCGGCGACCGGCGGGGTGATGCCGGAGAAACTTTTCCAAGACTGAGCCACGAGACTGGCGGTAGGCAAAGGTGATGGCAATGATGGTCGTTTCTTGGCTACCTCAATCATATTGGTGCGAACTGCTATTATGGTCCTCTCGCGGACACTTGGCGAACGGCAACACTTTCCGCTGCACGCTGCGTGGCGGGCTGTGCGTCAGGTCGGTCAGTCATTCGGGAACCCTCACCCAGCTCTTGGCCGACCTCTGAAGGGTTTGCTCAAAGTTTGGCTGGCTTTCCTTACTTCCCGTCGAAAACTTGTTGTTTCGGCTGGTCGAAGGCAATCCTTTTATCGCGTTCAGATGGGTGCCCGACGAACCATGGGCGATAGTCCGTGTTCTCATCGGACGAAGCATCACAGTGGTCTTCCGGGTGAACCGAGAACACTCTATTATGCGCAAGGGAAAATGAAGCAGAAATATGTGTATAGATCGCGACGGTTGCAGTGGCTGACACTGCAGATTGCATCAGTTGCCAAAAAGCCGATGCCACCTTCAAGCTTCTTTCTACAGTGACATTTGACGATCGAGTTACACAGCGCCTCACCCGACGGGTCATCCACACACACACTCGGTCCTTGGCGGCGAGATGTCTCGGAACTCTCCCACCAGCCACACTGGGCCTTGCTGGGCCACCCGTCATGACCGAGAGTCATTTGATGATGCACTCAGATTTGACTTCAACGGCTTGCAGGGCGCGCGCGGACGGTCACAAACGGCATAAACGCCAGGGCGGGCATCGTCGAAGGCTGCATGCATAGTCAACGAACGTTGCACCTTGATTTTACTGCACCGTCATCCCAGGTGCCCCTCGCCTCATCGCGCCTCGGAATCGGTACATGGCCTGAGTCAGCCCTTGTAAACCGGGATCGTGCGTTTTCGGATACTGACCGCCAGGTAGCGTTGTAACACGCAAGCAGTCCTGCGGTGGAGATGAAGCGCGTTTGGCGCAAACCACGAGCTTTCGGGACTCTCTGCCCAAGAGACACCACAAGGGTCTGTATTGTACCGCAAGAGCAAGACACTGTTGTCCACACTGCAAGGCGGAACTTGACCGATTACCACAATGAGCCACGAGCATGGTCCTTTCCCGACATTTGGATGTTGGGCCGGCCTCGAGGCGACCATGGCTGGGCGGCTGATCAAACCAGCAAACCTGGTCAAATTCTTGTCGCTTGCCATGGCATTGCCCGTCTTGTATCGCCTCTCTCATTTCCCACCGGGCGCTTAAATCAACAACATTTTGTGCTTTTTCGGGCGCCGGGGTCCAAAACAGCCGCGCGCATCATGGCCAAACCAGCCCCGGTGGACATCAAAATCGACGCTGCACTGACTGCCTGGCCAGCTCGACAGCAACGGCACCAAGAAACGAGCAACCCACACCTGCGTTGACTGAGATGCAGAGAGCGGCCGCCTCCTTTCCGAGAGCGCCATATTCCATGCACAGAGTCAGCTCAGTGAGCAGCGTGCATTCACTGGATTTCTCATCATCGACCATCACCTAACACACGCCGACTTCTGTCCATGGCAACGCAGGTAAGCCTGTTAGACGCTCGCTAATGAAGCGCTCCTTCCCGCACCCCAGAATAGCTGGTGCCCAGCCTCTGCTATCGCGGGGCCCAGCTCAACACGGGCCCCCGTAGGAATGGCACGATCTGTGGCGTTCAATCTCCCCCGTGCATGCTTGATTGCATTCTTGCTTATGCGATGCGCGCCCGGGGCACATCAGCAGCGCCACCCGACCGCGATCGTGCAGCTCAGCTCAGCTCTCTTCGGCCGCGTTGGGTGCGCGCATGGTGGTTGATTGGCGGTGCTAGCCGAGCTGTGGGGGATTTTCTTATTGCGCTTTTCTTCTTCCTTTCTATATTTGCGCTGCGCCGCCTGCTTCTCGGTACCAACTAAAATCACGGGGTCGGAATCCTTTGATTATCCAGTTGTTGCTTTCTTTCTCCCCGAGCGTCAAAATTCCTCGGGTCAGACGATTCCCGGGGCCTACGCGTCTGCGACCGCAATGTAGCATGCACCGCCTGTGGACTTTGCATGCTGTGAGGTGGCAGGTGCCGGGACTTTGAGACTAGGGGTCTGGCAGGCTTTTTGTCCAAAGTCAGGTGGTCGACTGCCGTGGCCGGGCGCTGACAGCTGTCGAAGATCATGTCTGAGACCTGTCGCTGGCAAGGGGCGCTGAGACAGGGTTCCAATACGGAGCTGGCCAGATCTTGGACCGAGGCCTGGCTCGTGAATCGGATCGGGGCAGGGCTCTCGTGGCTCGATCTTATCAGACCGCCCAGCACCCTGCGCGCTATGGTGGTCTTTGCTGTGATCCATGTTGGTTTGGTCGGGCACGCTTGGGTTAGGCAGTGCCTTCCTTCCTGTGAGGCAACCAGCAAGGACGTCGGCGGTCTCCTAGATCAGCCCGGTCTGTGCATGGCGATGGCTCGCTCGCGATATCCTCGGCGAAAGGGTGATCTCGATGGGAGGCCTCTGAGTAGGTATTTTGTGGACCAAGGTATCCATATCCGTGGTGAGACTGCAGCTGTGTGTTGTTCTGAAGCTCAGTAAAGTCTCTAGAGCATCACTGACCAAGATATGGGAGGTCAACCTGGTGCAGTGTCAAACAAAGATCGCTTGGCAGGAATATTTGTGTAGAGTGACCTTGTAACGGTACCTCACGCGCCAGTCGCAGATTTGATCAGGTAGCCACAAAGCGGTAGTTGGACAGGCCCGTTTACCAGGAGAAAATCCAATGAGCCGAAATTCAAACTCTTATCACAAATCCTACGGCAATGCCAAGCGACTTTTGTTTTTCTCACTCGTTTTGCGGAGATATCATAGTGATGGTCACGGATGATTATGGATTCTCAAGTTTTGAACCTCCCACTTCAGGAAACACATGCACGATGCCCCACAGAATTAGCCAAGTGTGGTAATTGCTTTATGATATGATATCTTGGAATATTTCAAGTAATTCACACTTGTTTGACAATATGTCTAGGGTCCTTTGCAAGTCCTGCTTGTTCGCCTATCGCGAGGTAGCCATCAAGAATACCTTAGGGGTTGAAGTGGAAGGGTGAATAGCAGGGACGGACCTCGATCGTAAAAAATAAACGGCCACATTAACCATCAAATTCCATCTGTTATAGAGAATTTCTACCTAGGTACAAATTAAGTCTCGAAAGAAGCCATCTCTGACCCCACACATTTGTAGACCAGCCTCACACAAATCCACACCTAACATTCAACACAAACAAGGCTACAAGATCCATTAGCTGTAACAGAAATGCATCAAAGGCTCCGTTACAGTGAGTTTATAACTTAAAGTTGAAGAAAAGTTACATCTTATATGTGTTGCTACTTCACCTGAAAAGGAAAGTGGCTCAGCCAGTCGCCATTTACTGGGCGAGGCACTTGAAGCTTAGTATCATTGTAATTCTCGTGTATGACTTCGGACGTCTACGGAACAAGAACGAAGCCACTCAGTATATTTCCAAGGGGCCTTTATACAATACAGGGGAAATTATGAGCAGTAGTATTTGGTGATGGTATCTGGTTTCGCTTCTATCCCGCATATGTCCGAAGACATACGTGGCGCCTTCACACAGCGGTAAATTCTCAAGACCTAGCGTTTAAAAACATACAGGGTCGACGACAGTGGTAAAAATAGGGTACGATAGGTGTACGGGGCCTCAGCCTTGCGAGGTACAGACAAGCAAAAGCCTCTATATTTCCTAGAAATAAGTCCGTGCCTGCCAATGTCCTTGTGTCATTGAATCATCACCGCGAAGTTCTGTCATCCAGTTGCTCGGTCACACCTAGAAACAAAAACAAAAACAAAAACAAAACAAAAATGTTTTTCTAACAAACAAGCAACATTTCATTGTCGTAGCCCCGTGACAGTTTCTCTTCACAGTATGTAACTATTGTAAGGGACAGTCTCCACACCCGGTCTGTAGTTGTATATTACCCTAGGGGTACGTGCACTCGGCTTTGAGTTCGATATCATAAATTAGATTCCAAGCGCGAGCCTACGTAGGTATTGGTATAGACGTATCGTTCAATATTTTGAGCTTCCACTCGATCTGAACAATGCCCCAGCGTTCTCAGAGGAGTACAGTGCTCACATGTAACCGAAAAGTTTAGCAGTGTTGTATTTTTTCTCCATCGCAGATTGCGTCAGTCATCCGTTTGCACTCGAGCGACCCAGATACTCAACCGAGTCGACCCACTAACTAGCCACTTTTCAACATCTTGTAGTACTCCAGGACCACTCGCAATGAGCAATCGGCTTGCTAAATTTTTTTCTTTCGCATAGCCCATGTTGTGGATTCCAGTTAGCGTTCGTAATTTTTTAACAGCCTTGCCCGAAGTCGGCAGCTTATCAGTTCGGTGGATCTTCGGGAAAGCCCACGATAATTGTGGACTCCTGTGATACCTAGACAATCGATTTATACAAATATCGTTGGGTAAAGATGATTTGTTTCTGAGTCATTCCACGTCTGCTTTCAATCTTCATCCCACGCATACTTTCCTTGTTGGCGCCCACTCACCATGAGAGCCACGATTCTATTCCTGGGCCTGGCATCTGTTGCCATCGCAGCCCCCAGAAAGGGCGGATTGCAGCAGGCGGAGCAGGTTGACAATCCTTTGAGAAATCGGAATGTTTCAACCGCCGGGACAAAGATCATCTTAGACAATGATTGGAGTACTGCCGGTTTCATCCCGTACCTCCTGGCTCTTGATGCTGGCTGGGATGTTCTCGGTCTCATTGGTGATACTGGCGACTCTTGGGCTCTCCAAACTAGTCTACATGGGCTGGCAACCCTAGAAGCTGGCAAATTGTCTCCTTGTATTCCTGTGTACAAAGGTTCCGATTATCCTCTGGTCAATACTCCGGAGCTGTTCCAGGAATGGGAAGAACTCCACGGAGATTTACCCTGGGTGAGTTGACAATTGTTAATTGGAAAAATGAAACTCTACTTACTTTTCCAACAGCAAGGTGCTTTCGCTCCTGAAAACCTTACTGCCGAGGCACTTGGTAGTGACCCAACATCTGGCAATCCAGAGAAAATCGTCAAGGCGGCCTTCAATGAAGGGTTCCCTAACGGAACACTGGCCGGGAACAACTCTGCTGCTTGGATGGTCGAGCAAGTGCGCAAATATCCAGGCGAGGTCATGATATTCAGCGGTGGTGCTTTGACCAACATTGCACTAGCTGTTCGGTTGGATCCCGAGTTTGCGTCCTTGGCTAAAGGTTTGGTGATCATGGGAGGTTATCTCGACGTGACTCTTCTACAGACTTCTGGGTCCGTTTTGCAAGCGGATCTCAATTCGGATGTGAGTTTCCCGGCACTCTAGCTTGTGGCCAGAAAGGACTTCAGGACAAGAAGCCACAAATTGTCGAGATACAGCTCGCTGACTGTGACCCAAGATCAACCTCAAGATTGATCCCGAGGGAGCAAAAATTGCCTTGACAGCTGAATTTCCAAGTATCAGTGAGTAACACTTAAATCGATGAAGTTGGTGATTGTGATACTAATTCCGACAGCAATCGTCGGCAATGCTGCCAACCAGGTCATGTCAACCCAGGATTACTTGGACGAGGTCTACGAGGTTCAGACTGCGTACACCGAGCTTTTCCATGAATACTACGGCACAGAGTTCCCTTTTTGGGACGAGACTGCAATTTTCTCTGTATTGGACAACAGTAATGTGCTAAACTCTACAACTTGTAAGTACAAATGACTTCCCAATGTACATATAGCTTCGAGTCCAGCTTACCATCAAATGTAGTCTACCTCGACGTCGATGTTTCTTACGCATCTCCTTACTATGGAAACATCATCGGGTACCAAGAAGCGTTGAAACCACGTGCGCAGAAGCTGCAAAAAGTCAACTTTATCTATGAAATCGATGGCAACAAGCTTAAGACGACGATGAAGCATGCATTACAGTATCCGAAGACATGCTCGGATTTGGCTTGACCTGATTATAAGTTATATAATGACCTTAGATTCGGCCACTGTAATGGAACCACTATACCTAGGTAGGCATCCCTGAATGATAGACAAAGCATTTGTTTCTCGTTGGTCTTTTACTAAGCTACCTACTTAATAGGTATGCGCATGCTTTAATATTGCAAGTCATGGAATTGCGGCCATCACATACACCATATTATCCATTCCTACTATCTATCTATCTGTCAACTTAGATATTAGCCTCTTCTATAATAGCTTATAACTCATATATATATAATTAGTAATATCTTGATTCTTTTACTTACGCAAGTCGGTCTAGTGACGTGAAGTGGCCGTGTAGCGACCGACTATGTGCAACTAGTTAGGTGAAGTTACATATGTGGTATAACTATTAGCCGATAACAATCTGGATATATCAAGCCTTGTTGTTGCATTCTTTCAGAAATTCCCCCCAGATGATCATCTGGAATTGGAATCGTCCTCGGTGGATATGGCACATGCAGTCATGACCTCGGGACGAGCCACCGCCGAGGCGCCTCACCCTCACCTGTACCCCGCTTATTAGCACCCCGCGGGGCCCCAAGAATAGCGCAAAATATCTGGGGTATTATGGGAACACAGGAACACCTACATGACGTTAGATTCCCCTACTTAGTACCTAGGTAAGTAGGTATGTGAAGTCGATGCGGCGTGAACTGGCTGCTCTCCTCTTCTTCCTGAACACCTACGCCGATAAGCGTTTGGAGTCATACCATTCCTGTCAACCACACAAGATATCCAAGCACCAAGCTTGATTCAATTGTACAAGCAAGAAAGGGCTACAATGGGCGAATCAATTCCTAAAAAGTACAAAGCGATGGTCTACGACCAACCGGGAAAGATATCAATCAAACTCATTGAGTTGGACATGCCAGAACCCGGGGCGGGGGATGTTTTGATCAAGCTGTATATAAACACCTTCATGATTTTGTCTCACACACATACCGCCGAACAAGGACTGACAAAAACCGTAGCACCCATTCAGGAGTGTGTCACAGCGACCTTGGGATCATGCTGAACCAATGGGCACAACTACCGTTTCCCACTGAAGCTGGCCAGGTTGGTTGAAGGCTCTCAAAGGGATGCAATACAATGAACACTGACGTGATTATTAGGTCGGTGGCCATGAGGGTATTGGTATCATCGTCAAAATGGGCCCAGGGACTGAAAATTCCGAGGTGAAGGTGGGAGATCGGGTCGGTATCAAGTGGCTTGCTGACGTCTGCGGAAGCTGCCGTGAGTTCTGCCTAACCCCATCCCCTCATCTCTGTGGCCACTTGGCCAACTAATAGACATCAGCGCCTTGCATGGCTGGGTATGAGGCATCCTGCTTCAAACAAAAGGTCTCTGGGTACTATTGGCCGGGAACATTTCAACAATATGTAACAAGTTCTGCCTTCTACGTGACCCCGATACCCGAGGGCCTGCCGTCTGACGCTGCTGCGCCAATGTGAGTACCTCTCTGAGTCTTCTTTGCACCCAGACTTTCAAGGATGCTAATTGCCACCCAGGCTGTGTGCCGGTGTAACAGTCTACAGTGCCCTCCGAAAGTCGAACACACAGAGCGGTGAATGGGTCGTCCTTCTGGGCGCTGGTGGTGGTAGGTAACCCCGCAACTTATCACGGTATCCCGATATGCTCTAAACTTCCATAGGTCTTGGGCATATCGCAGTGCAGATTGCGTCTCGTAGTATAGGTCTTAGGGTGATTGGTATCGACAATGGAAGCAAGAAGGATATCGTCCTCGAGTCCGGCGCCGAGCATTTCATTGATTTTACCGCCAGTAAAGACGTGACCAAGGAGGTGATGGACTTAACAGGAGGATACGGCGCGCACTCCGTAATTGTTCTTACAGCTGCCAATGCGGCCTACACGATGTGAGTTCTGTCTCATGAAGGATGTGTCCGTGTCAAATCACATGCCAAGGTGAATCTGCTGACGTGTGGTGGGAAATCCAGGGGAATGGACCTTCTTCGGTTTGGAGGGACTCTTGTCTGTGTTGGAATTCCAGAAGGGGACCTGAAGACTATCAGTGCCGCCTACCCGCAGGTTCTGATCGGGAAAGCGCAAAGAATTGTCGGTGTTGCGGTTGGGAACCGGAAGGAAGCCATCGAGACTCTCGACCTTGCCGCAAGAGGGATTATCAAGACGCATTTCCGGACCGAAAGGATGGAGAATCTCACTGAGGCTTTCGAGCAGATGCACAAGGGTGAATTGAATGGGCGTGTAGTGCTGGAACTCTGATAGGTTCTGACAGCTTGTGACGGTGCTGGTCTCTTGCATTCTGGCTAGTGTAGTTATTGCGTTTCTAAGAAGCCCACTGTCAAGTTCACTCTGATTCAATTTATTACCCAGAAACGTTTCAAAGAGTCCTGGAGTTGTGAATATGATGCTCGGTTGTCGTTGTGCGCGCGGGCAATATCTACCTAGGTACGGCTTGACCCAAGACCTTGAAGACAGTATATGGATGTGAATAACCCAGACCAGACCAAATGCGTTACAATTTTTAAATAACATTGGAAGTTCGGACAGGCATACCGCCCTGACCGTGACTTATGATGCTATCACTGCACCGAATTTGTAAATGTATCGAAGGATGTAACTTGTATCTCTACAACCAGGTTTGATAAGCGTGTCCGCTTTGGGACGCCGAAAGACGCTAACTACTGTAATAACGCCCCAGGACTGCTGGCGTTCTCGAAGGATTCCCGCAGTGACTCACCTGACCGTCCCCACGCTCTCGCACTCACTTTAGACCGAACATGGAATCCGAACATATCTTGACCGCATTCTCCACATATTACCAGCGTACCAAGTGATCTACTGTATAAATAAAGCTTTGGTTAGCCACAGGACGTAGAGTGGTGATACTTGGATCGCTCACCCCGATCTTCTTCGCTTGCGATCCGTAATAATGGTGCTCAAAGTATTACCCGCCGAGGATCCCGACCAGTACCGATCCGCAGTGATCGAGCACGAGGCCTACAAACCCCTCGAGACCAACCAGATACTGTTTCCTGGGCCGTTCCCGCCCGATGTCTTGAACCACCGAGCCAGTGAGCTGAAGGCGCAATCTAATGAGCCCAACACCTTTTGTTACAAGGTCATTGACACAGAGCTGGAGGGTGAGCAGATGATAGCTTTCTCGAAATGGTACGTGGCCACAATTGTGATGATGTGAAGATAGTGGTGTCCGCACTGACACCATGACCCACCTGAGCAGGGTTGTTTATGATGGGACCAATCTGCCAAAGCCAAGGCCTCGGCGACAGTGGCCTCCCGGTGTCAATGGCGAAGCGTGTGAGCTGCTGTTTGGGGGCCTGACCAGGCTCAAGGAGAGAGCCATTGGAGATAGAGAACACTTATGTAAGTGGTCTGTCATTGGAAAATCACCCGAATGCATAAGTCGCCCTACCGGAAGAACTACAAAGTTCTGCCCGTACTAGGTAAACTAGGAAAACTATTTGCTAACCTGCGTGGGGGAAGATATGCATCTGCTTCATACCGATCCAAAGCACCAAGGACGTGGAGCAGGCGGGATGTTAACATCACGGGCCATTGAAGAGGCAGCCAGACGAGGGCTCCCAGCGTACTTGGAATCCTCTGAAGCGGCCCATCATTTGTACTTGAAGCATGGCTTCAGGGACTTGGAGGAGCTGGTAACGGACTTTAGTCTGTGGGGACTGGAGACTCCCCATCGGGTCTGGGCCATGATGCACGACAATGGCGTTTGAAGCTTATGAGGGGGCAGACTTTCGGCTGAATTATCTCGCTCGCAAGCTCAGAAACATGACGGCATGGATTGAGGCTTTTTCTCCACCTGTATCATACATTTTCAGATGCCTATGTCAGAGCTGCAAGGGAAATTAGATTTATCATTCGGCTGAGGCAGTAAATGAGCACCTGGGTACCTGGATTTGGGGGTATCAGAAGACAGCACCGGACCCAAGACTGACTCTCGTTTTTTTGCCGTCAAGGAATGTCAACAGGCATTTGTAATTTGCGGGCGTGATCATCTCCACCCCCAGCTGAGCCAGCCTGAACACAACCATGCACTTAGAGCTGGCCACAACTTCCATTCGTGGACACAAGGTCCTGCCGAATATCACTTCAACAAACACGCATGTATCCGCCGATCAGTCGGTCAGAATGGGGATATTTTCTCCGGACACAGAACTTTGTTAAGCATTCTCTGGTGATCAACAACCAGAAACTTCGTGGCTAGCGTCAGCTGGGCGAGCTAACTGGGGCATTTGAGGCTTGCATAGCGTCTTGACCGGGAGAGGAAACCGGACCCGGCTTCCCCTCGTGTGAATATCGGTATTAACCCCTTAAGCGATTGTGGGAAGGGCGTCAATAGACGTTGAAATTTGATACCTCCTACACTTGTAGATCCTCGGGTTGGAAGATGATTACCATGTCCATGATAGATGGTGACAGTTGACTCGTTGGGGAAGTTGAGGTTTCAGGAATGATTGGCTAAGTTCACTCCAGAACTGCTCATCTGTGTATGTCACATTGGTCTGTCCTAGCAGGATTTCACATGCTCTGCTATACTCAGATACCTGTAGACTATCATCGATAGTAAGATATACTTCTTCCACAGGCTGTGATCATGTGGCGCCTGGATCCCGGGCGGCGGGTTTGGAGGTTTATCCCGTCTATGTGGTGGAACCTCTCCAAGAGCTGACATAAGGGAGCCAATCGAGATCGGGTAACCAAGTTCTGTTGGAATTCGGTGTGGCTACACTAGCCCATCATGGGCCGAGATATCCCACCCCAACTACCGTGCGATCTAGATCATGAGAAAGAAGGGAACATATAAATACATCACTCGTTGACGTCAACAGCAGAAATAGGCACATGAGACTCATGAGCACCGCTGCCAGCGCTGCTGCAGCTTGGCCGTAGCATGCGGACCGTCTCACGTACTGACAAGCATTCTGCTACATAGTGGCGTGGCCGCTCTGCTAGAGGCATCCGTATAAAAATATACTCAGCTTGGGCGGGTACTGCTGGAGCTGGCCCCTCCTTGGCGTGACGTGGGCAACAAGAGATTCGATGAGCTTCACTGGAAGCCTGATTGGTGAAGGACCAAGACCGTACAGTCTGAAGGCACCTAAGTGGAGTGGCTCAGTGATGGGTACCATAAATGGCGTTCAAAGATTCCGACTCTATGATGATGGTGCAAGATGCACGACTGCTGGACTCGAAATAGGCAACGAAAAGCGCCGACCTCGACGCCCAAGCCCAAGGGGGTCCCGAGGGGGTATCTAGAGGAATGATGGGGGTGGACGGGGTGCGAGGTGCATAGGGCGAGGTGGACGCTGACAGGGGTTTGAGGGCAGTTCGGACGCTGATTGGCCACATCGAGGTGAGTCCTCCCACTCGAGTCTGCCCGTATAAAAGCCCTTGTCCCACCTCCATTTTCTTTTCCATAGTCTTCCCTCTTTCCTGAACCGAATTCCAAGATCATCAAGAATTCACCATAAACCACGTTGAAACTTCAAGTGGCATCAAATTCCACTTGGAAGACCACCCTTGAGGACACTCGACCTCGTTTTGGCCCCACCCCCCTTCTGCACACTGTTCTCCTCGCCGCCTGCTGTTTATACCACACCTTTCTTTATTGCACTGGCACCATTCCCTAATTTTGGGGAAGGCATAATTCCACAAGATTGCACCACTCATCAACCAACCATGGCACGATCTGGGTATGGCTCCTCTTCGGGTCCCACACCTCTCCCAGACTATGACCAGCGTCAACAAGAACGACGGCAGCCACGAAGCAGCTCATCTGCAGGCCAGCGGCCTCACCGGTCAACAGTACCAGATAGTGATGTGACAAGTCCACTTGAAGAGGTCACTGACGTCGTGCTTGCGAGTGAGTACTATTGGTCGCCAGAGGCGTGGCCACAGCCAAGGGGCCGAGCCACGAGTCCGTACAGTGCAAGCATCGCGAGCACATCTACGCGAAAGTCAGGACACAATGCGAATCCTGGCCGCAGAATTAGTCCCAGGCATGGAAGCTGGGGCGATGTCAATGAGGAGCAGTACAGGCTGTCGACACCGTGGGAGCCCCCGAGGACTCCTCAGCTGGGTCGACTCGGCACCCCTGACCTGGAACTGACGCGTAAATGCGACAAGTTCTGCGACTGCTGTTCTGATGAGCAGAGGTACAATCAAGACAGGTCAAAGATGGATCTCCAAGGTAGGTTCACGCACATTTTCTCTCGCTTTCGGCTGGAGCACGTCGATGTGGCTGTCGTTCGCCGTAGGACGGGTGTGTGGTGCGTGTCATGACTAAGCCATGCTAACCAATGGGAAGTCGAAGCCGCCTTGGCTCACATGCGCGGTTCTTCAGGCAGACGGCTGTTGACTTCTGGGAATGACGTTCGCCGGGGGAGATAAAATCCTTCAGGACGAAAACAAAGTAGAATTAATGAGAATGAGCAGGGGCATTTGGGGGTGGGATAGGATCTGGGTAGGTATGAGACAATAATTGGCGTCCGGCGTCCTGGCTTTGGCTAATATCAACTGAGTGTGGCTGTCTGTGTTGTTTGCCTGCATGGGATTGTTTGAGCATCACACCAATTTGGGATTGTGCACATGTACCCAGGGCGACGCGGATTTGTGATTTGAATATGGCATACCTATGTCGTTTGGCTCTTGTGATCATGACCACAGCCGCGTTTGTAGGTGCCAACCCCGTGTGTTCTCTCGCACCGAGCTTCACCGATGGAACTCAGTAGTAGCCGCCGGGTTCGTGCTCGTGAGACTCGGCAAGACTGAGGCCAGAAGCAGCCAATGTGTTTGGGTTTAGACGAATGGCCCCCGGGGCTGTTGACGACCTGAGCAGTCTGATGCGGTCGGTGCTCAGAGGGCAGGAGCAAGCTAGACAGGCAAGCAAGCAGGGGAGGAAAGCTGGATGTGGAAAGAGTACGGACCAACGTTGGACGTTGGATGTGGGGCGCCTGTTGTGCACTTGAGCAGGCAGCAGGCAACTCCATGCACCCCTCTCAGTGCTCGGGCCACCCCTGCTTACTTAGTCAGCCAGCCGATCATCAACTCGCCTGGTCGGGACTGCACCCAACAAGCTTGGGCTGTTGGAGGTGGCACTTAGGGAGGTCCTGTTGCCTAGGTCGCTCCCAAGCTGCTCATTGTAACCCGTGGATATCTCCGCCCTCTTTCACACACTACGGATTGGCCGCTGCGTGTGCTTGCTGAGAGCCCTCAACTGCTGTGATGCAGAATCAAACTCGGATGCCAAGGTGGGGCTTTAAACTCGTGGCTTCCACGCGATTGCGTTCCATGGCCAGTGCTTGAGTGCTACGGTAAAACGTTCGACAAGATGGTGTCATTAAGATCCCGGCGCGGCTCCAGGCATATGCCGGTGCAAACTATGGTCTCTCTTGTGATGAGCTGTTCTGACTGTGTCATCAAAGCTCGTTTTGTGTACCCTCGCTGAGGCTGGATACGTGAACAGCATTGTCGGTGACACTATCCGTCTCCGCCGTCACGGGACAGGCCAGGATCGCCTGGCTGATCAACCCTTGTAATCCCAACATGTGTAACTATCGTTGAGGCCTGCTTCTTGAGAACAATGCTCGCTCCGGGTCTTTTTCTGGTTGGAGATTTCACAGCAAAACGGCGGTGTGCACCTGGGCACCGGTCGAGTGCAACGCCGAGGAAGTCTTCAGTGCTTCAACCAGCCCGGCGGCTGACTGCTTCTGAATAACTGACAGCCGCATCAACACGCTCAACAACTCGCTTGTCTAAAGTCAGTTTTGGTGACACACGCCGTTCATGGCCGCAATGTTTGTTCCTCTTGAATGTGTCGAGGGCCTGAAATGGCACGAGTCGGTGAAGAGGCCAACACCGAGGCGGAGACTTGAAAGTGACCTGGGACCCTAAAGCTTTGGGATACATATGTATAGAAGGCAAGCTTTGTCATGGAAAGCAACACTTTCGGCCGAAGCAGACAGGTCGCGGATTTCCATCGTTTTCCAACTATTTTGAATTATTTTGAATTGAACATCGTCGAGACACACGATGCATTTTTCCTTATGCTTGGAAGCTCTTCTGGGCGTTGGCCTCACTGCTGCCGCGCGTAGCAGTAGTTCAATCCCACCTAAGAATGAGTCCATAATTCCCGGCGCTTTCATTGTCGAGTTCATGGCCGGCCACGACCACACCTCCTTCTATAGCAGCCTCGCGCTTGACGGTGTAGATATCATGCCGCGGATGAACATGTCTTTCAAGTTGTTCAATGGCTCCTCTTTCTCCATTGCGGACCGCCGCGGCCATGCAAGTATTGCTTCCAAGATCTCTGTCATGCCTTCTATCAAACGGATCTGGCCTATGCACCTCTATCCAGCCCCGACACTGGCAACTCACGGACTGCGTGGCCGTGTCCGCGACACGCCCTTCCCAAACGTTGATGATTTTGGGCATGCTTCAAAACATGAGGAAGCTACTGCCGCAGGAAACCACTCTTACTCCCCCCATTCGATGACCCAGGTCGACCGCCTGCACGCTGCAGGGTACACCGGGAAAGGATCTCGGATAGCAATCATCGACACCGGAGTTGACTACAAACACCCTGCGCTGGGAGGGTGCTTCGGCAAGGGATGCGTGATTTCTGGCGGTTACGACCTTGCGGGTCACAAATATGACGGTAACAGTCCTCCTGAGCCGGCTCCTTATCCATACGATAGCTGTAACGGCCACGGCACCCATGTGGCTGGAATCATCGGCGCGAGGCCCAACAAAATGGGGTTCACGGGCGTGGCCCCCGGAGCGGCTCTTTCAATGTATAAGGTTTTCAGCTGTGTGGGGCTCGCCTCCTACTCATCCACCGACGACATTTTAATCGCTGCATTCAATATGGCCTATGAGGATGGTGCCGATATCATCACCGCCTCGATTGGTGGGCCCGGCGGATGGAGTGAATCCCCGTGGTCTTCAGTTGTCGGACGTATTGTGGAGAACGGCGTTCCTTGCACCCTTGCAGCCGGAAACGATGGGTGGTTAGGGCTGTGGACGCCCAGTCAGGCCGCCGACGGCAAAGGCGCGACTGCCGTATCGTCCTTCGATAATGTGAGATCACCTTACATTCTGTACAAGGGTAGCTACTCGACCAATTCGTCGTCTTTTGGGTCAAGTTCCGGTTCGGCCTCGAAATCCTTTGGATGGTTGCCTGGCTACCCAAGATTTGTTGAGAATCTCACCCTGCCCCTCTTTGCTACCAGTCGGAACGCCAGCGTGGAGGACGATGCATGCGCTGCTCTTCCACACGATACGCCGATTCTATCAAACCTTGTCGTTTTGATTCGGACGAGCAAAGCTTGCAGCATTCATCGGCAACTGAAGAACGTGTTGGCCTACAATGCACGAAACATTCTCTTCTATGGCAATTCTGTAGATGAGTAAGTGACCCTGATATTTATGTCCGTACGCCTACTAACAAACAAAAGGCTCTTGCTTTTCAACAGCGGCGGCACTGGCATTGCTGCCGAATTTCGGTTAAACGGATTAGGTTTCGTACTTCCTGAGCAAGGTGTAGAGTGGGTAGGCCTGCTGGACAGAGGCTTAGGCGTGCGCGTATCCATATTCGACGAGTCAAATGCGGAATACATGTTGACGGAAACCAAAAATGTTTTCACAGGAGGGTTTGTAAGCGATTATACAAGCTGGGGCCCAACCCTCGACCTAGATGTCTTCCCTACACTTGGCGCTCCGGGCGGCAACATACTCTCTACCTACCTCCGAAGCGAAGGCGGTTACGCAGTCAACTCCGGTACATCAATGGCCACACCATTTATGGCGGGGGTCTTTGCCCTTGTCGGTCAAGTACGTGGTACCATGAATCCCACGGAGTTGTTACAATATATTTCCACTACGTCCAGGGCTCAACTATGGAACGACGGGACTGGGACATTGAACGGTCTTGCCCCGGTCCCTCAACAGGGGGCAGGGCTGGTACAAGCGTATGATGCGGCATTCACGACAACGCAAATTAATTCCAAAGGTATATCCTTCAATGACACAGACAACTTGCGAATTGCGACCTTTACCATTCGGAACATGGGGTCTGAAACTGTGACGTACAAGCTTAGCAACAGTCCTGCTCTGAGCATGCTCACATTCGGCAAGCATTCCAATCGCCCACTGGACTTTCCAAACGCCATCATCGCTACGACTGCGGATCTGCGCTTTTCCAACACTTCTGTGAGAATACCACCAAATGGACGCGTCAACATCACTGTGAAACCTACTGTTGCGGAAACCCCTGGATTGAGGCCAGGGCTCTTGCCAATATATTCGGGGTACATAGCTATCAACGGGTCGAACGGCGAGAACCTGTCTGTACCTTACTTCGGCGTGGTCGGAAGTATGTACAACACGATAGTGATGACCAGAAACGACCATTCGTCTTATTACTGCCCGGCAGACGCGTCCTCCTCCTTTGGAGACAAGACCACCTTCACCGTGCCATACCCAAGTTCGGAGAAAGTTATGCTTGAACCAAACTTCGAAAGGCGTGGAATGTACCCTTCGGTAAGTTTTAACCTAAATCTTGGCACGCGCATCCTCAGGGCCGATGTCATAGCCTTGTCATCCAACTACAGTCGCCCGACGACAACAGTCTTGGGCCGGAAGATCGCAGGCAGTGTCTATGGCTTTCCCGAGCAGTACGTACCGCGCATTCCCAAGTACGTGTACTTCACCGGAATGCTGGACGACGGAACTATCGTCCCTCAAGGCGAATATGCCATCTCCATCAAGGCGCTCAAGCTCTTCGGAGACCCGGAGAAACCTCAAGATTATGAGGGCCTCTTCGTGGACAATTTCACACTATTGTACCAGGATTGACCGAAAGAGACGGACATTGTGCGGTGGCAACGGCCCAAACGGATTAGTGCTCTAATAGGTGTGATTGCGTGCCGGTCGTGGAGCATCTCCCTGCTAGTCGCACCATTACTTAAGTAGTTAGCAAACATCTCAGAAGGTCACTTGACCTGCAGAGCTCGGCTGCAAAGGGCCTATAGTGGAATATGACAAATGCCACTTTTGGTCAATGTTCTCTCTTTTCTTCTCTCCCGGTATCTTCGACTGTGACCAAACAAAAAAGACAAGAAGAATGCATTCACACCCGCTTGGTCACATCTCAATAGGTGTGAGGGACTTCGGGGCAGCCAAGCGTTTCTACAGCGCCACGCTTCCCCTCATCGGCCTAGATCTCGTCTACGACAGCACTGCTACCATGCACGATCCTCCCTCTGGCGACGATGGCCCCAGAACGCTAGGCTTTGGACCCAACGCGGACAAAGAGCTGCTCAACATCTTCGAGTACGGCGCGCACGCATCAGCCCCGGGGCCCGGCAGCCACATTGCTTTCAACACGGACAGCCGGGCCAGCGTGGACCAGTTCTATGAGGCGGCAATCGCGAACGGCGGGCAAAGCAATGGCGCACCGGGCGTGCGGCCGCACTATGGGAGGAACTATTATGCTGCGTTTGTAATTGATCCTGATGGATGGAGGTTGGAGGTTGTTTGTCGAGATACCTGAATAATACAATCGCCATCGTACCCAGATGTCTCCAGTACAACCTCGAATTTCATCACGTCAGCTCGGGGGCTGTCGCGTGTCGTTTGCATTTTCTCTAGAATATTCAACTTTGGGTGAGTTTGGAAGTACCCCAAGGAATGGAAAGCACTGAAGTGAATCCTTTTACTGAGATGCTGTCAATCTTGGATTCACCAGTTGACATTGTGACGAACATGCAACAGACCTCGGGAGGTGCTTAGAAGCCTGAGGGCTTGTATACCTAGACACTCCGAGTCCTTGCAGGGGACAATTGGTTATTTTGGTAAATCTTGAAACTTACACGGGCTCTGGGAGATACCCAGGTATCAGATGTCTGCAGGTCCGCTTCGCCGCCGCGCTTGACGGCCACGGCATCTACCTAGGTATTATCTGCTAACCTCCCATAAGACAATTCTTTATACCATCACTCGAACCTCTTGTAGGATGAACCCCTACAAAAATACTGCTCATAGAAATACCAGATAGCCCTCTACTGCCAAACTCCTAGGAGATGCCAGGTTCGTGGAACAACTCGTAGAATGAAACCCGAGGTAGCCCAAGCCGCAGGGTCTCTGGTATGACATCAATAGATCATCTAGCTCTTCGAAGGTGTGCACTTTCATATGATAACATGCCTAGGTATGTATGTGACGCCCCATGTATGTCCTCGGACGTATGCGGAATAGAAGCGAAACCAGTATGTATGTGATGTATGTGATGTCGTGGGTTCTCATAGGATCTTTGGTGACATGTTAAGACAGAAGTAGAAAGCCAGTTTTTCATACTCCCGCTGGTGAGTTCGGTTCGTCTCTGCACTCAGCGTATGGCTGAAAATATCTGGAGACACGGTGCAGTGTTGACATCGACACACTGTCCAGCGGGGTATTGGTTGCAGGTGCCGGCGTACACTGGTTCTGGGAAGTTACCTACCTACCTAGGTACCTAGGTAGGTACCCTAGGGTACCACACCGTGCCAAAAGGCTCCTTCCTCTTGGCTCTAGATGATACCAAAACAAATTTGAACCCGGCAAAGCACCGACACGGTTCACACTTAACCCAACACTGCTCAATTGAGGCGCCCAACATGTCTGACGCTAATGCAACTACCCCGAGGGTTTTCTTGGCCCGCCATGGTACGATCTAGCATCAGACCACTCAATCTGTTGATGAGGACTGACTCTGCCGAACAGGAGAGACCGAATGGACCATCTCAGGACAATGCACCGGCAACGCCGATATACCTCTTACTGAGAACGGCCTCCGACAAGTCAAAGGCACTGGCGGCATGCTTGTCGGCCCAGGGAAGCTGATCGACCCAAGCAGACTCGCACATGTCTTTTGCAGCCCAAGGCAGAGAGCGGTCGTCACACTGGACTCGCTCCTTGGCGATGATGTAAAGCAGAAGCTGCAAGCCGAAGACAAGGTTACCGTTACTGAGGACATTAGAGAGTGGGACTATGGTAACTACGAAGGCAAGACGCCTGCCGGGATCAATTCTATTAGGGCAGAGCAAGGTCTAGCCAAGTGGAACATATGGGTCGACGGTTGCGATGGAGGAGAGTAAGTACTACGGCTGGACTGGGCACAGCCGACATCTTCGCTCATACATCACAGATCAGCCAGCGAGGTGCAGAAGAGGCTTGACGAGCTCATTGGGAGAATCAAGAAGATACAGGAGCCCTTCATGAATGGCGGAGACGCTCCTGATGTACTTGTTGTCGCTCACGGCCACATACTTCGAGCTTTCGTCAAGAGATGGCTCCAGTACGACATGGCATTTCCCTTTAACATGATGATGGAGCCAGGTGCTATCGGAACCCTCAGCTATGCCCACCATAACCTCGATGAGCCGGCTATTCTGGTCGGAATGGCCTTTGGGGCCGCAAAATAATGGCGGCAGAGACTACATCGTGTGGGATTGCACCCAGTGTCACAAGTGTTCCTTTTTCGTGGTTCACTTCGCTTCATTTTGGAAGGAATGTGAGTTGAGGTGGGCTATCGGTGTATTCTCTTCATTGGCGACACGGATGTGGCAGGCCTCACTCGTCGGCCGAAACACGGCCTGCGCATTCTCAGCCAACAGCACCGAGCGAACCTGCATTCTCAGCCACCACAAGTGACATCGTGAAAAGCAGCCGCGATGATGGGACAAATTGTCCTCAGAGGGTTGGAAGACCAAGATTCCGAATATGTAAAGCCAAACAGCACCAGCTGCGAGTGGTTCCCCCGGTGTGATTTGTAGTGTGTACATGTATGAGGGAGCTTGCTGGTCTAGTTTTGTCAAAACCAAACAAGAAGTCCCTCTCAATCTTTTCACTCATCCATTTTCACCCTAATTATCTGTAATTCCTCCATGCCCCATTTGCCATTGACCACGAAGCCGAGGAGAGGCCATCCGCACACATTCATCCGCAATGGGCTCAGCTTACGAGCAGTGGGGTCAGCGGTATTCCAGCTCAACCACTGGTAGCTACACAAGTTGGACCAGTATCATCATCTCGGACATACATATTCAGGTTCGTGATCAGGCCCAATAGCAAAAAGTGCAGAGTCCATGGTAAGTCAATTTCCAGATTGTCAATGCTTCCCAGCGTACTCGAGCTCTGTCCCTTCCTGAGTGGGTCCTGCTAGATGTGCGTTTATCGGCCATTTGTTTGAATGCGAATGTACCTAAAAGCCCTGATAATGCAAGGAACATCCAAAATTGACTGCTTATCATCGGATATATTCATCCAACCGACATAGCTAGCTGTAGGTTGTGACAGGCGAGAGTCTATAGATCTTGGCCTCATGTGGAAGCACCTCGGCTGAAAATGCCGGAGCCGTCAATGGCCCTTGCTGCTCGTGGGTCCAGAGGTCTTTAACTGTGTAAGACCTCCATTCCAAAAACAGGTACCGTTGAATGTAGAGACTCATTAGTGCCAACTCTGACCCACGATTCAGGAATGCAATGGCCACACTGCCATCTTCTAGCTTCCTTGCCCAATATTGTAGTTGACCATCCTGCTCTTCATAGACCACGCTCGCTGCAACCCCCAATGGGTCTTGGTTGATGGCGATGATTTCTTCGTTGGTAATGGTCTCAAGGTCGAAGCTCGAAAGCGTTCGCACGTCAGTGCCAATGAGCAGCGGACTAGCCACCATACACCACAAGCTGAAGTGCGCGCGATACTCGATGTTGCTCGCGCCGGCGCCAACAAGGCGCGGGGCAACGCCATTGAGCCCGACAATCAGCATGTCATAGTCGTTCCACCCGCCCGGGCCCGCGTACTCGGTGAGACTCACATTCTCGCCCCGAGTCAGCATGTCGAGGACGTCAAAGTAATAGTCCTCGCGGAATCCCGGGTAGTTGTAGTCGTCGCTGATGTCCTGTCCCATGCGCCAGTGATTCGCCCCCTCATCACGTGCCCAGGTCCAAATATCTGCCCATCCACAGTGGCACGCATGGTAGACGACATCGCGGTCCGTGGCACGCAATCCAAGAGCCATTCTGCGGACGTCACCTCGGACCACGTCCTCTGTGGCTTCTTTCCCCCTCCAGCAGCAGCTATCGTATTTGAGATGATCTACCCCCCAAGAAGCGAAAGTTGCGGCGTCTTGGTCTTCGTTTCCCTCGGTAGTTCCTGTGAACTTGGCACAGGTTGTCTCACCCGGACCGCTGTAGATGCCGAGCTTGAGGCCTTTGGAGTGTGCATAATCGGCAACGTATTTGATGCCGTTGGGAAACTTCTCCGGGTCAGCTTCAAGGGGGCCGGGATGGTCTGACCGATTGCCCTTGTACCGCTGCCAGCCGTCGTCAATATTTATATAGTGGTATCCTGCAGCTTGAAGCCCACTCGAATTGACGAAGTCGATAGTGGAAATCACAATGGACTCGTTAATATTGGGACCAAAATAATTCCAGCTGCTCCCTTCGCCGTAGTTAGCAGACTGCTGGGAAGGGGCTGTCACACTTTAAATGGTTCGTGGCCAAGGGTTGTACACACAAGAGTTCCACATCAGGTCCCATGCCCTTGAGAATCTCCTTACGAAAAAGAAATCAAGTACTTACATCCCATTGGTGGCGTCAAAGCTAGATTATTGGGCGGGAGTGGCTCGTTCCCGCCGTCTGTGCCATTGTTTCCTTGGCTGTTCACCAATCGCCAGATGGCCGCGGTCACGAAAACAAAAAGCATTTTCACAACAGACATACGAATCAGGGTGGAGGAGGAATGACACCGAGGAATATTTCTTTCAGGAAGCCCCGTGAGGGTCCCTTACCTTAAGAAGGATCCTCTACCGCATCCGGGTGTTGGAACTCACCCTACCTACTTAAGTAAGTAGGGTAGCCCTCAGCCGGCTCGCGCTCGGCCGTGGCTCGAGCCACCAACAAATGTACCGTGCCTAATACATGTAATAAACGAGATGTTACCATTGGCACCTTGCAGCGGACACACGGAATGGGTTCGTCTCTAGCCCCGGCAAGTCGGTCATAATGTAACTTCAAGCTGCACCCAAAGGGTCGTCTCTGGAAACACGAGCAGCCACAATACTCCTCAAGGATGAGCGGGGTTAATGCCAAGTAGAACGTCATCCCATGCCCCTCGTATAATTCTATGCCTGCTGCGAGGCCGCAGCTGCGGCCATGACACCAAACTGCAACATCGTGTTGGTCTTGCCTGCCTAGGTTCGCGAACGAGAATGCACCGTGCTAACGAATGTCAGAGGAGCCTAGAAGAAACGGGGTGCAATGCGAAATGCATGTTGTTGGTGCCTTGGTCTTGGGGATCGAAATCTTGCAAAGCCCCAATTGTAACTTTAGTCTAAATATACATTAAAATTAAATAGCAAAACAAAGAGCATATATCTAAAATCTTTCTAGTACTGGCCCTATCATTAAAGCCTTTAAATCCCATACCCACCTAGGCTAATACACTTATTAATATTTTAAGGTATTAAAATTATACTTATAATATTAAAATATAAACTTTTTAAAATTTATTTTTATAAAAAGTTTAATTTATTAAATAAAGTAATATAAATTATAAACTATTTATATTTCTTAAAGCTTTAACTATACTATATTTTTCCTTTATATTATATAACTATTTATTTCTTCTTTAATTTAAAGCTTATATATAAAGTCTTTAATAACTTTATATATATTCTTATAGTTTTTAAAAAAACTTTAAATTTATTTTTCTTTTATTTTTATTATACTTTTCTATACTATTAAAAGTTAATAATTATTAATAATAAAAGTATAAACTTAAAGAAAAATAAGTTTATTATACTCTCTCTTTATCTTCTTATAAATTATTTTTAAGATTTTTTTAAAAGTTTTAATACTTTATTATAAAAGTCTTAAAGGTAATATATTATAAATTATTTTTTATTTTAAGTTTTTAAAATTAATAATTATATATTTAATTAAAGATTATAATATTAACTTATTTAATAAAAGTTTTATTAATATATATATATATATATATTTAAAGAAATAATTTTTAATTAAACTTTTAATATAATTTATTTATATAATAACTATTTTTAAATTTAATTTTATTATATAATTTTTTATAATAATTAAATTATAAACTATTTTATTTATAATTTTAATTAATATTATTATTAAAATAATACCTTTTAACTTTATTTATATATTATAAAGTTAAAATTATAAATATTTATTATATTATAATTATTATTATTAATATTATATTCTTTTAAATATTAAATTTTAAATATTTATTATTATATAAAGGTATTATATATATTTTTAAATATGTATAAAATAAAAGTAAAACTATATATTTCTTAAATTTTATTATTAAATTAAAAGTAAATAATTAAATTTTTAAAATATAAAATATAATATATTTTAAAAATTAATTTTATTAAATTTATTATATAAACCTTTTATAATAATTTTATATTTTAATATAAAGTTAAATTTAATAAAATAAATTTTAAAATTACTTTTAATATATAAATTAATTTATAATAATATTTTAAAATTATATTAAAAATTCTATTTATTAAAAATAGTTTTTATAAATTTTTTAAATTAAAATATTATTAAAATAATAAAGCTAGTATCCACCTACCTAACCTTAATATCTATCTATTTAATAATTTCTATGAAGCTACCTAATATTTATTTTTTTAATAACTCCTTTATATTAATAAGTACTTTCTAAGTTAGTATAAAAAGACTTTATAAGATAATTTTCTTCTTTAAATTTTAATACTTTAAGTATAAGCCCCTTCTAGCACACCTTCTAATATACCTTCTAGCACACCTTCTAGCATACCTTTTAGCGCACCTTCTAGCACGCCTTCTAGTATACCTTCTAGCACACTTCTAGCCCTCTAGCACCCCTTCTAACCTGCACTCCTTCTAACTATTTAGATACTAACTAAACGTTTAAATATTAACTAAATATTAAAAGGTTAAAGGTTTAGAGGATTAAAAGGTTAGAAAGGGTGTTAAAAGGTTAGAAAGAGTGTAGTTTTTATTTTTACTTTCTTACTATTTAACTTTTTAATATTTAATTAATATTTAAATATTTAATTAATATTTAAATATTTAATTAATATTTAAATAATTAGAAGGTGTATAGATTATAAGGAGTATTAAAAGGTATATTAGAAAGTATATTAAAAGGGGTATTAAAAATAAAAAAGGTTTATATTTAAAGTATTAAAAATTTAAAGAGCTTTAATTAAATATATAGTTTTATATAAACTTTATACTTAAAAACTATATATTAAATAAGTATATAGAAATTATTAAATAAATAAATACTAATTTAAAATAATATTTCTTAACTTTATTTATATATTATAAAATTAAAACTATTAGTTGGCTTAGTTTACGCGTAAAAAGTGGTTGAAGTAAAGTAAATTAGTGATAGTTAGAAGGTCTGCCTAGTGGGCGGTGAAGCGCCTAGTTGGGTTGGCCAGATCTACTAATTAAATATAGTTTGTATATAGATACAGACCCACTAATCCTGCTTATAGTAGCTAATCCACTATAGCCTACTATTTCTATACTAGTAACTTTTTAATCTTTTAAAATTAAGGTCCTTCCCTTCCTTTTAGCCAATTAAAGAGCTCTATTTATTAATAAAGTAGTTTCCAATTAAATTACTAAATTACTTAGAATTACTACTAAACATACAATTATAATCTAGTTAATTTAAGTGGTTTAAAAACGCTTTAAATTAACGTTTTATAAATTACCTAAATTACTTAAATTTAAATTGCTTTAGTAGGTGAAATTAAGTTTGAATTGCTAATTGCTTGTCGGGCTGTCTGTTAGGTGGTTACTAACTGCTAATATTTAGCTAGTTGGCCCTTTTAGTAGTTTTTTCTTCTATGGATCGGCTTAATAGATATAGTTCCTTCTTAGTAAATATATTACTACTTTATCTATAAGGGCTATTGCTTATTTTATTAATCTTTTATCTTCTTTTTTTTAGTTGGTTAATTAGGTAGTTATAGTAACTCTTCCTTATTAGGGTATAGGATTTAAATGAGATTGAGAATGGCTTGAAGTACTAGTTTAGTATTTAGCCTAATATAAATACTATCTAAGTAGAGGTTATTATAAAGGTTTTTAAGAAGTTTTAGCTTAATTTACTTAAGGTACTTCTTAATTTAGTTCTTAAAGGTCTTATAAAAGTACTAAAAGTACTTATTAAAGTAGTTATTTAAAAGTGAGTTACTAATAAGATTACTAGTAAATTACTAGATTTTATTATTATTAAACTTAATAGCTATATATTCCTCTTTATAAATATTATTAATATACTTTTTTATTTTATTTTTTAACTTAAATACCTTCTTCTTCTCATTAGGGTAGTATAGGTAGGTATATTATTAGTGTACGCCTATAGTAGCTATAGATAATTTTATCTTTAGAGAGGACTTAGGACTGTAGCAGCCACAATACTAGAGTATTCTGCTAGTAGTTGTGGGAGAGAGAGAGAGAGAGAGAGAAGTTGAGAGAGAGAGTGAAAGTTACTTGTTTAATTAATTGCTTAGGTGACGTAAGGGTAGGTTAGGCAGGTAAATAGGTTAACTAATAGGGCGGTTTGCCAAACAGGTTGGCGGGTATATAGCTAAATACCAGTTTAAGGGTTTAGTAGGTAGGCTTGAATTATTAGTCGTAAGAGAGAGAGAGAGAGAGTTATTATAAGAGAGTTGCAAGACTTGCCTAGCGAAGGGGTCCTGCTTAGCGGTCAATTACGCCTAGGTAGCCTAGACGACTCACCTTTTAGAGAGGCTGCAACGATAATAGTAGTATCATTAATTTATCCTTTTTATTAAGGACTATAATAGTAAAGTAGCCTTATTAATTTATCCTTCTTAAGGACTTAACGCCTAAGTAGTTTAAATAATTTACTTTATTATTAGAAGCTAGTTAGTAAAGTTGGTTAGTAATTAATTAGTGTTGATTGGCTTAGCTTATATATAAGAAGTAGTTGAAGTAAAGTGAATTAGTAATAGTTAGAAGGTCTGCCTAGTGGGCGGTGAAGCGCTTAATTAGGTTGGCCAGACTTGCTGACTAAGCGTGGTCTGTATATAGGTACAGACCCACTAATCCTACTTATAGTAGCTAATCCACTACAGCCTACTATTCCTATAAAAATTATAAATATTTATTATAATATAATTATTATTATTAATATTATATTTTTTTAAAATATTAAGTTTTAAATACTTATTATTATATAAAAATATTATATATATTCTTATATAAATATAAAATAAAAGTAAAATTATATATATTAAATTAAAATTAAAGAAGTTAGTTCTTTATAATAATATTTTATAAATATTAATATTTTTATATTATTAATAAAAGTTATATAAAATATTATTTATATTTTATAATATAAATATTTAAAATTTATATTAAATATAAAATAAACTTAAACTTTAACTATATTATATTTTTCTTTATATTATATAACTATTTATTTCTTCCTTTAAAGCTTATATATAAAGTCTTTAATAACTTTATATGTATTCTTATAATCTTTTTAAGAGAAACTTTAAATTTATTTTTCTTTATTTTTATTATACTTTTCTATATTATTAAAAAGTTAATAATTATTAATAATAAAAATATAAATTTAAAGAAAGATAAATTTATTATACCCTTTCTTTATTTTTTATAAATTATTTTAAAACTCTTTTAAAAGTTTTAATATTTTATTATAAAGTTTTATTAATATATATATATATATATATATATATTTAAAAATAATTTTTAATTAAACTTTTTTAATATAATTATAATATTTATATAATAATTATTTTTAAAAACTTAATTTAACTATATAACTCTTTTATAATAATTATAAACTATTTTTATTTATAATTTTAATTAATATTATTATTAAAATAATACTTTTTAATTTTATTTATATATTATAAAGTTAAAATTATAAATATTTATTATATTATAATTATTATTATTAATATTATACTTTTTTTAAATATTAAATTTTAAATATTTATTATTATATAAAAGTATTATATATATTTTTAAATATATATAAAATAAAAGTAAAACTATATAAAATAAACTTAAAAAGTAATATTATTTTTTTAAAAAAAAAAGTAAAGGTTACTTTTTAAACTTTAAGATAAAAGGTAATAGTATAATAGTCTTATTAATAAAGGGGTATATAAGGACTCCTATAGGTCCTACCTACTACCCTTAACCCCTACCCCTTACTCTTAATACCATGGAGTGTAAAAGAGTATATGGGATAAGCTAAGCTGTTGTTGAGCAATAGGCGACCGGGCGGTTTGGAGAGGTGTATGTAAATGTACCCTACATGCAAATTAAATACGGTGCTGGCGTGGTGTGGCACGATTTACGCCTAGGGAAGCATGAGTATGGCAGAGAACAAACCTTTCATGATTTGTAGAATGGGATTATTTGATGTAAGGTAGAACTGATTTTATTGGTATTTCGGTGCACCAAATCTAGCGATGGAGGCTAAGCAGCTCATCTTGAAGCAAACAACTTGGGAGGAAAACGCTGCCCCTACTCACTCTAAACTCCCATAACAGAAAATCGGTCGAACAATTAAAACCGTCATCAGACTCCAGTCCTGGGACCCACCTATTTCATTGCAATGCTGTGAGAGTTCCAGTTCTGTACCAGAGCAATCCCTGCTGAACGGTTCTGTTGTGCACGCCTGGGCAGCCTTTCAAGAGGGGCGAGCGTTGCCGGCGCCGCCGAATCGGGCTTGGGGGCCCGGAGTAAGCGGACCGAAAGTATGCCGACTTGCCCTCAAACCTCTGCGACCTGTACTTGGTGAGAAGTGACAATGGCTCTTTCAGAGACGCGGCCGTGACATTACAGCTAACCCGAAAATCAGGCTCCACGTACCGGTAGAAGGTCTTGAACCCGTTGTCGACGGTTCTGTAGCAAGCACCGAGAGCGCCATAAATATCGACAACATGCAGGTTGGCGCCTCCTTCATCTGAAGAAGAGTCAGAATCACTCCAGAAGTCATCTGAGTCAGACATTTGATCATCATCATCATCATCATTGAGATCCTTCAGGTCGCTTACGATAGATGAGTCGATGCTTGGCTCTTGAGACGGCTGTAGATCCAGAGGAGCCTGGTTGAGGGCACCAAAGCTTTGCTCCTGGTAAGTCATACTTTGAACGATGTTTTTAGACCTTGTTGTAAGAAAAAAAGCTCACTTTTTGCCTGTGGCACTGGGTCTTTGCTAGTTTGCGAAGGGTGTGAAGACTTCTCCTCATAAAATGGATTTCTAACCACAAACAAGACTATATAGGTATGTCCAAGGGGGTATTGGTGCGTATTCACTTTTGGACACAATGCTGTCTCCAGCAATTCCACATCTACAAAGGTCTTCTTTGCTTTCCTTTGACGCCTGGTCGAGCTTGTATCCTATTTGACTAGCTCTTCAGAAGCGCATTGTTATTGTAGACAATGCTTCACCCATAACGCGTCTGTTCTTTGATATAGTTTCCGTATGGTTATCAGAGAAGACAAAGCACTCCTTGATCAGTGTGTAGAGTTGCCACGTGCCTGACCCTCGACCACGAGACAGCGCAAAAAGCGGTCGATGGTAAAGTCCGCCCACACTCGGGCCACCTAATTCAAACTACCCTATCATGCTACAGAACTTCTATTTATCTATACTAATTTATACTTTAATAGTAACTTATTTAACTTTAAGAAAGTATTAATAGTAGTATTAGTAAATATTTTAAATTTATATAATAAAATTATATAATAAAATTATATAATAAAATTATATATATATATATATATATTTAATTATTAAAGAAAAAATAAATAGTTAAATATAAAGATATTTATATAATATAAAGAAATTATATAATATAATTAAAGTTATATAATTTATTTATTAATTAATAAAAATAACTTATAAAGTTTTATTATTTTCTTTTTATTATTTTTTACTACTTTTATTTTATTACTTTTTAAATTATTAAAGCTTTTTTTATTATTAGTTATAATAATTATAAAAGTATATATAAAAAGGTTAATGTATAAATAGATAAAATGCTTAAGTGTTATGCTATATTTATTTAAAGAGACTCTGACTAAGGGATGATCACCCCTCGCTTAATGATTGTGAACGTGCAGTGAGATAAGAAGCCCTAAGGGCCTCTCTCTCCCTTCTAGACAGCAAAAGTAAATTAGTGAAAGTTTACACATGGAAGTATTAAAACAAGTTTTATTTAAAACAAGTTTTAAGTTAACAACCCACTCTACATACCACCCCCTTCCCACATACTATAAATTTATACACCTCTAATTAATATTACTTATATAAATACCTACTTTATAAACTCTATAAAAATTATATATATATAAAAATTATATATATATAAAAATTATATATATATAAAAATTATATATATATAAAAATTATATATATATAAAATTATATATATATAAAAATTATATATATATAAAAATTATATTATTTAAATCTTTATTCTCTTCTATATATAATAATATACTTTATATACTCTATTTTAAAATTCTTATTATTATTAATACTTAACTTAATAATAAGTTATAATATAAAGTATATAATAAATACTATTTTAATAGGTATACTTTATAATAATATTTAATAAGTATATTAATTTAAGAGTAAGTTAATTTAAACTATTAAAAGTTATTATTAATTTAAAAGAGTTTATTAATTAATTAAATTCTTATATAAAGTTAATTAATTTATTTTTCCTTTTATATTTTTATTTAATACTTTATTAATTAAATTATTAATTATAAAATTTTAATTCTACTATTTATATACTCTTTAATAAGTAATAAATCTATTAATTTATTAAATAGAATTTATTAATTAAAACTTTAAAACTATATATATTAATTATTATTAAGTTAATAATATAATAATTAAATTTCTAATTAAATTTATAATTATTTTAATTTATTAAATTTATTTAATATTCTATTAAATAATTAATAATATATTAATAAAATTAATATATAAAAATAATAAAAATAATAATTTAATAATAAATTTATTAAATAAGAAGTTAATTATTAAAAGTAAGTACTTTAATAATTATAATATACTATTATTAAAAACTATAATATAATTAAAAAGTACTTTTACCCTTATTATATTTAAAGTAAAAATAGTTTAATAATAATAGTTTTTAATAATAACTTTATTAACTTTAAGGATTAATAATTTATAAATTTAAATATTAATTAAATTAATAATTAAATAAATTTAAAGTAACTAACTAAAATCTATGTTCTAAAAATAAAGTTAAATAGTTTTAAAAGTTAAAAATATTAATCCTTAATAGATATTATTTATATATTACTAATAAATTCTTTTAAATTTATTTTATTATTAAATATAATTTATTTTTCCTTTTATATATACTTTCTATATTTTATAACCTTTTAATATTAATATCTTTTAATCCTTAAATAATAATATTATTAATAACTTAATTTACTTATAATAATATATAATATAAAAAATCCTTTAAAAGATTCTTTTAAAAATATATTAAATAGTTTATATAATAATATTTATATTATTTAAAATTAAAAATATAATTTATAATAAAAGTTTAACTATAAAATAAAGAAAAAACTAAATTTAAAGCTAATAATATTACTAACTAATATAGTTACTATTATACTTATTTAAAAGTACTTACTATTTAATTTAAATAAAGAATTAATTATAATTAATCTAAAAATACTTAAATCCTTTTAATAACTATAAATTATTAAATTTAAATTATATATATTAAATAATTCCTTTAAATTACCTATAACTTATTTATTTTTAAAACTAATTAAAGAACTAAATAAATTAAGTATATATATAATTATTATAAAAATTAAAAAAGTTTTTATTAATACCTTTAAAAATTAAAAGCTTTATAAATAAACTTAAATTATATTTAACTTAAATAATATATTTATTAATATTATAATATTTAAAAATAAAAGTAATTATAAAATAAAGTTTAATTAAAACTCTATTAAAAATTAATAATAATAATATTAAAATTAAAAATAAAGATTTATTAAAAGAATATATTAAAATTTAAAAGTTAAATATTAAAAATTTCTAATTAAATAGTAAATAGCTTTATTAATTATTAAAAAATTTAAGTTTAAAGTTAAATAGTTAATTTTTAAATATCTAAAATACTTATATATAAGAAGGGGGTAGTGTATAAAGTAGGTTGTTAATTTATTACTTAATTATAAGAGGCAGATTAGAAAGGCAACCTCATATTCATCTATCATGGAACATTTCCGAAAAATAGATATCAATTATTAGCAGCTATCTTTGTTTCAGTTCAGATGTTCTAGCTACATAACCCAAGAGTGGGACAGGAATGAACGACATGGGTATCTAACTTTAAAAGATTATCTTTAGACACTGTGTGTAAAACCAACACTTTCTTTTTACCCTAGAGTTGAGGGTCGATCAAAGCCAAGAGGAGACAGGTATGCCGCCACGTCCATGATCAAGCTTTGAAAGAGTCGGCAGGGACGTCAACCACAACTCCTGGCTCCCTCTCACCACAGGCCGTGCACTTGGGGTCCGTCTCCCACGCGGGCTTATCGTTTTCCCACAGCCTCGTGTGCCAGCCCTCGTCTTTGTCACCCTCGGCCGAGCGCGCCTTGACGTGCCTGCGCCTTGGAGGGAAAAGTGGTGGAGGGACAACTGGAGGGGGAACAACTGGAGGTACAAATGGGGGAGGTACAACTGGGGGTACAAATGGGGGAGGTACAACTGGGGGTACAACTGGGGGAGGTACAACTGGTGGGGGAACGACTGGGGGCGGAACGACTGGTGGGAGAGCCGGTGGAGGAATAACTGGTGGGAGAGCCGGTGGAGGAATAACTGGTGGGAGAACCGGAGGAACAATTGGTGGGAGAGCCGGTGGAGGAATAACTGGTGGGAGAACCGGAGGAACAATTGGTGGGAGAGCCGGTGGAGGAATAACTGGCGGAACGACTGGAGGAATAACTGGTGGGAGAACCGGTGGGACAATTGGTGGGAGAGCCGGTGGAGGAATAACTGGCGGAACGACTGGAGGAATAACTGGTGGGACAACTGGTGGAGGAACCACTGGAGGGTCAACTGGAGGGTCAGCTGGAGGGTCAGCTGGAGGGTCAACTGGAGGCGGAACGACTGGAGGAGGGACCACTGGCGGAGGGACCACTGGTGGAGGGACCACTGGAGGCGGAACGACTGGTGGAACGACTGGTGGAGGGACCACTGGTGGCGGAACAACCGGTGGCGGAACGACTGGAGGCGGAACGACTGGTGGAACGACTGGTGGAGGGACCACTGGTGGCGGAACAACCGGTGGCGGAACGACTGGAGGCGGAACGACTGGAGGGACCACTGGTGGAGGGACAACTGGTGGCGGAACAACCGGGGGAACAACTGGTGGCGGAACAACTGGTGGATAGCTAGGATACTTTGGCGGGTCGGGATACTTGGGCCGGTCGGGATACTTGGGCCGGTCGGGATACTTGGGAGGGTACGGTGGATATTTGGGGTATTTGGGCTTGTGGTAGTCGTGTTCGTGTTCCTTGCAGAGGTACAGGACCAAGTCGGCGAAGTCGTCACATGTCTTCTTGCCGCCGTCCCCAATATCGCAGCCTGCATTCAGGTTAGTGATGGGTACCAAAGAGGAGATGTATTCGCACTCACCATCATCCCAGTACTCGGAAGGGCAATAGTCCTCTTCAGGCTTGAGCTCCACCTTGTGGCCTTCGAAGGGGTGTCCGTACTTGTCGTACAGGTCGTAGTCAACCTTGCCATGATGCTTTTTGTAGTAGAGGATGAGCTTGTTGTCATCATGGTACCAGTGGTGCTTGTCCTTCACAATCTCCAGTGCGACACCACCTTCCAAGTACTTCTCGACGTACTCTTGGCGGCAGCCAATCTTGTAAGGTCCGTCGGTGTCCCAGGCAACAGACCACAAGTAGACGTCGTACGGGCAGAAGTTGACGACCTTCGCATGGCCGTAGCCCTTGTGGTGATGGTGGGGATGCTTGTCATGTTCGGGTTTGTTGTGGTCAGGGTAGTCCTTGTGACAATCATCGTGATCATGGCAGTCAGGCTTCTTGGGATAGTATGGTTTTTTTCCGTAGTCAGGGTAGTCAGGCTTCTTGCCATAGTCCGGGTAGTCAGGCTTCTTGCCATAGTCCGGATAGTCAGGCTTCTTGCCGTAGTCAGGGTAATCAGGCTTCTTGCCGTAGTCGGGGTAGTCAGGCTTCTTGCCATAGTCCGGATAGTCAGGCTTCTTGCCATAGTCCGGATAGTCAGGCTTCTTGCCATAGTCCGGATAGTCAGGCTTCTTGCCGTAGTCCGGAGGATCGCCGACAGCTTGTACGCCCGCCGCCGCCGCCGACAGGGCGGCCAGGACGTAGGGACGGAAACGCATGGCTGAATCTCTCGAGATAGACCTAGTGAGGCTTGCAAGTGAGAAACGTAATGCCTGGCTGACTCCCACGAAGGAGTCAAAAACAGAAAAGACAAAGGAGGAAGACTGGAGTCCCCAGACTTGGGGATCACCCTCTTATACCTTCAGGCTCCAATGTCGCGCCGACACCTTGCTAGGTCAGGTCAGACTTCCTGTTGAGGTTGAGCGGCACATGTCAACACTTGTTGAACACCATGTCTTGATATCATAATGAGCCTCAACGAAGTGCCTCGGGCCCTGGTCCGGTGCGGGATCGACGTGAGGCACTGCTGCGTACCGTGACCGTGTTATGTAAAATGGTGTCGCGGACAGAGTCCGGTGAGGCGACCATTTCTGGAATCGTGATTGATGGCCCTCACTGATGTCTGTGCGAGAGATGGAGGCTTCATGTGGTTAGTTGGTCTGGAGCTCAAGCAGCGAACATGTGAGTAGGTAGTTTGCTGAATCACCTGGGCATGCTTGCCATCCGGGTGCAGCAGGCGACAGCAACAAACAGGACAAGAGGCATGTGAAGCGAGGTGTTGCTCTGTCGGAGCGGCCGTCATGATGCCCAAGATGAGATTCGTGCCACAAATTTCTATTCTAAACTGAACACACGCTGTAGTAAATTTGCCAGGAGGTGACAGAGCTCAACTTGTTGGACCTTCGATTGTGGCCTCTTGGAGGTTCAGCGAGAGAGCCCAGGCTCTCGAAGAGCTTCCGCGGAGGCTCAGACCTCCACAGCTGCACTTGGAGCTGTTCGGGGTACTCGGAGGGGGCTCTCGCTGGTCCAGGCGATGCCTCGAGCCTCGTAGCGTAGCGTATTTAGCGGCGGGCTTGCGTGCATCTGACAGCTGTCAGAAAATACTCGGCGTGAGGTCCGGCGCGGGGGAGCTGACCAGCGTGGTTCTAGTTCTGGCAGAGGAGGGCTGCTGTCAGCTGCTTTGGGCATGCCCAGGGGTGAAAGATGACTGACTGCTCATGCAGTTCGAAGCAGGGAGCCCGAGGGCAGACGATTGGTGCAAGTGACGGGGCCTCCTCGGTTGGCGGTCTGGCGGTATTGAAGCGGATGCGTGCACGTTGCAGCCACGCGACTCTCGGGTAGGCTCCACGCGTCTTGCCCTCCAAGGCTTGCACTCCAAGGCTTGCCCTCCAAGGCTTGCAGCTTTCAGATGCCACAAAGGAAGGAAGTGGTGATGTAATCAGAACGGGCCTGTCGATTCGTCAACACTGCGCGGGCTAGCGCGGCTGTTCCGCTTGCCTGAGAGATATCGTCATGGATGTTCTTTGACCAGCCCGCAACACAAGATGACGTCTTGCCAGGTTGCTCAACGCCCGATGGCCCATAAAAGGGATGTTTGCGCATGGAGCAGTGTCTGAGTCGCAACTCGAGCCCGTTCCATTAGTGGATGCTCCGTCGTCCCTCGTGATTGATCAGACCACCATCGTGCATCCAGCAAGCGCCGGACCTCCAAGCCCTGCAAGCCCTCTCCGTACTCCAAAATGCCGTCTTCCAAGGGAAAGCCGACAGATCCCGAGCTGCGGGAGGAGATCAAGGAGGGCAAGTTTTCCCCGTCCCAATGGCAATCCAATTCCATCCTGGGCTTGGTGCGGTCGACTAACATCCCCCGGCAGAAATCAAGCAGGAGCCAAACAAATCAGGAGGTGGTGAGGGCCAATGGTCCGCGTGGAAGGTATGAGAGCAGAGAGCTCGGCCCCCCAGCAAGAGGGGCTCGAATGACAACACTGACCTCCGTGGGCCCAGGCATCCAAGCTGGCCAAGGAGTACGAGAAACAGGGAGGAGGCTATGAGAACGAGCCAGGCTCCAAGAACGAGCCGAAGAAGGGGGAGCCAGAGCCCAAGAGCGACAGCAAGAAGAAGAAGGAGACCGAGGACTGATCGTGTAGTTTTACATTTGCCAACTGATATATAGCTCTCAGTATGAGACTCGTCAAATGAAACCATTATGAAAACGCCCGACGCCACGCAATATCCGATTCACGTCCAAGACGTTGGGACATGGCAAACCCATGGTGGTCTTACGACGCTGGGCAGTGCCGCCCGGAAATAGCAAAAATCCAACAACCGTTGCCCTGCCCAAGTTGTATCAGGTACAGCCTCACTCCTCCTGAGGCCAAACTTCCATCATATCGAGCCATTCGAGCGCAAAAGCAGTCGTGATCTTGGCCCAGTCGCGCACCGTCGGCATGTCGAGGTGCTCGCCGTCGTCCTGCATCGTGTGCCACACCCTCGGAAACGGGCTCGGGATGAGGTGCAGGATGGGGACGCCCTTGGCCATGAAGGGCACGTGGTCATCGCCAACCCATGACCGTGTGAACTGTGTTGTAAGCTTGTCCGAATCGGGCAGGAACGGTCCCGCCGGCTTGGTCTCGAGGAGCCCCAGGTCCCGCATACGCTGCTCGATCTTGGACATGGCCTTGTACGCCCAGTGGGTCGGGAGGAAGTACGACGGGATCTTGGGATCTGCGGCGCCGAGGAGGTCGAGGAGGACGAACAGGCTGATCTGGTTCAGGCGGTTGGGGAAGTTGGCGGTGGCCAGTGTCGGCTGGTTCTCCCACGAGTCGGCCAGGGACCTGTTGTCCTACATTAGTGTGGGCGTGTGCCTGAGAGGGAACACAGGAGCGTACCTTGCCCCGTAGAGCGAGTCTGTGTCGGTCCACGACACAAAGGCCTCCTCGCCGTCGAGCAGCAGTATCTGCACGCCCATGTCCATCGCTGGCGTGCCCCCTAGCTCGCCCAGCGCTACCATCTCGTCGTACATCTGCGTGAGGTATTTGTCGATGCTCCTCGCCACGTGCATGAGCATCGCGCAGGGCGCCGCGCTGTCGGTCGCGCCGATGAAACCCTCGGGCGTGAGCTTGCTGTCAAAGTGCGCCACGAGGGTCAGGATGTTGGCCTGGCCCGTCTTGGTCCACGGCGGCTCCCTCTTGAATATTATGTTGTTGAATGGGACGTCTCTGGACCCCGTCGCAGGCGTCTGGGCAGTCGAGTTCTGCCATTCGGTCGTCCACTTCGGCAGCTCCTTCTGGAAGAAGTCGACAAAGTGCTGCTGGACTTGGATCGAGCCCGGCGTGCCCGGCACGCGGGGGATCAGGATCGGGGCGAGCAGCGCGCCCTTGTGGATGTCGAAGTCGTCGCCTGGGCCCGGCACGGCGCGCAGGAAGCTGTCGGAGAGGGGCGAGTAGGCGGCTGCCGTCACCAACAGCAGGACGAGGGCCAGCATCGAGGGAACGTGGCCCAGGCCGGCCAGCCGTTTCATGTTAGGGAACGTCGTCGGGGCTGGGCTCGCGCCCTCGTGATCATGCTGGGGCGGCGAGGGAGAGCAAAGGACAGCAAAGGTTTGCCGATGTAAAATACGCAATCGAGGGTCGGGCCGTCGCGGTCAATTCAACAATGTCATGGATGCATCGGATACTTGGAGTTGAGTGGTTGTTAAAGACACATGTCTCGCGCTTTGTGTTGCGTCCAACTTTAAACTAGGATCCCTGCGGCGTCTCGGAATCTCGAGTGGCCCCCCCCACCTTGGCAGGGCCCCCACGATCTTTAGCCTCAATGCCCCAGGACCCTGGCTGAATCCGGACTGCCCTGAGCTTCAATGCTAACAACCCCTTCGAAACGCATGGTAGCAATGTCGAGCCCTCATCAACGTTGTGATTTGTTGCGTATCTAATAGCCAGAAATCTGCCCAAGCTTCCCAGTGCTCGCCTCACTGTCAGTCGGGTAGTGCGCTGGATGTATGAAAGGATGCCGGTCGCGTTGGGGCTCCATTTGCATAAAGGTACCAGCCAGCATATCCGCAGCGCAAGAGGAGAGTTACGGCAGGCCGTCAGCACCGCGGGAGATCATGATCACTGGACGCATACGAGGGTAGCTTTGCCTAAGCTCTGTACCTCGAAGGTGTAGCTCCCGAGACTCATCCTCGTCGAATGCCAGGAGGGACGACGCACCCGTCAAGTGGTCTAGTCCTCTCCGTACATCCCTCATTTCCCGAGCAGCCAGATCCTTCCAGCATTGGACGAATTCAAGGAGATTCGTGGGATGGCGAGATTGCGTGTATTTCTCCCACTTATCCAAGAAATCCGTGGTGCCGAACTTGTTGCAGGCATCAAAAACCATGGACATCTGGTGTGTATCCCCGATGGGAATCAAGGCACTGCGGCTCGCACCAAATTCGCCAAAGAGGCCGGTGCTTGCAGCCTCCTCCTCGGTGACATCCAGTTGCAGGTCCAGAATGGCAAAATCGCAGTCTTTGAGTCCCTCTACAAAATCGTGGTAGAGTTGGCGGCCCCGACCTTCGAAAAACGCAACCATGACCCACGAATAGTCAAAAGCGACCCGCATGTCTCGGTCTCGGAGAAGGCTGTAAAGATGGTCGCTCTTTCGACATTTGTACAACTTTCCATCGCTGGGGATGCATCGGCTGAGATTGATAAGAACAGTATCTCTCTTCGAATCAACCCACACATGGCCTAGCCTATCGCTCTGTTTGGTCTGCCCACGGACCATGATCTTCTTCACCGAACCGTTGGAAAGGGCCACAGCGCGAGCCTCGGAGCAGACATGAGCGATCGCGGGCGGCTGTGCAGCCTTGGCTCCGTGGGACTGCTCTTGGGTCCAGCACTTCTGGCGAAAATGAAACTTCTTCAATGGAGTCGGGAATGTGTGGACGCGATGTGGAAGGCATAGCTCCCATATTTCGATTCGAAGCTCAGGAGGCAAGTCCTTGAATCGGTGGAATGTTTGTGGTGCGGCTCCATCTGAGGGCATTGTTGCAGGGATTGCCAGGCCAGAGGGCTGAGAGGGCGGAGAAACATCTTCCTCTGATTGAGGAGGATCTGTGTCTTTCATCTTGTTGGACTCCGTGTATGTCCGTCTGTCGCCAGTGGTGGGCAGAAAGGCTGGTGGCTTGCTTGTTTTGTTGTGAGGGCAGCTCTTCCTCTGCCGTGGTGACATGCAGGGACACCGGTGCAAGGTGACGAACGGACAGCAGACAGCATTGAGGGTGGAACTGCAGAACAGTCACGGGATATTTGCAGGCTTCAATGTTCTTGCTGCATGAAAATCTTGCTAACCCTGCAAAACATGGGAAGGAAGGTACCAGGCACTGGCAGTCAATCACTAGAGCCAGGATTTTGAACTTCCGTGTCTGGCCTTCAACCCTCCCCAATCGTCCTGTCACGGCACGAATACAAAACATCCACATTTGATCCAAGATGAGCAGAGAAGTCTTGGATCCGCTTTTCATTAACCATGTTACACCTTTTGAAAGTTTCACGTCAATCATCCAAGACGCTGCCAAGCTGGAATATCGCATAACGGGTGGACCACCAGGGCTTCCAAGGCTCCAAGGTTCTTCTGATGCAATGACATCGCTTTCATAATTATCTTGGACCTACCTAGGAAGACAGACTATTGGGCGTAAGAACAATCTCTTTGGGGAAGTACAAAGTGGACAATTGCGGAGAATGTGATGCAGTCTGGCTTTTGGCCCTCGTGATGTGAGCCCCCAAGTGAATCCACTTCTTTCTAGACTGGACTAAATCTTTGCCTTGAGGCCAAAACCTCTCTTGCCATAGAGTACCTGCCGTGCAAGCAGGAAACAAACGCCTGAAGCAAGCACAATACCAACATAGAGGCCAGCCAGTGCTCTTGTTCCAAAAGTGGAGAGCATCTGCCCACCAAGAGGCACAGACAGTAGCAGCGAGAAGCTGACAAAAAAGTACATCGTACCTGTCCACATTGTTAGTCAGTACACCTGGGGAAACTCCGGTCTCGAATCGTGGTTCGTTATTACCATAGTACCTCCCATAATCCTCTGTCTCACACGTTTTACCCATACAAACAGGTGTCAGTGAGATGAAACTGCCGGAACCAAAGCCCCACAGGGCAGAGAAGACATAAAGCGCCTTGAGGGAGGTGGAACCAAATGGTACCAGAATCGCCCCCGTAAAGGCTGCCGTGCAGAGGATCATGCAGACCAAAACATTGAAATGACCAAAGTAGTCGCCAGCCAAGCCAGGTAGCAGCCTACCAAACGTCGAGGTCCCGTTGGCGATGGCCAAAAGAGTGTATCCAGTGCTCGGCGGGAAGTTTGCTACCGTCACATAAGTCGGCAACAGACCGAAAACACCGAAGACCGCGAACTCCAGCGCGAAGATACCAATGGTGATCAACGTAAACGTCTTGCTAGAAAGAGCCATGAAGTTCAATGCAATCCTCTTCCTGCGACGTTCCTCCGAAGCCGCCGACTTCTGCTGCGGCAGAGGCTGCTGCAGACAGATCGAGCCCACAATCATAACCGCTGCGTTTGTAAAGGCGAGGGCTCGGATGGACCAAGCCCAACCAACGCGGGGAAGCAGCGACCGCAGCATCAGAGGCATAATTATGCCACCGGTCGAGCTCCCACAAAGAGCCATGCCCATGGCAAGCCCGCGGCGCTGGACGAACCATTTGCCAATCACGGCCACGCCGATAGTAGAGATGATCCCTGCACCCAAGCTGCCCCAGACGGCGATGGTGAGCATAAAGTGCCAGTACTGGGTGCACTCGGCGAGGACGAAGAAGACGGGGATGTACAACGCGCAACCGATCGGGCCGAGGATGCGCGGGCCGTAGGCGTCAAACATGGGACCAAATTGGATCCCCAGGAAGAGGCTTAAGGCAGTATATAATCCTGTGATCCAACCGATCTGTGCGGTCGAATACTCAGACAGCTGGTGCAACGCTAGGTATGACTGGATAGTCCCTATGGTCTGCATAAAGCCTGGTGTCCACGAGGTTAGTAGGCATTATTTCGACGGAAACCTGCGGGTTTTCGCTTGCCATAAGTTGGGAAAAGGTAGCAAAAAGCACCGGCGACGCAAAGCCACGCCTGGGCAATTGACTCCGGGGCTGGACTGGCGTCCGGACGAAGCAGCAGCTCCTCCCCGATAGTCTCGGTGAGAACTCCATCAGCCACTACGGGGCAATTGTTTGGTTGGCTATGGTTAGCCTGTTCGACATCCTGGTGTTGGACTTTTGAAAGCTGAACCAGGTTTATGGACGGCGAGGCCTTTGATGAGTCCATAGTGCAGTGTGTGCTAGGAATCACAGGAAGTGTTCTATAACTAGTCACGAACTTCGGGAAATTCAGCCAAGACCCGTAATCTTGGGGGACCCTTTGCACTTATTTGTATGTGGCACATCGGAATTGCGATATCGCGAGGTCGGCAAATTAGTAGCAACCGGGAACGTCCACGGCGTCCCGAAATCGCTCACTTCGGCAAGCTAAGACACAAATAAGCTTTGCATGGGAGAAGAATGGGCAGGCTCCGATAGTACTAGTACTGTGTAGTAGGAAGTTGAGCAAGACCTCTTTCCCAATTCCACGATACTGATTGCAAGGTGAGTCATGGACATCAGAACAGGTCCATAGGGTATGTAGTAAGGACAACGCAGCCATGCAGCCGATAGTTACGCCTTGGTTGCAACCAACTGCACTAGGCCATTGGATTTTGTGAAACAGTACTAGTCTGCTTCAATGCCAGCCCCCTTATTATTAATTCCTGGAAAACTTGGTTATGGTTTGGAAGATCGCGCGGCAGTGGGACTGCATGGTTACCCTAGGGTAGATATCCGCATTGCCATGTGAGATTCTTCAAAGTGCAATACAATTTCCTGCTCACCTTTGTCAAGACTGAATCAACTGGCAACTCGCAGATAAAAGAGTGTGTTTCACCCACGTGGACAGTAACGCGTCAACTGGTGACTGTATTCAATTATGTGCATGACAACAAGCATAGAAACAACTTATTCATATGATCTCCAAGCACACCAGACCAATCTCACCACTTGAATCCAGGGGTCGTTCCCCTAGGTACATATGTAGGTACCTAGATACTGTGACAAATGTCAACTGGTGACTTACATATGTACGTCCCGAGTCCAAGCGTCGCAAAAATCTCGCGCCCGCGCAATCTGAAATCAGTCATGCAGGAATTCACGGTATAGTGCATGTACTTGTCAGCTTACATATATATGCAGGCACTTAGTGGATGGGTTGGTAGTGCTTACTTGCCTAACAACTTAAGCAGGTATTCGGAAATATCGACTCCAGATGTCGGTCAGCAGCCATCCCCGGCGGACCCGCCAGCTGTCAGTTCATTCTCACCTACACACCACATCGTCAGACGGACAAGATACCGTCTCTGCTTCGTCCTTCAAGAGAATAGCCTGCGCTGTGCCTCACCCAACCAGCAAGGATCGCATTATTGAAGCAAAGTGCTCGCAATGGAAGCCCAGCAAACCGAGCTCAACGGCAAGGCGAAAGCCCCTGAGGATTTCTCCCATATTCAAGACGTGCTTGGCCAGATGGGATTTTTGAAAACATACATCGTCATCGCGTACGGCCTGCGAACTCATAGCAGCACTGATGTGTGTGTTCAAAGCCTCGAAGATGCCGCTGAAAAGATCGTTGAGGCTTTCCCTTGGGTCGCAGGCCATGTGATTTACCAAGGAAGCGGTCCAGGGAAGACGGGCCTCGCTGCTGTCGTTCCCTATGCCCCTGGAGAGAGGTCGACACCAGTCATCGTCAAAGATATCAGCGATACCACAGCCTCTCTTGAAGACATCATTCAGGCAGGCGGACCAATGAGCATGCTCGACGGCGAGATTCTGGCTGAACGCAAGGGGCTGCCACACTCCTACGATGAGAAGCAAGGCCCTGCACCGGTTTGGGTCATACAAGCCAACATCGTGAAGGGAGGCATCCTCCTTTGCTTTCAAGGGAATCATCACATCATGGATATGAACGGCATGGCCCACCTGATGCGCCTTTATTCTAAGGCGCTCAACGGCGAACCCTTCACTGACAACGAGATCAAGCACGGGAACCGGGAGAGGCGCGGCGTCATCAAGCTCCTGGGCCCTGACGCCGAGAAGACGGATATAAGCCATTTCATGGTCAAGACTGCCCCGCCTGCGGCCCCGAAGGCTGATGTGGCAGCGCCGGACGTGCAATGGATCTACCTGCATTTCGCCGGACCGAAGCTTGCAGAACTGAAAGCTGCGGCCCAGGGTGCAGACCAGTGGATCTCGACCGATGACGCCCTGTCGGCTTTCATCTTTCAGAGAATCACTGCTGCGCGTATGAAGCGCATAGTAGAGAAGAAGCAGCCGAAGATCGTGTTCTGTCGAGCAGTCAACGGCAGACGATACCTCGACCCACCACTACCCAAGGAATACATGGGGCATGTGGTTACATGCACGTACACAGATGTGCCGCTCGACTCGCCGGCCGCAACCAGCGATGTTGGTGCCCTGGCCCGCCAAATCCGTGCCGACATACTCGGTATGAAGTCCAACTACATCGAGTCGTTCGCCACCGCGTTACACGAGCTGGACGACAAGAGCGCCCTCTCCTACGGCGCGCCGTTAAACATGGCTGGCTGGGATCTCATGCTCTCCAGCTTTGCTGGGCTGGGTCTGAACGAGATCGACTTTGGGAATGTCTTGGGTGGCAGGCCGGTGTTCACGAAACGCCCGCGGTTCGCCCCAATTGAGAGCTTGCTTTATTTCATGCCGAGAACCGCAGATGGGGATGTTGAAATTGCTGCGTGTCTACGAAGCGATGACATTCAGACTCTGAAGAGTGACGAAACGTTCCTGGAGTATGGTAGTTACGTGGGCTAGAAGGATTTCAAGGGTTCATCCCCTGCGTGTCTTCAGATACTTAGCTACCCTAGGGTGACGACTTCAGTTCTGGGGCCTCGTGTCATTGCCAGTATCCTCAGAGAGGGCTGCTCGTAGAACGAGGCATGATCAAGGCGGTTGGAGAGTTGAGATTGAGGTATTTGGACTGCCTCGTATTGATCTGAATGGGCATATGATTATACTACAGCATTACACGAGTCTGACTTAGTAAGGCCAACCTCTTTCCAATTACAGCCGGCGGCATTATGCCTGTGCGATTCATTCACAGTAAGCTGCCGAAGTGATGATGCCTTGAACAAAACTCTCCAAAAGATTGTTCTGGTGCAGTGGTGCACATGATGTACAACGAAGCAGACAGTTGTTGATCGATGGCTCAGCCTTTGCCGGCGATTATCCGCTTGACGAAATGCGAGCCTGCTTTCAAATTGATCACATGTCTTGCAAGGGTCGAGCCACAATAGAGTCGAATACTAGTACTGTGTAGCACCCAGCGTCCAACTGACCATGCCAGTGCACTGTGCAGTTCCCGGCTGGCTTACCGCTGTAGATAGTACCTAGGTACGTGAGCACCTAGGCATCTAGAGAGAAATGACCGCCATTAAGTTCCGACACGGTCGAGATGATCCTCGTCCATAATCGGCCGCTGGCTAGGAAGCCCTTGCTCAAGCTCCTGCGGGTACATTAGAAGATCGCTGGTGGATGAGGTTCCTGTCCAATGAAAGCATCGTGGGGCCTTCGGTCTATCCAGAACAGGAAGGTCTCCCTCCGAGCATCCTGAGCACGCCAGCACATTCCCCGTTATGGGGGCAATTTTAGTGCCACATTCGGGCAATCTTTGACTTCTCCTGAACCCACAGCGGCCACATGCATCAACAGAATCTGCTTATCTAGCCCACTCTTGAACCAATTGATCGGCAGCCAGACTGCTCTGTGCTGTTTTGGGGATCGCCTGTCAAAGGCACCACTGGCAAGCGCCCCCAGCATGAGCATCTAATAGGTTCGATTGCAACGCATGTTCACGGGAGCCATGAAGTATACGAAATGAGACCTTCTCAAAGCGGCAGTTCAGCTGCACCACCATCTTCACCCAAAAGCTTGTTTCAATGAAGCTTTCCGGGTTGTCCCTTCGCGCCTTGGCCCCCATGGCCTGCATATCCCATGGACGTGGGACCTCGAAACAAGATTATGTGCAATATAAATATCTTACGAACATAACTCCGTGCCCTGGACTAAATATCGCTGTCGACCCGCTATTCCCTCGACCTTGCGGCCACAGTTAGCTTTGTTCACGCTGGGCAGTTCGATTTGCCAACGGTTAGCTCTGCCTTGTTCGTGTTGATTCAAGAATCAGTCGCCATGTTTCATCGTGGTCTTGCCCTTATGGGCCTTGCGAGCTTGGCTGCTGCCGTCCCTTATGCCGGTACGACCAACAAGCGGTATGTTGAGGAGCGCAATGGGGTCACATACAACGTCTTCAAGCGTGCCGGCGAGGCATCTTCACTTTCCTACGTGAAGAACAGCGGTATTTGTGAAACCACACCGTAAGCATCCCTCTCACCTGCCACAGATGTGTGCTAGAATACAACAATTTCGTATCCGTAGCAGGACTAACATCAACATCAGAGGTGTTGATCAATATTCTGGCTATCTGGACGTGGGAACCAACATGCACATGTGGTACTGGTTCTTTGCGGCCCGGAGCCAACCCTCGACCGCCCCTCTGGTTCTCTGGCTTAATGGTGGACCTGGATGCTCTTCTATGATCGGACTGTTTCAAGAACACGGGCCTTGCCATTTCGTCGATGGCAGCAGCAAGCCCAGCCTTAACCAGTACTCGTGGAACACATATGCCAACATGCTCTACGTGGATCAGGTGAGCCAGCCTCCGCCCCCGGAGATCATGAAGGGGAGCACTGACCCGCTTTTCGAAGCCCATCGGCACCGGCTTCAGTTACGGTGACGATGAAGCTACCTCCACGGTGACCGCGGCGGCGTATGTCTGGACGTTCCTCCAGAACTTCTACGCGGCGTTTCCAGAATACGAGAACCGCGACTTTGGCCTCTGGACTGAGTCGTACGGCGGCCACTATGGTCCCGAGTTTGCTGCCTATTTCGAGGCTCAAAATGCCAAGATTGCTGCTGGTACCATCACTGGCGAAAAGGTCAACTTGGTAGCACTGGGTGAGCTACGTGTGCGGAAACAACTAAGTAAAGCAGCCTCACTAACATCTACCTTAGGCATCAACAACGGTTGGATTGATCCCGTGCTCCAGTATCAGGCATACCCGATATTCGCCTACAACAATACTTACAAACAGCTCATTTCTGCGAGTCAGTACCAAAGTTATATGGTAAAGTTATCCCGTTCTTTCTGAACCTTCCATCATAATCCTGCCACTATGCTTCCCACTAGGACACTGGGACTTTCTATTGCAACCTTGTTCTGCCCGTGGGGATATCACTGTCCCCGGAATTTCTCTCGCTAACATTTTCCCCATAGAGCGCCTACACGAAGAAATGTGTTCCTGCCCTGGCATCATGCACGGGTCTGACCGGCAACAACAACGCATGCCTGAGTGGCGACAATACCTGCCGTGCTGCCGTTGAGTCACCGATCGAGAATGCCAACGATTTCAACGTCTACGACGTGCTCGAGCCCAGCAGCTCCCAGTCCACCGATCCACCAGAGACGTACGTGGATTACCTCCAAAGTCAGTCTGTGATGACTGCCATTGGTGCCCAAACGACCTACGGCGAGTGTCCAGACACACCGTACAACAAGATGGTCGGCAGCGGCGATGGTAAGTTGTTTGTGCGATGGGGGCTATCCCGCTATCATCTACAGGATTGAAACTAACTAGAATCACCATCAATAGAAGCCCGGTCATTCCTCGAACCACTGTCGGAAGTCGTGCGGTCAGGTGTCAATGTTCTGATATGGGCCGGTGACCTGGACTGGATCTGTAACTGGTACGGATCTCAGCTGGTCGTGAATTCTATCAACTATACCGACAGCGCCGCATTCCAGTCTGCCAAACTTGCCGAGTACACTGTGAACGGCCAGTCGCACGGTCAGTTCAAGACCGCTGGTAATTTAAACTTCCTTCGTATCTATGAAGCCGGCCACGAAGTGCCTTATTACCGTAAGTCTCCTTCTAGTTTGAATTTCAGGGACCGGATTGGGAAGTGAAAAACAACGAAGGAGGCTGACTTATCCCCGGACAGAACCAGCTGCTGCTCTGCAAGCTTTCACGCAGATCATGAAGGGCAAAGCGCTTTCGTCAACTTAAACCTAAATACCATTCTCGTGGTACTTGAGTCGACAGGACTAGCTAAACTGTTGCTCGCACGGCAACTATACCTTCTGAAGCACCTTGGCAAAGACATTTTTTGTAGGCGTGCATGTTGCTTAATGGTTACACGTTGGTGTAATTTTACACTAGGTCAAGCCCACTGCATCATAATTCCACTTATTAAGAGAACGGAAATTCGCGCACCCTCAATCGGAAGGCGCGCACCCATTTGCTGACTAAGAAGTATAGAATACAAGATGACTTCTTCTCGAAGGGCTGGCTGGGGTGAAGGGGGCGAGCCCCGGAGCGCGAAGCATAGCGGAGGGCCGTGAGTAGGGCCGGTAGGCACGACCCGAGTTCCCAGAGGACCAACCCGCCCTGTTTGTGGTCCCTTAATTGTGAAGAAGCCTTATGTGTTGAAGTTGTGAAGACTTTAAGGTCCTGTGCTCTGATTGGTTGAATAGTAGGGAGGGTGCGTGCCTTCCGATTGAGGGTGCGCGAATTTCCGTTCTCCTTATTAATCTGTGCACGAGACGCCATGTATGTCCTCGGACGTATGCAGAATAGGAGCGAAACCAGTTAATCTGTGCTCGAGAAACAACATTTTGATCAAGTCCATGGCTAGGGTCTGCTGGGATGTAGGGATCCTTGATGTGGTAGTCAAACGTCACCATCCTGCCTACCCTAAGGACTGGTCTTGCCAGCAGAAGCGAAAAGGTCAGTCTTAGTACCGCATCGTCTTGAGCGTTTACCACTGTATGAAGGCGTCATGTATGTTATCAGACGTATACGGAATAGAAGCGAAACCAGTAAGTGCCGCAGCGCAAGCCAGAGAGCGCCCCGATATGCAACCGTATGACACAATGAGGTGAGGGGTTCAAGGTTCAGTAGAGCCTTAATTCGACATGGAGGGTGGCATGGCCCCAAGCGCTGGACTCAAGTCAGAGTTATTAATTTGAGCCTGCCGCCAACGGGCTGTCACCCAGCATTGAAGGGTTGTGATTCGTGACGGTCTGACCCTCTCAGCCACATTGTGCCTTTGGTATTCCGTTGGTATTCCGTGCCGTCATGGTCGACCAGAAAAGGCTGCGATTGCCAGCAAGATAGCACGATCGTGGTGCCACAAGCAACACGGGTCAACCGAAGACTGGGTCACGGATGGGCTTTGCATCTCGTCCAAAAGGGGCATCCGGTTTCATCGTGTCGATCCCATTGCCAAGCTTTGAGGCTCGAACTAGGCGCTGAGGTGGAGCCCAGCCGGTGCCAGTACACCCGGTGCCCTGTAATAAGGGCCTCTGGAAGCGCATGTCTGCAGGCTCCAGACCTCGATTGGGAGTAGCCGTTCATGCTGCAGGAATTCACGTCCAGCACAGTGATGAACCGGCAACAGAACAGCAAACAATGCGAGATAAGGTTCAAACGACAGCCAGAAACAGTTTGAGAAACTCAACGTCATCTGAAAAAAGAAGAAGAAAAAGGACAGTAGGGCAAAATAGCTTGTAACTCGGACGGCTTTTTGGCTGTGGTTGGTCGAAACGTCCTGGGTCAGAGTGTCAGAGTGTGCAGCCCGGCGCCAGGGGGGGCGGCGTCTCACCCTTCGTCTCATCCACGGCACCCCTGAGACGAACGCGCGACGGCCCACCACTGAACCACCACCTGTCAGATCACCAAATCTGCGATCTAGAGCCGTTCCAAGAGGCCAAGCTTCCTGAGCCGCTGTGGGAGGGGGGCGAGCCCCAGGGACTTTTGCTCGTGTGTGTGCACAGGCGGCGGGGTATGTGTCGGGTCTCTCTTAGGCTCGCTCTTTTCCCCGTCGTCCTGCTGCTGATATACCTTCCATTCGTTACCAACCTCGACCGCATCTTGCACCCGTCCTACCCTTTGAGTCATTGCTGGTCAATTGTCTGTTCTACGTACATTCATTCTTTTTACCAAACCGATCACAAACCTTAATCCTTCCTTGGCTTCTCGATTCCACGTTTTGCGCCGGCGCTATCTGACCTCGAACTCGCTCGCTCGCTCGCTCGCTTGGACCCGCATTCATACCCACCCTCACTCGACCGATCGATAAAAGAAAAAGAAAAGACCGCACGCGATCCGCCAAGATGACTTCGATAGGCTTCAAGGAGATCGATATGTCGGTTGAGGCCGTCCTCGCCATCAGCCCCTCGGACCACCTGGCCATCACCATCGTGGGCGTCGCCTGGGCGGGCACAGCCTACGTGCTGGGCATGATCTGGACATCTCTTGCCCTCATCGACCGGTGGAGGGGTACCCACGGAGAGGGCAACATCAACTTCGTGTCGGTCATCGCAGCGCTTATCATGGCAGCTGCGTGGCCTATTGTGCTCGCGGCACTGATCGTCATGTAGCCGCCCTAGGGGCTACAATTCAGAGGACAAGCGAGGTGGTGGTCATGAGAGGGTGGTGGTTCGTTTCGAAAACGGTCTGAAGGGCCGTGGCTTTCATGGGCCGACTCGGCTGGAATGGGCAGTCGGTTGGTGTACAGCATTTCTTGGGGTTAAGGACAGGGGAAGAGGTGCAAGGGCAGGACGAATATGTTTGAGTTCTGCCTTTTGATACTCGAGCAACTTGGTTCATTGAGGAACTTGAGGTCTTCTGGGCAGCCGTTTGCGTTGAGAATAAGCACAGGATTTACACACGATCCCGGCAAAGCTCAGCCGAGCGTGCAATGCGGCCGTCAAGGGCATCTCCAGCACCAGCTAAGGAAGAGGGCGTGCACTTGGCGTTTTCGTGGCGGGGTTCTCTCTTTGCTGCTTCTCGAAATGATTCTCGTTTCCAGACGGTCCACAACCAGTCTACCTAGGTACCCAGATACTAAGTATCGTTGGATATTTAAGGAATAATACCCCTCGTTACTTCTTTTCAGTATGTCTCTCCAAATCAAGGCTAAATAGCATGCCTCGGTAGCGGTCGCTACGGTCGACTACATCAGCTGGGGTAATCAACCTAGCACTTGAGGCGAGTTTTCAAGATTCATTTCTACCAGTTTTCGCCCATACAACTCGTAATTTTCCTGTATTCCTTTCGCGCCATCATAACTCCGAGCAAGGTCACTGTTGTGTTTAGGGTGAGCGTATAATAGAGGCAGAACCATATTATGGTCTCCACGGGGACACCGGGCCTCCAGCATGAGAGATCGAACTCGCACGCGCATCCCGCTGGGTTACGAGTTTTGAGAAACATGACGATGGAGTTGTTCTTTGCACATGGAAAGACAGCGCTTAGCCGAAGGGACCTGCTGTGGAGAATCCTAAATTTCCAGGACAACCAATGGGAATCTTGGCCTAGGTTTGGCGTCATAGACAGGAACGCTGCATCGGATTGGCATCTTAAATCCGCATACCGCCATCCTGATTACAAACGTCATAGGGTACGAGACAAACTTAGAAACCAGACATCTTAAGTTGTTTTTGTGACCCCACTTAGTAGCATCACCATCCACACAATTCTCCAGTGGTAACAACAGTCCACAGCCAACACAACTGTAGACCACTTTGAACTCACCATCGGAAATAACCATGGCGGCCAACGTCCCTCAATTCAAACTCAACAACGGCGTCTTGATGCCAAGCGTCGGCCTAGGGTAGACGAGCCCCTCGTTCCTGTGGACTGCATGGCGGGTTCCTGGCTGTGAGGAAAATCTTTGGCTGACATGCGTGCAGATGTTGGATGGGATCCCCAGGCGGTGGTGAGAGGGTTTACAAAATGGTCACGGCCGCTCTCCAGGCGGGCTACCGCCACTTCGACACTGCGGACGGGTACGGGAACGAGGAGGAAGTTGGACGTGCTATCCGTGACTCTGGCATTCCGCGCAAGGAGATCTTTGTCACCACCAAGCTCAACAACACCGACCACCACAAAGTCAAGGAGGCCTTTGACCGCTCCCTCAAGGCTCTCGACATCGAGTACATCGATCTCTGGTTGATGCACTGGCCCCGTCAGTATTGCTTTCCTCCTCCTGCGGATCCCTGTCTTTCATGTTTTGGGATTTCCCAGAATGCAATACTTTAGGACCCGTAGCAGGACTAACGTCACCACCTGCACTACTAGAGGGCAAGCAGGAGGACGATGTCTATCTCAAGCCCCACCAGAGCCCGACGTACCACGAGACCTGGGCCGAGATGGTCAAGATCTACGAGGACACGGGCAAGGGCAAGGTCCGCGCCATTGGCGTATCCAACTTTGGCGTGCCCATTCTGAAGTCCCTGCTTGCCACCACAAAGGTCGTCCCGGCCGTGGACCAGGTCGAGCTGCACCCCTGCCTGCCCTCGTTGAACTTGCGTGAGTTCTGCGCCGAAAATGGCATCGTTATCACCGCGTACTCGCCCATCGGGCAGCCCGCCCCGGACCGGCCATCCCCCCTCCTCACAGACGCATCAGTCCAGGAGATCGCCAAGAAGCACGGCGTCTCCGAGGGTCAGGTCGCTCTCAGCTGGGGGGTGCAGAATGGAATCGTTGTCGTTCCCAAGAGCGAGAACCCGGACCGTATCAAAGCCAACATCAGCGCAAGTTCTTCTTAGTCTGGTACCTGAACCACGGTAGTTGCTAATATCGCAGACAGCTCGTGAAACTTGATGATGCGGACATCAAGGCAATTGATGCGATCCACAAGAAGCCTGGCCTGCACCGCAGTCTTCTGGGTTACCACCAGCCTGACGGATCTGTTTTTGGATGGACGTACGAGGAGATGGGCTGGGAAATGGTGGCTGGTGGCAAGGCCAAGGCCTAAATATGTTTCCCAGCTGTATGCGTGGCACGGCCTCTCCGGTCAGCAGCTAATCGCAGCATAGAAGCACCTGAGGTTATGAAAGTCCCAAGCCTTGCGGAACCTATCCTGTTGAAGCTTTTGCCTGCTTTGTGGGCCTCAAGCAATCGACCCCGGACCTTAGTCTATGAATATCTGGTTGAGTGTCTTCAATTCAATGTTTGAGATGAAATAATTGAGGAACACTGAATTTGGATTTGGTTGCTTCATTTGGAGCAATTTCTAGCGCCGACCACATTCAATTACGCTATGCATTTTGACCCTGTCAGTTTTGATCATACATTCATAAATTACACAGCTGACTACTTCGATAGCTCTGAGCTCTTGTTGAATGCCGATAACCTTTGCTCAAATCTCTCCCGGAACCGGCCGCCCAGATTCAACAAACGAATAGCATTACCGGCGAGCACGCCGGCTCTTTGATCCCAGGTCATGAAGTTATCCAGCTTCTTGCCCTCCTCGCCGTTTCCGATCAGCATCTCACCAGCCGTCGGCACCTCACCAAGGGGGAACGGATAGTCGCTACCCAAGACCATGTTTGCCGACGGAATCTTGCGCAAAACGTAGTCGAGAAGATCAGCGTCATGCACCAGACTGTCGATGTATATATTATTGCCGCTGGCAAGATGCTGTGTTGGTGTGACACCCTCGGCAGAATGTGCGACAAGGTCTGGCCTGCAGTTGAAACCATGTTGGATACGGCCGAGCAGTGCTGGGAAGGACCCGCCGGCATGGGCGAAGCAGAGGCGGAGTGTTGGGTGTCGAATGAAGACTCCAGCAGAAGTGAGGTTGTGCATCGCCAACGCTGTCTCACAGGGCCTGTATCGACGGTTAGTATCGACCAGGATGAAGTGAGGGTGGCCCCCCAGGTGTAGAGGGAGGGGTGAGTCCACCCCGGGGCTGGGACTTACATGCCGACCAGCCAGCTGCCCCAGTACTTGCCCCACCTGGCCTCATTCTCCTCCTTCCAGGAGTATCCCAAGGGGTGCACAAACACAGCCATGTCCAGCTCCTCACAGGCAGTCCAGAACTCGTCCATCCTTGCGTCATCCAGGTCCATCTCCCCATCCGCCAGCGGCGCGGAGGTCCCTATCTGCACGCCCACCAGGCCCAGCTCCTTGGCCCTCCTCAGCTCCCTCACAGCCTCGCCGATGTCCTGGAGGGGCACCGTGGCCAGGCCGACGAACCTATCGGGGGACTCGTTGACTATTCCGGCGATGTGCTCGTTCAGCGACCGGGCGAGGACGACGGCGGGCTCTACGGGGGCGTCGTAGCAGAACAGCAGCGGGACGGTCGACAGCACCTGGACGTCGACGCCGGCGGCGTCCATCTCTCGTGTCCGAGTTGCCGGGTCGTAGCAGTTGGGCTTGACCCGGCGGAAGAACTTGGCGCCGTTGTACATGTCGATGTCGCCAGAGCCGTCCTCGCAGGGCTGGAAGCTCGGCCAGGCGTAGGACGTGCCCGATGTGGTGGGGATGGCGGAGAGGTCGGGTAATGAGGGGGGCATGATGTGGGTGTGCAGGTCGATGCGGTAGAGGGACTCGCCCGTCCTGCGTTGGCTTCCATTGTGCTGGTGGTGGTGGATGTGGGAGGTTGGTGGTGAGCCGCTGCTGAGGCTGGTCAGGGGTGTTGAGCTTCCGGAGTCTGGGTAGCAGCAGTCGCAGCTGGGCCCTTCTGTGAGGATTCCAGGAGCCATAGTGATGTGTTTTGATATATTAGGGTCAGCCTGTAGGTTGTGGCGTATACAATGAATAAAGGTGCCGTGTTAGTCTGGAGCGGGTAATACCAAGTACTGGAGTATCAATATACATTCCTTGTGAGCCCGAGACAAAATAGTCAAATGTTTAATAGTCTGGCTCAGAGTAGAAAAGAAACCAACCGCCCCAAAAAATGCAAGCCAGGCCCTCGATATGCCCTGGGATTGCCCATCATTGCCGTGCACGGTGAGGTCAGGCCGGTGCTACGCCCGCCTTCCGCATCCGCGAGTTCGGATGCAAAGGGCGGAAGTTGAGGGTTAGCGGCGGAAGCAGCACGCCCTGGGCCAAGCCCAAGGCCGACCGACCGACACGTTGCCGCCGCCCCAGCGGTCGCTTGCCGCCCTCTGGCTCAGCTCTGCTCTGAGCCCACAAACGCCCGACGTCACCAGGGGTTGCTCCTCTTTGCCCACCAGCGCCAGCGCAGACGTACAACGGCTCACTACTACTACTACTACTACTACTACTACTACTACTACTACCACCACTACTATTAGTCCTTATGATAAAGTTATCTATCTATCGCCAGCCCATACTAGCAGTTTTTTGATTACGCAGCAAAACTCAGACTCTTCCAACTTGACGCAATCCCGGCTCTTCCAGCTCACCCAATACTTTGAAACTTTCAAACTCACTCACACCAACCGCAAGCTCGACCCCAAGCATCATCACTGCACGTCTCATATCGTCCCGTCTCGTCCAAATTGCTGGGCTCATCACCTCCATCACAACTCCACCACAATGAACAGTGACTCATCAGACCACAAGGCCCTCCCGCCACCGATGGCCTTCGCCTCATGGCTGAGCCAGAACGAGAACCTGCTGCAGCCCCCGGTCAACAACTACTGCCTCTTCAGCGGCAAGGACATGGTGCTGATGGTCGTGGGCGGGCCCAACACGCGCAACGACTACCACGTCAACGAGACCGAGGAGTGGTTCTACCAGCTCAAGGGCGCCATGTGCCTCAAGGTCGTCGAGAAGGACGCCGCCGGCAACGACTTCTTCAAGGACGTCGAGATCAAGGAGGGCGAGATGTTCCTGCTCCCAGGGAACACCCCTCACAACCCCGTCCGCTTCGCCGACACCATCGGGCTCGTCATGGAGAGGGTCAGGCCCGAGGGCAGCCTGGACCGCCTGAGGTGGTACTGCAAGAAGGGCGGCCACGAGTTCCCCACCATCATCAGGGAGGAGGTCTTCCACTGCACCGACCTGGGCACGCAGCTCAAGCCGCTGATCAACAACTGGAGGGAGAACGAGAGCGTGAGGAAGTGCCCGGCGTGTGGCCAGACCGAGGACCCCCAGTGAGGTTTGTGGTGGAGATGCGAGTAAGCAATTATTAGCATGAGATGAGCGTGAATTTGAGATTTTCGGTCTTCCAATGAGACATATACCAGATGTATGCAATACGATGAGAAGGAGAAATGTCATGGTGCTCATAAGCACATTAGAGTTCATATTCATATCACCATCGACTCCCTGGCATCACTATCCAAGTAATACTGCAGAATCATCGAGTAACCCCTCCCGTCCGTGCCCGCCCCCGGGTCATGGGCCGACAGCGGCATTAACGATGCCCTCGGCTCCGAGATCGATATCGTGTCCAACCTGTTGAGCCCGTTCTCCTCCGAGTCGTCCAGGAGCGCCGAGTCCTTGTCGCCCTGCTGCTCCCGCTCCCGCTCCCGCTCGTGCTCCTGCTCGTCCAGGCTGAACAGGGGGCTCGTGGGCGACCGCACCTTCTCGTCTATGCCCCCGCTCGACGAGTCGCTGACCTTGACGGCCCACTGCCCAATCTGCCTGTCCATGTCGCTGCTGCTCGCGACGCTCGTCAGGCTCGTCACGTTGCTCCGCGCCGTGCCCGCCTGGCTCCGGCTGGCCTGGCTCATCGGCGACGACACCTCGCTGTCCTCGGCCTCCGACCGGACCTCGTACCGGCCCAGCGGGCTCCTGTTCCGCTCTATACTCGACGGTGACGGTCGCATGTTGGTGTTGGTGTTGTTGTTGTTGTTGTTGTTGTTGCTGCTGTCGCTGTTGTTGCTGCTGATGCTGCTCGCCGTGCGCGTTGGGTGTGCGGCGAGTGGCCTCTGCTGTGGTGAGTTCTCGAAGCGGAACCCGGCCTGTGACGCTGCTGCAGCAAGGCTCCCTGGCGACATGGGCCTGGCATTTCCGAGGTTGGGCTTCTTTGGGCCGCCATCTGAAGACGTCGGCCTCAGTGGCGATCCTGTGCGCGGCAGCTTCCCGGAGCCAGGCCGCCCGCTGCCGCTTGTGGAGAGATCCTGCATGCTCCCTGTTGCTGATCTGTTGGCGTATAGTGATTTCTGCCCGCCGGGGCTGGCGCTCCGTGACGAGTGCGAGCTACTTGGCCGGGCCGGGAGGCCCGCGGGGGATGTGCTGGGCTGCGGGATTCGTGGGCCGAATGGGCTCTGTTCTCGCTTCCATTGCTGTGCGTAGAGCGAGTGCACTGGGGCCTGGCCCTCGGGCGCCTCCTTCCTGTGAGTTTTTGGTTAATATGTGACGTTCAGTGTTGTTGAGTACAGGCTGGGGTATCTCTGGTTGATGCTCACTTCTTCTTCCCCAGACCAAAAAATGACACCATTTTCAGATGTGTTTTTTATTTCGTCCTCTCTTCGGCTTTGGCAGACGGCGATGTGTGTGACACGTGGAAATGGAAAAAGCTGTGCAGGATGCAGTTGTCGACGCGACGTGGTATGGGTGGTCTTTGTGGTGTAATAGCGTAATAGCCCGGGAGGATGATGGTGCCTAGTACTTGGTAGGTGGCACGGCAGTAGTGTGGTCCGGGATGGCTGGCTGCAGGTCGATGTACTATTGAAATGGTAATTTGGGAGGTGTCAAGAATGCCAACATTTGGCGCCGGTGGCCCGATAGAGGATGGTATCTATATGGGATCACGACACTTATGCTTATTCGGCAAGTGTAGTCTATAGGAGAATTCCCCAGGCCCTCCTCGGGCCCTCGCTACCTCTCAGGCTTGCACGGCTGGGCTGCTGGGCTGCTGGGCAATCACGGTTTCCGTCCGAGGGCTATTTCCTCTTGGATCTGGGGCTGATGTAGCATAGGGCTGGGATGGCTCCACTTACACGAGGTTTTGTGATGAGGTCGGCACAACCGTTAAGCCTAAACCCATGCTGTTCTGGCTGTCTCCCAGGGGCGCCACCAGTCAGCTCGGGCGCCAAGCCGCTCCACAAATCTCGCCAGCCGCAAAGGGCTTAACCATATTCCCGAACGAGCTGAGGTGCCTGGCGGCGGCTAAAAATACCACATTCAAATGTTGCCGGGTCCTGCGAGTGCGGGTCCAGACCCCATCAGCCCACAGACAGCAGCACCTTATTAGGCGCGGGCCCCCTGCATTGTGGGTGGCGGATCGCGTTCCTGAGCCGTCAAAGCCGATGTCATCAATCAGGTGGTCATCAATCGTCACTGAAGGCCGAGTTTGAAAGATTAAATTTGGGTGATGTGCCACAAACCTGCCCTTCTGGGGACGTCCAGGGCAAATTCTTGAAACAGTTCATCTCGACGCTGCCCACATGTCCCGGATATCTCGAGGCCACAGGCCCCATCGCAAGTTCAAATGTTGTTCAGCTCGTGAACTTTGAGTTGCAGTCATGGGATGGCAGGCAGGGGAGTCGATGTGCGGGATCCTTGCCCTGCCAGCAACCGCCCCCTTCCTTCGAAGGTAGTCAACTGTCCTGTCCGCCTCGAGTGCCGACCCGACCTGCCAACTACATCATCACCACCAATCCGGCCGTCGCCAGGCTGGAGCGGGCTTTGATCACGGCCCCGGCTGCCTCTCAGGCAGTGGCCAGGTGCACCGTTCTGGCGACGGTGAACACATCCCTCGAGTATTCTCCTCCCTCTCTGCCCGTGCCCGAGTTCTTCATGCCGCCGAACGGCGTGCCCAGCTCCCTGACAAGCCAGCAGTTCACCCACACCATGCCTGCCTGCAGCTGCTCGCCGACCCTCCGCATCCGGGCGCCGTCGGTTGTCAGCAGCACCGCCGCCAGGCCATACTCGCTTGCGTTCGCAAGCCTCACGGCGTCGTCCTCGTCCTCGAATGGCACGACCGTGACCACCGGCCCGAATATCTCGTCTCGGAGCAACTCCGAGTCGGTGGGGACATCCGTGAGGATCGTCGGCCTGATCCAGTATCCCCTCTCTTCGCCGGCTCGTATTTCTGGCGGCACCTCTCCGGTCCTGAACGTCATCCCCTGCTTCTCCGCGATCTCGAGGTAGCTCCTGATCTTGGCGTAGTGCTGCGAGCTGACCACGGCGCCGATTGTCTCGCCCACGCGGTACGTCTCGCCCACGTACTCGGCGAACGCGGCCACAAAATCATCGTACGCGCTCTTCTCGACGTATATCCTCGAGCCGCACAGGCATATCTCGCCCTGGTTCTCAAAGGCTGCCGTCGCTGCCGTCCGGATCGTCTTCTCCTTGTTCGCCTGCAACGAGTCCGCGAACACCAGCGTCGGGTTCTTGCCCCCCAGCTCCAGACTGACATGCTTGTAAATCTGATGTACCGTCGCCCTCCGGATGGCGATTCCCGTCGCGGTGCCGCCCGTGAAACTAACCCCGTGGACGTCCGGGTGCGACACCAGCGCCGAGCCGGTAGTCGCGCCGTCGCCAAAGAGGACGTTGATGACGCCCGCCGGCAGCCCCGCGCGCCGGAACACGCCGGCCAGCAGGAACGCGCTGACGCTGGTGACCTCGCTCGGCTTGGCGACGGCGGTGCAGCCAAAGGCCAGGCAGGGGGCGATCTTCCAGGTGAGCAGGTACAGCGGCATGTTCCAGGGCGAAACGAGGGCAAAGACACCCGCGGGGCTGCGGTGCTCGTAGGTCAGGGCGACGCCGTCGACCATGCGGGCGGCGGTGGACTCGTGCAGGATGAAGGTCGAGAAATAGGCAAAGTTGGAGACGGCGCGGTCGACCTCGACCCGCGCGCGCTCCAGCGTCTTGCCCTGGTCGATGCTCTCCCACACCGCGAATAGCTCCCGGTTGGCGGCGATGATCTCGCTGATCTGCCGCAGGTACCTGGACCGTTCGGCCCGGGGCGTCTTGCTCCACGCTGGGAAGGCCGCCTTGGCCGCCCTGACTGCGGCGTCGACCTCCTCGGCTGATGCACAGGGCACCTTTGCCATGAGCTTCCCTGACTTGGGCTCGTATGAGTCGATGTGTTTTGACGCCTCCGCCGTCGTGAATGCATTCTGAGTGAAATGCTGTAGAGTCAGGGGCTGGCCGTCGTGCTGCTGAAGCAGCTCATGGGCTTTCTCCAGCGTGTTGGCGCTCCACAGCGCCTCGGAGACGTCGGTATGGACCTGATGAGACGAACCCATGGTGATGCTGACTCTGGGGACCCAGCTCGTGTTCCTTGGGGGCAGGGCAGGTGGGAATATGCGCCGGGATCGCGAAGATTCTCAACTGTGAGTGAGTGTCTGGGTCGTCGGGAACAGGCAACAAGCAGGCCACCCCAATGCGACTTGGAATCATGGGAGGAGCTTAACTAGATGCTGGTCTTTCAAGCCAGTTCTCTTTGTGAGGCCATCCCTGCCCGCTACTTACCTACTTAAGGTAGTGTACGATACCCGCTCCAAATTGCCCAGGCCAAGTTCCGCTTCCGCGTGTGAAGACGACCCCGCTATGGAGCCTGGCCGTCCAGGACTCATAGTCGGAGCTGCCCCTTGAGCCAATCGGAAGATAGGGAGGGGGACATCTGGAGACAACGCGGAAGACGGATGCTTGGTGCACTCTCCGACTGCCAGAACTGCTCTTGGTATGGTTCACCATCGTGCCGGTATATTATCTGGACCACGTAGTGGTGAAAAATTGAGACGATATCGGATAGCCGAGGAGAAACGACCTAGGCACAAACGTAGACATCAATTCCCGACTGACTGGACGACACTGGCCTCACGCAGACAATAGTAACACAGTACCTACGTATCTCCGCACCGGTACCTTTCATCATGGCATCCAACGGAACAGGCTACTTCCTCCCAGCAGAGCGTGCCCAGGGGCTTGCCAACTACCCCCACGCACGCACAGCTCCCTCCACCAGCCGCATAATCTTTGTCAGCGGGACATCGTCGCGGCGAGGCGACGGCACGTACGAAGGGTGCGAGACGCAGCCCGACGGCACCCACAAGCTCGACTGCGGCGCCCAGACGGCCGCCGTCCTGAGGAACATTGAGAGCATCATCCAAGGCGCCACCGAGGGAAAGTGCGGCCTGGAGAGCATCGTCGATGCCACCATCTTCCTCACCGACATGAAGGACTACGCCGCTATGAACGCCGAGTGGAACAAGCGCTGGCCCGACAAGACCAAGGCCCCTGCGAGGACCTGTGTGCAGGTTGCGGCGCTGCCGAACGAGAGGTTGAACGTGGAGATCAAGTGCCAAGCGCTCGTCAGCGAGTAACTGGTCTCGCTTCTATTCCGTGTATGACGTCTAGCTCTGGCATGGGTGGACACGACACCTGGATGCACATGTGGACTGTATCACCACCATCGTTCCCCACCATTGAGTGGTGACAGTCGGGCGATAACTGGCGGAAGAAAATTTTAGAATGTAAGTAGCAAAGAGCGAACAAGATATTCGTCGAGCCGCCGGCTGTCCTGACACTACCGCGTGTAAGAGATTTGCTAACAACCATTGCAATTTCAGTCCAATCATAGATCACGTTCGAGGTCTAGAACCAAGACCGAAGCTCCTTTTCCTATTCTAAGCAAGGAAATCAGACTTTGCAGACTTGATTATTATTTACGTTTGTTATGACTCGATCTTCTAAGAGTTACCAAACCTTGAATTTTCAGCGCCACAGATGCTAAACGCCATATATGCTGAAATACTGTGAATGCTCAACGCCATAGATGCTATGTTTTGTGCGTGCCATGCCCGGGTTGCCTGCATCTCGGGGCTGGTACGGCTGAGTTCTATCTTTTTTTTTCCCCGTCGATACTGATGTGGTTTGGAATCACAGCGGCCCAAAACAATTAGTCGGCGGCGCCGCCCACGGATTTCCATACAATCTTTGGTGCTGCCGAACTGTCTCCTGGTCTTTGTAAAACAGAGTGTTGTTTTCATACGCCCCATTATTGAGTTTGAAATATTCCAGGTCAATAGCGAGATACACGGACTCGCAAGCCCTCCATTGCGTGGCCAAGTCATCCAAGTCTCTGCGAGACATAGCCATAACCGGATTGTGCTCACCCCTGTAAACCCGGCCAAACGCCTCAAGGATTGTTTCAACCGATTCTGAAACGAATGAAAAGTCGACTTGGGCAAGGCGGAAGCGCGCGAGGACACGAATGTAGTAAGCAGCCACTGGGTTCAGCCGTATTGGGAGGGAGATATCAGTCGGGAAACCCGCGAGTTCGTAGGTGTTGATTTCGTCGGTATGGAACCCACCCAAGACTGCGGCTAATTTCTCCTGAAGAGAGTGTATCTCTAATATGAGTGCTTCAAGATAGACTAGCTGGTCATTAAGGAATTGGGCAACCCGCTCCGCTCCTTGTCGGCCCGTTGAGTTGTTTGCCCGGATAGGCCGAGGCCCGAGATCCTCCGCATTCTCAGGTGCCAAGTATCTGTGGTCACCTACGGTGACCGAATCTAGGTAGACACGTGGTATGTTCATACAAGCGGCTTGGTATTTCTCGAAAAGCTCCTCCTCCGAAATATTACCGAAGTTGGCCGGTAGTCGGATACACCCATAGACCTTGGAATGTATGTTGATCAAGGTCCGTCGGTCTGTGTGCTGTCTCATGAAGTTATTCATAGTTTCACTATTTTCTAGTTTGAGCCGCCGAAGGACTTAATGTGCTATCGTGAAGCGTTGTTGAAATTGAATGTGCAGGCACTGAGTCCAAATGGATGGTTGCTGGTAGTGACCAGTTACTAGTTAAATCATGACAATCACCTTCTCTAGTACTTTGATATGGGAAACTTGCGTTGTCTTTCGCAGTCTAAAAATAGGGGCAGCCGAATAAAAGAATGCGCTATGCCGTCTGGTTTGACAATGTTATTGTCTTCACACACGGAGAAGTGAACTCTACTCTACTATGTCAGGCTTGCTCGTGCCTGCAATGCACTCTGCATACTCCTGTGGGAACAATAAAGACGTGACAAAGGATCACGATAATACAATACTCTATTGTTTTTCGCTACAAACTACATTGTTCAACGCAGAGCAATCACGCCTTTCTGGATCCATCAACATCTGCACAACACATTCAATACCCAGCTGGCTGATGCCCAGGTGGTGTAACAATCCAAAGACCATATACAACTCACAGGATATATCAAGGAATATAAGCCGAAAATACCATAGACTTGGCTGAGATTAAACAAGTGGGTCTGTTCTTGATCCGTATACATTCTGAAGGCGTATACGTGTCCTGAATACAATGGAAAACCACTCAACCGAAATGCAGGTCGCACCAGCGATTACCACAGTGGAGCTTGGAAGCTTCGGCATACAGGCGCACACAGTGTTTATCGTTGGGCGATGGCCCATTTCTTAATCGAGTATTGGCCAGCGTCCCTCCCCCCGCCTCTTTCTTTTTCCTCCTTAGTCTTCAAGTTCTTTGTCATGTTTCTGTTTTAAGGCGCCGATGAGGCTGTACCTACACCGAGCTTGATGCGCGAATGGTTTCATTGGATAATCCCAAAGCGATTTTGTATTCTGATTTGTGAACACTCAACAGCTCCTCTCCAGGTCTAACTACTTCACCACTCCCGAATTTCACCACCAGGCCCTGTGAAGCCGGGACTCACCCACGCTTTTGCATCCTTGGATAGAGCCCTGACCTGCTCTTCATCCACCTCGATACCGAGGCCCGGACCGCTGAGAATGTTTATATAGCCATCAGTAACGTTCCAGACCTCTGGGTTTTTGGTATAAGCTGTGAGGTCCTGCGTGCCCGCGTTGTAGTGAATGCCCAGGCTCATCTCCTGGATGGCAAAGTTGGGGCTGGAGCAGTCGACCTGACAGTTCGCAGCCAGAGCAATCGGGCCGAGAGGACAGTGTGGAGCAAGAGCCACGTCGTATGCTTCAGCCATAGCAGCGATGCGCTTCATCTCGGAGATGCCGCCAATGTGGGAGATGTCCGGTTGGAGAATGTCCACGCAGCCTGCCTCAAGGAAGGGTTTGACGTCCCATCTGCTGTGGAGGCGCTCACCAAGGGCGATGGGGACGCTGGTCTGCTCGGCGAGGGACTTGATGCCCCCGATATGTTCTGAGAGCAGGGGCTCCTCGATAAAGAGAGGCCGGTGCGGCTCGAGCAATTTGACCAGCTGCTTGGCCATCGGTTTGTGGATTCGCCCATGGAAGTCGACACCGGCGTCCATGCCTAGATCTTTGACGGCTTTCACTCTCTCTACGCATGAGTCTAGAGCCGATGGCGAATCTAGCCAGCCTATGTCCTCTGTGGCATTCATCTTGACGCAGCTGAAACCTTGCGATTTTCGCGCTTTCCTGTTCATCCTGGTATTAGAAGCCGGAGACGATGATAGCTTTGAAGGGGAACTTACGCCTCTTCTGCAACATTGTTCGGACGGTTTCCTCCTATCCACGCGTACACCTTGAGCTTGTCCCGAACCTTACCTCCCAGCAACTGGTAGATCGGTACCCCGAGTTTACGAGCTGCTCGCAAGTCAGCATCCGTTCCTGCACGTTAATTGTCTTGTTTGCAGCCCACCTTTCAAATCCCAGAGTGCAATGTCGATTCCGGCCAAAGCACTCATGAAGACTGGACCGCCCCGGTAAAAGGTAGTTCGCCAGGACATCTGCCAGATATGCTCAATATCGTCGGCCTCGAAGCCATTGTATCGCTCGAACCAGGCATCCAGGCATCCTTCGACAGCCTGAGTATGACCCTCAAGCGAGGCCTCCCCCCAGCCAACATTGCCTGCTTCGTCTGTGATTTTGACGAACAGCCAGCGTGGTGGCACGCGGAAGTACTCCATAGTCGCTATTTTCCCCATTTTGAGTTCCGGATACAAAGATGCAGTTGAGGTACTGTACAGTCTGCCGTGTGCTAGCAACTGCACTGTTCTCTTCAGTGCTGCCGGTCCAGAGGACTGATTTGGTTGCTTGAACAAATATAAACAAGCCACCTGGGCAATTGATGTTTCTAAAATTTGATCAATACTGTTCGAGAGCCCGTTCCGAAGTCGTCGTTGGCCCCGGCCTTTTTACCCCACGATGCTGTTAGTATAGGTTGGCATGCAGTTAACGTGGGGATACCTCGGTATGGCAGGCCACCGTGCCGGGGAGGGGCAAGATGCATCATTCGAGTCTCCACCCGGATAAGGCCTCTTAGTGCATCGGAAAAGGCCCTTTGTGTGGGGGCCGTCTCTAAGCGCGGAACTCGTCCAAAGGACTCGGACTGGCCGCACGCCAACTCCTGCCACACTTCAACGTGAAGGAGCAACTGTCCGAAAGGTAGCAGCGATTCGTGTTCTGTGAATCCAGCTAATTGCATAAGTGAGATTATGTGGCAACCCAGACGTACGCCTGGACTAAAAGCTTTGTTGAGGATTTTGATCATGGGAACGTTTTATTGCTTAGATATCTAAAAACTACGAGATAATTCCACTTTCTTTCAAGCCATAAGAGAGAGATCCGGAATGTCTGTCGGACTACTCCAGTCCACGCGCTTGCCTAGTCTTCTTCTTGAACTCAGCAACTGCCTTTTCAAGTACCTCCGGCTTCGCGTCACCGAAGATGTCAACCCCCAATCTCGCAGGCAAGTTGTACCGATGATTACGATCGAGTGAGTTAACCTTCTCGAAAACATCCGTGGGTAACTCGGAAACTACTGACGGGTTAGATTGAGGGTGTTGTAAATGTGTCCATGACGTTACTTGCCTTCCAGGTTTGACTTGATCCTTGACGGGGTCACAGATTTTGTGAGAACGACCACACCTCGCTGGACGATCCAACTCAGTACGATTTGAGCAGGTGTTTTGCCGAGCTTCTCTGCCAGTTGGATGATCACTGGGTCCTCGATGGCCCTGGTATTCTGTCAGTCGACCATCGTGCCCATTGGTAATTTCCCAAGAACTCACATAGGCAAGTTGTAGATGTTGTTCCCGAGCGGGGAGTATGCCTCAACAACAATTCCCTATTGCCAAGTCAGCCAGAGTCTCAAACATTTATTTGATGCTCAATGTCTCACCTTGTCTTGACACCACTTGACCAGTTCCGGCTGCGCAAAGTACGGGTGAAGCTCGACCTGGTTGACGGCGGGCTTGATTTCGGCGGCGTCCCATATCTCATTGATCTTGGCAATGGAGAAATTGGAGACACCAATGGTTCTGATCTTCCCTTTCTTGACCAGGGCCTCCATCGCTCTCCATGTCTCGATTATCGGGACGTCAATGACATCTACGCCATATGTCTGCTCATCGATGGGAAAGCGCTCAGTGTCGTTGATACGGCGGAATGACACGGGCCAGTGAATCTGTAGGGTGTGAGTTGGGGTCTCTCAGGCCGAGAGCCGGGGCATCATACAAGATAGAGGTCTAGGTAGTCGGTCTGGAGATCTGCCAGACTCGTGTCTACAGCTCTTTCAACATCCTCACCCTTGTGGTGGGTGTTCCAGAGCTTGCTGGTCAACTAAAGGGGGGTATGGTCAGCAAAACCACAGACTTTCCCAGGCTCGAAGCCTAGTCCAAGGGTTTCCGTTCATACAAAGATATCTTTGCGGGGGACACCGGACGCCTTGATACCCTCGCCCACTTCCTTCTCATTGTCGTAGACGGCGGCGGCGTCAACATGGCGGTAACCTGACTTGAGGGCAAGCTCGACGGCATTCTTCACCTCATTGGGTTTTGATTGCTGGCATAGCAGTTAGCCTTGGCATCGCGGGAGTGGTGTACGAGAACATACCCAGGTGCCTAGCCCCACGGCGGGAAGGGTAAGTCCATTGTTGAGCTTGAAATGCTCAGCCAGCGTCGTGGAACCCATAGTGTTTCAGTTGTGTGCGTTTATCACAGCGATTTTGGAATTCTGGCGCGGACCGATCAGTTTATTTGCCCTGTGGTATAATTGTTTGGTGTTGCGAGAGTATACTGTCCGTCCAGATGTCATTTGAGCTGATAGCAGCTCAGATCACTACGTGGTGGGCCATGAACCATCGTCACTATGCGTCGTTATCCGATCGGAAATGCCCAAGTGCATAGACACTGTAGCAGAGACATCGGGAAAGTGCATAGAATGTGGTGGCAGCCGAGGTCGGTCGCGGCAGGTCCGGCCGAAGCCGTGGGGTCGTGCCGATGAGCGGAGTCGGCACCGGCGTGTCTCGGCAGTCAATGGCCCGAAGCCAACGGTCCACCATACGATTTGCTTGTGAATCACCACCACCTCGGACACGCATTCATGAGGAGGTAGCAAGACTTGAGCTCACACACACAAACACACACACACAGACACACACACCAGAGATACCACCTTCCCCTAAGACAGAAACAAAGTCTGCCAGTGCGAGCCAAAATGTCAGCCCCTGTCTCCAGCCCTCCAACGGGCGTCTTCGTCCCAGTGCCTACTTTCCTGAAGCCTGCCTCCGCATCACAAGGCCTGCAGCCCAAAGTCGACGTTGAGACACAAGCCAAGCACTCAGTCTTCCTGGCCAAGAATGGAATCCGTGGTCTTGTGCTTCTCGGCTCAACGGGAGAGGCCATCCATCTGAACAAGCAGGAGCGGTTCGACTTGATTGCCGGCTGCAGAAAAGGCCTTGACGATGCAGGCTTCCCAGACTACCCCATCATGGCCGGCGTGCTCACCAACGGTATCGACGAGACCCTAGAATGGCTACATGACTACGCCAAGGCCGGCGCACAATGGGGCCTCGTGCTGGTCCCGGGTTACTTTGGCGCGGCGGGCTCGCAGGCCAACATCCAGGAGTGGTACACCATCATTGCAGACAACAGCCCCATCCCCATCCTGATGTGAGTAGGGTTTCCAAAGACCTGTCTGGAGTTGACTCGGAGCTTTTCTGACCAGCGATTCAGTTACAACTACCCGGGTGTCACAAACAATGTCCTGGTAACTCCTGAGACTTACTCGGCTCTGGCTCAGCACCCCAAGATCGTGGGATGCAAGATGTAGGCTCACTCCAGATGTCCTCCGCACACTTGGATTGACTCCGAGGGAAAACTTATACTGACCTATAAATCAGGTCCCACGGCAACGTGTCTTGGCACGTCCAAGTATCCCTCGACCCAGCGATCGACCACAACAAGTTCCGAGTGTACAGCGGTTTCGGCCAGCAACTTGGACCCATTGTGTTCTTCGGAGCAGCTGGAGTCATCGACGGTCTGGCAGCTATCTACCCAAAGACAGTGTCACGATTGATGGAACTCTCAGAGAAGAGGCCGATCGACCCAGACACGCTGGCCGAGGTACAGAGGCTGCAGTACGTCGTAAGCAAAGCAGAGGAGTACATCGGCAAGACTGGCATCGTGGGAATTAAGGAGGCCGTCTACCGTGTCACGGGCATGGGAACTCTGGAGGGCGGCAGGCTGCCACTGAAGGGAAAGCTGGCGGACGGGGAGTGGGAAAAATTGAGCAAGCTGTATCTTGCTGATGTCGAGGCGTCGGAGAAGAGCCTGTAGATTCGCATGACCAAGGCATGAGAGCATTCGAACGAAGCATTGGCCAGGATCAAAGCAACAGGGCTCCTCGGCCATTGAACCCGTAGTATGCAATGCCGTGATGGCATTCGCAAGGTTCTACATGGATCAGATTTGTCGCAAATGTCCACAAGTATGATATGCAAGTTTCGAGTCGAAGGCATATGCGCATAAACAGGACCGACACCATGATACAGGATGGTTTTCCGATGCCCGCACAGCTGGGTAAACGGAAAAGACACCAGCAACTACTTAAGTAATCGAGACTGTTTCTCGATTGACAGGCATATCCTCCCAACAGACCGGGGCTGCCGACATCCCTTCTCAACAAAGCGGGCCGGTTGCCTTGCCACAGGGACAAGCCAGGGGTCTGCCATGTTTAGAACAGGCTGAGACTCGTTCCTCTCGTCTCTTCATGGCCAGTTGCAGCTAACAAGCCATTGTTAATTTCGGACGTCACAGGTAAGCCAACAACACGGTGTCCCGTTCAGCATTTCAACAGAAAACATAAACAAGTTCGTGAGTCTTTAAATTCAGTGACTGCATAGTATTGTATTGTGTCTTGATTAAGGTTTTGAGGACCTAGAGCCCCTTTCTTGAGTGCATGCGATCCAATGATGCTCCCTCCAACAGTGCCTGTCAACTAGTTTTCTTGGTGAGTTAAGACAAGTTAATTACATCCCTAAACCCGAGACTCTATTGGTGTACGAATGGCATATTGAAAAGCTGGTTCCCCAATGCGACCAAGATATCTTCCTCTTTTCAATATGCCCGAAATTCTCGAGCTTCTAATTACTCTCTCCCACTAGTACTTTATATAAGTTTTCTAGAAAGGATAGGTATAGCTATATTAAGCGTGATAATTAAATTTCTATTACTATTAGCTAGTTAAGCTATAATTTTATTAGTATACTTAATATTATAATATATAATTAAATAAATTAAAATAGACTTAATTTAAGAATTACTTTAAATATATTATATATTTTAATTAATATTATAATCTAATAAAATAAAGTTAATAAATATTTTAAATAATAAAATATAATTAATTAAAAAGTATATATTTTTATTATATTTTTATATAATTAATTATAAACTATTTATATTTTTAATTTTATTATTAAATTAAAATAAATAATTAAAGCTTTTAAAAAATAAAATATTATATATTTTTAAAATTAATTTAATTAAATTTATTATATATAACCTTTTATAATAATATTATAATTATTTATAATATTATTTATTATTAAAATACTTTTATATTAATTAATTAAATTATATATATTTAATTAAAATTAATATAATTAATATATTTATAATTAAAACTTATATAAATTATAAATTAATTTAACTTTTATAAATATAAAGTTAAAAGATATATAATTATAATTTTAGAATTAGTTTTTATTTAATTATATTATATTATTATAACTTTATTTAATTTTAACTTTATTTAAACTTTTTAAAACTTTTAATATTCTTTTTAAAAATTAAATTTAAAAGAAAGCCTTTAAGTTTAAATTTAAAATTTTATAAATTTTAATTTATTTTAAATTAAACTTATAATTTTTAACTTTTTAAAATATATTAATTATTTTAAATAATATTAACTTTTTTAAAAATTAAAGTTTATTTTTATATAATTATAAATTTAATTATTAATAATTATTTTATTTTTATTTATAATAAAGTTATTAAATTTATAAATTTAAATAATAAAGTATAGTTACTTTATTTAAAAGTTATATCTTAATTTAATTAAGTAACTATTTTTAATTAATTTTACTTAATAAGTATTTATTTAAATAAACTTAAAACTTTTAAGGAATAATAACTTTATTTTTATTTATTTTAATTAATCTACTTAAGTTATATAATAATATTATATATAATACTTAATAGCCTTTCTAAATATAAAACTAAAAGATTTATAATTATAATTTTATAATTAGTTTTTATTTTATTATATTATATTATTAAAACTTTATTTAATTTTTAACTCTTTTAAGCTTTTTTAAACTTATTTAATATTTTCTTCTTTAATAAAATTTAAAGTTTGAATATTTTAAATTTAAATTTAAAATCTTTATAGATTTTAATTTACTTTAAATTAAGTTAATAATCTTTTAACTTTTTAAAAATATAGTAATTATTTTAATAAATAATAAATTTTCTTTAAAGTAAAGATTTATTTTTATATAATTATAAATTTAATTATTAATAATTATTTTTTTATTTATAAGTTATTAAAATTATAAACTTAAATATTATATATAATAATAAAATATAATTATCTTATTTAATTATTTCTTAATTTAATTAAGTAATTACTTTTAAATAGTTTTATTTATAATATAGTAAAGTTAATAAAGTATTTATTTAAATAGAGTTAAAACTTATATATATTTCTAATTAAAGGAATAATAACTTTATCTTAATATATTTTAACTAATTTATTTAAATTATATAATAACTTTATATATAATATTAAATAGTATTAAAATTAATTTATAATTTATAATAATTTTAACTTTTAATAAATTAATTTATATTAAAGTTAATAATATTAATTTAAATTAATTAAATATAATTTAATATATTAATATAAAAATGTTTTTAATAATAAATAATATTATAAATATAAATTATAAAGTTATTATAAAAGTTTTATATATTAAACTTAATTAAGTTAATTTTGAAAAATATATTATATTTTATTCTTTTAAAACTTTAATTATTTATTTTTAATTTAATAGTAAAATTAAAATAATATAAATAGTTTATAATATTTAATAATATTAAAATTAATTTATAATTTATAATAATTTTAATTTTTAATAAATTAATAATATTAATTTAAATTAATTAAATATAATTTAATATATTAATATAAAAGTATTTTTATTAATAAATAATATTATAAATAATTATAAAATTAATTATTAATTTATATTTATTTAATAATAGATTATAAAGTTATTATAAAAGTTTAATATAGTAAATTTAATTAAATTAATCTTTAAAAGATATATTATATTTTATTTTTTAAAACTTTAATTTTTACTTTTAATTTAATAATAGAATTAAAAATATAAATAATTTATAATTATAAAATTATTATAAAAGATTTTATATAATAAATTTAATTAAATTAATTTTTAAAATATATTATATTTTACTTTTAAAACTTTAATTATTTATTTTAATTAAATAATAGAATTAAAAATATAAATAATTTATAAATTAATTTAATATTTATAAATATTTTTAAAAATATTAAATTTATTATATAATTTAAATAAATTAATAAAATTAAATAAATATAAAATTATTAATTTTAAAGTATTTTAATTTTATTAAAAATTAATTATTTAATTATATAATTTATTAAATTAAAATTTAAATATTAAATAAAATTATAATTATAATATTATTAAATAACTTAATAATTTTTAATAATTATAATTAAAATATATATAATATATTATTTTATATATTATATTATATATATTAATATATATATATATATATATATATATAATAATTATTTTTAAAGATTTAATTTTATTATATAATTTTTTATAATATTTTAATTAATAATATTATTAAAATAATACCTTTTAATTTTATTTTATAATATAAAGTTAAAATTATAAATATTTATTATATTATAATTATTATTATTATTATTAAATTCTTTTAAATATTAAATTTTAAATATTTATAATTATATAAAAGTATTATATATATTTTTAAAAATATAAAATAAAAGTAAAATTATATATAAAATATATTTTTAAATTTATAAATAAAAGTTTATTTTTAAAAATTAATTTAATATTTTTATATAAAATATAATCTCTTTTAAATATAAAGTTAAAAGATTTATAATTATAATTTTCTAACTAATTTTTATTTAATTATTTTATTATATTATAATTTAATTTAATTTTATTTAAACTTTCTTTTAAATTTTATAAAAGCTTTTATTTTTATAAGTATAAATTTTAATTTAAAACCTTTAAGTTTAAATTTAAGATTTTTATAAATTTTAATATATTTTAAATTAAATTTATAATTTTTAATTTTTAAAATATATTAATTATTTTAAATAATAATAATTTTTCTTTAAAGTAAAGGTTTATTTTATATAGTTATAAATTTAATTATTAATAATTATTTTTTTATTTATAGTAAAGTTATTAAAATTATAAATTTAAATAATAAAATATAATTACCTTATTTAAAGGTTATTTTTAATTTAATAGGTTAAGTAATTACTTTTAAATAGTTTTATTTATAGAGTTAATAGATAAGTATTTACTTAAATAGAGTTAGAACCTTTAAAGGAATAATAGCCTTTATTTTTACTTATTTTAATTAACTTATTTAAGTTATATAATAATATTATATATAATATTTAATAATATTAAAATTAAATAGTTTATAGTTTATAATAGCTTTAACTTTTAATAAGTTAATAGTATTAACCTAAATAGGTATAACTTAATATATTAGTATAAAAGTATTTTTAATAATAAATAGTATTATAAATATAGTAAATTATAAAATTATTATAAAAGTTTTATATAATAAATTTAGTTAAGTTAATCTTTAAAAATATATTATATTTTATTCTTTTAAGACTTTAATTATTTACTTTTAATTTAATAGTAAAATTAAAAATATAAATAATTTATAATTTTATAATTAATTTTTTATTTAATTATATTATATTATTATAATTTTATTTAACTTTATTTAAACTTTTTTAAGTTTTTTAATATTTCTTTTAAAAATTAAATTTAAAGAAAAGCCTTTAAGTTTAAATTTAAAATTTTATAGATTTTAATTTTCTTTAAATTAAATTTATAATTATTTAACTTTTTAAAATATATTAATTATTTTAAATATTAATAACTTTTTTAAAATAAAATTTATCTTTATATAATTATAAATTTAATTATTAATAGTTATTTTTATTTATTTATAAACTATTAAAACTATAAATTTAAAGTAATAATAGAGTATAGTTACTTTATTTAGTTACTTTTAGTTTAGTAGATTATATAATAGGTTAAGTAACTACTTTTAAGTAGTTTTGCTTAATAGATATTTACTTAAATAGAGTTAGAACCTATATATATTCTTAGTTAAAGGAATAATAACTTTATCTTTATTTATTTTAACTAACTTATACTTAAATTATATAGTAATATTATATATAGTGCTTAATAACGTTAAGATTAACTTATAATTTATAATAGCTTTAACTTTTAATATATTAACTTAAATAAACTAAGTATAGTTTAATATACTAATATAAAAGGTATCTTTTAATAATAGATAGTATTATAAATAGTAATAGTAGATTATAAAGTTATTATAAAAGTTTTATATAGTAAATTTAATTAAGTTAATCTTTAAAAATATATTATATTTTATCTTTTTAAGACTCTAATTATTTACTTCTAACTTAATAATAGAATTAAAAAAATAGAAATAATTTATATAAAATATAATTAAATAATTTATTTTATATTTAAAAATATTTATTTAAAAATAATTAACTAATTAACTAATAATAAAAATATTAAGAAATAAAGAATTTTTATTTTTAAACTTATTAAGTGACTTATTAATAGAGTGCTTTATAAAAAAGATATATATAATAACTTAATGTATGTGTTAAGAGTGAGAAGAGTCTTATCTTAGAGGCTAGGCAATAAACCCCGGGTCCAGGCCTAGTGTTGTGAGAACCATGGAGCCGTTATTACGGTGGTAGATAATACGCTGTTTTCCAAGCATAAAGCCTGAGGTATTGCCAATTGTATAAGCTAATGGTTTGAAATCAAACAGCCATGCTACTGAGGAGCACGCCCGCTTCGAACTCACATCCAACGCATCCTAGGCTTGGGTCTTCACGGCACACATTTGAGATGATGTTGACTCACCAATAGAAACAGCGTCCATCAGCTACCTAGGTAGTTTAGGACCCTAAAATCATGCAACCACCTCCTTCTAAGACGTTCGAGGTTTCGGTATCGTGACTAATTGAGTTAGTTACATTGTTCCTCCAACACCCTTCCCAGTATTGTCATCTGTCCTCAGTTTGCCAATGCCAGAGCCCAGCCAGGGATTAAGAAAAAGATGTAACTAATTTGAAGCTTATACAAAAAGGTACACACTTCTTCAAGGAATACTTTGGTGTACTCCTAGGTACATTTGAATCAGTTCATGACTTATCATCGATGGGGCAGGATTCAAGCGGCGCGTAAATCCACGTCAGTTACCCAGCCACTTAGTACACTGGTATCAGTTGCAGCGGATCCTTTTGAAATCAGTGGTGATACAACATGAGGATCACCTGTTTGAGGTTACACTGCATTGTTTCCAAGTATTACTTGCGTGCTGCAGTCATTGCATCCAGAGGTCAGCCGTTGGGGGCTCACAATGGGATCACGCGGAAGTCTTGTGACACCAAAGGCATCCTGTGAAATCAACCCTTTTCTAGCAGATCGATTCAATACTGAATAACCAGTGTGCATTGATCTAGTTTTTAAGCAACGTGTTGGACACATCCGTTTGTGATAGTTCACAAGCTCTGGGAGTTCCCGAAGACGCGGACTGTAATAGGTCTGGGCTATCAAATACCTCACCGGTACAAAGTTTAGTACTGCCTGGAAACCCGGATTACCATGCCGTGACAACCAGATACAGAACGTCTCAAATTGGCAACGTGCATATGCCTCAATCCTAGTGAAAGCGTGCCAAGTACTTGTCCGGTTCTGAGGATTCGCTATCTGTATGTGGCGATCTCACTCCAGCGCCACAGTTGGCCCAGACATCCATGGATCTGGGCGTGTACGGGGTGGGGGCCGGACAAGGGACACCAACGGCTCGGATTGCGGCTGGAAATTTCACTGCCACAAGCCTCGTCTGATTCAAGGCTCAAAACTCGGAGACGGTGGGTGACACGACGTGAAATATAGCTCATAGGTTGTAAGCAGGCTCTGCGAAGGGCACTTTTTGTCAACCGGTCTTCACTTCTCCCGAAATAGAACTGCCCCCCCACACACATGGGATGCCGAGACCATAGGATGACACTGAATTGTTGCTAGAGAATCGATTGGGGCGTCACATAGGCATTGAGTTCGGGATTGGGTTCCGGGCCAGAAGGAAGGCTGTGACCAGCTTTGGATCATGTTGTGCTCGCCTTGGTGTTAATTAGTGTCTTATTTGACGCGAGGATAAAAGTCATGCACTTTCCCTACACGTCAATCCGACTTGAAAATTTGCGAGTGAATTTGACCCGTACGTCTTACTTCATTTTCCTCCATCCTCGCCCGACTCCGGCACAATTTAGGTAGGCAGTGGAGAAGCAGCCAACAGAGATGGCCGATTTCGACCCTACCAAGATCCCGGTTGAGATGCCACCCCCAGGTCACACCATTGACTTCACCGGCGGGCCATCCCAGGCGTGGATGCCTCGGCTCGCAACTTACACTACACTACCACTTGCAGTGGGTTTCATGATACTCCGTATCTACTCCCGTCTACGAGCCAGGGTACGGTTTGGTGTAGATGACTGTAAGCATCTGATATATCTTGCTCATGCGTCTTGTTTGTCAACTAACAATTCTCAGACTTAGCGGCAGCAGCTGTCGTAAGTTACGGCCGGCTAAGCAGGCTTCGCCCCCCCCCCACCTTTACCCACTGTAAAGTTGGGGATGCTACAGAACAGCTTGTTGATTACATTCACTAGGTTGTCAGCTGCGGGTTCTGCGGCGTCATACTTTCCAATGGTCCGTCATGCTGCCTGTCTGAGCTGCTTTGTCATGTGGATACTGATCATGTCCCAGTCAGCGACGATCTCTATGGCCGTCATGCTTGGAATGTCCCGTTTAGCGCCATAAACACTACGTACATGCAGGAAAGTCAACCACAAACCCCTACCAATGACCGAAAACACAGAGTAATTCACCTGGACTTTGAGCCATCAATTGACTTGGCTATCAGGAACTCGCATCAATAACAGCACTGTACTGTTGGCTTTCGGCGCTGGTCAAATTATCTCTCTGTGTCTTTTTCCTCCGAATCTTCTCCCCCTCAAGAATTAGCAGAATCATGATATGGGCCGGCATAATCGTGGTAGCAGCATCTTATACTGCATTCTTTATTTCGTGGATGGTGTTGAGTATCCCATCGCCTAGCGAGAAAGGATGGATGGATCCTGTTTATGTCCAGAGGACCGCCGCGGGAACCATACCACATAGCGTCGGATTAGGTGTTGTGGGCACTGTGACTGACTTTTATATCCTTGTGATACCTTTGACCGCTATTTCGGGGTTGAAAATGACGGTCGCAAGGAAGATCGGAATATCAGCGCTTTTCGCTACTGGTATATTGTACGGAACCTGCGCAGCCCCTTGATTTTATTATCCGTTGACGGCAGTACCGACACTAACCAGTCTTTCCCCCAACAGAGCTTGCAGCTTTTCCGCAGCCTCCCTTGCCAAGCGTGTTGACACATATCGTGCAAGATTCATAGACAAGCATTCGGATCCTCTTTGGTTGTCAATGATAGCTTATGCATTGGCGTGAGTCTAACAAAGAATTGCCCCTTGTCTTTTCTGATTCTGATTTTGCCCTCGTTCTAGGGTCGCCGAAACCAATCTCGGAATTGTTTGTGCCTGCGTGCCAATTACCTTCCCTACATTCAAGGGCCTGGCCGAGAAGGCCAGTAACAGTTGGGGTTCTTGGAAAGGCTATCGGTCCAGGCAAAGAATACCCTCACTGACTCCGAAGGGGTCTACCGACTACACAAGTCACGCATCGGCGACACAGCGGGGGCTACCCAGCGTTCCCAAGGGCACGCTTCACACGCTGCTGTCATTCGTCAGGGGACCGCAGACCTCCCAACGTGGCGAGAAGTCACAGGGCATTACTGTGACTCAAGACACCGATATAGAGATGTCGCCTCGTTCTGGGGGCCGTTCTTGGGAAGCGGGAAATATAGTACCGCCTGCCTTGAGCTCTGGACGAAATGTGATGCTCGCGGACTGAAGGCACGCATGGGTGATTGGAAACAATTTGCGCGATTCGGAAAGGATATTCAAGATTCGCAATAATTTTGAGCACTAATGGCAATCGTGTTAAGGGTCGTGTTCGGATTGTCGAGGGCTGGAGAAATCTTTGTGCAAGAGTATTCATCACATTTATTGGAGAAAGTCATCCGAGCAGCGCTGTTTCACGGCAAATAGGTAGTCATGCTTATCGATTGACAGCTTCCCTTTGATGAAAGCGACTAGAATGTACCTAGGCCTCCTTTTTCACTGAGAATATTCATGTAGCTGGTGGGCGAGGCCATTTACTAAAGTACAGTCTGCTGACTCCATGAGGATTCATTTAGCTTTCAGTTAGATGATCTGTTGTTATGTGTATAAAAGGTCTCCTCAGTATCAAACAGGTGGAATCAATATGCTTAGCTGACACGCTGCATCTCCAGCTGAAGTACCAAATGGTCTAGCCTCCCTGCCCACTTGAGGTCGCCAGCTTGATAGCTATGTTCCTGCTGGGCAGGGGAACCAAATAGGCTGATCCTTTTCACGTCTTAATATTTACCTAGCACAATCGAACTCACGGGCACTGAAACATGGACATTCAATGCATCTGGTGTGCAGAAGAAACATTTCCAATTCGGATTTCAAGCTAAGGTTCATGCACTATAACCCAATCATCCTTTCAATGGAAGCCCATGCGGTGGTCCTGGTAGTCCCGTACCCCATTCGTTGAGTACTGGCAGATAAATGAGGAAGTTAATTGTAAGTGACACTGTAGAAATCATCAGCAACTTTCAATCTTTCATGAAACAGGTGCAACAAACAGCCAGTGAATTCGAACAGCAACCACAGCCAAGTCTGATTGTTGTGACACAGGTACTGCAATGTATTGCAGATGCTAATGTGGACCAAGATGAAGCTCATGGCTAGGAAGGCTGAGAATAATGCAGAAGTCTTGAAATTTCTAGTCCACATCTTGGAAAGCTTTCGTTGAGTTTCGAAAATTGAGAGAATTGGATCCTTGGCTAGATGTCGGGTTGGAATCACTGAGATGATAGCGTAATGAAACTGCGAAGCCGGATATGTATAGATCAGGCGAACTTTTCAGGTACCCCAGACTGGATCAGTAATGTTAGACGTGACCTTGGAATGTACTTTGGGCAATGGTGGAGACGGTTCCTGCGGGGGCTGCTGTTCTCGGTGTGACTGTCTGTCCCCTTGGAAGGAGCTCGGCTGTTGCCGTTGTACATTACGAGGATCGCTTGGATTGGCGGAGTGCGCTTACTGAGACGCATTGGCATTCCTCTGGGTAAGGCTGACTGCAGTGTTTGGATTCCTCATGCAGAAAAAAGTGCGTGAATTCTCGGGTTGAGGCTGCAGATGGCTGACATCCCGTGCGTGCTTGCGTACCAGCAGCTCCAAGGAAATTTGAGACTACTGAATGCTGGGGGCGGAAGATACTGGATGGCAACACTTACTACGTAAAGCCGGTATTATCTGTTGTGCGGAACTGGGGGCCGGACAGGGCAGGGGTCCGTTTACAGCTTGCTTTGACCCTGCGCCACAGAGCCTTTAAAAGGCAGGCTGAGGATCAATATTTGCCCCAGTAATCCCGGCCCGTCTCTGGTATGGTGTTCTAATATGGAGGGTGTTACACAGCTGCATCACATGGGCAGCCTAGGCGTGCCGCGGAGCCGCAGGTGCTGGAAGCTCCTTCCAGTGTAAAGACCAATTCGGCCGTTCACCGAGCCGCCGGTTAGGATGAGGGTGTGTAAGCCTGCTCACAGAAGCTATTTGCGATCTGGGTCTCAGAAAGAGAGCATCAAATGCGATGGCTCCAAATCTATGAAAGTTTTGCTGGACTATGGTAGCGGCTATCTGCATCCATCTTTCAATTGCGAGGTCTCTGCTTTCAAGTAGCTTGAGCACCGCTTCTCCTGCATGAAAATCCTTTCGCGGGACGGTTCCTTCGCTTAAAAGGATCGCGATGCTAGTCCTTCCTCGTTTAGAGCAATCGTAACTGCAGAGCAGGCTCTAGCTCGCAAGTATTACATTGGCTGCATGAGCGATATTGACCTCAGCCATCCCATGTCAAGCAGCTTATCTATTGCCAAGGTGATGTGGCTCGTAACTGGCACCTGGGAGCAGATCGAATGTACATGTCGCTAGGTAACTTTGTATCTGCACGTCTCGTCTTGAACTTTCTTGTACCCTCCACAAGACTTTCCTTCCGTTGCACTAACTCCCTTTGTCCATGTCGGCTTGCTCCTCGGCCACGCCTTTTTTCCTGATATCCGTCCACCCCATGCCCCATGACAGCCCCAAATACACGCATGCGAGGGCCGCAGATAAATAGAAAACTGCGCTCAAGGCGCGGGAGTAAACACGCAGCACACTTTCAAGGTCTTGCTCGGGCACAACAGACCGAAATGCTGTGGCTCCGGCTCCGATAACTCGATCGGCTGGCACGCCTGGCACATTTTGCTCCAACAGCGTCCTAAGCTGGTTGTTGAAAATGACGTTCGCCACAGTTAAAAAGATTGAGCCTCCAAATGTCTGCGCAAAGACGATCAAAGACATACTCTCGGGGACAAGATGAGACCCGAGGACCGCTTGCACGGCGATGAAGGGCATCTGTATACCCACGCCTCGACCAAACCCAAGAAGAACTTGGTACCCAATCCATTTGGCTGTTGGCGTTGAGACAGTCAATAGAGACAAAAGTCCTCCGCCAATGGCAACCATGACTCCGCTTAGTAGAACAGCTGGAATGCAGTATCCGAGCTTTCCCACTATTCAACTTCGTTAACAGCGGTGCCTCCGAGTACGATGTGGCAGATGGATGATTCTATCATGCGAACTCACCGATGGCTCCAAAAAAGGCAGAACTAAGCAGCTGGCTGAGTATGCTTGGTAGTAGATATACGCCACTCATAGTGGGTGACGCGCCCTTGACTGCTTGGAAATATATTGGCAAGTAGTAGGAGTGAACAAGCAAGGTGGACGTCATAAAGCCGCCCACGAGAACACTGCTCCAGACAGCGCGCTTGGAGAGAAGCGAGAGAGGCATCATTGCCTTCTCCTTTCTCCAACCTTCCCACGCCGCGAACACAATCCCAGTGGCCAGACCACCACATAAAAGGCCGATCACCCTGGGACTGCTCCAGGCATATCGATTTCCACCGTACTGGAGTCCGAGGAGTATCATAGCGACCGCAGGGGCGAAAAGAAAAAAACCAGGTAGATCCAAGTGCGACAAGAGGTGTCCCGCGTGAGAGACCTTTTGGCCATGGTCAGGTATTGCGGTGAAGAGCAGCGCCGCGCAGGTCACGCCACCTATGGGCAAATTAATGTAGAAACCTAGGATCGACTTATTTAGATGCCGGTCTCGTGTCCCTTCCCTTTCAACAGCCAAGGGTTTTCAGTGGTGGGAGGCACGGGGAGACATACACCAGCGCCAGGTAGAGTATTCTGTTAGGGCGCCACCTATGAGCGGTCCAGCCACGCTGCCCATGTATGCAACTGTGAATCACGTGTCAGTGGCTATGTGCACGATGACGAACCAGTTTAACTGCTTGGAGATGGCCCATACTCCCCAAAACTATGCCGGTCACGGCTGGCCTCCTGGTTAGAGGAACTGATGCCGCGACGATGGTCAAGGCGCCATTCATTATCCCCGATGACCCTAAGCCTGCAATGGCACGTCCGACTATGAACACTGGCGACGAGCTTGCAAGCCCACACACCAGCGAGCCGACCTCGAACACGGCAATGAAGGCAAGAAAAGTCCACTCGGCTCCTGTCAGTATCATGAGATGAGAAGTAGTTGGCCGGATTTAACTTGCCTTAATTCCGAGGTGGGAGTACAGCTTCCCGGTCATGGGCTGCAGTGCAGCACTGAGCTGGAGTGAGTCGGATGCATTGGCATACGCGGTATGGAGCCGGTCTCGGGATCTGACCTGGAAACTGTGTATGCACTGCCGTACCATCCCAGATCTGGGAGCGAATTGAAGTCGTCGGTGATGCGTGGGATCGCCTCACACTTTGTCAGCTGTGGGCGATGTGGGCGACGGATGGGAATCCAGCCGTACCGTCACGATGATTGTCATGTCAAGAAGCATGATAAACGCTGCCAACGTGACGCCTGTGAGAATCGCCAATAGCCTCGGTCCGGACAGATAGCCCACAGTCGAGTTAACAGGATAGGTAGGCTTCTCTGGTGGGGAACGACAAATTGCGTCCTCGCATTGTGTGATCTGATCAGAGGAATGGCCCTCCGGAGCTAAAGGCATGATGACTTAGGTATTTCGGCGACTCAGGCAACTGAATCGCTAGGGAGTAGGAAGGACACAGATTTGTTTTTGTGGAATTCTGAGCTATCTCTGAGATGAACAGCGGCTACCCCCCTGGACTCGCCTTTCGCAGCGGTTCGGATTCACGAATGGAATGTGGCTCGCTCTCAGGTGGACTAGTCCGGACGCAGAAGGATGAATGCACGAACCGCAATGTCGCCCGCTCCAAAAACATTTCGCAACCAATAACTACCTCGCCAGCAGCGTGTGGGTGATACTACAGACGTCTGAAGGATTTTGTGTAACCGTCAGACGGGAATCAGCAGCAATGTCTTGCGACGTAAGCGGATGAGTTCGCCGATTAACGGAGAATCTTGGCGGGCGCGGACATGGGGTCTTGCACCTGGGTACTCATGCCCAGGTGCCTCGGCTATGAGTTCCGTGTCATCCAGTTGTGAGACAGATCAGGCATGTAGAATCTGACAGCCCGGCGTGGAAGATAAGCACTATTGAATTGAATAATTGCGCTAGTCCATGCGAGCAAGGATATCATCCTGGGGCACACTCCGAACATTCAGACCTTCTCTCCACAATTAGTCACTTCAACAGTGCGGCTTAAAAGACCATTCTATAAAGGCACATAGTCCATCCTAGGGCTCCAGAGAGGGTATTGGGGCTAATGTTGTGACGGCTCAAGGTTTCCTTCCACAATGTACATGTTCTGGGTAAAGGGGCTCGGACTCGCTGGATTTAGAAAGTTTGGCAGATTTTTCTTTCCTTTCTCAGTGCCTCAAGTCTTGTGCAGTACAATCAAAGCCAAGACTGGGACTGTACGCCTTCGTGATGTATACGGATTAAGAACGAAACCAGCAAAGCCAAGACAAGTGACAAGCAGGTACTACCCTGGTACTCACACAGGTCGGTCCGTTGATACTTCGAGTGGTATTAATATAGTCACTTGTCCCTGGCTAAATACTTGGGCGTACACCCAATTGAAGAAATATACGTCGATACCTCGCAGTTGACTCCCGCATTTGGGGGCCGCACTACGCGGGAACGCCCAGCCAAGTCATGCTCTCTTGGCAACACGAGTTAGGTCTTATTTTACATTGAACTCGCTTATAGCTAGTGGTGTGAGAGCTCCGCTTGCTCAAGTATACGGAAGAACAAACTCAAAGTAACCGAGTCGGGCAGCTATTGAGGATACCAGCCTCGTCTGTCGCATCGCTTAATGAGCTTGGTATCTCTAGATAATGCCTGTACAAGTCGCGGCGTCACTCATACATCGACATGAGGCTGATCTGATCACTTTGTTATCACTCAGGAGGCGTCGATGTGCAGTATTGGAGGCAAGGATTGGAAGTGTTGCCATGTCTCGGGCAGGATGGCTAGGTGGCTCATTCTGATGGGTGGGGGGGGGGGGGTTGGACGGGCACGATTTCAATTCAAAGTTCTCTAGAACTAACTAAGCATATAAGCTGCTTGAATTCGCGAGAGAAGTTATTGCTCCGGAGACGACATGATCAATTTCTTCGTACTACCACAAGCAACTTTCCTATCTACACGAGCAATGAGGGTTGAGGACGTTCTGGGTCGTCTGGCAGTAATGGCCGAGCTGCCAAACATGAAGACCTCGTGCTTGCTAGCAGCTGGGCTGGGTTTCGCCCTAGTCGCTTGGAGGTTCTGGTGTGCGTTGTTCAAAACGAATCAGCTGGAACCTCCTGTTCTCAGGTCCTATGTTCCTTTCATAGGACACCTTTGGGGCCTGATGAGACATGCCCATGATTATCTCACTTCTCTTCAGTATGTTTCAACTTGGGTCATTTTCCCGTGCGGAATTTCCTGCTAGCAGCAACACTGATGTCACAAAGCCTCCAAAATCCTCTTCCCGTCTGTTCGCTGCCTATGCTGGGACGCAAGGTCTATGTCATCAACAATCCAATCCTCATCCAGGCTGCCTTCACCAACACAAAATTGAGCTTTGGTCCTTTTGTTATAGACTTCGTGGGCCGAATGGATGAGCTCTCTGCTTCAGCCCGTCGAGCCTACGTCGAGGAGGGCATGCATGCCCGAGTCAAACAAATTTTCTCTACCCACATGACAGGGCAGCCGCTGAAGAAGATGAACACTGTCTTGCTCACTCAATTAATGCTACACCTACCTGGAAATGGTTCCGTGGTTGAAGTAAAAAGTCTCTGGGTATGGCTCAGGAATATCCTGACCGTGGGCTCGACGTCCATGCTGCTCGGCGCAAGGAATAATCCATTCAGGACGGATGCTGCTCTCGTTGAAGCATACTGGTGAGTTCTCATAAGAACCATGAAGTCCATGTGGTTGAGGCCCTGGGCTAATTGCAAACCGCAACGCAGGAAATACGAAGCAGGTGATCCATCGCGGCGCTACAATGTCACAGCTGTTGGGAACCGAAGCTCGGCAAAGAACCACGCGGCCATGCTGAAAGCCCTAACAGCGTACTTCTCTGCCGGCCATGATCTCTCGCAGCATCCTGAAGACGCCGACATTGCCCAAATGACGCGAGAGACGACCGGTATGCAGCGTGAGTGGGGTTTCACGGACACAGATCTTGCCGCAGCGCAAATCGTCATCATTCATGCGACACTCGTGAGTGCCGTGCCCACCATAATTTGGGCGGTCGCGCATGTGTTCAGTAGGCCTGAGTTACTCGCCACGCTGCGGGAGGAGGCTCTCAACGCTGTCACCATCAAGAGCGACGATGAGGATCCTGGTAGTGCCAAGCATGTGCTAGTTACCGCGGAACGGATCGAGCCTCGCTGTCCCACACTGGTTGCGGTGTTCCGCGAAACGCAGCGGCTCGCAGCCGTTGGAACACTGCACCGGCGTGTCCTTGAAGACACCATGATCTCAGGTAACATCGAAGGCAAAGAGGTTAGTTATTCTCTAAAGAAAGGCGTCGCAGTCCTGATGCCTGTCGTGCCGAGTCACCGCAACACCGAGACTTGGGGTGAGGGAGTGGATGACTTCCAACCCGAACGTTTTCTGTCGGAAGAGAAGATCGACACCAAGGGGGCGTCGCAGCTGCGCAAGAAGGCTTACTTCCCCTTTGGCGGCGGCAGGGAGCTGTGTCCAGGGCGCAACTTCGCCACGGCGGAGACCCTCAGTACGCTTGTCGTGCTGATCTTAGGCTTCGACATCCACGCACGGGACGGCTCTACATTCAGGTTGCCTCCTGTAGGCCCCTCAAAGATGACGTCGCAGACAGCACGGCCTCTGGAGACAGCAGACATGGCGGCCAGGATCAAGCGTCGCGAAGGCTGGGAGAATGTTGTTTGGGGCGTCAGCACCACGTCAACCATGTAATAGACCTGTACTCAAAGATGGCGCGGAAGAACGTTGACGGCCAAGTTCGATGGCATAATGCCCGAATAACTGCCGTATCAGTTTGTCTTCTCTTTTCAAAACAGCCATTTCATACCCTGTGGAATAGAAATCTCAGTTTCACAGCATTTGCGCAAATGCATGCAAAGATTAGTGGGTACACATATAGCTAAACAACCTTGCCCGCTCTAGGCAAACTGGCGACCACCAAAATGGCAATAAATAATTCAAGCATGTTGTAGTGTGGTTTAATTACGCTGTGAAAAGGCTGGTGTTCTCCATCCTTCCCTGCCCTTCTGTTCTTTACTGTAATGTCCACATCATTATCCTCCGCCCATTTACGGCCGAGCCGCATGTCAATTCCACCAAGCCAAGTATCTAGGCCCGCTTCACGCCCACCTCCCTCGCCGCCTCTTGCCGCATAACTGCTAAGAAGACCTTATCCTCCGCCCAAGCAGGCAATAAACTGCTTCCGAGCTGCTGCAGCGCATGAGCCCAATATCCGATGACCAATCCATGTCCACGGCCGACCTGCTGCAGGGCGGCTCGAGCCATGGTCGTCGCATCTGGCACGAAAAGTGAGGGAGGTTCGCGACAGCCAGAGACTCCAGTGACCCTGCCCACTCTGACACCCAGTAGCTCAACCTCGTCCGCCGCGCCGCCTTGGAGAGCCATTTCGAGGCGCACCGAGCGCGTCATGTTCATGAGGAACTGCTTGCTAGCGCTGTATGAGGCCATTAGGGGAAGGCCTGGGTCGGCCATGGAGCTGATGTTCATCACCAGGGCTGGCGAGCTCTTGATCAACTTGGGAAGTAGCACGCGTGTCAGGTGTAGAGGGAATAGTGCGTTAAGGCTAACGTTGTCTGTGATCCGAGCGGCAGAGGATTGGCTCAGAGGCGCACATATTGGATTGACCGGGCTCCCGCCCGCATTGTTGATCAGAACCGTAAGATGCAAGTCGTCAACCGCGGCTGCTATGGCTGTGAAATCCGGGACGCCCTGACCGATCCCATCAACGGTATGCTTCTCCTGTTGATCTTGCAATGCAATGCAGTTCAGACATGGCACCTTGCTTGCGTCCGCGGTCAGAATGCGGAATGACCTCTCGGGACATATTTTCTGCAGCTCTGCCAGCACGAGGGATAGCTTTGTGTGGTTCCTCCCATGTAACACGACGTTGAACCCTCGCGATGACAATTCAAGCGCAAGCGCCCGGCCTATACCGGCTGAAGCTCCTGTCACCAGGGCCCACGGCGCGCGCCCGCCCGAGTCCGTGTGTGCGTACTTGTTCAGTCTTGATGGAAGGAAGTATGTAGTGCCTAATCTAGCGACTTTAATAGCCGCGAAGAAAAGCGTGAGTGCTCCAATGGTGGAGATAATGACTGGAATGTACGGCATTTCTAAGTATGCTGACACCAAAAGAGGTAGGATAAAATTGGTGGAGGTAGACTGGTTCAGTTTCGCGGATATAGAAGAGCGGAATCACAGTGTCTGGGCAAAAGGCAAGCCGAGATGGCATGCCCGGTTGAAGAATAGAAGTAATCATAATGTGGGCGTGCCACAAGTGACCGGTCGCACCAGGCTCGGGAACCAACCGGTCTGAAGGGACCTCGCACTAATCAGAACTTGCTGCTGTGAGACATGCCAGGCCTCATAGCCACGGATGTTGTGTAACGACAACGAGCCGGTTCGGGCTGAATGCCAATTGCCAAGCCGTGCAGCGGGAATCCACGAGTGTTTCTTCATGTGGTTAGTCCTCGCCAGAAGGAGTAGCAAGTTTACTGTGACCTTCCATTAATTACCTCCCGCGAGAGTCGGCACGCCACAAAAGTACGAAGCTGCCTTGTCTACTCTTTTCCCGCTGTCTTTCGCCCACGTTTCTCTTCTTTTTTTTATCGTTTTCGTTAAAGTGCGTTATTTCTCTCAGCTGTTCACTAGGTCCTGCCATATACTCACCCCAAGTGCCATTGGGCCATGTCGACCATCTGTAATGTCAAGGCAACTACCTTGGGGTATGCCCCTAATGAAGCGGCCAGTTACATTTTCACTATTGGATTCGGCTTGTGCGGCATCGTCACCACCTTCTTGGGGGTGAAAAGGCGCACATGGGCTTTCTCGACGCCCATTGCTGCCGGCAGTTTTCTGGAATGTGCAGGTGAGAAAGGCCAGAGCATTGATGCATGATTATTCACGTCATCGAATGGTGATTCGTTCTAATGCTGTGAATCTCCAGGTTACGCTGCACGTATCGCAATGCATTTCAACCCATGCAACTCCGATGCCTTTAGGCTGCAGATCGTTGCCATCATCCTCGGTGCCACCATCATCTGCGTGGGATTGTACCTGACGCTGAAGGACTTCATAAATGCGCTTGACCCATCCCTATCGCGCATGAGGCCACGATGGTACCCTATCATTTTCGTTCCAGCAGATGTATCGTGCCTCGTTGTGCAGGCGATCGGGGGTGCTCTGGCAGCTTCTGCCGGAGGTGGCCGATCGTCTGGAAACACGATCCGTCCCCCAAACATGTCTCTGATGAACGCAGGGAATAATACCATCGTCGTAGGGATCTGCCTTCAGGTTGTTGTGCTTATCTGTTTCGGTCTCGTAGCCGGCGATTTTGTGTTAAGGGCAAGGAAATCGGCGCAATCACCAGAGTCAATTGTTCGACCTGACGCGATATGGACGCAGCGGCGATTCAAGACTTTCATCTTCGCCATCACTGGAGCCTACACGGCCATACTTATCCGGTGTATCTACCGCATTGCAGAGATGGCAGGAGGCTGGGGGTTAGTTCTCACCCCTCGTTTATACGATGTGGTATAGACACTAACAGTTGTTTCTCTAGGAACGAAATAATGCAAGACGAGCCCACTTTCTCAGTCTTTGAATCTCTGTGAGTCTGGCATGTTGCACTGCAGACACGACAGGCTGATGATGAATAGCATGATCCTGATTGCCTGCATACTACTGTCCGTCTTTCCTCCAAGCGGTATCCTGCCTCTTATTTCGACTCCACAAGACGGAAATATGAGCAGCTCAAACCTAGCAATGAGGGTTGAGGGGACAAACCAGACTATCGGAATGGGCTCAGTTAACCCATCAACTAGCGAGTCCTGGAACGGAATTGGAAAGAACGATCAAAACGGTCAAGCGGCTTCTCATTAACTGGCCACTCGATAGTCCGCTATGAGTGGTAGCGGCAACACCGGTTCAGTTCCTTGATGTGAACAAAACAGTGAATGCTATTTGTAGCATTCACCAATCAAAGGAGAAGGGGGTCGGTCCCAAAATCGTCACACAATGTATTCATAAATTGATATCAAGTCCACGGGAGAGTGAGCGGGCTAAATGGATGATATAAAGATAAACTATTGACTCAAAACTCAGTGTGCCTCGAGCCTGTCTGCTGCAGAGTCATTCCATGCCGAGATGAGAATCGGCTAGCGAGCAAGGTGGTTACGTCCACGCACATCTACCATGCACAAATCTTTCCACAAACAACTGTGTTTCTTTGTGAATCGGGTTAGAGAATATATCTCGAGGAGCATTAAAAAAGCGTGATTATAGCTTATAGAGGCTTCTACCCGAAACTGGCAGTACTCATGTAGGCTCCCTGCCCACGTGTCGGATCACACCACCTTACTTCGTCTTCCAAACCGCCAGTGCCAAAAGACCGAGCAATACGTTACAGTTCAACAGTATGTGGAGGTACTGCACTACTGATGAAAATTTCAGGACCATCAAGTAGCTGTCTGTCTAGAACTTGTAATTCTGCCCCCTCTTCTCATGCCGTTGCAGGTGTATGAACAATGAGTGCACGTGTGTGTTGCTTGTAAGAGGAACACTGGATCAGCATCTGGATGGCAGTCCATGATCATCAACGAACCACGGATTACGCATGTCGTTACCCACATTTTGTGGCCTCAATAACCATAACGGAATCTGCATTCAAGCCATGTATTTTCTGAGGCTGTTCCAATCGACTCTGCACCTTCAGCAACTCGTTGAGCAATTGTGCGAGAAACGCCAGATCTTGATGCCATCGGCGTAAGCGAAGAGTGAGTCCAAGGCTTCAGGGCTGATATTGGGGGTTCTAGCTTCGCGGTGGTACATGCTGACAGCGGTTGAAATGTCCTACGGTCCAAGGTCTATGTCTTTCGGCTGGGCGGTAACGAGTCCCGCTAGGAACAGCAACGCAATGGAAAGAAATAGAGTTATTGTCTTGTTGACATATAGATTTATGATTGAAAAAATAATATGGACCTGAATTCAAATTGTAGAAATTGAATCTGGGATGAATGTGGGTTTAAAATGAAGAAAGCTGCTAGATAATAGGTGGCTTGATGGAACTGTGATCTGGCTGCTCAGGTGTCCTTAATAAATCAGGCAGTAGAGGTAATCAACCTTTTGTGAACAGTTATGTAATTCTCGACCTTCTTATGTGGTACTATTCTGAAATAGGTGTGGGGAAATGTAAACGAAACTATGTGTTCTCTTCGATTTGAATTCCACCATCTACCTATTTTACAGTAATCGACCGTGGCAGTTCACCGAAGCCGCACGCAAGGAGCAACTGATGAGCCAGTGTACAAGCATCAGGCTTTAATCTCGTTATATTCAAACTTGTTGACTCTTAGGTGAATTTTAATAGCTCGACGATTATTATAAAAGTTTTGAATTTGGTCATGCCCACTTGGAACCTCATGGCGCCTTTAGATTCTTGTTGTTGAGGGTGGGTTGAATTTGCCCCTGCGGTTGGCAAGGACGTCAGCGGCTCAGAACCAGGCACCTGCCCGGGTGGTCCTATATATCCGGATCTTTTCCATCAATAACAACGGATTCTTCCAGCCTACTTAAGATCTGAATTTTCAGTTAATATAATTGCAATTAATATTCATTTTAGATTTATTTAGAATTTTATTTATATATAATAATTATTCCTCTTCTTAATATAAAGTTAAAAGATTTATAATTATAAGTTTTTAATTAAATTTTATTTAACTATTTTATTTTATTATAATTTAATTTAACTTTATTTAAATCTTTCTTTAAGTTTTTTAAATTTAAATTTAAAGTTCTTATATATTTTAATTTATTTTAAAATAAATTTATATATTTTTAAAAGTAAAAGTTTATTTTTATATAATTATAAATTTAATTATTAATAGTTATTTCTTTTTTATTTATATAATTTTACTTTTATTTTATATATATTTAAGAATATATATAATACTTTTATATAATAATAAATATTTAAAACTTAATATTTAAAAGAATATAATACTAATAATAATAATTATAATATAATAAATACTTATAATCTTAACTTTATAATATATAAATAAAGTTAAAAATATTATTTTAATAATAATATTAATTATAAATAAAAGTAATTTATAAACTAATTATTATAAAAATTATATAATAAAATTAAATTTAAAAATAATTATTATATAAATAAATTATATTAAAGAAAGTTTAATGAAAATTATACTATTAAATATATATATATATAATTTTTAATAAAAATATTATTAAATAAATATTATAACTTTTATTTAAATATATAGTTATTAATTTTAAAAACCTTAAAATCAAGAAATATTTATAATATATTACTTTTAAAAATTTTATAATAAAGTATTAAAACTTTTAAAAAAGTTTTAAAGGTAATTTATTAAAAAATAAAAAAGTATAATAAGTTTCTTCTTTTAAATATATATTTTATTATTAATAATTATTAACTTTTAATAATATAAATAAATATAATAAAAATAAAGAAAAAGGAATTTAAAGTTCCTTTATAAAAGGACTATAAAGATATATATAAAACTATTTAAAACTTTATATATAAAGTTTAAAGGGATGAAATAATTAATAAAATAAAAGATAGTTATATAATATAAAGGAAAAATATAGTATAGTTAAAGCCTTTTTTATAATTTATTAAAATTATAAACTTAAATAATAAAGTATAGTTACTTTATTTACTTGTATTTTAATTTAATAGGTTAAAGTGTAGTAGGTTAAGTAACTACTTTTAAGTAGTTTTATTTTATAAATATTTATTTAAATAAAATTAAAACCTTTAAAAGAATAATAACTTTATTTTTATTTATTTTAATTAATTAATACTTAAGTTATATAATAAATTTAATATATTATATTTAATAATATTAGTATTAATTTATAATTTATAATAGTTTTAACTTTTAATAAATATATATTTTATTATTATAAAGAAATATTAAAGAAAATACTTTTTTAAATTAACTAATAAAATAATTGATATTAAAGTTAATAATATTAACTTAAACTAATATATTTTAATATATTAATATGAAAAATATTTTCTAATAATAAATAATATTATAAAAATTATAAAGTTATTATAAAAGTTTTATATAATAAATTTAATTAAATTAATTTTAAAAATATATTATATTATATATTTTTATACTTTAATTATTTATTTTAATTTATAATAAAATTGAAAAGTATATAAATAATTTAAGTAATTATATATTATATAACTTAATTTAATATTATTATTATTATTATAAAAACTTTAAAATAATTATAATAATTATATTTTATTATATTATTAATATATTATTATTATTACTTTATTTATATAATTTAAATCTTTATATTATAACTTTATTAACTATTATAATAAATTATAATTAATATATATATATAAATAATTACTTTTTATATAATAATAAATATTTAAAAGTATTATATTTATATATATATTAATAATAATAATAATAAAATTATAATAAATATATATAATTTTAATTTTAATATATATATATATATATATATATATATAAGGCTGAGTATTACTAGTTTAAAAGTATATATAGGTAAGATTACTAAACTTGTGGTTGTGTAGACACGACCTAGTCTCGGTCACATCATGCCCATCTTCGGCAGTGTCACGGTCTGAGCGCCCTCGACAACGGCGACCAGCGGCCATCATGTTATCGGCCAATCGATGACATCCTTTTTTCTTGTGATGAAGATCAGCATTTTGTAAATTTTACAGATCATCTCTGCTAACTAACAATATACAAACGGAAGTCGAGACCTCCGCTAGTCACGTCATGGAGCACGCGCGGCCCGGCACCCCAGTGCTGAGCAAGCAACTCTAGAGCAGGCACCATGTGAAGACAAATGTAAGCTCAAGGGCTATTATGGTTCATTAGTTCCGTAAGCATATACTGACCAACTTCCATCACCTTCTCATCGTGACCCAGTCTCGCACTGAAGCTCTGTCTGGAACTTGTGCTTCGGACAGCATCGGGTTCTCTCGAAATAGTTCAACGCGTTGTCCGTCCCTATGCCCAGGGGGAAACATTGAATTGTTTTATTTCTTTGCAAGTGGCCCCACATTTGATCAATGAAAGTTCGGATTCTCCCTTGCCTTCACCTTCAGGTTCGTCCGTGCCTTGGTCTCTCCATATTTACTGGATCCAGTCCATGCGACCCTACCCTAGGGTACTTCGCTATACTCAATTCTGGCATATGGTCTAATCCATTTCATAACCAGCTCTCCTGACTGGCCAGACGGGTCACTCTAGCAAGATTACTCGAGTTATGGCTTGACACACTGCGGCATGTCCGATTGGCTGTCTGTATCTAGGCATCGACGTTTGGGACCCTATGCACGCCTACCCGGTGGACAACGTAATTATGGAGGCAGATCTTACAGGTCGGTCAAATTCATGTCTAATGAGGAAGATGGCTAGAGCACAAATGGAAACAATGACGCCAGAAGAGAAGGGAGAATAACTGGAAGAATGCCAATATTCAAGTCCAAAAAGAATCAGAAAAATGGCAAAAACATACAGCACCGGGTATTCGCTGGTCGTCACCGAACCAACTACTAATCCAGCGATTACAGACTTGACTAAGGGAGAGCGGACGGGATCCCGTATTTTCCTGTATCTATGGCCGTATGTGCTTGGGAAGGCGGAGCCGCATCCTATATCGTGAATCTCCATGACTCAAGCTTGTTTGAGAATGGATGCACACCAGCCGACACATCGGCTGTCAGCAGCCGAGAAATTCGGAACTATTGAGATGAATATCTTACTGTCAACTTCTTGCAAACTGGCGGTCTCTGATTCAAAGTTGACCAGCAACTTTCGAGGTCCCGAAACTGCATCATTGTGGTCGACAGTGAAGGAACAAGCTTGACTTGAGCAGTTAGAAGTTGAGGCGGACCAACAAGTAAGGCACCCTGGCAATAAGGGTACTACCTAGGTACTAATTTGAAAGCCAAGCAGTCTTCTATTCAATCAAAATTGGAATGACCCGTCACCCAGTAAGTCTTCTAGATTTCCGAAGCCAGATGTTACCTTCAATGGGTTAGCAGAGCCCAGGACGCCTCCATTTAACGATCTGTTAGCTTACCATTGAGTCAAAGGTTCCCCAACCCGACATATCGTAGAGCGAACTACCAGGACTCGCATCGAAACCGTTCATGTCGTTGACATCTGATGTAAGTGGGTGCTGGCCAAGGCCGACAGCTTCACCCAGGACAGTGTCCTCAGGTCCCAAGTTCTCAATCTCTTGCGAGTGGGTATTATCCACGGAGCCTATATTTTGGTCGTCTCCAGGCTGTTCCGAGTGTCGTATGGCTTCTTTACGTAGCTCGTCCAGCACTAGACAATATCGCCTTGCAAGTGAATGCTCCTCTGCGATCATTGACATCTGCTCTTGACACCTGATTGCTACGGATAGATGCCGATCAGAGGCCTCTGGTATGCTTGACTTTTGCTGAATAGAAAACACGTAAAGGACGACGGCCGCGCAGAATGCATAATATGAAGTGAACTGCTCTGAGAATCAGAAACATTCGCCTAAGGGTAGAGACAAGCATGAAGATTGGCTTACCCAAAATGCTTTGAACATCATCCTCGCACTGATGAGCTCATCGACAAGATCACAGATGTTTAGCGCCGCTTGAAGGCAGTCTTTGACCCGATCTTCAACCTGTGTTGTGTTCGCACTGCTTCGTGTAGCTCCGAACTTGTTAAGGAGAAATGGCCGCTGTGTCAAAATGGTGGCGTGCCAATATGCGAGATTTAGGACGTGACGTTGCCTTTGGTAGATGGGAAGAAGCAAAGAGGTGTTAATTCTGCTAGAGTCGAGAAATTCCGCCATTTCTGTGTACCAATTCCGCAGCCTTGTGGAATATTGGGCGGCAACCTTCAGCCTTGTGGACGTTGATAGTGGCCAAATGGGATATAGATCCTTGAGGATGCCATCGTTGATGCGTGATAATCTAATATGTGCCACCGCGCCAAGCATTAGAGGCTGACCAAGAGGAGGCTTAGGCTCGACCCCGGCTTGCTCAAGGTCCGAGTCATCAATGCAAGATGGGAGCTCTTGGTCGATATCCTCCTCGTGGAAAGTGCGAGGCCTCCCAAGAGCGGCCGCCAGATATTTATCCAAGGTATAGGCGCACCAGAAGGTCCGTCGACGGCACTCGGTCTCAATCTTGCCTGTACGACCTTGGGCCTCTGTTTTCTTGCCCCGGTTCAACCCGATGGCCAATGCGAGATGTGCGGTGGTCCCAAACAGTGTCCAGCAGTGGTTGATGCGGGACTGTGACAGCAACCAGAAACACTGGGCCAGACGGGCTTGGACACTGGCAAGACGGACTTGGCCTCGTTCCTTTTGTAGCTGATTTTCAGCTGCGAGGAAATAGCGAGAGCTGACGTCGGCCATAGTCTCGTGGTGGGAGTCAATAGCAGGCTCGGTCATATAGAGGCTCGCTTGCGCAAAGACCATAAACAGGAGAGCAGTCCTTGCTGGGGCTTCGTCTCTGTTGCTCATGCATCCGGTGGAAGTGTATAAGTCCTCGAACCACGCCTCGACAGTGGGACGATGCAAGAACCGATGAGTAGGCACCGCGAAGTCAAAGTATCTGACGAGAAGCCCCCGTGTAACATCTTTAGGAGGAAGAACGAAGAAAGAGACATCGAAGTCTGGTAGGGGAGCATCTCCAAAGGTGAAGATAGAAGAGGACGGTGGGAACTTCAAGGTCTGGTACACCCGTCTCTGCACCCGGAGTAGGAAGGATACACCTGAAGCAGGACCGACGTAGTGCCCCTGTTGATCTGTTTGTGTTGGTTCAGGCGATGCTCGCAATGACAGTGGCTCAGAGACTGGTTCCTGGGTGAGGGTGGCAGATTTCGCCGAGTTGTCCACGGCAGGACGTGTCACAGTCGCTTGGTTGTCGCCGCCCACGACGGACGGGGCCCGCCCCCGGGCGTATGAGGCTTCATATGAGCAACGGTTGCCTTTCCTCAAGCATATTTCGCATGGGAGCGCCCCAGTGCAACGTATCTTCTGCCTGGACTACGTGGTTAGCCTTTAAGTTCGTCACTTGTATGCTTGGCTCTCATGACACCTAGAGGCCCAAGCAACCGGCGCCGCGAGTGGAACGTCGAATATGCAGTGCCTTGTGTGAATATCATATCTGCATAAGGAACCACAGCCCACGGGGCCAGCAACACAGACTTCAAGAGGCCAGCACACGAAACATCAGGAACAGCATACCGTTTGCACTGGTCACAGGCTCTCGTGACCCTAACCCTTTCTCTCTCGCTTTTCCTACGGCTCCGCCGCTGCGAATGCGGCGTCGATGATCCGGGTGGGGTGACCATGAACAGCTGCCGGCTATCGTGATCCATCTTAGTTGCGCTATCCGAGGGTTGTGCGCGGAGCGGAATACAGTTCTCCTTTTCCAGCGCCAGGAGGTTATTGTGTAGGACGATTCGTGTTTTACGGTGCGGAAATGCGCAGCTTATCCGAGGGAGTGTGGAGCAATTGAGAGCCGGAAAAGAGGCACCGCTCCAGCGAACCTCGGATAACTTCGCCCCGAACCAGCGGGCGTCGACGTTACGCCCTAACTAGATTCCGCAGCGGTTTTCCCTGTCCACGGTTTACCACCTGGGCATGGGTTGGTACCATGGGTGCCCCTTTTCCGCCACCAACGTGGGTCAGGTACTCGTCCTCCATTCCAGGGCTTGTATGGTACTCAGCGCACGAACCGAGCGTTCAGAACGTACCACTGTTGTGTGACAGCCATTTAGAGGCGCCATACAAAAGCTCCAACTCTCGTCTCACCCGCCATGGCTCAGGTATTAGCGAACGGCTCAATAACAGACTCACCTGACAACACAATGGCGGTCGCAACCCAACAGATGCCGGCTCTGCCCCTGGATGTGGGGGTGAAGCCAACAGACAAGGGAACGAATGTGGACGATGATTCGCAGATTGTCACTATCACGGACTTGCTGCTCAGCAAAGTCCGCGAGACACCAGATGCTGTCTTCATACAACATCCAGCCACCGCAAAGGGTAAGAGTGACTACGTCGGATATAAAGTCACCGACGTCGATCGATTGGCGGACGAGGCTGCCCGCCAGTACGTCGCTCGAGGGCTTCGTCCTGAGGTATGTGCTATGCTTGAACACAGCAAGGAGCAGTGCTCGAAGCTAATCTCTTCCTATCACAGCCAACAACAGAGAAGTGTGAGGTGGTGGCGCTGCTGGCAACGTCCAATCTCGACTATGTCGCGTCGCTGCTGGCATTGAGCCGGATGGGCTTCTCAGTTTTGTTCCTCTCGACTAGACTGGCCACAGAAGCTTACGTGAACCTCCTACGTCTTACCGGGTCGCAAAAGCTCGTGGTTGGCAATGAGTTTCAAACGACGGCAGAGCAGATCAGAGAACAGTACCCATTATTATCTTACAATATCGTTGAAAGGCCCGAGTATGACCTCCCAACTCCTTCAGGGCCTCGATTCCCTTACACTCGACCGCCAAATGCATCCAAACAAATTTCTTTTATCGTTCACTCTTCGGGCTCTACCGGGCTACCTAAGCCAATCTATCAGACTCATTCCGCATGCCTCGCAAATTACTCGAGCGGCATCCCGTACCGGGCCTTTTTGATGCTGCCACTTTTCCACAACCACGGAATCTCCGTCACATTTCGGGGCTTGATTGCTGGGAACAGGATATCCATGTACAATGCCAATTTGCCTCTGGCTGGAAGCACCCTTATCGAGTCTTTGAAGGCAACTCAGCCTCAAAGCCTACATTGCGTCCCATACGCCTTGAAGCTAATGGCCGAAACCCCGGGGGGGATCGAGGAGCTGAAGAAGTTGAGCCTCGTGATGTACGGCGGCAGCAGCTGTCCGGACGACCTAGGTGATAGACTGACTGAGGCCGGTGTCTATGTAGTAGGACAATATGGAACGTAAGCCATCCCTGCTTGATCTTCCGTGCTGTCGTTTCGCTGATCTTGTTCTTCAGTACGGAAACGGGCCAACTCATGTCTTCTTTCCGAGAGGAGGGTGACAAGGGGTGGAACTACATGCGACCCTTCCCTGCGACGAAACCATTCATCAAGATGGTCCCGAGAGGCGCAGACACATTCGAGTGTGTAGTTCTCGATGGATTACCGTCCAAGACTATGTCGAATTCTGATGACCCTCCAAATTCCTACCACACCAGAGACACATTCAGCCCACACCCGACAATTCCAGACGCATGGAGGTATCTCGGACGGCTCGATGACAGGGTGACTCTTGTCAACGGAGAGAAGGTGCTCCCGATCCCCTTCGAGCACACCATCAGGCAGCACGACCTGGTGCATGAAGCCGTGGTTTTTGGTGTGGAGAAAGCTGTTCCGGGTTTGATGATTGTCCCGAGTGACAAAGCGGCGTCGTTGACAAAAGACGAGATACTCCAGGCCATTCTGCCGAACATTGAACTTGCGAACTCCAGAGCCGAGGAATTCGGACGTATCTCCCGGGAGATGATCGAGATTCTGGACGTCGGCACAGATTACCCCCGGACCGACAAGGGCACAGTCATACGGGCGGCATTCTATAAGCAATTTGCGAAGCAGATTGACGACACCTATGACCGCTTTGCTGCACCACAGGCCAACCTACTTGCCCTGGAGTATGATGAATTGGTCAAATACCTTCTTGATGTCTTCCGTGTCAACTTGGGTGTCACGAACTTAGAGTCCACAACGGACTTCTTTGAGGGTGGAATTGACAGTCGCCAAGCCATTACTGCTCGAGCTCAGATCACCAGGGAACTCGACGTTGGGGGCAAATCTGTTGGATCTAATGTCATATTCGAATATCCCAACGTCGAACTTCTTGCCAAGCACTTGTACTCACTGAGAACAGGCGTGGCAGAGGAGGCAGACGACGAGGTCGCAGCGATGGCTCAACTGATTCAAAAGTACTCGGATTTCCCTACTCGAGAGCCCGGATTTACTCAGCCAGATGGTGAAACAGTGGTAAGTGCTATGAACACTGCACTGATATGTCACAAAATCTTCGATGCTAAAGCTGTTCTAGATATTGACAGGCGCTACTGGATCACTGGGAGTGAATATACTAGCCCATCTGCTGAGGAAACACAGTGTCAAAAAGGTGTTCTGCCTAGTAAGAGCGACGACAGAGGACTCGGCCAAAGGCCGAGTCCTCTCGACACTTGAAGGGAAAGGTTTGCCTTCGCTCAGAGAGGAAGACTTTTCCAGAGTATCCTTCCTGCCAGCGGACCTTTCTCAACCATCTCTCGGGCTAGACGAAGAGATCTTGGCGGAGATTCGCCAAAGCCTGACACTTGTCATTCACTCCGCTTGGGCCGTCAACTTCAATCTCGGTGTCCGCAGCTTCGAGTCTCAGCACATCAGAGGAGCGCACAATCTGATCAGTCTGTGCCTGCAAACCAGAACTGTGGATCCAGCTCGGTTTTATTTCTGCTCATCGATCTCCGCCGCGGCCGCCACCCCTCTGCCGGCGACCATTGAGGAGATTCATATTGACAACCTTGCTCATGCTCAACCTATGGGTTACGCGCGCTCAAAGCTGGTCACAGAGCACGTAATTAAAAATGCCGGCGAGAAGACTGGCATGACAGCCACCGTGTTGCGCGTGGGGCAGATTGTGGGAGACACAAAACATGGTTCGTGGAACACCACAGAGGCGATCCCCTTGATGATCCAGAGTGCAACGACCATGGGTGCATTGCCAGCGCTTGACGAGGTAGGGTTGCGATCCTTAATCATGACACATTGGAGACTTCAATACTGATAGATCTGGCAGACACCATCTTGGATGCCGGTTGACCTCGTGGCGCAAGCTGTAATCGAATTGTCCGGCGTGGACAGAGACGGATATGTGCCAAAATCCGCCGTATACAACGTCCAAAACAACAACTTGTTCCATTGGACAAAAGATCTTCTCCCTGCGCTCAGAGACGCCGGGCTTGACTTCAAGACAGTATCCCAGCGCGAATGGGTTGACTTGCTCCGCAAGTCTGACCAGAACCCGGAAACCAACCCGACAATCAAGCTGGTGGATTTCTTCGCTGCGAAGTACGACAATGACAAACCCGGTAGGAGCGGGCTCAAGTTCTCTACTAAGAAGGCAGAGACAGAGAGCGAGGCAATGAAGAGAGGCTACGATGTAGTCGGCAGCGGCTTGGTCGAGACAATGGTGGCATGGATGAAGAGCCACTGGTAGGGAGGGAGTTTGACATCAGGATACCTCGGTAGAGCCAATGCTTTCACGTAAACGCGTATTACCTTTTGAATTTGGACATGTGCTGCACGCACAAACAAGGTCTCCTGCATGGCACGTCATGTAATTGCATGAAACAAACGTAAAAGGAAGCCCCACTCACAACACGAGAGAACGGTAGCATCACTACCGCGACAAGAGTGGTTAGCTTGGGCGTCGTTGCGATAATCGACAGCCGCGAGGTCTCTTCGTGATGGCTGGGCGTGTGACCGGATAGTTGCAACCGAGGCTGGGGGAACGGAATTGACCCAATTGGCGGCAATTGAGGCTGCACCGCAAATTCCACCAAGGAACTCCTAAGCCGTCCGGGGTGCATGGCGGTCCACAATGGAACCCCCTGAGGCCCATGAGGAACAGATCTTGGAGTATAACATCTTGGCGCCCGCATGTCTGCCAAGAAATGGCCCGAGATCTTCAACTCTTGTTCCAGTCAGGCAGTCAGGGCTTCGTTGTGTTCCGTCAGCTGGTGTGTCCCATCCGGGATGTCGCTGCACTCCACAGAGTAGCGCCTCGTGTGGTCGGTCTGGCACCCTTCACTCACCGCATGTACCCCAGAGTTTCATTCTTGGCGTACGGCACAGCCTTCCGACAGGTTATTCGACAGGTAGAGCTCAATTTTGTGTGCACCGGTCAGTCGGCCTACGTCCTGCTTTTCCGCGTTGTTCAGCCAAGAGTACCCTGATCGGCAGACCGGGTGTGGGTAAGTATCCAAGGATTGAGCGTGATTCGTGGGGAAATCAGCACTGAGGCTTTCCTGTACAGTAGCAACTCCATCAACAGAGCGACGGCAAGCCTGCCCAAGTTGCTAAAGGGGTAATCCGCGAAAAGCGTGTCGAAAGTCAGCAATCTTGTCTGCCGCCATCTTGCATGAACAGGTATAGGTCGAGCTGTTATAGGGCTATAAAAAGGCGGACAATGCCGCTGCCTCTGTCAAAAGCAGAACACCCAATTCAGCTTCAGAAGATCCTTGAACCCTAGTAATCAACACTTTGAAAACAAGTCACCATGCGCGGTCTCACTCTCCTCGTCCTTGCCCCGGCAGCTCTCGCCGCGCCGAACGCCCCCCGTGCTGCACCCGTCGATGCCCTTGTCGGTTATGGTGCTAAGGCGACCGGTGGTGGAAGCGGCAGCGGGACGACAGTAACATCTTGCTCTGCCTTCACTACGGCTGCTAAAGCCGGTGGTGTTATCAAGGTCTCTGGTGTCTTGGACAACTGTGGTATTGTCGATCTTGTGTCTGATACCTCGGTTATTGGTGTCGGAGCCAAGTCTGGTGAGGAATTCTGATCGCATGCAAGTTGTCCCGAAGTGAGGGCCAGGGTACTGACAAAGGTTCAATAGGATTCACTAATTCAGGTATCCGGGTTAAGAAGGCGGACAATGTGATTATCAGGAACCTGTACTTGCACAACGCACCAAGCAAGAAGGACTTGGTAGAGCTTCAATACTCTACCAATGTCTGGATTGACCACAATGATTTCAGTTCAAATGGAATCACTGGAAGCAAGGATGCCTATGATGGGCTTTTGGACATAACCCATGTAAGCTTCTTCAAGCCTCCTTGGACTGATTTGGATCACGCTAACAGTAAGTCAGGGGAGCGATCAGGTGACCGTCTCTTGGAACAAGTTCCACGATCACTGGAAGGTAATATATCTTGGTCGAGGCTGGGGATTCAACGATCAACAACGGCTAACAATACAACAGGGGAGCTTAGTCGGGCACTCTGACAGCAATTCTGGCGAGGACACGGGCAAGCTCCACATCACATACCACCACAACCACTTCACCAATGTCAACTCTCGTCTCCCGTCCATCAGGTTCGGAACAGGTCACATCTACAGCTCATGCTATGAGGACAACCCAACCTCGGGCATCAACTCCCGCATGGGTGCTCAGGTGCTAGCCGAGAACAACTACTTCGTGAACGTCCCTCAGGCTCTCGTGACCAATGTCGACAGCGATGCGGACGGGTTTTTAGTAAACAAGGACAACATTCTCGTCAATTCTACCATCTCGATAACTCAAGTTGGAAGTCTGACCCCGCCCTACAGCTACACGTGCGTATAATCGAGTGCCTTGTGATCATGATATTGTGTCCGCCGGCTAACATCGACGAACCTAGGCTGGACTCTGCTGACTCGGTTTGCTCCATCGTCAAGGCGAGCGCTGGAACTGGAATCGTTGGTTGATTGATGTCATATCAAAGCGAACAATTTGCCAAAAGCGCAGGCACTTTCAGCTAATGCCCAACTTGAGACTGTTAGCAAGACGGCCTTTCTTTACAATGTCAACTTCTGCTTCTTGTATCTAGAGTTTGGATCTAGGCCCCATAGAACAGCACTTTCGTGGTAAATACTTAGCAGTCTGATGTGACTATATGAAAACAGCCTTTGTACCTTCTTGAGCAGTGTGATGAACGCCATGTGATAACGTTGATATTGTATTGAAGAGTTGTTAAGGTCCTAGGGCGGGCTACGCTTGAAAGTCTCGACCTGAATAGTTCTTCTAAGAGACTAACCTACAGCGAAAACGCCCCTGTTGAATGAGATAAATGGGATTCAAGCAGCGTTATCATGACAGTTGCGAACAAAAGAAATAAATTGCCGAAAATGACTTGAGATACTGTCCCTCGCTTGCCCGACAACTGCGTCATCAATCATCAAGTATCTCGGATGAAGAACTGGTCGACGTGGAACCGTCCGAGTCATACTCCGAATCCGCGTTCAGCAAGTCGCCCAGGCTGTCCTCATGGGTGACATCTTTCATGGTCGTAAACTTCCCGAGGAGGTCAGCGACAGTGACACTGGCGCTCTTCTCGAGCTCCTCCAGAAAGTCAACAAACATCAGCTGCTGGTCCTCCTTCTCGCTAATGTCGTACTCAGACACCGAGCTCACGCTGATGATGTCCACCTCGCGCGGGCGGATTCTGCGGGTACCAGGTGGCGGCGGCGGAACTCTAGCTCCAGATATCATTGGCGGCCTTGGCCCGGGAGGTGGGAATACGGGTGGCGGCCCCAGGAGTCCCTGCTGTCTCATCGCATTCATCCTCAACTGCTGTAAATGGCGAAACCTGGCCATCCGCGCATGCACAGCTTCGCTCCCGTTGAGATGAGTTGGAACGAATGGCGGCGGGCCGTAGAAGCCACGCACGGGAATGCTCGGAGGCCACATGCTCATAGTGATGGCATCACCAGGCTTGATTGTAGTGTTCCAGAGATGAGGGAGAATGACGTCGCCGTTGGAATTTTCTTTTTAAAGTCAGCAATCTGCCTTGTCCTTCCTGGAGTCAACATCTGCGTGCTGAGAGACTCTGTTCTTAACGGTTGTTGTTGTCGTGATGCCAGCCGTTCGACGGAATCATAGATGACAATGCACCAATGAATGGGGCGGAGACTGCTGGATACACTTACGGAGATCGAAATGGCCTTCGATAACATGGGGCCCGATCCCATCTATATGATTGAAGGCCTGAATGAGAGTTTCTTTCATGGACTGGACATGATCTAGTAAGTTCGACGCTCTTCTTAAAATGGCCGGTTGTCTCTCAAGAAAAAGAAGATACTTACGTCCCATTTCCGACAGGTCTCGAATGGAAGAGTGTAGTGGCGTCCTATGGCGTCCTTGAAAGAAATGGTCTTCGGCTCCTTGCGGATTGACAAGAATACCACCATGAAAGATTCAGCCCATCCCTTGCCATATTCCTGGAACGCAATGCAGACCCTTTCACGGCTTTGCTGTCGATTTGCTTCATCAACGATATGATCGAGACCGGTGCGTCTAAAATTGCTCATCTCGAGATAGCGGTTCCATGTCGAACTCTTGTTCTTTCCGTCCTTCAGGACTTTGCTCAGACCGTACTGTAGGCGCTTGTGGCCAAATGGCAGCCTGGTGTGGGCGTTCCCAGGAGTTGAGTCATGAAATATCCAAGCCTCGAGGCTGTTACTTGGCCAATCGGTCTTGAACTTATCGTCTGACCCGAAGACTCGTTGCTTGACATCAAATAGCCATGCAGGGAGGTCAGAAGTCAAACGGCCATCCCAGGTAAATGACCGCGGTATCTTGCGCTTGTCATTGCGAGCTTCCACGGCATTCACCTTATCGCTAGTCAAATGCTTAGCCCCGCCTTGCTTCGCGTCGACGTGGCTTTTCTGTTCGTCCTCGTGTTCCGGGAAAGGACCCATATTGCCTGAATGTTGAGCCGGTCAGTTGATACACTCCTCAAAGGAATTGGGCGCTTCTAAGGTCACTTACCTGAAGCCACGGTCTCGAAACTTTTAGCCACTGCCGACCCTCCGTTGGGCAAGTTCTCACTGTTGACGACCGTGCTAGTGGTGATTGAAGACCTGACCGAGCTCGCGTCACTCGCCACTGATGCGGTCTCGGATTTCTCCGCCTGCCTCCGTAGCTCCCATTGTCTTTGTGCCTTTTCCTGCTTCTTGGCAGCTTTCTTCGTGAACTTCACCTGCCTTCGTCGGAGCAGCTGGATTGAGCTTCTGTAGATGAGCTCGTTTTCGAAAGCGCCTGTATTGCGCTCGACAGATCTGCGTGTGTACATGATTAGTGACATTCCAAAGGGAGAGGTGTATGCTTGATAGAATACCCATTCTGTAGCAGTGCGAGTTTGAAGATGTGTAGGTGAATCAGCAGTCCCGTCCTAATCCACTGCAACTGCTCTTGGAGACGTTCGAAACGAGGTTCCAGCCACTCCCGTTGGTCGTATGCCGTGGCTATCTTGACGAGCTTGGTCCACTTGATCGAGCCTGGGTCAGGAATGGGGCCGGTGAGCAGCTCATTCTTCAGGTTCTCTACGCTTGAAGCTTTGTTGTCGTCTTCCTTTGAGCCCCCTCGGGCACCAGCCTTCTGGGCCACGAGTATGACAGACTTATAGATCAAACCACAATTGACAGCCAACTTTTCAATCTCATCCAGGTATGCCGATGTAACAAGCGACTTTGTGTCTCTTTCTGACCCATTACTTCCTTCGAGTTCCAAGGCGTACAAGTCCAGTATCTGCCGGAGAGTACCAGACGTGGCCTCGACGTCGTAATGCACGTCCTTCAGGTCACTCTGACTACTGGGATTTAGCTCGATAAGCGTCTGCAAGAGGCTAGCAAGCTTTTGTCCCAACGCCACAGTGGCTTGGATCGAGGCCCTTACACGCATATCTGCCATTGTTTCTGGTGGACAAGTAGACATGAAGAAGGGGGATGAATGAAAGCACGACTGCTGGGGAACAGGAAGGGCGAGAGTTTGCGAACAACAAGTGCCCATTAAATGTGGCACAAGTAGCGGGGAACCGCATTTGGCACCAGGCTCTGGAAATGCAGGCTGTCATCTCTGCATCTGAGCTGCGCTGCCAATTGGCAACTCGGTTGGATTGAGGCTTTCCCAGTGCAGTAGCCCCAACAATTGCGACTCTGGCTAGCCAATCCTCGTTGAATCGCTGCGCGCTCTAGATGATATCCTAGCAAGTAGAGAGACACCACGTCCAATCTTGGCACTGCAGTGAGCTCGGTACGACGCCAATGCCGAACTATCTCATGTTCGGGCTTGCAAATCTGCAGAAGCTCGCATTTTGGGATCCCAAATGATGTGGGTTGTGTTACAGATCGCAAATCATACGCTTCAGGCTCAGAGCCTCACCATCACTGTTGCTGGGTGCATACCTAGGTACATATGTACATCTAGGTCGGCTCGAAGCCGTGAAAGTCTCTCCGCAGAGGGCTTGGCTGATGCCAATCACTGTTTGCTGCCTCATTTTGGCTGAATTTGGTACATACATTCAGCCCAGTGCTTCCGTATAACTCCCATGCAAGGATTGCATGTGGCGCTAGAATATTTACATTGAAATCCGCCGCGTCAAGGTTGCATCATGCCCTGTGGCCACCTTTTAGTCCCTCCTGAAATTCTTAAGGGTAGAGGGAATTGATAGCTTTGACATGGTCGGTAACCATGCAGTCCCAGTTGCCCTCTTTGTAGAATACAGTGTTCCCGTCTTGAGAGGTTTGGCTACCAGTACTTGGGAGAGTATCCCCGTACTGCCAGAACATATCTGCGGCGATACCAGAGGTATTCAAGGCAACATTTTGCCACGGGTTCTCGATTGTGCAGTTATTTTCTCCTCCGTATTCTTCCATCATGCATGGCTTCCCAGCAGCTGCGCAGGCATCTCCGTGAGTTGATACCCACAGGCTGCCCCACTCGTATGGTTGGCCCCCTACATAGCGAATTAGCAATGCAAAATGGAATCCAGAACATAGATCGAGATAACTTACAGCTGTCCGGATATACATGGAAAGTAGCGAAGTCGAGAGTGGTGATGTTCATGTTGTCGGCCCAGGTATAGCCGCCAGCCGACGTTTGGAAAGGGTAGCTGCCGTCTCCTCCAGCTACAGGGCCAAAGCCTTCATCACCGATGCTGACCATGTGGTTGGAGTCCAAAGACTTGATATACTCTGAAGTACTCTTGGCCCAGTTGTAAATAACAGAGCTGTAACACATTAGCATCCATGTGGTCCAAGGCACAACCTAAGGTTAGCAACATACCCATCGCATTCACTGCATCTCGGCTCGTTGGCCAGCTCCCAAGCAAAGACCGCAGTTGACTCCTTGTATCGACTGACAACCGCATCAATGTACTTTTGGTACTGAGCTTGAGAAGCCTCGTCGGTGAACCACGTCGTAGCCGAGCCGCCAAAGGCTTTGACATAAGCTGCGATTCCTCCATAGTCATTCCAGTTGTTGACGAAGTTGATTATAAGCTTGAGTCCATGTGTTTCGGCTGCAGAGACAACAGCATCCAGCCGCTCAAGACCGTTTGCTCCCGTGTTGATCTCGCTACCATTTGCTGAGAGATATTGGTAGTACACAGTACCATCTCCTGGTATCTCATTGACGTCGTTGAATCCCCACACTCGGATGATCTTCAGCTGGGCAGAGGCCATATCTGAGAAGACTTTGTCGACGTCCTCGTCCGATGTCAAGAAGCCACACCAGTAGCAATTGGTCCCGGCATAGTACTTCGTCTCTCCGTCGATGTTGAAAAACAAGCCGTCCGTCTTGGCGAATGATCCCGCAGCGGTCCCAGAAGACGTATTTCCTGCGACAGGGAGAGCTCGAACAGTGGCCGCAGCCAGCAATGGCAGAAAGGATACCAGACCCTTCATCTTGTTGGCGAGCAACAAGTCAACAACAGTGAAGTTGGGAAATGTCGTAAGCGAACGCAAATGACTACACAAGAACGACAATACACTGCGAGCTTTCCTGAGCCAAGACATCAGGTTTTATAATACTACCCAGCTGCGTATGGTCCTACAGTGGCATGCAACCCTCCCCGTCACGTCCCCACCTGAACACAATCTTCCCCTTGTAGACCCATGCTTTCCCCTATTCTCTGTCAGGACGGTTTACAGTAAATTGTTCCGTCATTGCAGTCATGGACTGGACCCCAAATGCCGGTTTGCAGTCTCCTGTGCGGAGTCTCACGCTGCGCATGGCCAACATTGAAGTGGGGGGATCGGAGGCTTTTTGTGTCCTTGAATGGTGAAGGCCACAATGCTGCCGTCGCGCCTTGCCGATTCGGGTTGGTAAATGTCCGTCCACCAATGAAACTACCACAGCATGCCGGCTCGTCGCAGAGAGTACGGAGCGAGCTGCGCCTAGCGGATCGGCGTGCTACAGCACTTGAGCAGGCGACCTCCCGAGCAGCCGGGCAGCCCAGTCAAGCTCTTCGGCTCTACAATGACACGCCATCCGCCGAGGCTTTGCAACAACCGTTCCGTTTTGATACAGATTCCCAGATTACTGAGTCTCTCGTTCCTTGTCCTATTCGATCCAAGAGGACTGAGGAAACGTCACAGCCAGAGGTTAAGGCATATTTCCTTTTCCGACGTCCTCGACCGAGACGTAAACTTAAAATGCTCCGCATCTGCCTCCAGCCCCTCATCTCAAACCATAGGGGGCGGACCCACTGATCCCGTCAATCTTGTTCCATGTTTCACGCAAAGTGCCGGAGGTAAGTGGGGGAGGAAACAACCCTGGGGGTCGAGTGGGTTATGGTTTGGCTGAACAACAAAATGCATTCCACTTACTCGGACATGAGCCGCATCGGTGGCTGTTCATCTGATTCCTCAGAGGTGCAAACGAGGTCCTATACATGTAACGCCCGGACTGAAGATCCTCGAACTCTGTCTCGGGGCAGTGGTGCAACGTGTTTTACTAAATGAGGAATTGAAATATGGCTCCTTAGGACCCCAGATTGGATGTGGTGTTCTTGCTATTTAAACCAATCTGCTCGTCTTCTTGCAGGGCTCGATGTATGTCACTCGCCTCCATCACAAATGCCCGTGTTGCATTGAGCAGATGCGTAACTACCTAGGTACATGTCACACGTGTGCCTACGATATCACATTCCCAGCCAAGACTGTCTCTCATCCCAATCGAAATTAGAACGTTGCAGTGCTGGTCAGGTCACTAGAGAGACTGCACCAGCTTGGTCAATTGTATCATGTACAATCCAGATCTGGAGACTTAGACAGCAGGAGACTAGAAGCAGTGTCTAATGGAACTCTTTTCCTGCTCAGACAACTCCATCATTAGCATCGTATCAGGCTCATTCTCGTCAGGTCCGCTGAGCTCATAATGATGTGAAACTTTTCAAGATTCAACGGTTTGGACCTACCACCCTCTCTTTACGATCAATACTAGAGGACGAATTACATTTCCCGAAATAACTGACATCTGGAGAGAAACGCTCACCGTCAGGTGTGGCGGATACGCAATAACTGCTTTGGCTCCAGTTCCAGTTTGGAAGGTGTTTGCTCACTGGCAGTGTGCGAATTCCACTCGCAATCACTCAAGTAAATTCAAGAGCGGAGCCGCCCACACCAACCATCAGCCGTCAACAGCTGTGAAAACATGTATTAGGAGCCCGGCTCTTATCAGTTCGAAAGCCAACGTCTTTCCAAATGCCCAAGCTCGCAGGGCCTTACCTTGAATATCAAACTATGACATTGTATCGACTTGACCGACTGTTGGGGATCCGGGGACTTTGAAGCTAGTCTCGGATCGCTATAGCTTTGAATGTTATGACACTGCATCGCGATCGACAAGGTCTTACGCCGTGATAGAACGAGGCCACACAGACAACGCGGTACCAAGTGTCAAGTGAAGATCAGACGTCGCTTAATATAACCATGGAATTGACGTGTGCCGACCAGGGAGATCAAACCGCTTCTCGTAGATCCAGTGGGGACCTCGCGCCCAGATGCCAAAGCAGCTTTTTGGTAGCACCAGAGGGTGGTAACGTGCCAGGGCGACTGTGCATATGCAGGTGGTGTCGGCCCGTTGGAGCACATCACGCACTGTTGTCTTGGCTCCCGTACCTACCTACCATAGCGCTCCCTAGGGGGTTTTTGAATACGGTCTCTAGACCGTCCCTTCCGCTTCAAAACGGTACCCTAGGCAGTCCCTGGTACCTTAGAACTGTTTCCTTACTAATACTCTCTGGCGACGGCTATAAGGTACATCAGTACTTTTCTTCAAGACTAGGAATTCTTCAAAACCAGAGGATTCTTCAAAACCTTCCCTTTTCCCTCAAGACCTTCGCCCAAAGGCCCAGAATACAAGGGGAAGGAACCTAACCAGGGGCCACAATACGTAAGCAAGCACGTAGGGCCAGTCAGGGGTCTATTCTAGAGGGGAAGACTATTAGAGGAATGGGAGAGGAATTCTCTCTCGGCCAGTCTTCACGCCGAGGCAAAAGCTTGATGTTGAGGAATCTGAAGACCAGGCCTGCTAAAAACCCCATTCCTTACTTCAAGACCTCCTTCTTGCTTAGAAACTACTAAGGAAGGAAGGAACCGTTGGCAGTTATAGCCGTCGCCAGACCGTAATAGGGTGGAGACGATTTTCAAAAACCCCCAGGGGCGCGGTACGGTAGGTATGTAGACCAGTCCAAGAAGTCCTGCCTACCAAGTACGCACCCAGGTGCTGCTGTGCCTTCCACACCACCACCATGACGCCGGACTCGGAGCGTGCATTACACTGGGCCCTGAATGGGAGGTGCGCAGAACGGTCGGAAGACTAGATCGTGTATCATGGGCATACAGACGACTCTCGAACGACCGCATACGGGGAGATCTGAAGCGGGTCAGCATCTGTGCGCGCTCAACACATGTCTGAGCCTGGACCGAGCCATGCTGCCATTGGTCGTCACATTCGAGTCTGGCTGGGCCAAGTCGCCGAACCGCCACTCGGAAGCTTCGAGCCCAAGATCTGTTCCGGCCCTTTACTAGGGCGAGGGCCAACGCAGAGCCCCTGTTATGGTAGGCCAGTGAGAAGATTGGACGACCTCAGCAGCTCGGATGATACAGGACGCCTTGCTCTCCCACCACTGTCAAGGCCTATAAATCAATTGCCGTGCTCGGCGCGGACGCCGGTGAAAGTCTCTTGACGCCTCTTTCCACCTTCCGCACTCCGTCTCTTGATGCATTGCATTTCAGGGTGAGAAAGGTTACTTAAGACATCCCGCCTCAGTGCATGTGCCGCCATTGGGCGGCGGCGCCTGCATATATAAAACGAGAGCTCGCATATACTAGCTGTAAGTCGCCAGCGGCGACGAGGACGCCTAGCTCCAGTTCTCGTCATTCATGCCCCGAGGCTGTTTCATGCGACGGCATGCCTTCCAACACGTCAGTCGGCCTACCAGCGTCTCGTGGTTTCCTGACCTGTCAGACACCCTTTGACTTTGGACCGCTGTAACGAGTTGAATTAAGCTTTCGATCGAGTTCCGCGCTACATTCCAGATTTCCAGGGTTCAGCGTTTATTCGTTCTGGCCCAGCTACGTGCCGAGCCCCAGCAACGAACCAGGCGATAGAGGCTCGCCAGGGTGTCTGGTTTCAGCAGCTTTTTCGCTGAACCGAATTTGTTGAGCGGGCCCCTGATCCGATTCGCGCCCCCCGGGAGAAGGTGCCGAAAGGTGAGACCGTCACATAGGCGGCGGCACTTGAGAGCAGATTCCCATTCACAGTTGGCCTGTCAATATATACAGTATTTCGGATCCTGCATATACACTCCCCAACGCACGTCCGTTGTGTTCCGGTCGTCAACATTCTCGCTCATGCAAACACAATGGCGACTTCGACCTGCAGGGCAGCTCTGGGGTTTGTCGCCGTTGTCAGGATTTGCGGCCTGGTCCTGCTCTGGCTTGCCATCTTCGGGGCTCCTGAGGCTACCGCTCAGACGCAGGCAGTTCCGAGCAACGTGCCTGCTTGCGGAGTATGTATGCCCCCGTGGATCCTTGCGCACGATAGGTCGCAGACCCGCATTGGCTGTCACTCACACTGACCCGCGTACCTGCAGCTCAACTGTCTCCTCGAAGCCATCCCTGGGTCTGGCTGCTCCCTCGGAGACACGTCCTGTCAATGCTCGAGCTCGGTCTTGCAGGACAAGATCAACGACTGTCTTGTCGCCAACTGCACGATGCAGGGGCGTCTTGGTATGTGGATTTCATGGGCGCTGAGCAGAGACCTCTCAGCGCTCCCTTCTGCTCCAAACTCGAATGTGTAATTGTTTACAGAGACGCTGCAGACATCTCACGTGTTACTGCTGTAACATGCGGCTTCTCCGACGAGTCTCAGTCGACGCGCGTCATCATAGCAGTAACCTTTTTCTTTGTCGGCACATCGGTCTTCGTTATGCTCCGGACGTGGTCGAAGCTTCTGACACGAACCCTTTATGCCGAAGACCATATTATAACCCTCGCCGTGACACTGGCGATGGCACCATTTGTTTGCACTGTATACAGTAAGTGGGTTTCTGGTCGAGCCGTGCGTCACAGCTTACTATAATGGTTCGAAACCTGCTGACCTGCTGCCTCCCTCGAAGTGTCCGCATTAGGCTTCGGCAGCCACCTGTGGAGCCTGAAGGATGGTGCACTGCTACAGATTCTCCGACTATTCTACATCTCCGAAATCGTATACGTGGTTGTGCTGGCCTTGATCAAAGTCTCCATCGTCACAATGTACCTGCGTATTTTCTGTAAGCAGTTTCTAGATACGACTTTTACCCGCGGAAGAACAAATTCCCCCATTCTTAGCCCGTATAACAAAGACTTCAGGGGCTACAGGTTTCAAGATATGATATGGCTACCTTGTGGCCTATCCTTTACTGTGTCGGCTTGAAGATACTTGTTCATTTTTCTGATAGCTGACTCTGAATGCTATAGGGGCATACAGGCCATTCTACATCGCTTGCTACGTCGTGCTCACCTTTATTCTCCTCTCAAGCTCCATTGTTACGGTCCTTACGATACTATCCTGTCAGCCGGTCCAGTTCTTTTGGGATAGGGACATAGGTGGTTCCTGCCTGGACATCACGGCCCTAGCCTATGCCAACTCAGGTCTGGCTGTGCTCCACGACGTGACCATTATCGTTCTACCCATATTCATGCTATGGAATCTCCAAATGACCCGCAAAAAGAAGGTCTTCATCGGTGTCATGTTTGCTCTGGGCGGAATCGGGCTTGTCGCCACTATAGTCCGCCTGCAGACCCTGAGGGACTTCGGAACAACTCCTGACCCCAGTTGGGAGTGGGTACCGGTAGTATACTGGACCAGCGTTGAGCTTTCCGCAGGAATTATTGCGTCTTGTCTTCCTGCTGTTCGAATCCTTCTCGAGAGATTCTTCAAGTTCTTCGCGTTGAGCACGGCTGCGTCAGAACCATCAACATTCATCAGGTTGCAGAAGTCAAGAAGACCGTCTCGCAAAGGGTCGACTCCAGCAGCTGAGCATTGGACAGATGACGTTGTGGGGGACACAATTCTCATAAGCTCGAAGAACCCTGCATCGGCTGCATCGTCTCTGGTGCGCGATGCTGAACTGACTGGGAATAGAATAGGCGAAAGATCCGGTCAGGGTTGATGGGGAGGTGGGAGGAGGGTGGCCTCCGGGCCAAGAAGATATTTGTGCACCACTTCACGCAAAATCAAATTGATTGCTTACACTATATATAGTTTCACTTCTATTCTATATATATTTAAGGATATATATAATACCTTTATATAATAATAAGCACTTAAAACCTAATACTTAAAAAGAATATAATATTAATAATAATAATTATAATATAATAGGTATTTATAGTTTTAACCTTATAATATATAAATAAAGTTAAAAGGTATTATTTTAATAATATTAATTATAAATAGAAATAATCTATAATTTAGTTATTATAAAGAAGTTATATAATAAGATTAGGTTTAAAAATAGTTACTATATAAATAAATTATATTAAAGGAAGCCTAACTAAAAATTATTCCTTTAAATATATATATATATATATATATCTTATAATAAAACCCTTATTAAATAAGTTTATAAAGTTTAATATTATAATCTTTATTTAAATATATAACTATTAACTTTAAAAACTTAAAATAAAGAAATAATTTATAATATATTATTTTTAAAATTTTTATAATAAAGTATTAAAACTTTTAAAAAGAGTTTTAAAAGTAATTTATAAAAAGATAAAGGAAAAATATAATAAGTTTATTCTTCTTTAAGTTTATACTTTTATTATTAATAACTATTAACTTTTTAATAGTATAAAAAAGTATAATAAAAATAAAGGAAAGAATAGATTTAAAATTTCTTTTTAAAAGGATTATAAGAATATATATAAAGTTATTAAAGACTTTATATATAAGTTTTAAACTATTAGAGAAGAAATAAGTAGTTAAACTAAAAGATAGTTATATAGTGTAAAGGAAAAATATAGTGTGGCTGAAGCTGCTTGTACTGTATACTAGTATATAATGTGGTCCCTTTATAAGAGGACTCAACGTACCGACAGCAAACAAGCTCTTGCGCTCAGCGTTGCTTCCACAATCGTACCCTGAGTTCATAATGTCGATGCATATAGGCATCTGTGACGTGCCACATGCATCGCCCGTGCGCTCGTTGCACCAATGCTACTAGTATGGAGCATGTGTTGGGGTCTGAACTGCAAGCTTATAGGATGAGTGTATGAATGTGTGGCGTCTTAGCGACCAGAAATCTTCATCGTAAATACAGATCTCCTCTGCCTCAAAGCCAGGTGCTTTACTGACCCAAGCATCGGGGATCAGTGTATGGCTATTGTGTGCTTATGAGCTCCTTCGCATTCTAAGTTGCGAAAGTCCCCTGTTCTCGGCCTACATTACCTACTCTGGCGACGTCCGGCTCGAGACCTGGCAGGATCATCAAGGCAAGCTAGCCTGGAAGTGAAGCAATGAGGTTGGGATGAAATGATGGTCTAGTTCGGGGATGAGGGGTGCAGCATTCGGAATCAAGCTTCCGAGGGTGTCACCTTGAAATTACGCATTTGCGTTTAACGGGTAGTACTTGAAGAACTATCATACCTAGGGAGGTAGTATTGGTCAGGTTTGCTGTGGCTCCTTAAGTACCTAGGTACGTAGCTATGGTGATTGATAGTTTCGGAAATGCCTGGCCCGTTAATGGTCGTGATAACTTGGAACACGTACTTGCTAGTCATGCGGGGGATCTAGAAAAGGAGATAGATGTATGGCACGGAATCTATGTGACCAGGTGGTTCCGCCAAAACAATCGATGAATTTCACATGTTCAGGCCAGTGCATGATTCCAATTTCCAGGCGATATCTCCAAGTTTAATAGCAAAGCAATGAAGAGATTGCTAGAGTATTCATGGCCTACGACTTGTACCTAGTTTCGCAATAAAGACATGGAGGGTCCATCCAATTCCGAATCAATTCAAACACATCCACTAAACAAACACACAATGCGCTGTGTCACAGTTTCGTGGAACAGATTCGTTTAATGAATACATTCGTCTACTTTGAATGGTATGAGAAAATAATGACCTACTAGCTATGCGGGAAAGGTCGCATGGAGAGAGCGAGCACTTAAGGAGACACATCAGCCACAATTTTCGGGAGTAGCCCAACAACAATATTGTAAGTCTAAAACTATAAACTTCAGTTATGTACCGCGTCTTGATATGAGCCACAGAAACCTCCTCGACATCGGTATGCCCGAATCCGCCACCAGCGCCGAGAGCGATTAGTGCTTCCGTACCAGGGCCCTAATGACCTACTTAGGCATTACCATTACCGTTATATATATATACAAGGCTTTAGCCATACTATATTTTTTCTTTATACTATATAATTATCTTTTAGTTTAGCTATTTATTTTTTTTTAATAATTTAAGGCTTATATATAAAGTTTTTAATAGCTTTATATATATTTTTATAATTTTTTTAAAAAGGAACTTTAAATTTATTTTTTTTTATTTTTATTATATTTTTTTATATTATTAAAAAATTAATAGTTATTAATAATAAAAGTATAAATTTAAAGAAGAATAAATTTATTATAATATTTTTTTATTTTTTATAAATTATTTTTAGAATTTTTTTAAAAGTTTTAATATTTTATTATAAAATTTTAAGAATAATATATTATAAATTATTTTTATTTTAAATTTTTAAAGTTAATAATTATATATTTAAATAAAGGTTATAATATTAACTTTATAAATTTATTTAATAAGGGTCTTATTAATATATATATTTAAAGGATAATTTTTAATTAAGTTTTTTTTAATATAATTTATTTATATAATAATTATTTTTTAAGATTTAATTTTACTATATAACTTCTTTATAATAATTAAATTATAAGTTATTTTTATTTATAATTTTAATTAATATTATTATTAAAATAATACTTTTTAATTTTATTTATTTATTATAAAGTTAAAGTTATAAATATTTATTATATTATAATTATTATTATTAATATTATATTCTTTTTAAATATTAGGTTTTAAGTGAGACGGTCCTCGCGACCTATGGCAAAAGAAGGCTCAAATTGTCTGTGAAGAATTGTTGATTCAAAACTAGAGTTGCCTAAGGAATAGTATGGGGGAGGCAGCGAAGCTGCAATCCCGCGTCGCGAGAGGTATGGAGGCCACTTGGGCTGATAAGATAAGCAGAGTGCACGGACCCACTGGTTGGTCCTGCGGGTGTTCAGCCTATGGCCCTGATATTAAGTACTTATTATTATATAAAGGTGCTATATATATCCTTAAATATATATAAAATAGAAGTAAAACTATATATATATATAAACTCTTAGTCTTTGAAGAGGATCGAGTTGATAATATGTTGGCTTATGCTGTTAGGAGCGATGCCTCCTAGCCTTGTCTGTGTGGCACGAGGCTGAGGCCACGTGCTAACGTGTTGTGATCTCTCTGCTCTGTTATTGAATTGCGATTTCTTAACGCTGGTTCTGAGCGTTTGCCACTGTACGAAGGCGCCACATACGGTTTATATGTATGGGTATTAGAAACGAAACCACGACACCCAAATACGAGAAATTCGAACGTGTCCAGGCCGACTTCGCTGGCCCAGAATCCGTGGCTGCCACTATCAAAAACTTGAAGTCTGCCTAGGGGGCGCGAAGGCAGCCTAAATTTACTTTGTTTCTGGGGTTTCTGACCACATGAGCGGATCTTTACAGACGTTAAAGGATGCGGGGGTTAAACACGCCCGGGCGTCGTCCTTTGGTCGAGTATGTTAGTCGACCCTGATAATAAAGACCTCTAGATGTCTGTTCGCACCCTCCCGACCTCGGGAGCACTTCAATGCGTGAGCCATGCCCGAGTTGACATTGCACTGGAGGATCTTGTATTATTCCCCTACGTCACAGCTCTGTTCCAGGTTGCGAGCAACCACTTCAACATGATTCTCGACAAGGCGGCAAGGCCCCCGAAGGCCAACATCTCTAAGGCGGTTCCTTGGTCGACAACATTACACCCAATGATGTTAGTGCAGTGGGCGGTACAGTGCTGGTAGAACGACCTTTGAGCGGCAAGGAGATCACCTACCTATGGACCTTGGTATTGGGGCCGAAGATGACCACTCTGATGGACACATTGGACATTATCAAAAGAGTTGACGGGCCGAGGTGACCTTGATACCAAACCACTGGGACCCGAAGGATTGGTGGCTAGGGTCAGCCAGCACACGCCTCTGCCAGCGGCCAAGGAGATGTTATGGATGCACGATGAATTCAGAACCTCGGGAGCGTCGTCCAAGCATTAGGAAAAGGCTCGATATAGAATATCTCGGCGCTTCGTGTGCAACGTGTTGATAACATCGAGGATCTATCCAGATTCATTGACGGCATGAAGGCAAACCTGAGAAGGACTGTTGAGATTGGAGGTGCAGTGGCCTCATTGCTTGCTGGAAGGGCCGGAAGAGAGACCGAAATTGATGTCGAGCCAGGGCGGCGGAGACCCTTCCCGCGGGCTCCTCCAGCGTCTGGTGAGCGAAAATGGTACGACCCGTGGCAGACAGGTCACAGATCAGCCCAGAATCGGAGGCGGAAAAGCGGGGCCGTGCATGGAGCTGGTGACGTAGTTCCGTGTCCTCCCGAAGCGTTGTCAGCTTTAAAGTCGCAACAGCGGTTTTGAGGAGGCTCATTTGATGTGCGAGAAGGGAACGAAAAGAGAGGCTGAAAATGACGGATCTGAGGACGACAGCAAGAATCCAATGCAAGATGAGATCTGGCCTCGGAAGGCTGTCTGGAAGTACTTGGTACACCTCCGTACCAGGCAGGCCGGTACGAGCCAATCAGCAGCTCGGCGGGCAGGGCGGCAGGGCGGCAGTAGCTCCTGTTGGGTGATGAGTGGGGCAATCTCGCTGCTCTTGCATGTCGTCCTTGTTGGACTCGCCACAGTACCCCGGATTTTCCCCAGACGACAAGCTGACTAGAGCTAGGCAAGCTAGGGAGCTAGGATCATTCCGGTGCAGCAGACCAGTAGCGGCATTGCCAGGGTAGCATACCCAGGTGGGCTGCATAGAGCAGAGGGGCGGGGCCAAGCTCCTGGCCCACCCTTGCTCGATGTGAGCGTCAGTCAGGTCACGCGATGGGCTGATTGACGATGGATGTCGTCCCGGACTCTACGCAGGAGAGGCTGGAGCTGCAGGAACACCCCACGGGCACGGCGGGACTGGCCCCCAGGCAGAGTGGGAGAGACAGACAAGGGAGAGTCACAGGGCACGGGCAAATAACAACAAGGAGCGGCAGAGGGAGAGGCAGAGACGCAGGCACAGGTAAAGGTAAAGGGAAAGGTCACTTGACTGCAACGGCCGTTACCCCGCCTGGACGCTGACGAAACCCAATTCAGAGAACTACCTTGATGCAAGTACCTCATCGGCACTGTGGCAAGGCAGAGATACTTCCTGTCTGGTACCCTACCCGCCTCACCTCCCTGGCCGGCCCACCTATTCTGAGGTTGGTGCAGCAGTCCTCAGGTGCTCTGGCTGTCTGTCTGGTGAGGAGAGGGGCACAAGGGGATACGACGGCGCAGCTTGGGAAGTCACGCTCGCCCTCACGCCATAGCCCCTTTCGTAGCCTGGACAATGCGTGCCTGCCATGTCGGCCCATTACCCAATGCCGGCCAACCAGAATAACCTTCCCACCTTCCCCTCCTCTTGTACTTTATTCGAGCTTCCCCCTCTTCTCGTGCTCTCTCCCTGAAACCCATCACCATCAGATCAAGTCATCAACCTTCTGCAACACACAACTGCTTTACCATCACCCGGGTCCTCAGAAGTGACCCTGCCATCCACAGAACACATCCAATACTCCTTTCAGCCTCTTGTACCAGAGACTCACAACACCCCAATCCAAAATGACGGAACCACTCTCCAAGGTTGACTCTGCCGTCGAGGGCGTCGACGCCGGCAAGGATGTCAAGGAGACGAAGAAGCCTAGGATGTCTTCGATCGCGGCTCCTGGCGTGTGGAACATCAAGGACATTGGTACGTCCCCCCTTCCACTCTCTTGAACCCGACATCCCCAGAACGCCCATTCCCTCGACATCAGCTGACACGGCCCGAACAGAGGAGCAGAAGATTGAGCTTCAAATAGCCCCCGAGACACAGAAGACCGGATGGTAAGTGCCCTACTTGTTCACCGTCACCACTCCCCTTGCAAATTGCGTGTTGTGGATCTGAATACTGACTGGTCGCTTTCGCCCACAGGAAGGTCAACACCTCGCCATCATCAATTGAGGACAGGGACATCCTGAAGAAGATGCTCACCGAGCCACCAGTCAAGAAGATTGACCTGCACTTCCCACTGGGCCTCGAGGTCACGGCACGGAACCTCAAGGGGGTGACGATCAAGGATGCACTGGATGCTATCCACAAGCAGTTCAAGAAGAGGGTAGGGCTGCCCCCCCCCATCATCAACCCCCCATCCTCTTAAGCTTTTACGGAGCATAATGGATGCTACCTCACAACCGCGCATGATTACTGACTCAGTTTCGCCTTGCAGCAAGATGACGAGCTGGACAAGCCCTACCTGGCTGGGTTTGAGTGGGACAAGGAGGAGTCATGGACCAGGCTGGTGGTTCACCTGCAGCTCAACAGCGGCGTGGTTGCTGCCCCGTCAGGCAAGAAGAAGAACAAGAAGGCTGCTGCTGAGGAGTAAATCCGCCCTCAAGGTCGTCAGCCACTGGCCCCGGACGCTGGGGCATAGCGAGCTTAGCATTGATTTGACGAGTTGGGTTGGAAGTCGGCCCTGAGGGGCAGCCCTGCGGTTGACGGCACCCTGGGCACCGGCGGGTCAATGTATGATTTGAGATCAATGGCTCTCATTTCGAGAGATTATTATCCCTACCGCCGTGAAAATGGTGCAGAGCACAAGTCAATTGAAGAACATGATCCATTATCCAAGCTATGACGTATGTGCAATGAAACCTGAGCTCAGGACATAGTCACTCTCTGACAAAACCATGCGTAACTTCCGGCGAGGCTTGTGGAACTGGACAATAAGTAAGTATAAGGCTCGTTGAGTGTTTTATCCAAAAGCCAGTCATTGTATTACCAGACCACCTATCTATAATAGATACAGTCTAAGAAGGCTCCTGCTACTGTGGTTGAATAGTCAGTCACAGACAACCAATTGCACCATGTCCTGTCAAGGTCCAGCAACAAACCCCCCCCCTCCTTTTCTGGCTCGCAGACACCCACCCTATCGATCAAGTGCTGCGCCAGTCCGGGCTTCTCTGATCCACCCTGGGCCGGTTCAAGTAGTGTAGGTGGCCGTCCCGATCTGAGAAGCGGGTCCTTCATGGTGCGACAATGCTGAAGGTGCGGGGCGGTTCTCGTCGGCCCGCATTGGACCCCGCGGCTGTCGACCCCGCATTCTCCGTTGTTAGCCGTGTGCGGAACGAGCAGTCGGAGACTACAGCTCGATCTTGACACTCCGACCAGCTCGCGCCGCGACGTCACCTACCAGAAGCCGAAGGGCTGGGAGCTCTGCTCGTCACGGTCTGCAGTCTTAAGATGCCGATACTCCCCGCCGCTGACCCCCGTGGTAGCTTATTGGGGAATGACATGCGAGAGGTTGGCTGAACTGACTGACTTGTTAATTAACTGATTGATGTCCCTCCGCCGAACACAACAACAGTCGCAGTGAGTGTCCAAGGACAGCCTCGGCACAATGCCAGTCACAGAGTTCTCCCTCAGGGAGAAGTACCGTTACCAGAACGGCTTCGACTCCTACTTCGAGCAAGTATAATCTTTACCTCCTCGCGGGGGTCTTTTGTGGCCCTTTTTCTTTTTCAACGGGAGCCTTGGGCTAATCGCCAGTTGCTCGTCCGACAACAGAACCGAAGCCGTCCCGGATGCCCTCCCAGTCGGCCAAAACTCCCCACAGAAGCCACCACACGGCCTCTACGCCGAAAAGCTCTCGGGCACCGCCTTCACCGCACCGCGTTCCGAGAACAAACAGACATGGCTCTACCGCATCCTCCCCAGCTGTTCGCACCCGCCCTTTGAGCCGGCCTCGTCCCAGCCCACCAACGGCCACGGCCACGGCCACGGCCAGGCCGTGGACTTCAAGGAGTCGGCCGCGACAAAGATGCACTACATTCCCAATCAGCTCCGCTGGGACCCCTTCGACCAGGGCTCAGGGGACACGGACTTTGTGAGCGGCCTGCACCTGGTCGCCGGCGCGGGGGACCCCACGGTCAAGTCAGGGCTGGGCATCTACATCTTTGCGGCGGCAAAGTCGATGGACAAGAAGCATGCCTTCTACTCCGCCGACGGCGACTTCCTCCTGGTCGCGCAGGAGGGCGCGCTTGACATCCGCACCGAGCAAGGCTGGCTGCTTGTGCGGCCCATGGAGATCGCCGTGATCCCGCGCGGCGTCAAGTTTGCCGTCTACCTCCCCTCGGGCCCCGCTCGCGGCTACGCCCTGGAGCTGTACCAGGGCCACTTTGTCCTGCCCGAGCTGGGGCCCATCGGGTCCAACGGGCTCGCCAACGCGCGGGACTTCCAGGCGCCGGTGGCCTCCTTTGACGAGGACCACGGCAGCGTGGCCTTCGACGGGCCCAACAAGTACACCGTGACGGCCAAGTTCGCCAACAGCCTGTACCAGACCCTGCAGCCGCACACGCCCTTTGACGTCGTCGCCTGGCACGGCAACTACTACCCCTACAAGTACGACCTGGGCCGCTTCAACACCATCGGCAGCATCAGTTTCGACCACCCGGACCCCAGCATCTTCACCGTGCTGTCGGCCCCCTCCGACCACGCGGGCACCGCCGTCGCCGACTTTGTCATCTTCCCGCCCCGCTGGCTCGTCGGCGAGGATACCTTCCGCCCGCCCTGGTACCACCGCAACACCATGAGCGAGTTCATGGGGCTCATCCAGGGCGGGTACGACGCCAAGAAGGGAGGGGCGGGCGGGTTTATCCCCGGCGGTGCGAGCCTGCACAACGTCATGAGCGGCCACGGCCCGGACGCGGACAGCTACGAGGGCGCGCGGGACGCGGAGCTCGCGCCGGCCAAGGTCGGCGCGGGGAGCTGTGCCTTTATGTTTGAGAGCTGCCTCATGGTCGGCGTCACGGACTGGGGGCTCAAGACGTGCAGCAAGGTCCAGGAGGAGTATAACCAGCACAGCTGGGGCGGGGTCAAGGTCCACTGGAAGCGGCCCGAGGGCGCGAGCGCTGATGGGCATTTGTTGTGAACTAAGTCGTCGTTGTCGAGGGCACGCCGTAAAAGTTGTTTGTGCGCCATGGCCAGGCAGGCGACCAGACTGTGAACATTTCCAGCGTTTGATGTAAATTTTGATATTGAGATAATATCCTCTGTCCGCTGTACGGTTCCGCACGTCTTGTCATGCTTTGTGCCCGCCTCCTGTCACGTTCAGGGGAGGGGGGGATGGTCCAGAGCGGACCATCGGTCCCGGATTTCCAACGTGTTGAGTAGTATTAGTGGAGAGAGCTTGTAGAATACAATCCTACAATTATGCCTCTCTTATCATATGCCAGCTTCAGCAGCTGCACTGGGTATCTCAGATTTTCCTCCCCATCACTCACGAGAGCACTGTCCGTGCCTTGCAATACGAATCAGTCAAATCACACGGCGTACCGCGCCGGTGCCATGCATCTCAAACTTTTGCCACCTCTTATTGTGATGCCGTCCCGGCCCCGCCATCGGCCCCAGCCTCGAGCGGCTTGCGCCCATAGACGACGGTAAATGGGAAATACGCATGTATGCCCGTGTCGTTTAGGCTCTTGCGCACATCAACAAGGAACATCTCGACCTGCTCGGCCTTCCACCCCAGCCCGTGCATGAGGGGCCGCTTCGCGACGGCGGACAGGCCCTCCATGAGGATCATGCGGAGGAACCATATCCCCTTCTGGCGCTGGCGGCGGTCGCGGGCCCAGCGGCCGATGGGGAGCTTGTGGCGGGCCTCGGTGACGTCGTCGAACCCGGCGTCGCGGAGGCCCTGTGGGAGGCGGTTGATCATGTGCAGGTCCAGCCCCAGGGCGGCGATGCCCATCTGCACGTAGTAGCAGAAGTCGCGGAATGCATAGGGGGTCGTGTCGGTCAGGGTGTTGTCGTCTGACCGGGGCCAGTAGGTCATTTCTTGGAATTCTACGTAGCCGCCTGGCTTGAGGTGTCTGTGGAACGACAGTATTAGCCTCTTTTGCTCCCCGCCCTCCATGTATTCCCTCTTCATGTGTCTTCGCTTCTTGTCGCGTGAATGTGCATATGCCGTGGATAGTCAGGGGAGGGCCGTACTTCATCACCCGTTGTAATAACGCCCCCGGATCTCTGATTGAGAACGCCGTGTAGCGCATGTGTATAAAATCAAAGGCATTTTCGGGGTAGTCCGTCCAGTCCTCCTCAAAGTCGTCTGCCGAGAAGAAGACATTGTCCCAGACATAGGCCGGTTGTATTGGAGATATGTCGCAGCCAAAGATCTGTGATTTGCCGTACCTCTGGGCCACTATTGACTCGTCAGCGTGTCTGTTGCTCGGTCCACTGCTGTGATACTATCCCGCTTCTAACGAGTTACTGGCACAACAGGAGGAGCATAAGGAGGCTGCTAGGAGCAGTCAGTGTGACAGAGTGTGGGATCATTCGTCTCCGGTCAACGACCACCTTAGCGTGTGTGCAGGTGTTTTTTGAGATTTGGGGGCCGCGATCATGGGTTTCCAAGGCCAATCGTCCCTTTTGGACGATCACAGACAGCAAGTGTCCCATAGCGGAAATCAAACCCCATGCTGTCTCACTGATCATGGCGGTGACACCGGCCAGAATGCATGTTTGTACGACAGGCTGCTCAGTAGCGCACAGGGAAGCACAGCCACGTTGAGGGCCTGTGGTGGTCCGGAATCCGCTCTTGTCCCAAGGCACATCATGTCGCCCCCGGTGCGCACCGGTTGATGTCCTCCGAGACACTACATCCCGGCAGGTTGGGAGGGTGGGAGAGACAGAAAAGGGATGCGAAACACAGGACATTGTTGCACTCACTCTCCATGGCCCACTCCCCTGTTCCGGTGCCTGTAGTTTGGTTACACACTAGGTCAGCCTTCTGTCTCTGTTTTGTGGTACACGCAGGGTTCTCTTTTTTTTTCTCAAGACAGAAAAAAAAAAAGCCACGTGAGTGGCATATTGTTCAGCTCGGCTCGCCAGGGATACAGGGCTCTTTTATTGTGCGGGAGATGCACAAGCCGGGCAATTTGCAGGGGGGGGGGGAAAAGAAAAGGAAAAGAAAGCCAACACAGCCCAGTCTGGCCACTCTGAGACAAGAGTCCACAATTGGGTTGATTGGGCGCAGGCCTCCAAGGTTTGAGGAGTAAGGCGTGAAGAGGTGGAGATGGAGGTGAGAATTGGGAGAGGAAGCAGCAACATACCCAAGTCGAAGACCATCCCGCCCCGCTTCAGCACGTCGTCGACGGGTGCGTAGAGCAGCTTTTCGTGCATCATCCACAGGGCCAGCTTGTGCTTCATGTCGTCGCGTTCTTGCTCGGACTCGTCGTTGGGTAAGGGGTAGACAACCCTGCCCGTGGCCGGGGCGTGGTAACGGCGGCCATTCTCGTAGACAAAGTCTGTGTCGAGGAAGCTGTTGTCGTCGTCGTCGCCGGCGGCGGCCAGCTCCTCGGTAGATGCGGGCGTGATCCACGTGCTGGTGAAGGACAGGGCGGCCTGGGCCCCGGTGGCCTGGCCTAGCAGGGACGGTGGGGGCGAGGGCTCGGGGCCGCCAACACTGGTCCCTGAGGGCTGTGAAAAGGTATTGATATTTGTATATTCCGAGACGCTGGTTGGCGGGTAGTAGCTGGAGGATTCGTAGGCGGGGAACGGAGGTGCCTCTCCTTGGGATGATGATCCTGCCGGTTTCCTGTTCTGGTCCATGATGGAGCTGGATGCCGAGCTTGGAGGGGAGAGCATTATCGTCATGTGCAGGGTGGCTTGCCTGGCCTGGTGTGGACTCTGGGCCTCTGGTTTCTGCCCTCAGCACTTGTGACTGACCACCAGTGCTATGTTGACAGCGGACGCTGCATGGCCGGTGGGAAGTTGGATGAGATAATACTATGTGGTCCAGGGGCCGGTGGTCAGATGAAATAAGGCTGGGCGGGAGTGAGGCTCTTGAGGCGCTCCCAAGAAATTGTGTCTGAGTGAGCAGCCAGACCCAGGTTCGGGTCGAGCGAGAGTAAGCTGCCGATCTGGTAGCGGGTACGAAGTACTGTACGAAGTACCGTGCTGTATCGGTGGCTGGAACGAGTATGGGCTTCTGGGCTGTGGGTGGCAGTGGGTGGCAGTGATTATTGTGGTGGTGGTGTCGTTAAAGGATGGGTTGACTTGCGGCGGGAAGCCATTGGGCGAGGACCAGTTTATGATCCATAGGGTCGGGTAAGGTGGGTTTCTTTTGTTCAGGTGCCCCCGTCTGTCACCCGGGCCAGGGATTGGACAGGTCGAGGGGAGCAAGAACCGGGATGCTGGTCCTTCGAGGAGCTGCTTGTTGCCCAGGTACCTAGGTATCTAGGTATCTAGGTATCTGCCTACTTAAGTACCTGGGCACCTGGGCAGGGACGGACGGACTTGTTAGTCTGGTAGACAGTCTACACAGTACTCAGATACGGAGGTACCTGTCCAAGTCTAAGCAAGTGACCCAGGATCCCAAAAAGCTCCCCTGCCCAGGTAAGAAGCCGTCTGCTACATCCACTCGTGGGCGCCGCTGGTCCTGCTAATGGCTGGGGTTGGGAAGGGGGAGGAAGAAGAACCTCGACCTTGTACATCTACCTCTACTATTTATAATCGATCCCTGTTTTGTTTTGCCTAGGGCATTGGGCATGAAGGACAACCATCCGTATATTCGAATATCTGGAGGATGAGTACCAAGATGATTTGCGTGCTGCAGAATTCAGCACGGTGAGACCACAGGTTCATGTTGGTGCTCGCCGGTGTACGGACGAGGCCAGGCCCCTGCTTACGCTCGAGTCATCTTCTTGGGGCCGATGAGACAGGACGAGCCTGCATACTGCGACTGCAACGGCAACTGCAGTCCCAAGGCATGCAGAAAGGGCTGTGCTCTAGCTCGGTCCTGTGAAATGAAGGGCTTCGACCTGTCAGGCAGTCTGCCAGTCTGCCAGTGTAGCCATTGGCGCAGCCGGGAAGAGGGGAGGAGGGGAGGAGGGGTGCCTTCTCTGTTCAGCCGCCCTCTTCTCGGTCTGGGGCGAGCGGTGTCAAGACGCGAGCAACAGAGCCAGCGACTGCGAAGAGCTACATATGTACGGAGGTACCTGGGCAGCTAGTCTGCCGCAATTCTGTCGTGCCTGGACTTGGCAGGAGGGGGACACCGAAGAAATCAACCCACATTTCCCATCAACTTTCCGGGCTGCAACAGGGAAAAGAGAAGCTTGAAGAGAGGGAACCGAGCGAGCACATGCCTCCAGGGCTCGGGTGGCACAAACACGGGCACCCTCGCAGAAACACTTCGGTTCGCTGACACAATTCGCTGGAATTGGCCATCAAGTCAGCAAAAAATGAGGGGTCTGGTTCCCCCAGCCTCTGGGCAGCCGTCCTTGTCAGACCAGGTCACATCAACAGAGCCGTTTGTTGGTCAAAAAGGCCTGAATGGTCAATCAGCAGCACACAGCCGCGCAAGAGGACGGGAAAGTGGGAGCCGGCCCACCTGGGCACCGACAGGCCCCGAGGGGGCGGGAGGAAGCAAGCCTGGCAAGCCTGGCAAGATCCACGGGTCCCAATGGGATGGGTTGCAAGACAGGGGAGCAGGGGACCCGAGCAGGGGCTGTCCCAGGATCGGGTTCCCGGCGTGGCGGTCGCCTGCAGGGCTGTCTGTCTGTGTCTGTATCTGTCTTGCTGCTGGCTGTCTCGCCTGATCCAGCGGGAGCTGGCTACAACAACCGTACGGCACAGGCACAGTACGACAATAAGGCTTCATGTGCTACGACATCAATAACATACCACGACCACGGCAGCCGAGCACGTCTCTGGTGGCGACAGTGGCCGTGTCAGACCGGCATGGGGACACCGCCTGTTTGCATGCAAGCCATGTCTCTTGACGAAATAATGGTGCAGGCCAAAAGTTGCCCAGGAGGTTGCCCAGGAGGTTGCCCAGGAAGTGACCCAGGCCACAACAGACACGGTCATTAGGTCTCCAGACACCTGGGCCAAGCCGACAGCTGAACCCTAACAGACGCGGCTCAAACATGGGACGTGTTTTTAATCTCGGCGGTATTTCTCTCGACCACTAACTAGTATCTACACTAGTAAATGTCATATCAACAGGCATGCACATGATGGATGCTTTACCTTGGTGGATATGCCATTACTCATCGTCACCACCGCCCAGGTCGTCATCCAGGGGATGCAACCACATTACACTACATTCCTCAACTGCCACATGCGGTGTCGGACGTTGGACGAGCTGCCCGTTGTTCAACACGGCCCTGTCGGCCCTGACGGCCCAGCAGCTGGCTTTCCGGTTCGGGACAAGGCCGGGAGGCACACACCATATCCGCAGCGTAGCATCGTCCCCTTCTTCCCTGGCACCCTGACACCCTGGCACCCTGGCACGCTGACTACTGGGCAACTAAGTATACTACTTTGTAGCCCCGACTGCGGATCCGCAATCAACGGTCAGCGGGCACGCGGAGGGGTTGTGAGACACTACACAGAAGAAACGGATCGTCCTCCACATCTACAGAGTACCTAGGTACTGCTGCTACTCTGTACTGCCTGAGTTCTTTGCTGCCTGTGCGTGGTTGCCACAGATGCTCATCGTCACTGCGCGCGCGCCTCTGGCCTCGCCCAACCTAAGCAGGTTGGCAACTGACAGACACGAGGCATCCACGTTTCCCGGTGGGCCTGTCGGGTCGCACCAGTACATACTGTACTGACGAGATCTGCGTCTGCCTTCGCCCTTTCGCAGCCACATGCTGTCACATACGATCCCTCCCCGCTTGCCCGCTTCCCTTCCTCAATGCAACACATCCACGAGCTGGCTCACGGAGCCGGACCCGGCCGTTGGTCCTTCTCAGTCGAGTTCCTGTCGCGACTATGTAGTACCTGCTACCTGGGCAGAAACTTTAGTATCCCACTCGGCATTTGCTCCCCAAATCCCGTCACTCGGCCAGGCCTTGCAGGACCAAGCCTAATGCGGTCAGCCAGGCCGAACCCACTCAAATCTCGTCGTCCTCCTCCCCCACCCTCCCGAGAGAATGGAAGAGCCCTGGAGGAGGACCCGTCCTTCAGACCCGCATGAGGAGATAAGCAAGCCATCCAGAGCCCCCGCGCCCCAGGGAGGACAGGAACCCTGGCCTTTTGCTACGGAGCATATGCTTCGGCTTCAATCTATTGTACTCAAGCTATGTACACAGTAGAAACGCGTCTGTGTTTGTCTTGACCCGTCCCTGGCACAGCCCTGCCTACGGAATTGGTCCGGGAATGAGGGTTGGAAGGTTTGGCTCGATCCAATTGCCAGTCGGCCAGTACGTGCATCATCTCAAGCCCTACCCAGATGGAAAGGCTGGATCCATGGATGGGCCTAGTCAGTCCGAGCTGGCAACGGCAACGGTCGTGGGGGTTGATATGGCAATATCTGTCTCCAAGGAAGCCGGGTTCCGAGCTGGCTGGCTGGCTGGCTGGCTGGCCTCGTTCGAGCCCCTCCGTAACACTGAACTGTCACATCCCACAACATGCCCTGCCCTGCCCTGTCTCCAGGCTGTCTCCAAGCTCAATAGCAGAGCCCGTAGCTGCCTGCTGGCTTTGTCTTGCTCGGTTCTGGGCAACCCCCGAAGGATTTCGCAAGACGGAAAAAAGAGGGGGTGGGGGAAGGGGAAACGGGGGGTCCAACCCGACCGGCCGACCAGACAGAGACACGACCGTGAAAGTTCGGGAAGGATTCCCTCCCTTGCCAACCTTGGAACACGTCCTTGCGTGCGCATGCTCCAGCGATGCGACCCTCGTTCCGTGGCCCCGGGGCAGAGCAGGCACGCTGCTATCCTGCAAAGCCGATCCTCGCCCGACAACCATTTTGGCTTTCTTCGGCGCCGAACTCTCGGATCCGGGCGTGCTCCTTCAGGATGCAACAACCTTGGCCCGCATCCATGACAGCCTGGTCGTTCAACACCGGACGGCTCACGTCGCATCTTGTCTTATGCAAGTGTTTGTAAGCCATCCTGAGCTCGGACTGGAAGGCTAGTGGATGCTGCGTGATCACCACTCATCAAACAAATTGGGCACTTGGGCACAGCTTAAAAGCTCGGCCACGGCTGCCACGTTTCCCCTGTGGCCTGCCTGACAAGTCCTGTTCGTCCTTGGGCTGACCCCTCAGGGCGGGATCGGCACAGCGTGACATCGCCCGCGGCGACTTTGCTAAAGTTTCAATAAACACAACTCGCCTTCGTTATTCCCGGGGAGCGACTTGACACCCTGACAACTCCCGCTGGAAATTGAGCGGCAGTCAGGGCTTGCCATGAGGAGCCAGGTTCAGGTCGGCCGGTCCACGGTGTGATCTTGGACGGCAGCCGCAGAGGCATGCAACCAGCCTCGGAACCGCTTGCTGAGCCTCTCCTCGGAAATGATGGATTCGCTGGGCAACTACCCATCAAGATCACCGTTGCTACGCATCATACAGACCACCGCGCGCGCGCCATGCCTTGCCCCTGGAAGCTGCAGCTCGCCCAACGGCCCCTCGCGCCCGGCGCCCAACCTACGAAGGGGAGGCTGTTTGGACTGAAGCCCATGATCCCCGTCCACACAGCCCTAATCCCGCGGTCCGGGTGGGACTCGCCCCAACTGTCTCCCAAGCGTCGCGAAGTAGTCTCGCGCATGTACGCACTGATAGAATGTCCCCGTCGATCGTGGTGCCGTCCGTGGTGCCGTCCGGAGGCTGTCCTGTGTCCTGGGGCGCCTAGACCAGCCCGCCGCCGACGACAATGTCACCTACGTGTTTCGACCCAGGCAGCCGGGGGACTATGTACTCGGAGTCCTTCTCGTATATGACCGAGTACGTCGTAGGAGACCCATCCCCAGCATGTTGCGTCCAGGGCCCTGGGGAGTGACCTATCCGCACAAGGGGACGATGGCGCCCTGGAATGCCTCCCACAAATGAGTCGAGTAGCCGGTCGCGGCCAAGACGACCCTTGACGGCAATGATCTACCCGCGTGGCGTGCTGACTTCCAGCTCCCACTGCCGTCGTGGCACTGGCCCAGGCTCAGGACCGGCGTGTGGGTCTACAATTTTGAAAGTTGAGACCCTTTTCCAGCGCCAACTTCACGACTCCGAGCATTCCGAACTTGTAGCCTGAGATACTCCCCGCGGTGTAGCTCACCGCGCCTACGGGCTCCGGTTCTGTATTGGCACAGTAGACCCGTGTCTTGGTCTCTTCCTTGTCGCGAAAAACATACCCAGGTATCAGCCGCGGATTTGTCCGACCCCAGGGCGCGGCGCGTCGCCTCGGCAGCCTTGCAGGCTTCCTCTCCAGTGCGCTTCATCAAAGATTATATTCGCGGTTCCGGCATGGGTAGGAGTCGCCGGGCGGCGTGCTCCCTGGGAAAACAATGCGTAACATTGATGTCAGCGAGCTCGAGGCGCGCTATCTTCGCCGCGACTGTCTCGGCCAGGGCGGCGGCGTTCCCCAAGAAGGACCGTCGGCTGGCCGCCCTTTTATGGGCCTCTGGAGGATGGGCAAGGTATTGAATGCCAGCCGACCCGGGTCCCATCCATGATGGAGGGTAATAAAGGAGTGCTGGCTACTGGGTGCTGACCGACCGTTGCGGCCTGCGGGACCGTCGCACCAAAGCAGGCCTACCTTGCCTCGAGCATTATGAAACTGGGCGACGCATTACTGCCCTCACTGCCGCTGCCGTCTTCGTGCTGCAGTAGGTCCAATCTAACCTCCGCGCCGCTGATGGCGCTCCTGATGACGAGAGTCTTTAACCACACAGATAAGGCTAGGAGGCATCACTCCCAACGGTATTACTAACTAGAAGGCGAGCAAAACAGTCATAGAGCGAGAATATAATAGTCTCTACCTAGGTAATAGCCCCTATAAGAAGAAGAATCCCACAAAGACCCAGCCAAGAAACTTGGCTCTTCCCCATCAACACCAAAGACAATCGACAGCCACTCAAAAATGACCCACGCCAGGTGAGCCTACCCAGGAATAAGTAGTCTCAAGGCTATGAAGATAACGAATAGATAAATACTTGAACAAGAAAACACATTATAGTCGAAGCCTAGCTACATGAACAAATGTGAAACTATGTCAACTTGAAGCCCAAGCGCCCAGTAAGCCAATCGCCTATGCATCCTATCATTGATTACAGCCGATGATGAGCATCCACCCAGATCCTTCTCAATTGTACAGTATCACAGTATGTTAAATCGTCGCTTGTGAACCCGCTACTTGCTCAGTCCGAGCACCAGCAACTAGACACTGTATGATAATTACAGCAACATGGTTGAAATCAGGATCAGCGTTGCAGTTGGACATGAAACTGCGGGCACATGTGTTTAATATTTCATAATCCACGAAGCTAGACACTTACACAATTACAGAATCGTCGGGAAATGAGGTGATTTCAATATATTCCAGAGTTTACCACTGTATGAAGCCCTGGGGGGTTATTTATGGCTTCGGACATATACGGGACGGAAACGAAACCAGACCAGATGCTGTCCAAAGAGCGGACAAATTGGTTGATATGGAGCCGAAAGCATACCCTAGGATAGGTATGAACTACAACCGGGATACCATACTTAGGCAACTTATCGGATCCTTCGGTCTCTTTGATCCTCAGTCGCGGAACGGGAAAGACAAAACCACCAGGGAAAGGAAAAGCTGATGTACTTCAAATGATAACTACCATTGCCAACCGCCATTTCCAAGCATGCAAATATACTCCCGCCAAATTATACAACACTAAAGTTTTACCCTTTAAACTACCTAGGTAACTATACAAATTTGTCTGTGGGTGTAAGGATAATTTGGAACGCTCTTCCTAGGCCTAATTATTCGTTGGTGTGCCTGCGAGCTGGCCTCGACCTGGGCCCAAGGACAATCAATTGACGACTTCCTCAAGCCATCACTCAAAGGCTACATATAATCATATGCCGGATTCAGTTACACGCATTCTAATGTATTTGAACTCTTTGATAATTGCAAAACAGTTCAATTGGCACTTTGTTGCCGGCAGTCTATTCCCTGGCCATTCGACGGAAACAGCTTCACACAAAGGCGGGCAACTGTGGGCTTGAACAATCGAGTCACCTTTGCGCCAAATTCAAGTACCTCATTAATTTCAAACAAGGTAAAAGCAGATATTTTCTAGTTTCACTTCACTTCGATGGCACTGAAGACGTATGCTTCTAGTCACCTCGTCGATTCAAGAAGCCGCATCCTCGCCATATGCAAAAACTCGCTAGGCCCGATCTAGTTCGACTGTTCCCCTGAGCAGACAAGCCTGTATTTCAAGATGTCGGCTGAAGACGCTGAAGAAACACTCTCTCTTGAAGAGCTAGCGTCGCTGCCGAGGGTTGAATTCTCGGCTGAAGTAGAGGAGCGATGGGGCCGGTTCACTAAGTTCTACCTGGCAAACGTCTATGTTATTGAGAATCGATGGATCAAAATGACCAAGCAGGTGAGGGGAGAGGTATTGACCAGAAATTGGAGATCCTCTGGAGGGACGGGAATGCCCCAGGAGCATCGCCCAGATTTAACGTAAGTGCATCTGAAACTTTAGAAAGCAAAAGCCGACGTTGTCTGTGGGTGCCCATCTTGTGATTATCGTCTTCCCAGAGGGTTCTTGGGTATACTATCCAGTTGTCACTTTGTCCGTTTGAAAACTGCAATACCCAGCTATAATAATTCACGAGCTGTTCCTGCATGGTATATTGCAACTTGTTGGCTCTCGCAGATTGCTGATCTCAGTGCACCAGGGAACTTGCACCTTGGAGGGACCGAAAAGACAGGAACAGGACCCTCTGTCCGCCACGCGATGTCAATCCTAATCACTTGCGATGGCCTATATTCAGCCAGGATGACTTGAGCGATGCTCCAGAGCCATTTTTGCAGTTGCTACTCTCTAGGGCGGCTGATCATCCTAAAGAGTTCGCCCGCTTGGACGTGTTTTGGGACAATACCATGTCTGCAGTAAGCTCTATGGGTCTTACGGAGCCAGATGGTCCAGAAGTCATTAAACCTTTGGTAAGAATAAAGAGTGGCGGTTTAATAGTCACGATCAACGGTGCGAACAACGATCGGGGAGACAGCATCTACGGCACTATTGAAACCCCGGACAATGACGAAGATTTTAATCGGCTAAAAGAATCACAACTATGGAGTGAAGTGATCTCCAGAGAAATGATGTTTAATCAAAGAAGAATATACCATTTCCTTGAAGATGTGGTCAACGACATCATGGCTGAGAAGAACGAGGCGAGATTCAAGGTTGACCAAGAACACGTACAAACGCAGTGGCAGCCTAAGCTTCCAGATCCTGATTCTATGGGTGAAGAGGAATATCGACAGAAGCATGACAAGTACCTCAGTGTTTGTCGCTCAATTGTGCCTTACAAAGCAATGGCCGCCCCGATGTGGGATTACGCAACACAGATCATCTCGCGGCGGATAGAAATCTATGAGGACCGTCTCCAGGGTTTGAAGGCACACCCTGGGAACTTCCTGCATTACCTTTTTGATATGCGCGAACACTCGCATCACGTGGTCCCGTATAGTGGCGATCGCATACATCCATATGTGAGTTATGTCAATGCACATGTGTCCAGTATCTCTCTCGTGTGCAAAGCTAGAGACGATTGGGCCGAGACTCCTTCGCACTAACCACCTGGGCAACACTTTGCAGGCCAACCTGGACGACAATCAGAATAATGGTCATATGTGGGCTTTATATCTCTTGCGCTCTCTGCAACATGCGACAGAAGGTCTTGACTTTTGGAGAGCTATCTTGATCAGTCTACGACGTTGGCAAAATGTAACACTCGCAGCGAAAGATGATACAGACGAAGATGACCCATTGGTGAACTTGGCGCACCTCATCTTACTTTACGTAACAGTTCTACATCGAGTTCGTCCTTCAAGTCTACAGGAGACACTCTCCTGCTCTCGGAATATAAGGACCTATTTCAGAAACACTTCAGAAAATGAAAAGAGGCCAGTGTTGATGTCCGGGTTGCCAGGATACCCACCGCTCCCAAAAAGAAATGCTAAAGAGTCATCACTTATTTCCCTGCTCAGAGCAATGAGTGAAACCGACACGGATACATACATCCCTCTTTCGGGACTGCCCTTGGCGGAAGAAATCTTGGGCATCCTTCAAGGCCAAAAAGGAGGATCATGGATGACGAACTTTGGGTTGGAGGCGGCAGAAGAGCACCACGACTCCGCGACTGTTTGGGCGTTAATACAAAGATACTGGCAATACCATGGTTTGGAGGGATTCCAGCCGATCGAAGTGATGAAAAAGCTTCCGGACAATCTACAGTGGGACGAGCAGCTGAGGCCGTCAAGAAATCTAATGAACGTCAATGTCGACGATCTCGTGGCGAAATATTTGATTCCCTACCCCTCAGCGCGGTTTGAATATGTAGGCCATACGACATTTTATTCTCTTTGTGCCCTGAAACAAACGTCGGTCTGGTTGGCTGGGACATCATCAGATGGATCTGGGAGCTCTGCTACCAGGCATCTGGAACGCCCGAGTCACATTCCTCCGCTTGGCGTAGGGATCTTCGCGCTGATTTTCTCTTATTTCTTTTAGCCATCTATCAGACGAACCTTCAAAGTTACCAAGCGTAAAGAACTTGCGGCTAAAAGAAGAGATGCAGAGGCCCGCTTGAAAGGCCTGTGGGCAGAGCTACAACCGAGGCTTGAAAATCAGGACGCGCTCTCGTCGTATGCAGCCCAGATCCTGGATCAAGCCATCCCAAATGCGACGGGAGAAGATGGGTCAGACGAGACTCAACAAGAGCCTTCTGTCCTTGCTCAGCCAGAAGCGTCTTCTAGTGCACCACCTCAAACACCTCCCGGTCCTCCTGGGCCAGGGAGTCCCCACACGCCTCCCGAAGGCACCAAACCTGTGAAATCAACTACGACGGGAACCCCGACCCGACAATTAGGGGGGCTTGGGATCAAATCACCGATGGACAGACCTCCGCCCCTGAGAACCCCAGAGAGAAAGACAGCCAATGATGGTGAGAGAATTCCTGTCAAGATGCGCAATTTCCCAACATCGCTATATCTGCCATGCCAGCGAGCCTGCCTCGGGGGAGTCTGAAAAGGAAAATACCGTGGAAGAGATTTCCCCCGTTCCCCAGCTACGCGTGCAGTGCACCTGTAAATGCTCTAATGCCTGACTGTCGGTATCATAGGCGTAAAGAAGACTTCTCCAATCCGCCCCGCAAGACCAGACGAGGACCGACCTCGTAGGCCAGCCATCGACAGGAGAGCTCGAGAAGCAGCTCGAGAAGCAGCACAGCAGGCAGATATACAGCCTGTAGAGGATGTGGTTGACCCCCCTCGAGCTCGGCCACCCCCTCCTGCAGCTGGCCAATACCCAAAGATCCCGCTGTCCGCTAAAAGCTACGACCTTGTTAATCGACTTTTTGTGCCCAGCAAAGTCAAGAATCCGGGGGACGTTGTATGGAAGGACATGAGAGTACTTTTCGCAGAGATTGGGTTCAACATCGTTAAGCGTGACTCCCGTGGCGCACTTGATTTGTTTGAACCAACTGACGATCTGGAAAGGGAGCAAGTAAGTCGTTCGTCCAGCTTTAGATCGTGTTAGACCTTCCTATGATGGGGATGCTTGGCGCAAAGTCGGAAAAATCCTCCCTAGTCGGAGGAAGCCTGCCCAGTCGGTCATATACAACAATAACGCTCGTTTAAAGCTAACAGGGAATTCTGCAGGGGATTTCCCAATCTTGTTCAAGAGATAGACCTCACTGCGGCAAACTCAGCTTTACTGAAGCAAGGCGTTTCATGAGGAATTGGGGGTTGGGGAAGTATGGTTGGGATATCGACAAGTTCTACGAGAGGTGATCATAGCTTGGTCAACATCAATTGCCTAGTTGATCCGACACCTGATATGCGTTTCATCTAAGTACTGCTAACAAATTGACCACTCGGCTGAAAGACTACAATAACAAATTCATCTAATTACTTAGATAGTTATTCTAGTAGTCTATAAGCCTATAATATTACACTTTACCTTTAGAACCTTTTAGAAATAATAGTATAAAAAAAGTATTTTTAAAAAGTATAAAATATAATAAAGTTAAAAGAATATTAAAATTATTTTATAATATTAATAATTATAATTATTTAATATATTATTTTAAAAGTTTAAAAGTAAAATATTAAAAACTTTTTTAAAAAAACTATAAATAATTTATAAGAAAATAAAAGGAATATATATAAAGTTATTATTAAAGTTATAAACTAATTATTTATAAATTTAAATAGTATAAATAGTATTTAATTAAGTGATTATTATTTAAAAGAATTAATTTAATTAAATATTATAGATTTAAGTGTAGAATAAATAAAGATCGATAATATAAAGCCTTTAAATAACTTAATAAAGGGTTTTATTTCTAAAATATATATAATAATAGCTTTAACCACACTATATTTTTCCTTTATACTATATAACTACTTATTTCATTCTATAATTTAAAACTTATATATAAAGTTTCTAATAACTTTATATATATTCTTATAATCCTTTTATAAAGGAACTTTAAATATTTTTATTATACTTTTTATATTATTAAAAAGTTAATAATTATTAATAATAAAATATAAACTTAAAGAAGAATAAATTTATTATACTTTTTTATTTCTTTATAAATTATTTTTAAAACTTTTTTAAAAGTTTTAATAATTTATTATAAAAATCTTAAAAGTAATATATTATAAATTATTTTTTTATTTTAAACTTTTTAAAGTTAATTATATATTTAAATAAAAGTTATAATATTTATTTAATAAAACTTTTATTAATATATATATATATTTAAAAAATAATTTATAATTAAACTTTTTTTAATATAATTTATTTATATAGTAACTATTTTTAAATTTAATTTTATTATATAACTTCTTTATAATAATTAATTTATAAATTATTTTTATTTATTATTTTAATTAATATTATTATTAAAATAATACTTTTTAACTTTATTTATATATTATAAAATTAAAATTATAAATATTTATTATATTATAATTATTATTATTAATATTATATTCTTTTTAAATATTAAATCTTAAATATTTATTATTATATAAAGGTATTATATATATTCTTAAATATATATAAAATAGAAGTGAAACTATATATATAATAATAGCTTTATCCATTAATATCCACTTCCTGTCCCGCCCGATGTCGCACTGGCTCCTAGCTCTCTGCATTGCTGCTCCGCCTTGATAAATCAGCAATTACAAGTAAATGTTAATTAAAGGTGTTCAGATAAAAGCAGAGAAGTCCTACTGTTTGATGGCCGTTTCAATTTGAAGAAGTCCGACGCGAGGCGCTTATGTTGCCACACCAGTTGACATGCGAACAAGCATCACCCGTCAATCATTCTTCGTATATTCTTCGTGCATCTTTCCTGTCGAGGAAATTACAGCTGCCGAGGGGACTTCACATTAAAAGCATAACTCGCAAATCATTGGAGATCTCTTGGAAGCTGCCCTGAAGACCACAATACAATGTTGACTCCTGCTCAGTCATGCCTACTAGGGGGAGGGGGGGTCACTAACATAGGTGTATAATTATATTAAAAATTAATATTTAAATAAAATTTAAATATTATAACTAAATATTAATAAAAGATTAATAAAATATTATTATAAATAAAATTTATTTAAAAAGTTAATTATATATTAAGTTTTAATATTATATTAAAAATTTTAAATTTATTAATATTAAATTTTATAAGTTAATAAAAAAATAAAACTTTTATAATTCTTTTATTATTAGTCAGCTTAGTTTATATATAAGAAGTAATAGTTAAAGGTAATATAAATTAGTAATAGTTAGAAAGTTTACTTATAGGCGGTAAAGCGCTTAATTAAGTTAGCTAGACCTATTAACTAAGCCTAGTTTATATATAAGTATAAGCCTACTAACCTTATAGTAGCTAATCTACTATAACTTACTATTTCTATACTAATAACTTTTTAGTCTTCTAAAATTAAGGTCTAATATCCCTTCCTTTTAGTTAATTAGAGAGCTTTATTTACTAATAAAGTAGTTTCTAATTAAATTATTAAATCGTTTAGAATTACTATTAAATGTTTAATTGTAATTTACTCGATTTAAGCGCTATAAAAACACTATAAATTAACGTTTTTATAAATTATTTAAATCGCTTAAATTTAAATTACTTTAATAAGTAAAATTAACTCTAAATTACTAATTAACTAATTACTTATTAGGTTATTATTAAATAGTATTAACTATTAATATTTAGCTAGTTAGTTAGTTAGTTAGTTAGCCCTTCTAATAGTTTCTTCTTTTATAACGAATTATTACTTACTTTATTAATCCTTTATCTTCTTAATTAAGGGTTTTATCTTAGTTAAGGATCTTATTTTCTATTTAGTTAGCTATATAAGTAGTTATAATATCTTTTTCTTATTAAGGTATAAGATTTAAATAAGGGTAAGTAAAGTATTAAATAGTAACTTACTTAACTTAATATAAATATTATTAAAATAAAGGTTATTATAAAGATTTTTAAGAAGTTCTAACTTAATTTACTTAAAGTAGTTACTTTAATATTTAAAAGTCTTATAGAAGTACTAAAAGTAATTATTAGAATTATTTAAAAATAAATTATTAAAATTACTAATAAACTAATAAACTTTATTATTATTAAACTTAATAGTTATATATTCTTTTTATAAGTATTATTAATATACTTCTTTAATTTATTCTTTAACTTAAATATCTTTTTTATTAAAGTAGTATAAGTAGGAGTATTATTAGTATATATTTATAATAGCTATAAATAATTTTATCTTTAAAGAAGACTTAAAGTTATAATAGTTATACTGTTAAAGTATCTTTTATTTAAGTGTTATAAGAGAGAGAGAGAGAGAGAGAAAGAGAGAGAAGTTAAGAGAGTATATAAAAAATCGCTTACTTAATTAATTATTTAAGTAATGTAAGGGGAGGTAGGTAGATAAATAAATTAACTAATATATAACTAAATAAAAGTCTTATAAGTAGGCTTAAATTATTAGTTATAATAGAGAGAGAGAGAGAGTTATCGTAAAAGAGTTATAAGACTTACTTAATAAAAAGATCCTATTTAATAGTTAATTACACCTAGGTAGCCTAAACAACTTACCTTCTATAGGTTATAACGATAATAGTAGTATTATCGATTTATCCTCCTTAAAGACTATAATAATAAAGTAACTTTATTAATTTATTTTCTTTAAACTTAATATTTAAATAGCTTAAATAATTTACTTTATTATTAAAAGTTAGTTAGTAATTAATTAGTATTAATTAACTTAGCTTATATATAAGAAGTAATAGTTAAAGGTAATATAAATAAATAATAATTAGAAGGTCTACCTATAGGTAGTAAAGCGCTTAATTAGGTTAGCTAGACCTATTAATTAAGCTTAATTTATATATAAATATAAGCCTACTAACTTTATAGTAACTAATTTACTATAACCTACTATTCTTATATTTATTTTATAACTTTATAAACTTAATATATAATAATAATTAAGTTAAAAATATTAATAAATAGTTAAATTAAAAATAAAAAAAGAAAATAAAAATTAGTTTTAATAGAAATTAAACCTTTTTTTTACTTATATATTAAACTTTTAACTATTAAATTTATAAGTTAAATATCTATAATATTAACTAATAGGTCTATATACTCTACTTATTTTATTAGCTTAAGTAGCTTTTATACCTTTTATAGTATAGAATTATAGCTTTATTATTTCCTTTATTCTTTTTAAGCGCTAGATTTTAAGTGCTTACCACTATATAAAGGCACTATATATATCCTTAAACATATATAGAATAGAAGTAAAACTATAC